TCAAACAGGAGGGGGTGGGGTGACCCCAGGGACTCCCCTATATTTCATTTAATTTGTTATATTGTCCCATACATGAATATATATGGTTTAGGGGTGTGGATATCGACCGTTTACAAGTTCTGAAACAGAAGGGGGTTGGGTGACGCCAGGGATTCCCCCAAATTTTCATTTGATTTGTTTTATTGTCCCATACAAGTAAATATATGGTTTAGGGGTGGGGATCGCGACCGTTTACAAGATAAAAGAACATTTTCAAATTGAAGGGGGGTGGGATGATCCCCAGGGACTCACCCTATATTTTATTTGATTTGTTTCATTGTCCTGTTCTCATTACTGAAGACCACGCGTGTCTATCACTTACTGTTTTCGAGTATAAATAGTCATTTGAAAATAAAACCCCATAGGGTTCTACAGTAAACCCCTCCCTTCTTTAGGCCCCTCAAAATACCCCTAAATAGTTCCCAATGCACAAACGAAAGATTGATGGCTCCGCTAGACATGTTAGTCTTACATTTTATGAAACCCTAAGTTAATCTGACAAGGGGTCCGAGTTGTTTTCTTAGACGGTCCGAGTGGACTCGGTCCGACTTGTCTCTGGGACGAGTTATTCCGCATTTCTTAAAACATCGACCTGATTGGTCGACATTGATTACGTCGATTTTCGGTTTTTCATTCATAAAAACAACAAGTTCAGTGATAAACGGGAATAATTTAATAAAAGAAAGGAATTTAAATGTGCATACATTTAATTGAAATCAATTAAATATTCACAATCTTCTTAAACTAAAAGAATATCATGATTAAGAGTACTTTCGCTTAATCGGACTTTATATCATCAGAATCAAACGAACTTACGTTTCGTGTAAGTTAAAATTACCGCCAACTTAGACTACATGTGTACTATATATAACTTTATTCCCTCTATCATAGAGATTTGGTGTACATGAACAATATTCCTGCGCATTTTGCCATTTGGGAAATATAAACGACTTGTAATTACAGATTTTCGGCGATGAAATATTTCATACAATTGTTCTTTGCCATCTTAGCCAAAAGCACAGGGGATAATAAACTACGTACGGATTTCTATTGAGCACTATTTCCTATGTGCAACTTCAAATATTATGCGTCGTTCGACGATCATTTAAGGTTATTCTGGTCATATTTTTTGTATTCCAGAATTAAAAGAATGAAAAAAATGTCCAATTAGTTATAAATAACATATTAGCCTGCTAGATTACAACAATGGCACTTTTTTCAGCATTCGTTAGGAAGAACACAAATCTAGGGTGCTAGCATAAGGCAGCTTAACTGCCTAATAATAATAAATTCTTTATTTAAAGAGGGTAACTCAATTAGAAGTAGTCTAATTTTCATTGAGGCCCTCAAACAAAATACATGTATACAGTTAACATTCATACATTCGATTCATACATTAAAATACAATATATATTACTAGTATATACACAATTCAATCATTCAAACATACAAATGGCAATAAATGGCAATAATTGGTAAAGTTTTGATTAAATTTCTTATTCTTACAATAAAAGAAAGAAAACAAATTATTCGACTTGCATACAATTTTCAAGAAAATGATTATAACAATGTTTCTTAAATAATTCCACATTTCGACAATTTTTTATTTTGAGTGGTAAATTATTCCATACCTTTGTTGCAGAATAATGAAAAGATTTTTTATAAAAATTTGTGTTTGGTCTTGGAACAAATAGATCATTATTAGAGACAGATCGTAAGTTGTGGTGTTGCACATCATTAATATTTAGCATTGTTAAGTAATCAGGTGTTAGTCCATTTACAATTTATACATTAGAATTGATTGTTGGTATTTTATTCTTTTTGTAAAAGATAGCCATTTTAAAGATGAAAACATAAAATTAGATGGAACAGAAATATCGCATTCAAGTATAATTCTTGCTACTCTTTTTTGAAGTTTTATGATTCTATCTGAATCTTTTTGTAATAAATTTCCCCAAACTGAACTACAATAGTCTATATATGGTAGAATATATGCATTATAAAATAGTTGTCTTGTGTGTATAGGCAAATATACTTTAATTTTAAACAAAAGTGATATTTTAGATGAGATAATCTTGCATATACGATCAACATGATCCTCCCAGCTTAAATTTTCATCAATGTCAATTCCAAGTAATTTGAAAGAATGGACATTTTCAATACATGTTTCATTGACGGTAATACATAATTCTGATAGTTGTGTAAGTTTTTGTTTTGAACCCAATTTCATACACTTTGTTTTTTGTGCATTAATTTTCATACTGTTATTGTTACACCAAGATTGTATAGCATTTAAATCATTTTACAATATGCTGTTTATTTTTTCAATGTTTTTATTATGAAAATGCAATGTTGAATCATCAGCATATAAATCCATGTCGGATTGTTTAACATGAAGTGGTAAATCATTTATATAAATTAAAAATAACAGAGAACCTAAAATAGAACCTTGAGGCACTCCATATTTTACAAACGATTTATCAGATTTAATGTTAGCGTATTGAACTTCTTGTTGTCTCTCAGACAAATATGATTTTAATCTTGCTTGATTTTTCTGTTATCATTTTCATTTCTTTTTTTTGGGGGGGGGGGGGGGGGGTATTTATTTTTGTATGTATGTTTGTTTGTTTGTTGTTGTTGTTTATTGGACACAACTATACGTCTACGGGCTTCGAAAGGAACTCAAAGAAGCCATATTTTACGATATCGTAAAGTAAAGATAATAAAACTTTAATCTTGGCGTTATTTTGAGCTGCATTTCTTATGACCTTAATAGTTTAATCTGTCACCTCTTCGGACTTATCTGTATCCCCATATCCCCATCCCACCCCTAGTTGATCCTAGCTGTTTTGTTAGAGTCCTTATTGATCCTTATTCATTCACTGAGATCAGTTCATTTATAATTATAAAAGAAATGACCAATGCATTAGTTTGCTTGATTTTTCTTTTATCATTTTCATTTCTTTTTTTTTTTGGGGGGGGGGGGGGGGGTATTTTTTTTTGTATGTATGTTTGTTTGTTTGTTGTTGTTGTTTTTTCGGTACGTGTGACAAATTTATCGGACACAACTATACGTCTACGGGCTTCGAAAGGAACTCAAAGAAGCCATATTTTCTTTTCTTAATTTACTTTCCATAGTGACAAAAAAGTTTATGGGAAAACACTTTTGTACGCTGAAGCGTTTGCCGAACCTTACAATTTGTACTTTCCTCTAAATTTTTCAACAGGCAGTTAGTCATAACGTATATGTGCGAATTCCTAACTAATTTATTTGAATATTAGATCATATTTTAAGTTTTTGACAAAAATTTCTGATTGTCTTTTATTCTAAAAGATATAAACGCACAGTAAAGAACTATATAAATCGATGTTCGAAGACCAAGACCATGGCGAACGAGTGATTCCAGCAGCTAACAACTATGAAAAAAGAATTTGAAATTCACATAACAATGCTTGAATAAGGCACTAATATGGGAAAATAATTACAACGGATCTTTTATGAATAAAATATTAATCCAATGAGATTTTAAAACTAATCAATCTCGTTCTCGTTGACCTTTTATTTAATGCAAAATAACACTATAAATTTCGTGATTTCAGAATTTACTTCCATCAGGAACACACAACCCTAAACCTTGGAAAGCCACGTAGAAACGTAAGCATTATAAATTTTAGCCATAGTGGCTATGTTTCTTGACGTACAAGGAAATAATATACAAAATTTATACTAGATACTCTGAAACTCATTCAGCCCAAGTTTGACTGAAATTGATTCAACAGTTTCGAAGGAGAAGATTTTTTAAAGTAAGCAAACTAGATGAACAAATTGTAAAAAATTGTCTTTAAAGGACAATAACTCCTTAAGGGGTCAATTGACAATTTTTGGTCATATTAAACTTATTTGTAGATCTTACTTTGCTGAACATTTTTGCTGTTTACAGTTTATCTTTATCTATAATATTCAAGATAATAACCGAAAACTGCAAAATTTCCTTAAAATCATCAATTCAGGGGCAATAACTTAAAAAAAAGATACCCGATTTGGCTGATAATTTCAGGGCAGGTAGACCTTGACCTAATGAATACTTTAACTTCTTGTCTGATTTGCTATAAATGCTTTAGTTTTTGAGATATAAGTCAAAAGCTGCATTTTACCCTATGTTCTATTTTTAGCCATGGCGGCCATGTTTTCTGAGAAAATAAAACACAAACTTTATTCTAAATAACCTAAGAATCATTCAATTTAAGTATGGTTTAATTTGGTTCAGTAGTTACAGAGGAGAAGATTTTTTAAAGTTAGAAAAATTGTGTAAAATTGTCCTTTAAGGGCAATAACTCCTTAAGGGGTCAATTGACAATTTTGGTCATATTAAACTTATTTGTAGATCTTACTTTGCTGAACATTTTTGCTGTTTACAGTTTATCTTTATCTATAATAATATTCAAGTAAATAACCAAAAACTCCAAAATTTCCTTAAAATTACCAATTTAGTGGCAGTAACCAAACAATGGGTTGTTAAATTCATCTGAAAATTTCAGGGCTGATAGAACTTGACCTAATGAACATTTTTACAACATGTCAGATTTGCTCTAAATGCTTTAGTTTTTGAGATATAAGCCAAAAACTGCATTTTACCCCTATGTTCTATTTTTAGCCATGGCGGCCATGTTTTAAATAAAACACAAACTTTATTCTAGATAACCTAAGGATCATTCAGCTTAAGTTTTGTTGGAATTGGTTCAGTAGTTTCAGATGAGAAGATGTTTAAAATAGTTTACAACGGACGGACGACGACGGACGCCAAGTGATGGCAAAAGCTCCCACATTTACAATTTAGATAGTAGCTAGATTATTAGATCGAATATATTTGGGTTAGAACAAATTTTTGTTTACAGATGTAAAAAACTTGAAAAGAACATATTTCAGAGGCAAAATTATTATTATAATGATATAATCTCATTTACAGAGCTATAAAGTCACTTAGAGCAAACTCTACAAGTAGGACTAAAAGTTTACAGGTATCGGATTGACTTGTTTAAGGAGTTGTAAACTGAACTTTTAACATTAAATCTATGAAAAGTTCCGGCTAATTACGTTCCAGTTGGTTAAATAAGAACGTAATTGAACAGAAACAAAAATACCTACAACAAAAATAAAATTCCACTAGCATACTAGTATTCATAACTTGATGTTCAAATGGAAATCAAAAGTGTTCAAAGAGACAGCATTCAATAATCCGCTGTTATATTGTGGACAATGATTTCAATCATGGAGGCGGAAGGATATACGTTCCTCTTCTGCGTAAATCCTTACAGACGTTCCTACAACCGATAGCTGTTGTGATTATTATTAAGGTGCATAATATGCCAACACAAACATACAATATAATAAAACCGGTGCTATGCCATATGATACTATGCTGCTCTGCTAACATGGACCGGTTAACATAAACAGATGTAGGCTGTATTTGAATAACATTTGTAAAACTGTTATAATGCTCAATACTGTGACTTATTCCGAATAAACTGTCGTTTAAAGTGTTACTTGCCAAAACGTCAAACATTTTGCTACTGATCGATGGCATTGCTTGTGTCGGGTTAATAGTTTGTTTAAAGTTGATTTGGTGGACATCTATTATGGACGAAAACAAGCTCACAGATGACGACCCTTCCAGAATATTAAAACACGATTCATCTCGTTTTAATTTCGAGACTTGGTACTCATAATATTCCTCTGGTGATTTGCAGACACCTTGTATCTGTAAATAACGATATTTCATTCTAATTGACCTAATGCTACAATCACAGTGTAAAGGATTACTTTCAAGGTTTAGACTGGATAGTTGGTATAAATTATCAAAGAGGGTAGATGCTATCCTGGAAATATTATTCTTGCCGAGTTCTATCACTTGAATGGACAGAATTTTGGAAAAGAGTGTACCCGGAAGTGTAGAAATCAAATTTCCCCGACATTTCAAGTCAGTCAACATGTTTAGTTTTTCAAAAGCCTTCGCATGAATTAACTGTATTTTATTATGGCTAAGATCTAATACTCTAAGAGATTTTAGCATGTTGAAGTAAGATGGTAGAATTTTTGTCATTTGATTGTAACTCAAATCTAAATAGTCTAATGTGTAACGACAAGCTTCGAATAACTTATTAGGCAGAGTAACTATCTTGTTTCTGGACAAATCGAGATCAGATAGAGAGGACAGTCCAATAAATGATTCGCTTTCAAGTGATGACAACGATGAATTACTTAAATTAAGCTCTCTTAAATTGTTCAGGTTCATGAAGATATCTGGTGATACTCGAAATACATTGCTTCCAGACATATCAAGATTGTCTAGCTGAACCGGCAAATCAAGTGGTGGAATATCCTCTATGTTTTGCAGGGTAGCAAATTTCAAACTTAGTTGTCCTTTAAAGATATCACGTGGGATAGACTTGACACCTATAATAGAAATTTTGTTAAGGTGCAAGGGCATGCTAGTAGCAGAGGGTCTATAAAAAAGACTGTTTGATAGCCATCGTATGTTGCCACCGCGAATTGTCAGTGTCTTAAGAACTGTCAGCCCATCGAATATACCGTTTGGCAAAGACGATAAAAATGGTCCGTCAATAGTTAGTCTAGTTAGCGTGTTCGTTCCAAAATGAAATAACGAAGCCGGTATTTCTTTTGAATGTCGAAATGTCACATCGAGATGAAATACTTGTAAATTTTTGAAAATATTTTCACTGATCAATTCCTGTTCGAATATAACCGAAAGATCTTCCAAGCTTACTAATTTCCAGAAAGCTGAATGATGAAACATCTTGGCTGATATACCGCTAAGTTTCCGAAGATTTAAAGCGAGAAATAAACGATCATCAATATAATCCAACAAATTCCCTGTCAAATCAAGTTCCTCAAGATGTGTAAGGGACGATAATATATCCGTGTTGATAATTGTAACATTATTGCTGGCTATGGACAAAGACATCAGATCATTACCGTATAATTCAAGATTTTTAAAACTTGAATTACCAAGCGAGTTAAATGACAAGTCCAGGCGATGAATGTTTCTTGGCAAGTTATCTGGTAAATTTTTAATGTCTTTTCTAGTGCAGTTGACGACATATTCCATTTCATAATTTCCATGTTGCCTACTACATATACACTTTCCACAAACACCATCTGTCCATTGTTTAGTTGCCGACGAAAACAGTGGTAAAAGTAAAAGCAGAATCTGTATCCTTATTGAAAACACCATCATAAAACACAAAATAATCTGGAAAGAAAAAAATGCATGTTCTCGCATAAGTTCAATCCTCGATCAAGAGATATATTCAATGCTAAAAAATATTTTTTAAACGCACATGTATGTTACTTACCCATTTTATTTTTATTATCTTTTCTCTTTTGCACCGAACAAGACATGTCAAGTGTGAAACTGAAATTTGTAGGATATTTTTCCATTTTAGTAAGATATCTTCGAAAGGTTATGGTAGTTTTAAATGCGAGTGTTATTCTACACCTCGCTTAAAAATCATGAGTAGGAACATTTTACTTTTATGCAATAATGTTAATATGGTGAAGGCGATACATTTATTATCCAGCTATGCGATCTTGTTTGTAGTTTTTTTAGTAGTTGGATTCTAAAAAATGCAATGATTTGTTAACTGTGGAACGTACTATTTTTATTTTTTAATTGGAACGTACTATTCAACTTCATTTATATAAATGCTACAAATTGTTTTAAAAGGTAAAATTAATCTGTTCCATATTATATCAGGTGTATTAGTCTCCTGTAGTAAATGTAGTTTGTGTTCATAAGCAATTGATCTGTATAGTGGTATCCTCATTTGACATCAAATGCGTTGCCTAAAAAGATAATTCAAAGAAAAAATAATAACAAAAATTAACAAGAGCTGGAAAAAATATTAATTAACTTACCGATGTGGTCTATCTTTATCACTTGTGATTTAATGGAGCTTGTAATTACCTCATCACCTGACAGTGAGTGATGTTACAAAGTCTATATTTGTATCTGCTGCTAAAGTTCACTTGTCAGTGTACATCGAAATATTAGTATCTGGCAGCAGCAGGTACTGATTCAAACCTTTGGTACGTTTTTATTATGCATATTCGGTGTATACACGTATGCTTTACTACATATTCTCGGTTGATCGGTTTTCATTATCAGACACTAAATTAAATGTTCAATATTTCTTTAGAAACTTCAGCACTAGCTTGTTTTTTTGGTTGTGTAGGCAATGATAAATATCTGGCTTTCCAAATATTCGCATATTTGCATTGTTAATGTTGATATGGCAGGGCACTTCGAAAGTAGATTTTTTTAGGCTTTATTTTGAAATACACATTTACTTAACAAACACTCGGACAATCATTCTTTTTTTTTCTTCTTTTTTTTTAAGAGGTTTGCCGAAGAAAACAGTAGAGTGTAGTCTGCACAGCAAATTATTATTGTAATGCTTTACGCCCACCTCTCCCCCGTTTCTGTCCGCCTAACGAGTAACTAGAATATAATTGAAACACTAATCCTATAAAATGTTCTACGCCTTACGAGTAAGCCGAAAAATTCAGTCTCATTGTCTTATTTTTTTTTCGCATTTCAATTGTATTTATTATAAGAGTACTCCAGTACAATTTGTCATTACTTGTTAGTATGGTCTTCTATTCTCTATCGATATTTTTAATAATACCTGCAGATCGATATTTTGGCGATATATTCTCTGCAAACAATCTAGATTATTCTAAATATACACCATAACATTTTACCATACTATAAATCTTCATATAAAATTTAACGAATAACGGGACGATTTATACATATCCTATTGTTAATTTTCCTTTCCTTGATAGTGATGCTCCGTTGGCTCTTCTTTTAAAAAAGTAGTATACATCACCATTCTTATTTGAACCTCTGGAGTTTAATGATAAAATAATATTTCGCACCAGGTTTGTTACTTCTGTTTGTTTTTTTTTTTACATTAAAAATGTGTATACAGATTTTACTTGGCTTTACATAAATTCGTCTCCTTGTGTAGTTTGTGATGTTGCTACACGTGAATCTGCTAAAAAGCGTTGTAAAAAAATTTTGAGCTATGTAGGACGTCATCATGTCATATCAGCAGGGAAAGTGTTGTTAGCTAGCTTTCAGTAACAGCGAACAATATTTAAATGAGCGGACTTATAGATCGGAAGTAAATACAAGACATTGTATTAAATATAGTCTTCTAAATATATACAAATTTGATTTACACTCGAGACTATTTAGTGGTAGGTGCACTCGACTTCAATCTTAATTGACTATGATTGTCAGTTTTCCTACCGAAGGTCAGTGGTTCTCATCGGGCACTCTCAAAAGTGCTGAAAGTGGCGTTAAACATCAATAAATAAATAAATCAATCAATTTTCATGAAAGTTGAAAAAAAAATGGAGAATCAAAAGAATTGAAAATATTCTACATGATTAAACAAATCAAATGAAATACAAGGTTAGTCTCCAAGGGTTATCACACCCTATGTTCTAATATCTTGTAAACGGTCCAGATCCCCACCCCTTAACCATATATAATTCTGTTTGTCATGTCAAAATGATTTGATTGAGATATAGGATTAAAGATATAACATCTCCAGGGGTCATTCCTAACCCCTATCATTTGAAAATGTTTAAATACTTTGTAAAAGGTCAAGATCACCACCCCTAAATCATATATATTCCAGTTTATCATGCCAAGATAATACAGTTAGTCTCCTCCAGGGGGTAACGCCCACCTCCTGCCCTTTGCGAATGTTCTTATATCTTGTAAATGGTTGAGACCCCACTCCTAAACCATATATATTCCTGTATGTCATGTCAAAATGATTTGAAGGATATAAAAAAGAAAGTCCAAATGGGTCCTCCCACCCCCTTTCATTTGAAAATGTTCTTACATCTTGTAAATGGTTGAGATCCCCACCCGTAACCATATATTTTCTGCAAGCTCAATTGAATGAATAATAAGGGGAGTCCCAAGAGGGTTATGGGGACTTTGGCGTAAGGAGACTTCGTAACATCATCCTGTTACAATCATTTCTGGTTGTTTATGTTTATAGTCACAAAGTTTGTAGCATGTGCATTCAGGAGAAGACAAAAATAATTTGGTTGTTACTTTTTTCGATCCTTTTTTGTTGACTATGAACAAATACAGTTACTGTGAACTAACCGACTCTAAACCCTATCTGGTTTTCTACTAAATTCTGTAGAAAGTCGATGAGTTAAATTAGTAAATTAGGTTTTTTCAAGACCAAATCAGTCATGTCGAAGCCATCGCTTAGAAAACAAAGTCTTTCTCAGATTATGGGATTCTCTCGTCATTATTCTTGTTGGGAACTTTTTATCCGATTTTCATCGTAAACTCGATGTCACATATAAAAATAAAACCGACGAAGCTTTTATAACCAGTGTTATAAAGAATATATAACTTCGATCCTTCCTCGTTTGTCTTGATTGAGATTTCTTGTTTTTTATTTGAATTTATATGCGCAGCTGAAAAATATTACTGTTTCTACACATATGCATGTAATAACTGGGTTTGTGCTGGTCACTCTTTTAAAGATTTTCTTCATACTGCCGTATGTCGTCTTCTCACTTATCTATTTCAATTCGAAATACATACATTTGGTGTTGTTCCTAAAGAAGTTAATTGAGAAAAAGCACCCGAAAACGCAATTAAATCGACAACGTTTGAATTTCTGTTGGCGTTTGTTTAAATCCTTATACGAGACTTTCATTCTTATGGAAAAAGACTGACTGTGAGTTTTTACCGTCGATATCTTGATATTATCTCATACTCATGTTAAAAAGAAGGGGTGAGTATAAAATCAGACACACAAACCCTTACAAGTACTAATACTCGACAAACCGAAGCAAAGACCCACCGCTTTTATTGATGTTCATCATTTAAAAATCACAGCTAGGTCTCGTGTTGCAAAAACTCCCTGCTTACTGCAAGTTTAAGATGGTCCATAGATCCAGATCGAGTGGCATCATTTGCTGGATGTGGAAATGAGACTTGCAAATGGTAATACAACTACATACTAAATATCGTTGACCTACCGCTAGTGGTTCCCCTTAAACTGTCATATTCACAAAATAATACACGAGTCTAGAAAGTCAATATACCATGACTGAGGGGTTAAGGCCAAATAATCTCCATGGAAATTAGATTTGCCAATGCTAATTCAACTACATGATAAATACCATTGAGCCACCACTAGTGGTAATACATTGTTGACGCCGACGCCGCCGCCGGAAACAGCAGGCCTTAGTCTCGCTTTTTCGACTTCGTCGAGGCGAGACAAAAGTATTAAAATGCAGATAAAGGTCATCACATTGTAGTATAAATGTCTCAACAAATATGGTAAGCTCTTCGTCTCGAATCTAGCAAAATCATAATTTTCTCGATTAAATTTATAGGAAAGGGAGAGTTTTGGCTCTCTTTTATGGAAATAAGAGAAATCGAATAGATTGTAGATATAGGAAGATGTGGTATGAGTGCCAATGAGACAACTCTCCATCCAAGTTACAATTTAAGTAAACCATTGTAGGTCAAGGTACGGCCTTCAACACGGAGCATTGGCTCACACCGAACAGCAAGCTATAAAGGGCCCCAAAAAATTACTAGTGTGAAACCATTCAAACGGAAAAACCAACGGTCTAATCTATATAAAAACGAGAAACACGAATGAACTACATAAACAGACGACAACTACTGTAATCAGATTCCTGACTAAGGACAGGTGCAAACATTTGCAGCGGGATTAAACGTTTTAATGGTACCAAACCTTCTCCCTTTTCTGAAACAATAGTATAACATCACAACATAGAAAAACACACTATAAAATATCAATTGGAATTGTGTACACAAGACCTTTTGAAAGTAAGAAGACTGTTGTCTTTGAATATGTTTGTTATTTTGTTAATCATTTGACATACATGTACTTGCAATTGATCAACAACACTAAATTGGAATAAGAAAATGATGAAACAATACATGTGCTACGTGATTATTCAGTATCGTTCCCTTTCGTCGTATTGATAAGGTTATTTATTTGTTTGGGGAATAGTGTTAAAGTTACAGACTTGTTGATATAAAGGTTATAATTATATTTTAGTTCTTGTTCATGATGATTGTAGTTGCTATTTTCTGTGACGAATATCAATTCATCAATTTAATGTCAAGCAAGAATATTTTGTCGTTGAAATTCTACACAAATGTATTCGAAGTATTGCACACAATCGTGTTTGTGACTGCTTTTATTCGCTTTGTGTCCGACTGACTCCTGCTGTTTTTCTACTTTTTTACAGAAAAAACACGTGTTTTCTCGTGTGTCCCCTTGTATGATTAATTAGTAATAGAAAGCACGTGTACATGCACCTTTATTTGTTTTTTTTTATAAAAATGACATCGACCTTGACACTGATACAATACGATTCCATGGGTCCCAAGCCTGAAACAAAAGATATATTTTGTAGCAAATAACCAGTACATATCTATGAAGGACAGCCACCAATATTAGAGTGTAAAGCAATATGATTTTATATAAGCAAGTTAAGTACTCTGAGCTTGCTTTCAGGATTTGCAAACATTCTTTGATATGCTTATGTTTCGCTTGTCTTGTTTTCTGCTGTAGACATATTTGAGGCCTTTTCCCTTACTAAATTTTATTGAACGTTCTTTTGATTTCAATGACTGCAATTGAAAGGGAACGTGTTGAGATTTAAAAAAATGTTTAACCGAGAAACAAGTTCATCATTAGGGACACTCTTTTATTATATCTGAATGATTTTTTTTTTTCATTTAGAAACTACAGGCTCCCGACTCGAGACAGTCTAAATGTGTACAAACCAGACGTCAAATGTTTATACTATTCTACGTCAATGACTGTAGGAGAACAAATTAGATGACAGCAAATTAAAATCCAGAAACAAATTAATTGCAATGGTGAATCGAAGGTCAACGGAGGACTTTCCCGCGCAAATGTCATTTGTTAAACGGGATATACCATTTTTAGGTCTATATAGTCGTTCATATTCGGATCAAATTACACAGTAAAATAAAATATAAATGTCAACTATATATAATGGTTTTGAATTTAGTTACTTTGTCAGAAAAATGATTTATTTCTCGCAAACAAAACTAAAAAATATACATTAACTCGACTCCTAAAATATAATGGTATATGGAATCGTCCGAAACAGGTTCTTCTTACATCGATAAAGGTGAAATACGTAGATTTAGAATTTTGCACAAAGAATAGGACCATAGATAAAGCCCTATGGGAAGTGGAAACCAAAAAATACATGAATTTAATCACCTGTTATTAAATTTGCTTGCATAAGAGCCTTGAAGTTGAAACTACGAACGAGAAGTTGTATCCTGTCAACCCCTAAAAAAATAATACTGTCTACTTCCGCGCGCCATGAACTGAATTTTTATCTTATTGTTATAGAGTATGTTAAATTATGGGTATGTATTGCAATATTTGCTAGCCTCTGTTAATTTATTAGATTTTCTGGTTCATGGCGATATATAGCTTGATATATTGTAAAGGCAGTTGTTTATGTTTGAAGACAGTATTAGAGCCTATTGATGACTTGGTTTTTTTGTGTCGTTGGGTTACTGTCTCAATGATGTATACCACACATCTTTTATTTATACCTCTTATGGATATAATGTAAATTTGTTTCAAATTGACCTAGTGGTTTCAAAGGCAATGTTTCGATAATAAGCAGACACAGCTAGTTTTTCAGAGAACCATTGGTAATTTAAAAGAAAGATAATTAAGACTGAAATCTCTTTTCTTATAGAAATCTTTGGAAAATAACAAAAAAGGTGAAACATATAATTTATTTTATTATATAAAGTAAAAAAAGATAGAAAACATGATTGCACTGATTCGTGTAAGAACATTAGTAGAAATGATTAAAATAAATCAATATGTTGAATATTCATAGTACTTTTTCATCTATTAAATGTTATGAAACGACAAGTCTGTGGTTTTAAAAAGATACGTGCATATACATTGTTCAAATTTTTTTAATAAACAGTCCTTTATATTTTCAACTTCTAAAAATTAATTTGAAAACTATTTCAAAAATCTTAATGTAATTTGTGAATAGATTTCCTTCCAATTATTAAGAGTAATTTTCAAGTTTAATCAATATATTCTATTTTATTTTTCTTGAAAGGATGTATGTATTTTTCTTTATCAAAGCATGATTTTGCTTGTTATAAAAACCTTCAACGTATTGAATATTTCTATCCTTTAAATTTGTATTCTTTTAGAATTTTTTTTTTTAATTGACATTCAATTTATGGAGTATAACAATTTATGAATTTCATCTTTTCTTTCAAAAGAAACAAAATGTCTGGCTAATATGGCAACGGATTAATTATTGAGGACACAATGTGATACATAAAAAAACTATGAACAATTTCCATTTCCCAGAAACAATAGCATTAATAAAAATAAAATTTACAATAAAATAAAAATAAAAATTTAGTAAAAATCAGGACGAATCATTATGAAAATATAGATATTATATGGACAAATAAAAACAAATAAATCACAAATCATATCACATTTTGGTTTTAAAAATCATGACCATGTTTCTTATTCTTTATTTGATAGAACATTATTCAAAGGAATCGTCCAAATCTATCAAAAGTCCAGGCGATGATGGTGCCTTGTACGATGGGGGTCTGATAATCACTTCCTCAATCTTTTTGAAAAGAGAGCCATCTGGTGCGTGCAGAGCATCGGATGCACTTGAAGTCCTCCCTTGCGTTCTAGTTACTTTCTTGCCAGCAGCGTTTGGTTTGAATGTTTCCATTGCAGGTACTGTTGCATGTATTGCATCAGCAGCTTTAGATTTTCTGCCCTTACTTACAAGATGACTTTGTTTCTTTCCAATGTTTTCAGGTCTAAATGTTTCCATTGGTGGGACCTCTGTCAGAACTGGTAACGGATCTTTGTGATATTTGGAGAAAACAGGCTCCATCTCTCCGACTTCCGGCGAATAACCTCTGTTGATGACAGAATATGAATGGGCGTTTTCAGGTTGGAATGGACTGGCTGTTTCCTCTTTCCTTTCATTGTCATTATTACCAGGTATAACGAACGGAGAGTGAGATTTGGCTCTTGATCCAACAGATGATGCGGAAACTGGTCTGCCGTTATCATCAAGTTCTTGTTTCGACTGTCCTTTCGATTGAGGTTTACCAAATACAGGAGTAGCTGATGACTGTTTTGTGAAAACTGACGGAGCTTTTTTGCTAAACACTGGTGTTGCGTTTGATTGTCTACTAAATGTCATGGGTTGTGGTAGTGAAACATTCTGGTTTCTTTCGTCATCCATATTAGTATCCTGAATTTGTATATCGGCAGGACTTGGATGATCTCCTTTTGGTCTAGACCTCACTTGTGGAATAATACTACTTAGGGTAGCTAATAATGATGATTTACTCCTTGGACCACCCGAATGAGATGTTGGTGGCAGAGCAGCAGCTTGGTTGAAGAGTGTACCACGGGGTGGAGCTGGTGAAACCATGCTTTCATCTTCTATTGCTTCAAAGAGAATAGGGAAATCGGATGCCGATAATGCAGAACCAGCACGGGAATCGAGTCGGCCAAATCCTTCGTTGTCCTCAAATAAGAAGTTTCCGGTACGTGAAGTTATCCTACTTCTTGAGTAAGCCATATCTTCATCAATATCCTCCTCATTATCTTCTTTAACGATTTTCTCCTTATGACTGTCTGTTATATTTTTTTTCTTTTTGAAACAAAGAAGTCCTTGCCACCAACAACAACAACAGAACAATACTATGATAATGGGTATTATACAGCAGACAGCAATTATAATCATCAGCATCATGTCGTCTTTTGATTCTGTCTCGGTGTCTGTACAGTAATCAAAATAGTCTTTCAGTTTGCATTCATCGACATTAAATGTTGATTGACAGTAGAATATTAGGTTATGTACAAGCAGTATATACGTAGCGTTTTCACCAACATTTCCATAGTCCATCAGGCACGATTCTAAAAAGAATTCTGTTATGTTACTTACATCATTGCAATATTGCTGTACATCAGAATTATTTAAGGCTGCAATACAATCGTTCAAAACAGAATCATTCACATTTGATGGAGTAACATCTTTCGGCAAGTATGATTTTTCAGTTGGTATGTCAGATGGAAGCCACAAATCATCGCTTTCTGGTTCGGTAATTGTCCCGTGCAGTTTTGTTGTGCTAGAGGACATAGGTGTTGCCATATTTGAGATAAGTCCAGTGCCTTCATCGAATCCAATTACTGACAGTAATTCGTTATCTGAAGTTATGTCATCAACATAAACGGACATTCCAGACAGAATTGTGTCAAGAGATTTTGACACTTTCCAAATTCTAGCATGATCGATTTCCAATGGGCTATCGTAGTTTCCGAACAGGAACATTCCTTCAACATTCAATGCAGATGATACATGAACATTCCTTATCGCTTTGTACTGTAATCCTCCATCGGTCATCATATAGATGAGGAACTCTCCATCGACAGACTCCCATGTTATAGCTGTATATATCCATGAACTAACTTTCATTTCTAATGCAGATATCCGTGTATTTCCCCACTGTATTCCTAGATAGCCATTTTCTGCCGATAAAGTTAGATTTTGTCCATCCATCTGATAAACAATTAGAACTTGATTACTTAGATGTACCTGTATTCGAATCCAGAAAGATATTGTAAACGCAGTTATATCCTTAGTCATATGTATGTTAGTATAGGTAGCAGTTTGTAATGTTAAATGAAGCAGGTACCCTGATGTTGATAAATTCTGTTGTCGGTCAGTGTGCCAAGTGTGAACTGATGTTAACGATGAACCAAACTCTTTCTTTGTCCATGAACCAGTATATGTAGCCGATAAACCATGATCAATGAATGTGGAATTTACACCACGTGACTGATCAGAGGGCGATACAATGTCCATCCACCATGTATTGTCTGCATTACCAAGTAATCCCGTGGCTGTCTGTCCACTACCTATGCCTACTTTAAACCGACAGATAAGTCCGATGTTACTATCTGCTACCAATACGGTAAACGACCCAACTGTTATACGGATGTACTCTCTGACAATCCATTTTATACTTATGCCCGCTACAGCTGTTGTTGTTGGAAACTCAAAGGTTGTTGAGCCTCCAACATGCATTGGTTGTAATGTATCATTGTATCTCATTACACTAACAGTTTGTCCACCACTATTAATAGAAATTTCTTTAATTTGTCGGCAATAGATGTCACCATTACAAGGCCAGAAAACGGCTTGAACTGATAGTCCTGAAACACTGTACACATTGTAGATTCCTGGTAATATTAGTCTATATGATGCACCTCCTAAAGTTGTAATGTATGACGCAAATATTAAACCAGCCGCGTATGACTGACGGCCCTCAATATTCTGTACCACAAAATTACAGTCTGTTCCATACCACCCAAGTGAACATTCTATGCAAGAATAAGAAGAAACTGAAATTGTAACAGTAAATAATGTTGAGAATGATCTCCAGTATTCAGAGACTGAAACACTTTGTCCGTACCAATGAGCATGACAAGCACATTGTCCAGATGACGAATCACATGTTCCATGTGAATTACAAGCTCCCATTGGTCCTAGTCCACACACCCCAGAACAAGATGATCCATAATGTGATGAATCACATGAACATATGCTATTGTTTGCAAATCCAAAAATGCATTCATTACTACAAGATCCTCCATACCATGTTACATATTCTTCATATACATCTACTAGGTTGCACATACTTTTAATTGGCGAATCTGTTAAATTTTTAGCTTCCTCACAGTAATCAGAAAAGCTTAAGAGTATAACTTCTGCAAGATCGGGATTTCCTGTTGTTTGCACTAAGATCACACACTGGTCATATAAAGATGATAAAATGTTTTCAAGACCAGCACAGTTAGTCGTTAATTCTGAAGATTTCAGCAGGTCATCGCATCGTGTTGTATCTATAGCTGTATTTAGTGGTGTCAATGTTGTCAATTCGGGAAGTTTTAAATCTACACCTGGGCTCAGGTCTAGGTCTGATGCTGCCCAAGTCGGTGTATTGTCATAATATACCATATACATGTGTTGTGAATTTTTCAGATCTGATGCTATATAACCAGTTCCTTCATTTAATGACCATACTGCATGAAGATCTGGTGTCTTATCTGATACAGAAATTCTCCAATTGTTCCTGACAATGGATGGACTATGTGGACGTGTCCAGATCCTCAGTTCATCAATATATCCATTGAATGTGCCGATTGGAAACAATGAAGTAACGCCATCACCTATTTGTCCCACTGTAAGAGTTCCTCCTGTTTCAAAAATATTTAAAGGACATGATATTTCCTTCACAGTGGTGGTACCTGAACCAGATATAAGGTAAATTTCCAGTTGATAACCACTCTGTTTCCAAACAAGATTAATTTGGTTCCATACATTAAGCTCAAGTAAAATATTTGTTTGATACACATACTCATCAGCAATAATGACAATACCAGTCTTGTAATTCACGACAATAGTTTGATGACTGTTTGTATGATAGGTTAACATCGGTCCGTTGACGGCTGTTGGTTTGACATGGAATTCGACTGTAAAGACTGTTGTCGGCATTTCAACTTCGCTAACGTATATCCCTGATCCACTAAACAGGAGACAAGCTGGACCTGTAATAATGTACTGTCGTTCTAGCTTTTCATCAACGAAAATGTCAGTAAATACATAGCTGTTCGTGAAGAGCTCAACTGTAAGGAAGTTCAACTGACCGACACAGGAACCTTCAGATGTGGTATTGACAGAATTGCTACAGATACTTGTTCTTGTAGAGTTACAAGCAGCCAGTTGAATAGCAGACTTTGTTTCGCATGATGTAAGTATGCCATCTATGAGGGCTGCTTCAGAAATCCACTTGTTATTTGGGTATGACATTGTCATGATAAGTCCATTGTCTACGTATATTATCTTGACTGATAGTTCCATGTTAATGAAGGTCACAGATAAAATATTAGTTTGGGAGATTGAAATTTCAAATTTACTGGTGGTATACTTGTCGTAAACGTTTATTTCAGCCGAATTTGTGTATATCACAACTGTAGACTCCTGGAAGCTGTTCTTTGATCGGATATAATAGAAAATACCATCAACATTGATTACAATATCTCTTAAGCAAAGATGTGGCCTGAGGGTATCATAGCATGTTGACATGTGTCCGTAAACATTAACTAATTCATCTGAATGTCCAAATAATAAATATACGCTCTTGGCAGTCAAATCAACTAAATATCCGTCAAAAGAGATCATCTGACCGTTTGTACTTATTTGTGCTACTAACACGGACTGATTAGCAGGTTGTCCCGTTGCCATGACAACACATTCGTTTCCTTCCCATCCTATTGCACAACTACTACATGCTGATCCAGACCAGTGACCTTCACATTGACACAGACCACTTGTATCGCATACTCCTTTATCGTTACAGGGTAAAGTAATTCCATTCGGACAGAATTGATCGCAGTGGGCTCCATGGAAACCATAGTAACAAATACAAGATCCATCTGAACCTAAATAGCCAAATCCGCAGTTGTTACAAACTTGTGAAACCCAAAATGGTACAGATGTATTCAAGCTACACATGCTATTGAATAATGTACTTGCACTGCCTCCAGTTATACCACACACGGTGGCAAAGCTTATCATAACGGTAACACTGTCACTAACATTTGAAGTAGAACTTCCAAGTAAGATGCATTGATTTTTAAACCAGAATGTAGTATTTGCTGAAACACTGCCACAGGAACTTGAAACAGCAGTAAAGAAATCTGTACAAAGACTAACAGCTTCTTTTTGATTATTTATATTAATGGCAACTTCATCATTTATAACTTTCAATGTTTTGTCAGATACTACCCATACAGGTGACTGCCATGGGAAACTTGGAAGACTCATGTCATTTCCTAAAACACTATCAAATGCAGTATATCCAACGCCTTCAGAAAATGACCATAACGATGAAACATTGTTTAGAAATCCTGATAATTTTACATTCAGACTCTCTGCCTGGAAGATAAGTGAAGGTAGCAGTGGGTCTTTCCAGATGGATGCTTCTTCTATTTCTCCAACAAACGACCCAGTGTAAGTATACTTGTCAGATTCAAAAGATGGAATCCATTCTCCTAGAGCAATCTTCCCACCTTCCAAAAATAAGTTTGGACAGAAATCACTAATGACCTCATAACTGATAGTTATATTAGGACCGTAATGATAGAAGTATATCTGGTTGTTGGTTCCATCAAATGTTATGATTATCTGATTCCATTCACCAATGTGTGGACTGATAGTTGTTGAGATTGATTTTGTTCCACATTCCATTGTAACAGGATTACTATTAAGTATCGAGAATGTTGTATTTTTACTGTAGGCCAACAAGACACCTCCTTCTGCAGTAGGTTTGAAGTACATACTTAGACTGAATGCTTGACTGTTCACTGTGTCATTGTCTCTGTATTTTAATGTCTCTGATACAGATGAAGTTTCGTTAAATGCCAAAGCAAATCCAGAGTTCATAGTCACATTCTGACCAAATACAGTTAACAACGTTTGAACGATTGGTCCATCCACAGAAACGTATGTAGTCTCTATATAATGCATAAGGTCATTCTGACTGTAAGTTTCATAGGTATAACTTGTCCCAGCACAATTTCCAATGATTCCAGTTGCTATTGAACAGACTGATGATTGTACATTCATTGCTATATCTATTCCTTGGTTCTGTACAGTTATTTTGATAGTACTTGTTCCAACAGTTATTTCGAGATCAGTATATGATTTCAGTTCCATGGTCATGTCTGACATAACAGTAGTCACTCCATAATCTAATTTAACTGTATCCTGATAAACGATTGGAGGCATATCATCTTGTCCTGATGGCATAATAACAATCTGAGTTGATGATGTCTTGATTGAAACTCCAATAATACAAGAGCCAAACATACAGTTCACTTGATAGACTTCCACAGCAAAGTTCGTAGGAGAGTCAAACACTGTATATACTCCAGATATTGTATCTAATGATATCTGATAACCATTAAATCCCATGAAGTCGGCCTTGCCTGTGATATATGATTTTGTGCCAAGAGAGGAACCCTGGTACAAGACTCTGCAGTCTGGTCCATTCATTCCCGAAGTACATGTGCCACAATCAGCTGATCCATCCCAGTTCCAGTCACATTCACAAAGTCCTGCTGTGCTACATTTTCCATGGTTGTTGCACGGCGAATCGGATCCACCAGGGCATATTTCAGTACACGATGATCCATAAAAGCCATGGGCACAAGAACAAGAGCCATCTGCTATTATTTCTCCATAAACACAGGTCTTAGAACACCCACTGTTCTCTTTGTCAAATGTATTTAGACTATTGCACAATATAGTTGTTGGAGATGCAAGAAGATCTTGAGATGTCTGGCATATTTTCCCAAAACTCAATATCACATTGTATGCAGATGGCAAATTTTGTGTGGCACTGTATATCTGAAGGCAATCTGTGTAGAATATGTTTTTCGTTGCTGAAGATACATTTCTACATGACGTGTATGTATTATTTATAATTTGGTGACATATACTTTCTGCCTGTGTTTGAATGGCTAAACTTTCATAGTACACATAAGTGACCTCTGGGTAGGTGTTCTTTACATAGTACACATCGGATGGTATCCACTCAGGTGGTACCCATGGTGACATGGGTAAATTAATAACAGTTCCTTGGAGATAGTCAGATGTGACTGATCCTTGGCCCTCATCAAATTGCCATAGAGAACTTAGCAAATGTTGTATATCTAACGGATCTTTTTGAAAAATGTCAGTCACAATGTTTGGTTCTAGCGATATCTTCCAAACCAAGAAATTGTCTATTAGTCCACTGAATGCCTCTGGTGCTGTGAGTACTTTACCATTAAATGGGGGCTGCCAATGACCTATGGATAAAGTTCCTGGATCACTGAATATGTTTAATGGCAAAACATAGCTTCTTCTCTTGATGTTCCCTTCACTGTTGAAAACGTATATATCAAAGTCTCCCAATTCTCCATAGTACATAACCACTACTTTGTTCCACTCATTGTATTGTAATGTTAGATTTGTTGTATATGTTTGATTTTCATAAATAATCTGAACTGAATCAGAAGATACTTGAACAATGAATAATTTGCTGTTACTAAATGAGAACAACACACCTCCTTTGTCTGTTTCATTGTTTAACTTGGTAAGGAATTCAAACGTAATGTTGGACCCAATGCTTGTGTACAAGTCTACATCACCATATATTATAGATGAGGCAAAATTTAAACTGTATCCACCAACATTTTGGTTTTTGTCATATGTAGATGGATAATGTACAAACTCATTACAGGATGTTACTGCAAATCTGGTAAAGTCAAGTGAACTAGATAATGATGTATTCTTAGCCAATATTACATTGTTAAAATCCAAAGGGTATACAATTGGCGAAGGTGAAGATACTTGAATATTTCCTGAGTATGTACAGACATCTGGTGAATATATTTCCCTATACAATAACTGTTCAAGTTTGAGTGTTGAATTTTCTTCTCCTGATCCACTTAACAATCCACTTGTCAATTCCAGGTACTTGAAATTCATCAAAAACTCCATGGTAAGATATTGACCTTGTAATCTAATTAAAATCTCTGCATTGTCAGCAATAGTAATCTTTAATTCATCTATATCTAATCTCTCCAAGTAAAATCCATGAAAGTACAAGGTATTGTCAACTGCTGTTTCCTGGTTCTCAAGGTAAACAATTGGTTTGTTAGTGTCCAGTTTTGGAGCTTTGATTGTGATTGTGGAATATCCTTGTGTGGAATCTCCCAGACGAACAGATACAAATGTTATACAGGTGTAGTTCTGATGGCATATGATGTACTTTCCTTGTATGACTAGCACATCACTTACTGTCAGCAGTGTGTACACTGATGGTTCCCTGACTATAAAACTCAAACCATCTAAGTTTGTCATATGACCTAGCTGGGATGCCAAGGCAACTGATTTATTACCATTAAGTTTGTTTTCTGCAATTTGACAATCTAGTCCAATCCATCCATCAGAACATAAAGAACAGTCATCTGCTCCTTGCTTGTTGAGAGGACAGTCACATTCTCCTGTCTGATCATCACATGATCCATATCCTGAGCATGGATTGTTTGCTCCTCCCGGACATTCAGTGTCACATGTTGTGTTCCAGTACCCATTATTACAAATACATGTTGTACCTCCATTTTTGGTGCCAAAGTAGCACTGTGGGTCACAGTAATCACCCAAAAGAATGTTAAAAGCAGGGTTATTAGCCATGTCAGTACAAAGTGTTGATACTGGCCAAATGTCCATATTTAAACTAAACTGACAATAATCTGCATATTCAAGGACTGCATCTGCAATTTCTCCATTATTCTGTGCTTGCACACATTCTGTTTTGTATGCATAATTCAATCCACTGCCAGCAGCCATACAAGTGCTGTAAGAAAATTGTAGTTAAAATTAGTTACCAGTATATTAGATAGTTTAAGAATCTCAAGTAACTAGGGATTAATTTATTTTTGTGGATTTAGTAAAAAAAATACATCTCATGGAAATTTGATTTTGTTAACTTGCTAAAGTCTGCATACAATCCTATAGATAATTGGGACTTCTTTGAACATCTGAATTTGTGGTTTATCAATACCCATGAAATCCACGAAAAAATAGGTAACCCATAAATATTAATGAATCCACAGTAGTAAAGACAATGTGATTTATTTTTTTTGGATAATAAATTTATGATACAAATTTCACTCAAGATGACAAGTTGTTCTATAATATTGGATACTAATTTCATTCAAGAAGACAAGTTGTTCTATAATACTGGATACTAATTTCAATCAAGAAGACAAGTTGTTTTGTCATCTTGGATACCAATTTCAATCAAGAAGACAAGTTGTTATGTGATATTGGATACCAATTTCAATCAAGAAGACAAGTTAAGTGATATTGGATACCAATTTCAATCAAGAAGACAAGTTCTTAAGTGATATTGGACACCAATTTCAATCAAGAAGACATGTTGTTCTATAATATTGGATACTTATTTCAATCAAGAAGACATACAGATTCCACCACTGCAACAAGTGTGTTACCATATTTCTCCACTCGAGACAGTTAAATTTTAATATTTAAAGCGTGAGGCTTGCAGAGATTTTTAAATAATTAAAATTTAACTGTTGAGAGTGGAAAAATATCGCAATACACGAGTTATAGTGGTGCAATCTGTTTCTCTGATGATTTTTATCCTTCCTTTTGAAAGATTTGCAGAAAGTTCCGTTCTTTATATGTGACGTCATCTGGCATGGTCGCCTTTTTTCATGACGTCACAATAGAAAAATTCAGAAGAAACCAAGAAAATTTGACGTCATAATTAAATTTCAACCAATCATTTGCTGAGAACAGATATTTCACTAGTGAGGTAATATTTTTCTCACACCGATCAAGAATTGTGAAAATAGCACAAAAATTAGAGAAAAGTTGTTCTATAATATTGGATACTAATTTCAATCAAGTAGACAAGTTGTTTTGCATATTGGATATCAATTTAAATCAAGAAGACAAGTTGTTATGTGATATTGGATACCAATTTCAATCAAGAAGACAAGTTGTTATGTGATATTGGATACCAATTTCACTCAAGAAGACTGGTTGTTATGTGATATTTGATAACAATTTCAATCAAGAAGACAAGTTGTTATGTGATATTGGATAACAATTTCGATCAAGAAGACAAGTTGTTATGTGATATTTGATAACAATTTCAATCAAGAAGAAAAGTTGTTATGTGATATTGGATACCAATTTGAATCAAGAAGACAAGTTAAGTGATATTGGATACCAATTTGAATCAAGAAGACAAGTTGTTATGTGATATTGGATACCAATTTCACTCAAGAAGACTGGTTATTATGTGATATTGGATCAAAGATCAATATCAGAATTTCTAAATTTTTCACTGACTTTCATTTTGTTATCAATATGCAGAATATTACTCCAATTCTAAAAGGTAGCTTCTACAGTTTTAGTTTTATATGCTCTAAAAAGTTTTATATTTATTTATACTTTCAAGGCTTTCTGGTGAAGAATATAAGTGAAGGTAATTCAAAAAGCTTTTATTGGGTTTTCTTAAATTGATATTATACTTTGTTATTTAAGAGTAAGAATATGTTTTCTGCATTAGGTGCTAGATGAACTCTCTTCTGTAATCAACCTTCTTATTTCTCAACATGGAATTTGTATTGATATGGAAAAAATGATTTTTTAAATTCTTGCAATGTCAAACTATAAAGTAAGATGTAGCCTTTGCAGTGATTGCTTTGCAAGAGGGGAATAATTATATCTTAGATTTTTTTTGTTACCAGTGATGGATTCCGGATTGTCATGCTTTCTTAGTTGGTTTATCAATGTGTTTTAGTATGGACAAACAGTTGTGACAAGGACGTATTATAAAATGGAAAATAAAGTAATGTATAAAGTCAATGAAAATGTATTAATACATATTACAGAGTATAGCTTTGACTCCAAAGTTTATCTTTCAAGTTGGCATGTATTTACCAGACATTAAAAAAACTTTTTTGAACTTTTTAAACACATGGTAACTTGCTTGAACATAGCTTAAATGGTTATGGAAAATCATAGAAATTTTTCTTAAATTTTTCCTTTAGTGCGTTCCTGTGCAACAGTTTTATTCCTTAAAGTGGCATTGGCTGTCAAATTAATGTTTAATGATTTGACTCAAATTCAAATATATGATTTATAATACTAAAAGGTATATCCCAATAACAAACAAGAGGCTCTCAAGAGCCCGAATCGCTCACCTGTAATTTTTTGCTTAAATCTTTCATCAATGATTATTTTTGCTTTTCAATATGTATTAATGAGTGGCTTAAAAATGCCATTTAAATGTTCTTTGTATCTGTCATATTTTCTTTAAAAGAAAAAAATGTTTTTCTTGACGTACAAGGAAATAAAATACAAAATTCATACAAGATACTCTGAAACTCATTCAGCCCATGTTTGGCTGAAATTGATTCAGCAGTTTCAAAGGAGAAGATTTTTTAAAGTAAGCAAACTAGATTAGATGAACAAATTGTGAAAAATTGTCTTTAAAGGACAATAACTCCTTAAGGGGTCAATTGACAATTTTGGTCATATTAAACTTATTTGTAGATCTTACTTTACTGAACTTTTTTGCTGTTTACAGTTTATCTTTATCTATAATAATATTCAAGATAATAACCGAAAACTGCGAAATTTCCTTAAAATCATCAATTCAGGGGCAATAACCTAAAAATCAGATACCGGATTTGGCTGATAATTTCAGGGCAGGTAGACCTTGACCTAATGAATACTTTAACCTCCGTCTGATTTGCTCTAAATGCTTTAGTTTTTGAGATATAAGTCAAAAACTGCATTTTACACTATGTTCTATTTTTAGCCATGGCAGCCATGTTTTCCAAGGAAACAGAAAATAGTATACAAACTTTATTCTAGATAACCTAAGAATCATTCAGCTTAAGTTTGATTTAATTTGGTTCAGTAGTTTCAGAGGAGAAGATTTTTTAAAGTTAGAAAACATGATAAACCAATTGTGTAAAATTGTCCTTAAAGGGCAATAACTCCTTAAGGGGGCAATTGACAATTTTGGTCATAGAAACTCATTTGTAGATCTTACTTTGCTGAACATTTTTGCTGTTTACAGTTTATCTTTATCTATAATAATATTCAAGATAATACCCCAAAACTGCAAAATTTCCTTATAATTACCAATTTAGTGGCAGCAACCCAACAATGGGTTGTTAGATTCATCTGAAAGTTTCAGGGCTGATAGAACTTGACCTAATGAACATTTTTACCCACGTCAGTTTGCTCTAAATGCTTTGGTTTTTGAGATATAAACCAAAAACTGCATTTTACACCTATGTTCTATTTTTAGCCATGGCGGCCATGTTTTTTGATGAAACAGAAAATAAAACACAAACTTTATTCTAGATACCCTAAAAATTATTCAGCTTAAGTTTAGTTGGAATTGGTTCAGTAGTTTCAGAGAAGATGTTTGAAATAGTTTACACCGGACGGATGACGAGGACGGGGGATGCCAAGTGATGGCAAAAGCTCAACGTTCCGAAATGAACGGTGAGCTAAAAAGTCTAAAATAAACAATTAACAATGCATAGACTCGATAATATGCATCAACAATTCGTGTGCATTTTTGTCTAGACGACATCTAATCAACCATCAAGATGTCTTCCGAAGACTGCCGACGTTCATATAACCCGATATAAACATAAATATAAATATAAACAGATAGCGACCACGTGCAATTGGAATATTCTTGGTCTGTTTGATTTCATATTGTAGGTTAATAAGTATGTTCATCACCGTTTTTACCTGTATAAGAATGATTTTTTGTGGATAGAATTAGTCAACCAAATGGTTCATCCTTGTTTCACTTTCAATGTTGACATTCTTTTCCTTTTAATAGCTGAATACATGTGTAACCCATCTCCAGCTAGGGGGTTAAATTGGAGGTCACATGAAAACCGATTCAATGAGGTCAAATTATTCACTATGTTTCTTAGCTTATTTTGACAAAATTGAACCAAATGGGTTGCTAAAAGCTAATTATTATTTCATTATATCCCTTTCACAAATGATTGAAAAGAAATCATATTTTAATTTTTTGCACATCTCGTAGCTAATGCCCCTTTAAAACCAATGCTTTTCCTATGTCTTTAATGAAATGAATATCAAGATTTTCCTCCAATACACCATGGATATGACTATTTGAGGACTCAAAATCAAGTAAATTTCACCCAAATAGGGAATTAAAAATTGCAAAAAAGGAAAAAAGGTGATAAGGCTTCTTAGTGACCGGTGATTAGTTTGGATAAGAATTCACATTCTTAAGTGAAAGACTTCCCAATGCTCAATTGATATTTTTCTATTCAGAGGGGTTCATTTATCCCGTATACATAATCTTGTATTTGTAAACCCAAAGATTAAGAGGTTATCTGTATAAATAAAAGGCAATGTTGGTTATAAAATGAGACAGGAACTCATTGATATAATTAACCAAAAAACATCTGTTGTCACATATGTATAGGGTATTTTTAGTTACGAGACAACTAGGTAATCTGGAATTTCCAGTACATGAATATCCAAAAGAAAGACTGACTCAATTATAACATCAACCCCACTTTTTGAATACCAATAAGATTTAACTGTGACAGTTTAAAAGAGTGTTAGACTATTGGACTAATTATAAAAGTGCGTGACCTTTAGAATACAACAATTCAATCAACAAAACATACCTTGCAAAACTACTTGTAGTGAAAATATCTTCACACAGATCTTGAGGATAATATATATGTATGTCATCGGTTGAACGTTTTCTTCTCTTTCCAAAAGCAGACAGAAAGGGTGGGATAGAGATGGATACAGGTGCAGACACATAGGGTATGGGTGCATCTGATAAACTCTCAACACCACCACTGAAAGGGGTTACTGGATTTCTCAATACAATTCCACTTTTTTCAGCAGTCCATGTACCATCTACAAGTAATGATTGACAGTGTCTTATTCTATAAGGATGTCAAATTTAAATGAATGAAATCAAAATCTACAACTACAAAACAATTTTTCTAATCTCTAATAGTCCTCTTATTTAAGCCAGGTGTTACCTGTGAAAGAGGATTAAGTCCATATTATTTTATAAACAAATTTGAGGGAAATAGTATGTTTGACAACATGCCAGCCTTCATCAACAGAGGGAATGAGCAAGTGCAACTGTTGTGTTTAGATTTTGGACTCCCTAATGTATTGGTTTTTCTTTTTATTGATTTTCTTAGTGTTTTTAAGACTCAACTATTCATATTTATATATAAAAGAACTTTTTTTAAAAATTCTTTATTGTTCTTATAGCTTTTGAGATTGATGCATGACTTTTCATCCATTTTTTCTCTTTTTTTTTGGCAATATGATAGAATTCCTTACATGTAGACCACATGAAGAAAATAATTGATTGCTTTACCTTGCTCTTCGTTGAATGTCCACAATGAAGCTAGACCCTGATCATCAACACTGTAGGTTCTGCTCCAGTGGGACTTTATCTCCATCAAACCTAAATACCTGTTCAATTAAAAATTAACATTAATTATATAGTACATAATAATTCTTTAAGGCAAATAAATAGTTAAACTCAGCATTTACAGGCTTCCATCTTTGTTTTTATGTCAGTGTCAAAACTTTCCACTATTTTGTGCAATATTATTGAGCAATCTGGCCTTTAACATGTAATTTCATCCCCATACATTGGGAAAGTGTATGAAAAAAATTTGCAAGTTATACACTGTTTACACTAGGGACTATATTCGTAGACAACGAAAAACCAAAGGACGATAACTGTGTTCTCGGACCTAATAGAATACAAAGTCTTGACCAAATCTAATGAAACTTTGCATGAACAAAGCTTAGGAAATTATAAGATAGTTGGCCAAGTTTCATGGCCATAGGATATATATTATAGAAACTAGAGCCATTCTAATATAAAATTTGGATGTTTTTATTTTGACGTTTAAATCAAATAATTTCAACTATCAAGATTTGGGCCTAAAAAATTTAAATATTGCAAAAATTTGCTTTTTAAACGCCCTTAGATATAACATATTAAGTATTAAAAGCAACTGAACACTCATTTGATTTATCAGATTTAAGGGGACATTGAATGCGAATCTTTAATCAGCCAATCATTCTGAGTGAAACACTTTGATAACAAGTTTCTTCCACAAGCATAAATTAATGCAATTGAATCAAAATGTTGCTTGTTATAATGATTTAATGTTTTATCAACTTGTAATGTATTATATAAAATATGAATAAAACAATGAAACTTCAATGTTTTGCTAAGTTGAGGAATGTTTATAAATAGGTTGTTGTATAAAATCGGAATAAAATCAGGAAATTATATAGATTTGAAAACATCAAATTTGACCATGTTCAGAAATACTAGTTTAGTTGATCTAAAAATCATTTTAATAATCTAAAGTAAAAAATACTGGAACTTTTGAAGGGAAAATAAGATTTGGTGTTAAGGGGGGGCAGAACCTTTTTCCGGACGTCAGGATCGGCCATTTTTAAATCGGGAAATTAGGACGCCTACAATTAAACTCTGGCATTTTGGGAAAAAATGTGAACAAGATTCTCGATTTTCATATTTTAAGCTCCCAAAATCATGATTTTTGCTTGTCGGGATGACAATTTTTCCTTTAATTACACCTTATGTAAGAATCCTGGGTTTTGATTGGTTGATAGCCAGTGTATTTTTCACCAATTTACTTTTATCAAATGAATATCGTTCATTTTTAAACAGCACCGGGGTATATGCAAAAAGGATATGCCTTTTTTACCCTCTCTGCCGTGGTATTTGCCAAAAAATACTCTATCCGACTGGACGCTTGTAATGTCACGATCATCAATGCGTTTTATGTCACGATCATCAATGCGTTTTGTACGTTAACATTCGGTGTAATTAAACAGATATAGCATGTTCTTGAGGGGTATTTGCGAAAAATACCAGTCTTGAGAATGAATTTCCCTCGCCTTACGGCTCGCGAAATTTAACATTCTCTCGACTGGTATTTTTCGCAAATACCCCTCCTTAACATGATATATCTGTTCAAAATTCTTCTTAATATGTGTATTAAGTGTATAATTCGTGCAGAAAAATAATGCAATTGAACTTAAGTTACCTGAACAGAGAGCTTAGTTATTTACACATTTCATCGGTAAACAGGAAAAATAGGTCAATATTTAGAGTTATCTCACATAATCTGTTCTAGATCTATATAACCTGACCAAGGATTTGTATAGTATAGGATTTGTGAAGAGAAAAAACTGATTTGATACATTTCACTTTCGTACAAATATAACACACTGAAATACATTTTCAGCTCAAATTTGTGCTAGGGGCATTCTTGGAACTTAAGATCTTAGTCAAATTTAAGGTTTAAGGACAGCACAAACATCTTTACATACTTGGATTCCAGTCAAGGTCAAGGTCATGTGCATTGTATTCATTCTTATTCATGGAGTGCATATAATGCGCCCTGCTGGATTCATTTTCAATAGGAACGCTATTAACCATAATTTTGGAAAGCCAAATAAATCATAAACAAGGAAAATGTGTCCACAGTACACAGATGTCCCATTCGCACTATTATTTTCCATGTTCAGCGAACCATGAAATTTGGGTCAAAATCCTTATTTGATATACAGTTTAGGCAGATCATATCACAATGAACATTTGTACTTAGTTTCAAGTTGATGCGACTTATTCTTCCTCATAAACTACCTTGAACAAAATGTGAATGTACTTTTTATACAATATCACATTTCTAAGTTCAGTAAACCATGCGATCGGGGTCAAAACCTTAATTTAGCATACAAGTTAGAAAAATAATATCATAAGGAACATGTGTACGATGTTTCAAGTTGATGTGACTTCTACATCATCATAAACTACCTTGACCAAAAACTTTAACATGATCCGGGACGGACAGTCGGACGCACAGACCAGAATATGTAATGCCTGCCTACTATCGAAGGTGGGCATACAAACTATGTAGCAATAAATCTAACAAACAAATATTAAACAAGTAAATTCCATTTTGATTAAGAGAGTCAGAACCTTTTTTGATTTTTATCTTGACTAATTCCAGAATTTATCGACAAAAAAATTATACCCCAAGGACAACATGTATCAGTCCTTCTGGCTGGCGGGCGGTCGGCTGCCAAACAGTGTCTGTTTATTAACATGAAAACGCTTTGATGAAATCTTTTCAAAATTAGGGAGCAACTATCTAACTTCAAGCGGGGGTTATGGTTTTTTGTCTGAGTCAGAAAAAAATTTTCACACACAGCGCGAACATTTTTTTTTAGTTTTTTGACGCTATCAATCAAATTATTCTTTTCAAAATTTAACACTCTAAGGAATGGGGGTATCTGGATTCAGAATATATATTTTTTTGTCATCTGCTTGACCATAATTTTTTTTTTCGTCAAATTAAGGATCAGAATATTTTTTTAGGAAAAAACCATATGTAGTCTGGACTAAATGTAAAGGAAATACCCGTAAAAGTTTATGCCATATTTATGTGGAAAAAAGGAAAATGTTTGACAAAAGTGTTGCAGGAGGAACTGATGAACACTGCGAGCAACCCAAAAGAATTTTGGCGAAAGATCGGCAAAATCGGTGTGGGAAATGAGCGTCAAAACAATATACCAATGGAAGTAAAATTAAGTGATGATTCCTTATGTAACAATCAAAATGTAGTAATAGATACATGGAAGAATAATTTTTGTGATATGTTAAACTAAAATCATAGTAATATTAGCTTAAATTCAAACCAGGTTATTTTTGATAAGTTTTTAGATAATGTAATTACAATAGATGAGGTTTATAATGTTTTGAATTTATCTAAAAATGGCAAATCCCCTGAGATATTCAAGTTGATTTGTTTAAAAATAATACTGCTTTGAACGCATTGACACATATTTTTAATATTTGTTATGATTCTGGTAAAATTCCATCTTTGTGGAGTAAGGGTATGATAACGCCAATTCCAAAGTCGTCCACTTCTGACCAACATGATCCTATGTCATACAGGGGAATAACTTTAGCCCCGTCATCATATGAACTTTATTGTGGAGTACTTAATGCTAGACTTACTAGTAAGCTTGATGATTTAGACTGTTTAAATGATGAACAGAATGGTTTTAGAAAAGACTGTAGCACTACTGATCATTTGTATACATTAACAACTATAATTGAAAGCAGATAATTAAGAAAGCTTTCAACTTTTTGTGCATTTATAGACTTTAAAAAAGCCTATGATTGGGATAATAGAGGCTTATTGTTCACTAAACTTGAGTCATTAGGTATAAGTTCGAAAATGTTAAAAGCGTTACATGCTATTTATAAGAATGTACAGTCATGTGTTAAAATAAATGGCCATCTGACAGAATGGTTCAATGTAAATTCAGGATTAAAGCAAGGGTGCATTTTATCACCTTTTTTGTTCAATATTTTTATTAATGATCTTATTGATGACGATATTATTTCTGTACTTGTATATATATATATATATATGCAGATGACATTGTATTTATGTGTGATAATGAAAAAGATTTACAAAAAATATTAGACATTTTAAGTCAGTGGTGTAACACTAATGATCTTGTTGTAAATTTATGCAAGTCAAAGATTGTTCATTTTAGACCCCAGTCAGTACAAAGAACAAAGTTTCAATTTATGTTTAATGATCATAGCATAGATATTGTAGAAAAATATACTTATCTGGGACTAGTGTTAAATGAATATTTGAATTATATAGATATGGCAAAAGCTGTTGCTAAGTCTGCCAGTAGGGCATTAGGTTTGTTAATTGCCAAAAGTAAAGCTAACGGTGGTTTTGAGTTTTCAATTTTTACAAAACTTTTTGATACACTGGTTATGTCAGTTATTGAATATGGTGCCTCAATATGGGGAGCTAGGGAATTTACATGTATTAATGCAATTAAAAATAGAGCCATGCGATTTTTTATGGGTGTTGGAAAATATACCCCAAATTTATCTTTATATGGAGATACGGGCTGGATGCCATGTATAATTAAACAATGGTCATGTATTTTTAGAAATTGGTCAAGATTTTTGAAAATGAATAATACCAGACTAAATAAAAAAGTGTTCTTATGGGCAAATAGAATATGTAACAGTAAAATTAAAAACTGGAATTTTAGACTTCATAGTAAATTTAGAGAACTTAATATTGAAAATTTTTGTAATATAAACTGTGCTTTTAATAAAAATGATATTAAAAATATTGAGAATAATGTTTTTGATATGTACAAGAGAAAATGGTGTAATGATTTAAACACAAATGATCGCAGTAAATTGCGTACTTATAGGTTGTTTAAACAAGAATATCATAAAGAAAATTATTTAAGTGTTCATATGCCACGAAAATATAAAAGCGCCTTTGCTAAATTTCAATGTGGTGTGGCGCCAATAAGAATTGAAACAGGCAAATATGAAGGTTTTTTTTGTGAAAATAGATTTTGTTTTAATGACTCATGTATCCAACAGAAACTCATTGAAGATGAGAAACATGTTTTACTCAAATGCCCTTTATATTCACATGCAAGACAAGAGCTTTTTACTAGAGCAGTTTCTTTTAATAGTGGTTTTTTAGACTTAATTGATAATGAAAAATTTATATTCTTATTTTACAAATGAAAATTTGTGCTTTTATTCTGCCAAAATCTGCCATGATATTTTAATTCAAAGGAAGAATGTTTTATATAGATAAAAAAAAAAGAAGTGTTTTTTATTTTTATCGATTTGTATAAAAATATTTGATTTGATTTGATTTGATGTTAATCTGTCGGTTACGGCTTACCGCTGTTACAAAATACAAACTTCGTTCATTACACACATTGCTACAAAGGTCATCCAGTTTCTTCAAGAGGGTCACCATGTCTTGCTAACTAACAGTTTTATAGCAATCGATATTCAAAAGACATGTAATCCCATGGAAAAAAGTATGATTGACCTGTTTTTCTGAGGTTAGAGGCCATGTTTATCATTTCAGGATTATTCTTTTGTTGTGATCCGGGATTTCAATGTTTAAAGATCAGGATTTCGGGATTAGGGCAAATTGAGTTCGGGATTTCGGGATCAGAACCCCTTCTGCCCCCCTCTTAATAGGACTTCTTATGGGATGTCTTCAGATCTTACATGAGCAACATACAAATCTCAAGTAGCAAAGTGAAAGATCAGATTTTAATAAGATTGACTATCAAGAAAACAAGAAATCAATTTTCCTTTTCATTACTTGAAATAATTGATATCCATAAAACAATACCCCTAAAGGTACTGTTTTTTTAAAATATTTTTCAAAAAATGATATAAATATATTAAATTATGAACCCCACATTTCCTGAAAATATATGTAGTTATTCATATTTTTTAAAGTGAATTATGCATGTCTTTACATTTAACTCTCTTCTAGAAAAATTTAAGATAATAACATTTTTAGCCATCTTATCTTTTTTATACCTTCAGAAATTAATAAATGTTACTGGAAATTTGCAATTGGATACAAGAATATTTAAATTCAAAATAAAAATCCTTAATTCTACTATCTTATTTCTTCCTTTAATATTCTATACCTATAGATGGTTTCCAATGATGTAATCGGTTTGGAATTATTTTCCTTGCTCTCTATAATAGAGGGCAAACTACTTATTTGACAAACCAAATTTATACATGTAGAACAAGGAAGTCTGATAAAACATCCTTACATAAAATCCTAGTAATAAATTATACAAGCAAATATCGATTTTTTAGAAAATTATATTTTGGAGTCTAGCAGTCAGTTAAACAGGTTGAATTTCTTTGATTTATGAAATAATTTGTCCTCTTTGGACTTAAACATAGCTGCAAAGGGAAACAACTCTAACTCAAATTGCATGGATGAAAAACTATCTATTGAATATATCCATTTAACCCTTTCAAAGGGTGACATAGTAAGTATAATGTTAAACCTGTGTGTAAACGTAAATGTTAGAAAAAGAGAATGGCAAGTATAAAACATATTGGTAAAAGTCTTAAACCTCCTAGAAATGTAATAAAGTTTTTATGGATGGACATACATTTTTTTTATAAAACACTATGATAACCAGCTGCATAATACTTTTTGAAATAAAATCAGAATTCAAACTTTTGCCAAATGATATACACATGACAATTGTATACTATAAACATTTCAAATTTGGAGGTTGCATCAATATTAATGGATATGATAATGTCTAGAGGCAATGAAACAAATATAACAAGCATTCTGAGAGTATTGCATGGCAATACATAGTCCCCTACTGGTTAAAAATTCATTGTACTGGAACAAAATGCTAACTTGATCTATAACTTGTCATGGTGTAAACTTTATAACAAATATCAAGTCAATATCTTCAAGCATGACGAAAAAAGTGATGAAAACTGATTATTAAAGTGAATTTTCTAGGTCCAAGGACCATAACTCTCCCCAAAAACATCAGACCGGAACAAAATTCGAACTTGATCTGTTACTTGTCATGATAAAAGTGGGACGAAAGATACCAGAGGGACAGTCAAACTCATAGATCGAAAACAAACCGACAACGCCATGGCCAAAAATAAAAAGACAAACAGACAAATAATAGTACAGATGACACAACATAGAAAACTAAAGACTAAGCAACACGAACCCCACCAAAAACTGGGGGTGATCTCAGGTGCTCCGGAAGGGTGAGCAGATCCTGCTCCACATGTGGCACCCTTCGTTATTACAAATCCGGTAAATAGTCTAGTTCGTTAAGTCACATTCGTGAAATGGGAAGGGTATTGTAGTTACGACATAAGGAAGATATCCGATATCATCTGTGAAACGGTTATTCCATAACGGTCAACCAACTCGTGATGGCGTCCTTAAAATTTACGAAGGGATGATTTCAACTTCACCATTTGGAACTCTTGGCTTAATAGCGTCCTTGTGAGCAGCAATCCTCTATCAAGGAAATCATGATAGGAAACACAAGCCCGGGAATATCGTATCAATTGGGAGATATATACTCCGTATGCAGGCGCTGCTGGAATGTTGCTACATAGAAATGGAAAGTTCACAATTGGGAAGCTAAAATCATCTCTTTTGTCGTAAAGTTATATACCAATTTTCAAATCAATATCTTCAAGGATGACGAAAAAAAGTGTGGAAAACTGATTTGCCGGACTGATGGAATGCAAACCTAAAGTCCCCTTCGACTTCGTCGGTAGATAACTAAAAATAAGAAGATGTGGTACGATTGCCAATGAGACAACTCTCCACAAGAGACCAAATGACACAGAAATTAACAACTATAGGTCACCGTACAGCCTTCAAAACAATTCAAACGAGAAAACTAACGTCCTGATTTATGTACAAAATAATGAACTAAAAACAAATATGATATACAAAGATTCTTCCAATCAGTATTTATTCCTTAACCAATAAAAATAGGGATAAAAAAAATGAAAGAGCAAAAGGGGAAATTTGTTGTAGAAGATCATCACTAGAAAGTCAATACATGTATTTTTTACATACATGCATGTACAGAGAGATAGATAAATAAAAAAATATAATACAAGGAACACAAAAAATTAATGTTGTAATATAAATAACTCACCTTTCCCATATCCTTAGTTCATCAATACATCCTTCAAATCCTTCACTGATTGGTTGGTCTTCAGAGCCATCTGGTGGCGGTTGCCATTTTCCAAGGGCAAGTCTTCCTTTTCCACTGAAAGGATTTGTACCATCAAGTTCAATCAGATCTCTTGTATAGGCTCCATTGCTATCAAATACATATACATCAAGATAATTATTTCCATCATAAACTAAAGCAATCTGGCTCCATTTGTTATCCTCCAGACTAAGATCAGGTTCATATTTCATATCCCCATATGTAATCACAACTTTTCCATAATAGTTTTTGATAGCAAATGTTTTTTCACTTGTATAAGATAGGATTGTTCCATAGCATTTTGCATCATGACAAGTCTTGACAAAGAATTCAATGGAGACATACTGGCTGTTGAAAATCTGCACATTTTCAGTGATCATAGAAGCATCATTATTACAGACAGTATTACCTGGTCCGATACCTGCCACCAATGTTTCATCAATACCCTCACTTTCTACTATAGAGCCTCCTGGTATTATTTTATTAGGGTCAAATATAACACCAACTTCTGCAACTTTCATTGTTGTTGTTTCCATTGTTGTTGTTGTTGATAGTGTTGTCTGTGTTGTGCCAGTTGTTGTGGTTGCCAATGGTGTTGTTTGAGTTGTTGTTGTAAGATCCATGGAACATGGAAGGTTGTGACTAAATGAAGAACAGTCCATACAACCTCCACAAATTCCACCAATTGGTGGTGAGCTGCAACAGTAATCTGTTCCAAGTTTAATTCTTGCAACAGCAATATATTTTGTGTAGAAACTATGGCGTCTGATACGAACAACAAAGCCTAATGGGTTGACAACAAGTCGAATGACAAATTCTTCTGGTCTGTGGATCACAAACTTACATCCACCTTCAATACTAATACGTTTTCTATGTTCCACAGTTACATTGACTTCTTCACCATCTACCCAGACAGAATCATTATTGGACATATAGACAACTGTAGTTTGATGAACTTTAACTGACACTGAATCCATGCAAACTGACTGCCTCTTTCTCCACTGACATGATACTTGACGGACCTGAACAAAAATATGTTTATTTTACTGGACTCAAAAAATATTGCTTTATATAATATATATTAATTTGCTATAGACAACATAAATTTGATGATAAAAGAAATAACTTGAAACAGAACTTTCTTGAGTTCAAATATTAATGCAAAAATATCCTACAGGATGAACATCTGGATTTGTTTTTTTATTTAGAACTAATATTGTTAAAAATATATGGTTGTGTAGGATTCCAAATATGAAATGCATGCACCATCAAATCCAAATTCAAATATCTTGGGTAACTTTGAATTATCCTTTCTAAAAACTAAGTAAATAAAAAATATTTAGGTCCAAATTCACAGACTTAAATAGGAATACATGAAATATATCAAATAATATATCAACTACTAGAATTAGTTAATGATTATTGTCATCACATTCCTGACCTTGTACAGTCATTGTCTAGTGTAAGGTACTGAGTTCATTAAATAAGTTTAATGGCACAAAATTCCAACATGTTTGGCAGTTTTAAAGGCTTATTAGGCCACACCAATTTGATTTTTAGTTCTTCGGACAAAAGCTCAAAAAAATATGGGGTGAGCGAGCGAAATTTTTTTGATTGTATTTATTTCTTGAAAATGAGTTTTGTTGAGGCGGGTGCTCTACAAGTGGTGCGAGCGGTATAATTTTTTTTTTAAATTGTGCGATTTAGAATATTTGTACATGTTAAAACTGGGTTACTTCAAAGAAAAAGGAGGATAAACATGCTCTTATGCATATTAGTTGATGTATTTGTGCCTGTAGTACAGTCTGTACCATACCCAACTTTTTGGTTCGCTTTGGTTAAGTATAATTTTGATTATTTTCGTCAAATAAGCTTTGACTGCGTGAATTTTCATTTAAATTCATACATGTGTATATATTAAGGAAGCATATCAGATGCAGTTAAGAAAGAGGAATTATGTTAGTTAGGTAAATGAAATGTGTTGAATACAATTAAAATATGTGTATGTATTCCAAAAAAATGCCCATGAAAAATATTAAACATCTTTTGAAATAGTTGTTTTCATTATATGGTAATGATTGTTTATTGGCTGCTTGACATCCAGTTGGAACTATTTATCCATAATAGGATCAACATAATGAATGAGGTGAATATTTCAACAACATCCTGAGTAAGATAATTATATTGCTATGCATGCAGATCTCAATGTATTAAAACATTTAATCCCGCTGCAAATGTTTGCACCTGTCCTAAGTCAGGAATCTGATGTATAGTAGTTGTCGTCTGTTTATGTAGTTCATACGTGTTTCTCGTTTCTTGTTGTTATATAGATAAGACAGCTGGTTTTCCTGTTTGAATGGTTTTACACTAGTAATATTTGGGGCCCTTTATAGCTTGCTGTTCAGTGTGAGCCAAGGCTCCCTGTTGAAGGCCGTACCTTGACCTATAATGGTTTACTTTTATAAATTGTTACTTGGATGGAGAGTTGTCTCATTGGCACTCATACCACACCTTCCTATATCTATTCCCTTAAAATACATTTAACCACATTCACATGCATTATTCTGACTTAGCAAAATACTTTTTCCTTTTGCCCCTGAAACCTGCAATGTATTTCGAACTGGAAGTGGTTGCACCAATAACACATCCCTAATTATTATTAGCATGCTAATCCCAATACCACCACTTTGAATGTTGGAACTCTTAAAAATTTTCCCTTACACAAGAGTTCTGATTGCATGTCAATAGACGAACAAGGGGATATGGAGTTTTCATTAAATTAAGATAAATCTGTCATTTTTCAAAAATTCATGTGAATTTAATATTAATTTCATCCAAGACAGATATATCTATGTCTGTTGTAGTCCAGATTACTCTGACATCCAATGGCTGTTTTGCCAGACAAGCTGGGGCCGTTGGACAACAGCCCCCCATCTAGTCTGGCAAACAGCTGTTGGACTTCGGAGTAATCTCGGACTATGTCTGTTGAAACAATGATCGGGGATGACAATGGTTCTAACAAGTACTGATGTGATCGTGGTCATCTAACAAAAGATTTTTTATTTTTGTCTCCTAGAACAGGTTAAACGAAATGCATTTCAAATAACTGTGTGTTTAATAACTACGTGTCCTCGGCAATGATGATCAATGATCTGACACAACTTCATGTTGGCATCCCGATTTATGACCTTTTATTTACAAATCGATTTATCACACGTGCGTTTGAATCGCTCAGAGCAATATATGCACAAGAAAAACGTCTTAGAGAAAAAAAAATGTCAAGGATAAACTAATTTTGGAGCGGCATGCGGCCCAAAAATTGGCGGAAGCGGTAATTATTTTTTTTTATTGAAAAGTCAATTTCTCCAAAACAGGAGCGGGAAAATCCAAAGAACTATTAATCAAATTGGTGTGGCCTTAGTTAAAGTTTTTTTTTATAACTAAGATCAAGAATTACGATAGGGACCATTTATGAATTATAAATAAAATAAAATACTGAAAATAATGTAGATAAATAAATAAGAATCTTACCTCTACTCTCAGATTATTCATCTCTAACATTCTGTAATTTCCAGGTTCTGCATAAGTCATTCCATGTCCTGTAAAATTTAAGTATGCTCCATGTTTACGTGCAAGACATCCCATTGGTGCATTTGGTGGTAGCTCTGGTTCCTGGATATCACAGTTGGTTCCAGTAAACCCGGAAGTACATAATCCACAGTTGGAATCTCCTTGCCAGTTAACTTGACAAGCACACTCTCCTGTACCTATCTGGCATGTTCCATGTCCGTTACATGGGTTTGTGGCACCTCCAGGACATTCCTTGTCACAGTTTGTTCCCCAGTAACCATTATTACATTCACAGAAAGATGTCTCCAGATTGAACTTTCCAAATATACATTTTGCCGTACATTCTAAACCCTTCCAGATAGGGAATTGTCTTGAAGAGAAGTCATTACATAAATTTTGGTAAGGTGACGATACAAGTCCCGATTCTACTTCACATATAGAGCTAAATGCTATTGTGCTGTCCATACTGAAGTCCAAGTTACCTGTGAGTGATACATCTTCTATACAAGCCATCATGTAAAATGATGAACTCACCGAGAATGAACCACATTGGCTTGTAAATGCATTGCTCTGAATGAGTCCTTTACATTTTTCAGTATAAGTAGTTTCTGGTATCCCAATGTTGATTTCTATTGTTGGTTTTATTGTTCTGGTATCTGGTAGGTCAGGTATGGACACCCATGCTACACCAGTATCTGATATGATCACAGGGTAGTTATTTACAATATCCAAAGTTGTCTTGCCATATCCAGTTTCAAAGTTCCATCCAGCAACAAGACCTGTTGTAACATGGGTTATACTGGTCTTCCAGTGTATAAAGATCTGTGTCTGAATGCATGGTCTGTTCCATACTAATACTCTGTCCAGTGTACCAACGAATGTTCCTGGTGGTATTGATCCTCCTCCCTCGATAGGAGGCTGCCAGTCACCAATGACTAATGTACCTCTTTTTGACAATGCTTCTAATCCAATAAAGACTGAAGTGAACACACTGACCTCTACATCATAGGTATAATGGAATGTGATCCATCCTGTTAAACTGTTGTATACCAATGAGATTTGTGACCACTGACCTAGCTGCACAGATATTCCTGTTGGTACTACATAGGACCCTAAAGAAACCAAAAATCTTCCATTTACAATACAGACAGCAAACGTTCTTCTCCAACTGTAGGAAAGTACTGTGCCTCCATCACCATTTACATCCAGGCTAGTTATTTTTAATCTTGTTTCAATAGTGGTCGATTCTCCTATAAAACTTTCTGGGAAAGGTACCGTTTGTATCCATCCTTTAGTGATGTCTAGACCTATAGATGGTGTGTATGTTGATTTCGCTTCTCTAAATATACTATTGCTGTATGTTTTATGCCATACACCAATGAAGTCTGTGATCGAGGCACTTGGAATGACATGATCTGTACAAACCTTGGCTAAGCCTTCATACTGAATAAGGCAAGCATAGTTCCCTGGAGTGCAGCTGTGGGATCTGATACTACAAGGACCTACAAGACCCTCTGATGAGGAGCAATAGGTATGTGAAACTGACAATTGTACATTTAAATAGTCTTCTTGCACATATATAACTAATTCAAATCCTGATTTGTAAATTTTATAAACATGATTATCTAATGGTCCAATTTGAAAACCATTGCCAATATCCACTACTGTACTCAGAGAGTTAACCTGACCATTGATCTCTACATGTCCACCATTAATTGTACTGATGGTAACAATCTTAGCATCTATTTTAATTGCGATTTCTTTGACAGCAGTATGGAAAAATCTGCTTGGTCCTGTCTGGATCTGAACACTTATACTGTTATAATGGTAGAATGTATAAATATCATGCTCTTGGAATCTAAAGCTGGCCCCATCAACTGTTGTTATATGTCCATCCCCAGATATACCACCCAAGAAGTTCTTTGCACCAGCTGGAGTTGATTGTACTGAAACTGAGCAATCTTCTCCTGACCAGCCAGGAGCACATGAGGTGCAATTTGGTGCAGCCCAATTCATCTGACATTGACAATCTCCAGTAGCTTGGCTACATTCACCATGTCCACCACAAATATTCAATGTTCCACCATTGCATAGTTTGTTGCAGGACAATCCCCAGTATCCAGTTTCACATGTACAAGTTGTTGGATTAATGGATTCATGGAAGTCACATTTCTGTGTGCAGTCAGAACCAACCCATCCAGGGAAAATCAATGTTTTGAAATCATTACAGAAGACAGAGCCAGGCCATGATGTTAACCATCCTGATGAAATATAAAGGTCAGAGAGACCAACCACAACAGATAATCCCATGTCTAGGTTATTCGCTCCAGCCATATCACTGGTGCAGGCAGCAAAGTAGAAACTCAGAACACCTACACTTGGTCCATTAGTTGTTCCCAGAACAGATCCATATATCAAATTAGTGCATTTTGAGTCAGCTCTCTGTTGTTGTGTAAGATCTTTATATGTGTGGAAATATGGAACAGTTGGTGGATTTAATGGTAAACTGGATATTCTCCATCTAATTTTCTGTCTAAGTATACCATAGTCTACAACTTGTATGTGATGTTCTCTAACCAGATCGTAAATAACTGAAGATCCATAGTCATCAAATTTCCAGTAAGTTACCAGTGAATTTTCTGTAATAACTACTCTTTGCATTTGGTATTTTAGTATGTCGTTGTATGATAAAGCCTTCTGCCATACCCTGACTTCATCCATGTCTCCTGTGAAGTACTGGTGATGAGGTTCTGTTTCTGTAGGAAGGGGTGGTTGTGGTGGATGTCCGAAACCAAAGTAGCCATAGGCAATAAACATATCTTGACTAACCACAGTAAATGAAACATATTCAAATGATCCATCCTCTTTGTAGACATAAACCACCATTTGGGATGCCACATTGTGCCATACGAGGCTCATGTGGTGCCACTGTTCAATTGTGGCATTTATTTTAGTATCATATATATTCTGATCAATTTTTAACTTCAGAGTAACATCTAGATAAACAATAAAGGAAAGCTTGGTATTATAAGTAAGTATTACTCCTGTATCACCACCTGGTCGGAAGGATAATTCTATGGAGAAGTCTATACTACTGATAATTATATCTGGTAAAAAGTCAGTAGTAAGTAGTGAGTTATTGAAGTAGATAAACAATCCAGCTGTTGATACTGATCGCTTCTCCATAAGTTCATTGTTTGTAAATATTACAGTAAACAAACTGTGGACTTCTTCGACAACCCATGTGGCTGAGTAGGTCTGGACATTTGTAGTAGTAGGATCACAGGGTCCACACAGGTAATCCTGAGTTTTACAGAATGGTGTCTCTGTTTTGATAAGGACATTTAGTTGTTGGTCCAGTGATCTAACATTCACCATTAAATTGCTGCCTGATTTGGTCGTTATTTCAAACTCTGACTTGGTTGGATGTTTCAGTATCACATCAGGGAGATCTTTTTCGACTTGACCATCAAAAACAAATGATTGACCATCTATCCATACTAATGTATCTTGGTTATCATGGTATCTTGCTCTTATAACAATGGTGTTGCTCTTGTACTGGATAGCTACTGCTGTAGTACATATAGATTCTTCGTAACAATAAGTGTTTCTAACCTGTACTTCTGGGTATATGTTGGTATCTGAGGATTTTAGTATGTAGTATTCTCCTACATGTATAAAGTTGAACTGTAGTTGGTTGAATGTCCTCAAATGGCCATGCCCAAAGAGTGAACATGTATGGTTTTGCAAAAGTGGGGAACCAGTAGGTAGAGTGACATCTGGTGGTATGACATCACAATCAGTTCCAGTCCATGGTGCCAAACATGTTTTACAGTCTGTGTTGTTGCTAAATGATGGATAACAGTAACATTGACCAGTTTCTTTGATACATAGACCATTGTCACTACATGGTGAAAGAGTGCCTCCAGTACATACTTGACTACAGTCTGTGTCCCAATATCCTTTGTCACATTCACAATTCATTTCTGTGTTTAGTTTTCCGAACTTACAAAGATGTGAACACAGAAGCGTAAAATATGGATTGGTAATATCTGTACAGATAGCTCCTCTGGGTGATGTTGGTGGATTGACAATTATTTCACAGTATTCTATGTAGGAAACCAGACTATAGATATAGCCAAGCTCATCTGAGGAAGAAATCATGTCTGTTACACAAGATTTATAGTAAAATTGTAAAACAGCTTCACCAAGTTGACCACAGACTGAAGGAATGGTAGACTCCATGAAATACTCTCTACATTTCCTCTCACTTACAACTTTCAATGTCTCATTTTCTGGAGTAGATGGAGGATTTCCATCAGTAACCAAATCAGATGGCCACCAATACACATCTTCCGATGGTAAAATTAGCTGATAATTGTTTATAATGTCAAGTGCAACATAACTGTATCCTTTTGAAAATATCCACAATGAAGTCAAGTCTGTAAACTGCTTTGTCAGTAATGTTTTTGATGTATACATAATCCGGTAAATATCTAAAGCAGTCTTCCATGTCTGGATTTCAGCTATTCTCCCATTAAAGTGTTGGAACACAACTGGAGCATTATCTTTCCAATCAGCAACCTTGAAGATTCCTCCTGTTAACAAGGCAGTAGTCTGTACAGTTAGTTGTTTCCACCATTGCATGCCACTGTTGGTGAGGATGTAGAATATCAGATTGTTGGTTGAGTGTGTATAAGTCAGTGATACCTGATACCATACACCAATCTGTGCTGTATAGTCTGTATCAATTTTCACATTACCCCAAAGAATGTGAACTGTTCCGTTGAGATATATACTGACTGAGGTCTGCTTGTAGTATGCTAGGATGAGGCCTGTAGCAGAATTGGCTGCAAATTTCACTTGTATTGTTGCATCACCATTGGTACCAAACACATTCTCTAGCTGTGAAGTATATGCTCCAGCTCCATTGAAAGCCAAGACAAAAGTATTTCCATTGGTATTCTGAGGCTTAGTAAGTCCATCAAATTCATACTTAAATCCAGATCCTACATTAGTTCCCATTCTCCAATAATCAGCATAGTTTGTATTGATGGTATGTTGAGTGATATCAGTCATGGACACTGCTGATCCAGAGCTGATGAAAAAGTCATTGTCTTTATTGTAGTCACATGTTCCACAAAGCCCTGACATTCCTGTAGTACACTGAGTTAATTTAGCAAACACTTCCAGGAATAAGCTGTGGTAGTTGATTGTCAGGATATTGGATCCATACTCCACATTAATTGAAGTCTGACCATTCTGGACAATTCTGACTGTGGAAGTCAGATTATACTTGTTGTCAAGGATGATTGGCTGACTGTTGTGCAAGAGTAGAATTCCATCCTGTCCAGGTACAGATGATACCACAGTCAGATTTTGACGTTGTGCTTGTATCCATACTTGTTTTACACACACTGCACCATTTTCTCCACAGGGAAGTTGTCTTACATAAGCAAAAAGTGTTGGATCTTGAATAAATGAGAATTCTCCTGTAGCTGTCATATCAAATGTCTGTCCATCAAACAAAGAGAAGTGACTGTATCCAAATACAGAACATACCTTGGTAGTAACACCAGATGAGGGAATACTAGCAAGACTTACAGAACAATCTGCTCCATACCATCCAGAGGCACATGCTTCACAGTTGCTACCAGCAAAGTTGGACAGACATGAACAGGTTCCATTGTTTGAGAAGCAAGTTCCACCTCCACATGGTAAATCAGCTGAATATGGGCAGATACTTTGACAGTAAGATCCCCAGAATCCATCATCACAGTTACATGTTGTACTCAATTCGCCAGAAATACAAGGTGTTGAACATAAGCTACCTGACCATCTTGGAAAATGACGTGAAGTGAAGGATCCACACCATGTTCTAGCAGGCCATGTGACTAGATCACGGTTCAGTGAACAATGGTCAGACAATGTAATGATTGGTTCCATGGTCCAGTCTTGACTGTTTGTCACCATACTATTGAATATGCATTGTTTGTAAACATAAACTTGGAACTGTGTTCCAAAGTTTGAACATGAATTATTATAAACAGATGACAATACCAAAGATTTACAGAATTCATCTATTTCAGCATCAACATTATTTGGATTTGTGAAAACCTGGTAAATATTCAAACTTAGTGATGATAATGAGTAGTCCACCAAAGTCCAGGCTGGGTAGTGCCATGGTGATGATATCATCGTAATTTTCAATCCTCCAATGGAATCAGTTAATTGTCTACCATATCCTATGTTGAAATTCCAGAGGTTAGTCAAACCAGTATAAGTATCAGTCATATGTGTGAAGGCATAACTTCTGATTTGATTCAGGGTCAGTTGTTTCTTCCATATTCTGAAGTCATCAAATGTACCAATGAAACCCCAGTTAACACCATCTCTTTTATTGGCAGGATAATTCCATTGACCAATCATGAATGTTCCTCCTGGTCTAAAAGGATTGTGGTCGTTCACATCAAATACATGTACATCTGTGTTGATCTGTAAACCTTCCTGTACAAGATAAAGGCTTATAACTCTTGTATCTAATCTCCATACAATAGCAAAGTGGTACCATGTATCAACATCAACTGTTATTGATGAAAAGGTAATTTTCTTGTCTTGGTAATAAAGAGTTATCTGCCCATTACACACAACTGCTGAGAAGATGTTGTTGTCTTTTTTGTAGGACCATATTGTGTAACAGTTTGGTGATACTATATCTGCTTTAAATTTGATTTCTATTGTAACAACAAATTCTGTGAAAGTGCTAACTGGATCCGTAATAATGTGTGAGTCATTGGTTGACAGACCAAATCCTCCACTATTTTCAACAGGTATCAGTCTTTTGAAAACTGAGTTTGAATCTGACACAAGCCATGATTGACCAAAGTCACTATGTAAGGTGTTGGTACTGAGTGTATCAGTACTTGTCAAAACAACTCCTGTTCTGGTTTTGAAATCGTCTTGATGATTAAGGTTGCAGCTGCTGAGTAAACCAGTACTTGTACCACAGAAGCTGGCCAAAGCTCCAACATGGACATCTAGATGATTTTCATAGACATAGATATCAACTATCAAATCAGATCCTGCACTGACTTGGTACTGGAAGGAGGATATTTGTTTACAGGTCACTCCAGATACAGCTTCAAATCCAGATCCAATCACCACTGTTTCATCATCATACCATGTAGACACAATCTCATCAATGACAGATATTACCAACTTGTGACTGTCAATCTGGATTCCAACAGCAGATGTCCCAACACTGGAATAATATTCAGACATGAAAACTTGTAATACATGGACCTTTATTTGAATTCCTGACAATAACTGTCCAGACACCAGTAGATGTTCTCCAGAATAGTGGTAATTATACACAGATCCATCAAATGTGATGAAGTGACCACTGTGGTAACTTTTTCCAAGGTATTGTCCATTACCAGTATTATCATTGTCAACATAAACAATGGAACAATCTGTACCAAACCATCCTGCCTCACACTGCTGGCAGCTTGTACTCTCTGCAGATCCAGTATGACAAGAACAGGATCCAGTTGTAAAGTCACATACACCATTACCATAGCAAGAATCAGTGGCTCCACCTGGACATGCATTCTGACATTCTGATCCCCAGTATCCCTCATGACATTTACAGAACCCTGTTTTCTCTGTAACAACCACCTGAAATACAGAAAGGTTAATCTAGTTAAAACAAAATGTGTTAAATTGTCAACGCATTTTTAAACCAATATTTGATATCATGAGGAATTCATTTGTAAGTTTTCTAATGATTTCAATTTCCCATTGTCAACTTTCCATTTTTAAAGCAAAATTTCAGCAGCACCTCCATATGGATCGTATATCGCCAAAATCCTCTTCTTTTTTCCTCTTGATTGCGACAGCAATGAATATTGTGACTAAGCCAATTTTAACTAGCCATCAGTATTGGATGCCACAAGTGGAGCAGGAACATATGTAAGTCACCTGTTTTTGGTTGAGTTTGTGTTGCTCAATCTTGTTTTCTGTGTAGTGTTTTGTGCACTATTGCTTTATCATTTCTTTCCCCCTTTTCTTTGATTAATCATTAACTGTCATGAACTTTGTTTATCAGTTTATCTGTAAATATCTGACTTCAATTGTATCCACTAAAATAAAGGATGACCATAAATTTGGAAATCTACAAACAAAAAAAATCAAAAAAATTCAAAATATGAAATCAGTGGTCATTGCAATGTTTCCTGAACTTACCACTAATGGTTCATTTGGACACTTCATTTCTGGTGACAGGTCAGCTGATGCAGATTTGATTGTATTAGCGTAGGATGAGGAGAGGTACCATGTTACTATATCTGTAGATGTCATTGATCTGTAATTAACAAAATATAATTCTATTCTTCAAGTGATCAAAGAAGATTATTCAAAATAATTAAATCTGTAAGTAGATAAATCTAAAATTTATTTACTGGTTGAAAAAATGGATTTTCACAATATAACTTGTCAAAAAAGCAAATAAGTATGTATAGATGTGAAATGAATTAATAATTCATGATGACCAGAAACTAAATCAATGCATGATAAAACTAGCCTTATCCATAACTTTTTTAGACTCTGGATGATAACTTATTGTATAGAAACTACTGTTTATGACCCTATGTTGACCTCCAGATATCGTTCGGTCTTTTTCTGTCATTGAGTTGCTGAATCATTAATGAGTATCATCTTCTTTGATTTATATATGAAATTGATACTATTTGCAGAAAGTAATTTTGTATAACAAAAAAAATAATGTTCTGGATTAATGTAACAGGACAAAAATAATTATGTCTACATAGATAAGAAGATAAATGATACTTATTGAATAATAATAATCTTTATTTCAAGAGGGTATGCTCAATTAGTAAAAACACTATTCTCCCTTGAGGCCCTCACACTCCACTCACAATGCATCACACAATTTCTTCATAACAAAGATAAACATAAGAAAACATAATCAAAATTGATACATAATCATTTAAATAATTCCTGGATTTTCAAGTAAAAACTTAAAGCAGTTTGTTTTAAAAGTATTTATGTTTGACATGTGTCTTAGTGCTTCTGGTAGTTTATTTCATAAAGTTGGGCCAGAATATGAAAAAGATCTTCTAAATGTGTTTGTTCTTGCCTTTGGTATATTAAGTAATTGGGTAGTATTTGATCTAAGTTACATTCCATTTTTATTTGTAACATAGGAGATTTTGTTAGACAAATATTCTGGGACAGATCCATATAAACAGTTATGAACATATAAGGCCTTGTGGTAAATTACACGATCAGTAAATCGAAGCCATGATAACTTTTTAAACATTGTATTAGATGGGGTATCATAAGGAAGTTCAAGAATAATTCTAGCTGCTCGTTTTTGAAGTTTATCTAATCTATTTGTATTTTGGTCACTGGTGTTTCCCCAAATTGTACAACAGTAATCCAAAATAGGGAGAATATGTAATATATCAAATTATAGAAGAAGCCTACTTGACAGAAAATGCATATCCTGTCCATCCTGGCGTAAACTTTGTTGGTGGGTATACAGTAGAACTGGTTTTGGTCACATAATTCTCATATGATGATGTAATGTAAACATTGTGGTCATTAGTGTTGTTGTATCCAAACCAGGCTGTGTAGTTACCATCAGACTCCTCAGTATAACATCTGAAAACTACTTCTATAGCATCAGTTTCTCCTGTGCCATCAAATTTGTCAGAATAGTCACCCTGCCCATTGGAACATGGTATGGTACAATGTCCGGGACCAACATAATCTGTAAAAAAGTAGTTGTTATCTCCCTTTAATGATTAATGAAAAAAAAGCATTTATCATATAAAATCTTTTTTATGTAGAATCATAACGCAAGTTTGTTCTCTGTATGGTATAAGGTTTCCTGGAATGAATGTCACATATATGAAAACAGCATAATTCAAGTGAAATTGTTCAAAACTATTTTAAGGGTGTTATAACTGAAATTGGTTATTATGGAACCCACTTCCCCTAAACATCTGTAAAGGAAATCAACAAAACAAAAGTACCTACCTGGTGTACAAACAGTACAGGATGGCAGATCCCAGCCTGACACACATTGATCACAAGCATCACCTGTCCAGTGTCCATTAGTATCATCATCATAACATTGGCATATGTCTCCACCTAATCAAAATTACAAATTATTGTCACAATATATATGAGGGTTATAATATCATGAATGCTGGCATATGTCTCCACCTAATAAAATTTACCAACTTTTGTAACAATATATATGAGGGTTATAATATCATAAATGCTAACAAGATATTGTCCTTAGTATTAGCTCTTCAAACAGGTGTCAGTAGTTAAATCAAAATCAGGGAAAGCTCAATCTTCATTGCTTTTCATGTTTACAATTATTTTTGACAAAAAATTGCAAATGTGAAGATATACAAAAATGTTTTCGGTATCATAAAGTTTACTGCATGTATTAAGATTTATTCTTGGTTACAAATGTTAAACCATAAACAGAGATTCAACTTAAAGAAATTGCATCACATTCAGACATTTATTCTAACCTAATTCTGTAGGTTCTCCATGTATACACAATACACTGCAAGTAGTGTTGTACCCTATGTAACCAGTCTCACATCTCTCACAGTTGGAACCTTCATAGTGAGTCAGACAACTACTGCAAGAGAGTCCACCAAATCCATGGTCACATAAACAGGCTGGGGCATTAGCTCCATCAGAGAGTAAACACTGACCTGAAACAAAAACTTGTCTTATATCTAACAGCCAAACTAGGCAACCAGCTCACAATGTCAGAAAATCACAAAGAAAAACAATTGATGATAGTTTTACACCTAGACAATAACAATTGTCAGTTTTGGTGCCATTCATTTTTAATCCATTAACCATATCATTCTACTACATCAACTGAATAAAGACACTTGAAATTATCACTGGATTAGAAGTTTATTCATATCAACTAGTTTCACCACATGAGTGGCTTCTTCAGGACGAATACATATTATGAAAAACTTCATGAATATTAAGTTTCTTAGTTTTTTATTAGATGCTTCTTTGGGATCTTGTTCCTTTTCTATGTTGGATGTAGGGTCCTGTATATAAACTTTTACACACTGTTTATTAACCCCAACTTATTTTTTTGGCAAAGAAAGAGAAGCACAGATAAACTGAGCATGCATCAGAAGCATCTATGAAATCAACACTTTAGATATGTCGTTTATGTTGTTTATGTTCTAAGCAGTATCAAATTATCTTTAAACTTAAATTAAATTTGTAACTTGTTCATTCAGAAAATATAAAAGTTTATAGATACCTTAAAATGTGTTGATGCAACTAAATTATAAATGAGAAAGACTAATAAATTCATGTCAGATTTTGGAATTGTCATCAAGGAGAGGGATCGGATCAAAATACAACAATTTCTCAATTTTTTTTGTCAGAAGATCGCCAAGAGTAACGATCACACATATTGGTGTCTAACTATCATTGATCTAAATGTTTTGCAAGAAGTAAAGGCTTATGTACACATATAATACTGCTTTAATTATATGAATATATTATATAACTGTAAAAATATTTTGAAATATGTCTTATGTTTTATTAATGTTCTTTGGTAACTTTTGTACATAATTATAATATATTTTTCAAGGCATATCTTAATTCATACCATTTTCACTACATTTAGGTGTCCCTGGACAAATGAATTCTGAGCAATTTTTTCCTTCAAATCCTCCATTACAAACACAAACTGAGGCATTGTCTTTTCTTGTACACAGACCATAGGTACTACAATCTGGTTCACCTGAAATATTAGAGGTAGAATATATATTTAAGGTGCAAATATCAAGTATATTAAAGGTGGATATGTAAATTGTAATCTTGACAAAACAAGAATGACAAATCAAAAGCAATAAGACGAGTGGATGACCTAAGAAAAACAGTTACTTATGAAATACGAACACAAAAAAACTCAAAGCTATGGGCAACACATCATGTAATTGATTTGAAACATAATAACATCTCTTTATAGATACAATGATTGTTAAAAGCAAACATTTGACAGAATGAACATTCATCTTTTAACATATTCAAGCCTTTCAAAAGTTGATTGTTATTTTATAACTCAAATCTTTCTAAAAAATTCTCCTTTTCCGATTAAAGTGATTAAATCCTACAATACAACACAAACCTGGACAATCCAGCTGTTCACAGTGATCTCCCTTGTATCCCTCGTCACACACACATGTGTCGTTCAGACACTGTCCAACATTTGAACATAGAGTGTCACAGTTAGAACCAGAGTAACATGAATCACACTGACAGTTAGAGGTAAATGGTGGATATTCTATACCATGTATACAATCATACTGGCAGGCTGGTCCCATTGACAATGTGCAGTTTACACAGGTTGGGCTATCATTCAGCAAGATACATTCACCTAGAAAAAAAAAAAAAAATCTAATGCATTCTTTCTACAAAGACTCTTTATTAATATCTCAGTAAAGTCTTTGAATTAAAGTTACCTAAAAGAAAAAAAACCCAGATTTTTTGTTCTTGTTAAATAGTTTTCCTTTGCATTCTAATGTAAATGATTTGACAACCAAAATAATGTTTTTTTATATTTCATCCTATGAAGATAACAAATTAAAACAGAACTGACATACATGTTCCATGTTGGGACCTTTTATAGGTGAATATACAGTACAGGTTTTTCTCATTGTTGAAGGTCATACAATGACCTATAATTGCTTTTATCTTCATTGTCTGAACTCTGGTGGATAGTTGACTCATTGGCAATCAATCATACCACATCTCTTTATTATTATAGTGATACATGTACTAAACAGAATCCTGTATGGACTAAGAATGTATTTTCTTTAGATAGATTCAAATATATAGATATTGAATAAACATTTTTGTTTTTACCATTAGACATAGTTCACAATAAATAGATATTGTATCAAAAAATTTGTTTTTACCATGGTTCAGTTCAGACATAGTTGAAAGGATATAGAGATTGTATAAACATTTTTGTTTTACCATGGTTTGGTTTAACATAGTTCAAAATATGAAGATATTGTAGAAACATTTTTGTTTTTACCGTGGTTCGGTTTAGACATAATTCAAAATATATAGATATTGTATAAGCTTTTTTGTTTTTACCCTGGTTCAGTTTAGACATGGTTCAAAATATATAGATATTGTATAAATATTTCCATTTTTATCATTGTTAGATTAATACAGATTTCACTGTATTGTATTACACAACAAGAATGTGTCCATAGTACACTGATGCCCCACTCACACTATCATTTTCTATGTTCAGTGGACCATGAAATTGGGGTCAAAACTCTAATTTGGCATTAAAATTAGAAAGATTATATCATAGGGAATATGTGTACTAAGTTTCAACTTGATTAGACTTCAACTTCATAAAAAACTACCTTGACCAAAAACTTTAATCTGAAGCGGGATAGACGGACGGATGGACAAATGGACGTACAAACGAACAGACACACAGACCAGAAAACATAATGCCCCTACTACTATCGTAGGTGGGGCATAAAAATTGCCCGTGGGTAAAAAAATCATTCCTCTGTGAAAATTGTTGTATTCACGGACTACAAATGAGATAGAGGATTAGTTATTACCTCTTCTACTACAATCAGGGTCTCCAGGACAGTCTGGTAATTCACATCCATCACCTTGCCATCCATAATTACATTCACATTTCTGATCAGCCAAGATACAGGTACCTTGTCCTGTACAAGATCCTTTCTCTGGTTGTTCAGGGTCACCAGGACATCCTCTTGTGCTACAATCATCACCTATAAAGTATATGTTAAGAGTTTTATATAATTCACCATTAAACTTTTCATTTATGTTTGTTCCAATTTTTGTTTTTGCTTATTGAAGAATAATTAAGAAGAGAGGTCACTCATAACTAGCTTGCTACTACTAACTTAACAAAATGAACAACTGAAACTATAATATTGTAATATAGAGTAAACTACAAGTTGAGAATGACAAAATTCTGTGTGCAAAAGAATAATAATTTTGGAAATTACACTTATTTTCCCATGCAGTATGCATTCAGATACATTTCTATGACAATTATCAACATATTTTTTTCATATATTCCACAGTTTTTAAACTTTAAATATCATGTCCATATGATATCTAATTTCAGCCTATACTAGTTACTCAGTTAAATTTGGCTGCCACTGTTGGAGAGGACTTGGATATATGTTTAAACTAAACACTTACCCCACCAAGCTTCATCACATGTGCAGGTATTGTTGTCACATGACCCATGTCCTCCACAAAGTTGGTCACATCCAGTTCCTGAATAACATGAATCACATACACAGGTAAAGTCTGATTGTGGAGTTCCATGGACACATGGTAGGTCACATGAGTATCCTGTCCAATCATCATCGCATATACAAGTGGGATAAGCTGTTGCTGCACTGCAGTTACCACGACTATTACAGTCTGGGTCACCAGGGCAGTCTGGGATACTACAATCATCACCATACCAACCAGGGCTACAGAAGCATTCGTGTGTGACCGTGTTACAGTCACCATGTCCGCTACACGGTTCTCCTACTCCCACACATAGATGGTCTTTACATGTGTCACCCCAGTAACCACTCTGACAAATACATGTTTCATTATCACATGTACCAAAGCCATTACAGATAATATTGCAGGAATCACCCGAGGCACATTTACTGTCACAGACACAGTTTCCACTGTCCATTGGTTCCTGGATGCCATTACATACAGTATTACAGGACTCTCCCATCCAACCTTTCTCACAGCTGGTACATCTAGGTCTTGCCAAGGACACATTACAGTAACCTTTGTAGTTACAGTTGTCAAGACAGTCTGATTCTTCACAACCATCACCCTTCCATCCATCATAACAAATACACTTTCCTATAGCAACATTGCACTCTCCATTCCCACTACAATCCTGTCCAAACCCAGGACATCCCGGTTGTTCACAATAATCTCCACGTCCACCATTAAATCCACAATCACATGTTCCATCAGTACAGTTTCCAGTTCCAGAACATTCTATTTGACATGTGTAATCATTGTAACAGCTGTCACAGACACAAGTCTGGTTTTTCACTGTACCATGTTCACAATAATACTGACAAGCATATCCAAAGTAAGAGGCATTACAGCTACATGCAGGTTCATCATCTACAACAACACAACTTCCCTGTCCATTACAGGCCTGGGGACATGATGGTACATGACATCCAATTCCTTTCCATCCTTCTTCACAAATACATTTACCAGTGGCAGCATTGCAATCTCCATGTCCAGAACAATCCTCATTATAACCTGGACATCCTCTTGTCTCACACCATCCACCACGGTAGCCATTAAATCCACAGTCACAAGTGGTGTTGTGACAAGTACCTTGACCAGAGCAGAGCTGATTACATTCCACACCACTGTAACAGAAGTCACATTGACATGTCCAAACACCATCTAATGATCTAACGGGAGTTCCATGGACACATTTATGTTCACAAGAATCTCCTATATATGGATACTGGCAGTCTAAACATCTTGGATTTCCTCCTTCTGGTGGAACAGCACAAGTTGCATTGATTCCATTACAGTCTGGATTCCCAGGACAATCAGGTACTTCACACGCTTGACCACTCCAGTATTGATCACACTCACAGCCTCCTGTAGCAAGGTTACAGGTACCATGACCTTCACATCTCTCAGGCCAACCAGGACAACTAGGTTCATCACATCGTACTCCTTCATATAATCCATAATAATTACATTCACAGTTTCCATCATTGTCACATGACCCATGACTTGAGCACTCAAGATGACAGCTGATCCCTGTTATACATGGTTTGTCACAGACACATTCATTGTCCACATTGGTGCCATTCAGACATGCTATCTGACAGTACTCTCCAGACCAATCATCATTACACTGACATTTACCACCGTCAGTACAATTACCATGGTCAGGACCTGAAAAATACAAAATATTAGAAGAATCAGAAAATTTACTATGTTCAGGCCTAGATAGATACCAAATATTACTGCCGTAGGAATTGTTACCATAGTCAGGACCTTACAATAACAAACTAGAGGACAGAGATGTAAGCCACCACAAAGAACTCACAGCATGTAATTAGGGTATTCCATGTCCATGTATATGCACAGAGGTGTCAAAGTTCAACTAAACTTTTTTACCATTATCATCAACCTATAGTTTTCTTCCATGTACACGTCACATCTTCTAGTGGTTGTAGATTTTAACATAAGTGGCCATTTTGTAATACGTTATTGACCATTATTTTCAGTGTATAGTCTTCTTCCTAATATGCAACACACATTCTGGAAGAGGTGAACAATCATGCAAAGCTGCATCATTGCACTCCATGGGGTTATAAAGTAAGTATAATAAAAGATTCATTGGCAAGGCCCTTATCATAATTCACAATAAACATAAGCTGTAATTATCAAGTAAAGTAGAAGTTACTGTCCTCTCTTTTGTATATCTAGATTTCAATATAAAAATCCTTTTTTAGTTAATCAGTCAATGGACGTGCCTTCCATTTTTTAGGGTCATAAAAGACATATAACTAATTGTAATTGAAGTTTTATGAGAAATAAAGTAAAGTAGTATTGTTTTTGAAACATCATTGTCAAATTTAACTGAGGTCAGCAATAGCAAAGGTCCAGAACTTATTTTGATGTGAAAAGTACCCTTACCACTACACTCAGGTGTCCCAGGACAGCTAGGTATTGCACAATCATCTCCCTTCCACCCAGGTTCACATGTACACATGCCAAGAGCACTGTTACAGCTACCATGTGCATTACAAGCCCCATCTTCTCCTGGACATCCTGATTCTTGACACTTGTCTCCAACCCAACTGTTTCCTAAAAACAAGCAACAATTTGTTTTAAAGAATCTAATGCAATTCTACCCTTTTAATTTGACTGACCGTTTCAAGGTATTTTTCCTTTTTTTATCACATCACATATTTGTGATTGGAAAGAGTCAAATATATTCATACCATTAATTTAGACTTTTCTTTCAAGAAAAAACATAAAGCACATTCAAATATTTTCCCATTTCATGTTTGTATGACCTAACGCTCAAATATGCTAAAAGAAAATTATACACATAATGAAAATACAAAACTATTCAACTGGCTATTTCAACAAAAACTGTTTATTCACCAGTATTTTTTGTTAATGGTTGGTGGCATTGTTAGTCTATTTCTTATTTTTGATTCAAGCATTGCAGAAAAATATGCACAACACAGATATTTTCAAATAATTTATGTTCAAGGGTCAGAACTTCCATAAAATATGCTCAACCAGAACAAAACTAAAACTTAATCTGTAGCTTATTCTGATACGACTATAAACCAAATATATAATCAATAAATTAAAGATTTAACAGAAAACAGTGAGGACAACATGGACCAACAGATAGACAGACTGATAGTTGGTCCAGATTGCAAATCTATAGTCCTCTTTGGCTTCATTTGTAGGGGACTAAAATATGATATTTACCTGGTTCTGTTGTAAAACAGTCACATGTTTCGTTGACACAGTCTCCATTTCCAGAACATTCCAGTTCACAGTAAGCTCCAGTGTAACAGGAATCACAGTGACAGAAATCATTGGCTGAGTTTACGTAACCATGGACACAAGGTTTACTGCAATCTTCACTGTACCAACCCTGCAAACAGTTTGTATATGTTAAACTTTTTCACTTTAACAGATGATATATAAATTATACCACAAATACCTGATGCATTAATATACTTGTTATTTTAATACGATTCATGGAGAAATATTGTTATCTTATAGTTAAAGTGTAGAGAGAAATATTATAATTTCAAATGTAAAGAGTAGAGAGAAACATTGTTATCTGAAGGTTCTACATTAACTGTACTATATTTTTTTCTTTGAAAAAAAGATAAAAAGTATTTTTTAAACTATCTCAAACCCTTGTTTGTCTTGGTGACATCTTTTACATATTCCAAAACTCAAGACTTGTTTTATTCAGAGTACTTACATCTTTACAGTCACATTCTGGTATATCTCTGTCTGTTCCATTACAGAAACCATTGCCTTCACAGCCACCAGGGCAGTCAGGAATGTCACAAGCATCTCCAGTCCAACCTGAAATGCAACAAAATAATAAAATAATGTTAAAATGGACAGCCAGCGAGATAGCAGTCCTCCTACATACTGAAATAAAAGTTGTATAGCAGACAATTTAAGAGAAATAGATAATTGTAACAAATAGTCAGGCAGAACAGTCCTACAGCAAACACATAAATTAGGTTAGGAAACTGTGTTACAGACAGTAATAGTACCACACACCTTCATAGGAAAGTTTTTTAATGTTTTTCTTTATATGTTTGCTTCCTGGTATCCCAATATGACAAAATGTGAAACAATTTAAACAAGAGGCTCTCACAAGAGCCTGAATCGCTCACCTGTAATTTTTTGCTTAAATTTTTCATCAATGATTATTTAAAATTTTCAATATATACTAATGAGTGTCTTAAAAATGCCATTTAAATGTTCTTTGTATCTGTCATATTTTCTTCAAAAGCAAAAAAATGCATTTTACCCCTATGTTCCATTTTAGCCATAGTGGCTATGTTTCTTGACGTACAAGGAAATAAAATACAAAATTTATACTAGATACTCTGAAACTCATTCAGCCCAAGTTTGGCTGTAATTGATTCAGCAGTTTCAAAGGAGAAGATTTTTTAAAGTAAGCAAACTAGATGAACAAATTGTGAAAAATTGTCTTTAAAGGGCAATAACTCCTTAAGGGGTCAATTGACAATTTTGGTCATAAAAACTTATTTGTAGAATTTCTTTGCTGAACATTTTTGCTGTTTACAGTTTATCTTTATCTATAATAATATTCAAGATAATAACCAAAAACTGCAAAATTTCCTTAAAATTACCAATTTAGTGGCAGCAACCCAACAAAGGGTTCTTAGATTCATCTGAAAATTTCAGGGCTGATAGAATTTGACCTAATGAACATTTTTACCCCATGTCAGAGTTGCTCTAAATGCTTTAGTTTTTGAGATACAAGCCAAAAACTGCATTTTACCCCTATGTTCTACTTTTAGCCATGGCGGCCATGTTTTTTGACGAAACAGAAAATAAAACACAAACTTTATTCTAGATACCCTAAGGATCATTCAGCTTAAGTTTGGTTTGAGTTGGTTCAGTAGTTTCAGAGGAGAAGATTTTTCAAAGTTAGAAAACATGATAAACAAATTGTGTAAATTTGTCCTTAAAGGGCAATAACTCCTTAAGGGGTCAATTGACAATTTTGGTCATATAAAAACTTATTGGTATATCTTACTTTGCTGAACATTTTTGCTGTTTACAGTTTATCTTTATCTATAATAATAACCAAAAACTGCAAAATTTCCTTAAAATTACCAATTTAGTGGCAGCAACCCAACAAAGGGTTATTAGATTCATCTGAAAATTTCAGGGCTGATAGAACTTCACCTAATGAACACTTTTATCCCATGTCAGATTTGCTCTAAATGCTTTAGTTTTTGAGATATTAGCCAAAAACTGCATTTTACCCCTATGTTCTATTTCTAGCCATAGCGGCCATTTTTTTGACAAAACAGAAAATAAAACACAAACTTTATTCTAGATACCCTAAGGATCATTCAGCTTAAGTTTGGTTGGAATTGGTTCAGTAGTTTCAGAGGAGAAGATGTTTGAAATAGTTTACACCGGACGGACAACGACGACGGACGCCAAATGATGGCAAACGCTCACATTTCCTTTGGAAAGGTGAGCTAAAATGAAAAACCAACTTCAGATAATAAAGTAAATGTATTTTCATTGTCATTTAAATGTGTTACATCATGTTGCTCTGTTTCTAGTCCATAAACATACCTGGTATACAAGTACATAGTTGTAGAGCTGAGTTGCATGTTCCATGCTGGGAACAATCTTCTGTTTGCCCTGGACAGCCCTGTATCTCACACTTTGATCCTCGCCATGCCACATCACAGATACAATGAGTTCCATTACATTTTCCATGGCCATTACATTCCACGTTACAGCCTAGTCCATTATAACAGGAATGGCATTCACAATGTCCACTGTTGTGGGGTACTTGTGTTCCATTTACACAGAGGTCAGCACAAGCTGGTCCCATCCAACCCGAGATACAGTCTAGACATTTTGGGGGGTCAAGTGTTGAGTTACAGATCCCTCTATCATTACAGTCCGGTTCACCAGGACAGTCAGGCAGTTCACATCCATCTCCAGTCCAGCCAGGGAAGCAGTCACATTGATGAGTGATGGAGTTACAAATTCCATGTTTACTACAGCTCTCCCCAATTCCTGGACATCCTGGCACATCACAGAAAGCACCCCACCAGTTAACATCACAGTCACACTCTCCACCAACAATCTTACCGTGGTCAGAACATTCTGAGTCACAGTTGATACCGACCCAGCCTGGATAACATGTACAGTTGTTAGCACCTATTGGAATTACTTCACCATTTACACAAGGCTCTTCACAGGAATGACCATACCAATTGGAGTTACATCTGTTAATATATAATTTGTTGAAATTAATTGCATTTCTACATTATAAAGTACTCATTTTGTTGTTGAAAATTTTAACAAACAAAATTGAGATCTAAAGGTGGCCATCATAATTTTTGACCCCTTAGCTAACTTTAATATCTTATGTGTAATACCTCCGATTGATCAAAAAGCTCTTAAGCTACATATTCAGTTTGTTATTGAATGTTATTTCTATATCATATAAAAGATGTATTATACTAATAAAATCAGTGGTAATTGTTCATTGACAGCTAAATAAAACTGATTTTTTTTTCATATACCTGCATTCAGGTGGGTCTACAGCATCATCACAATTACCATGGTTATTACAGTCAGGGGTACCAGCACAGTCAGCATACTCACATCCTATACCAGTCCATCCTGGTCTACATGTACATGTATGTGTGGCACTTTCACATCCACCTGAGATAATAGTTAAATATAATAATTCATAATAAACAAGCATCATGATAGTTTTTTTAACTGTTTCCAGATTTTACATATATAATAAGTACAAAAATGTTGTAAATTCTTCCTTCAATAAGCACAGCCTTGGTAAAACAGTGAATATAAAACACTGTTTTGAACAAATTTATGTGAACATTGCATTCACTACTAGTTCCCAACCTGATCATTGAAGAACATAGATATGTACACTGTGGTTTCATTATTATTCGTGGGTATAGATGAACCAGAAAATTAAATGTTCAGCTAGGTAAAAATTTTCCATAGGCTTGTATGCACACTCTGGCAAAACTAAGAAAGCAAATATAAAAATATAAAAATACACTTTTTAAAATTTTTGAAAATGTGTTTTGTTTTATCAGCTCTTCAAAGATTGTATTACGTTTTAGATCTTCAATAATTTTGGCATCGAGCATCAACGAAGAAACCTAAATTGTGGAAATGTGCATCTGGTGCAGTAAACTTGGTACTGTTAACGTTGTCTTAAAACATGTACCTCCTAGTTACACATAACTATGACCATTAGAATTTTTGTTGATCAGCAAAATGTGTAAGATTTGGTTTTAAATATGTTTCAAATCTGTCCAGTAACCAGTTTTTGGATACCAGTATAGTTTATATGATTAATATTTTACTAATTTTTTCAATGTATGAATAACTTAATAGAACTAAAACTGACATAGCTCTTCTCTCTGGCAATGCTGACCTATGACAGATTTCACTGTTTTGTTTGTGTCGTTAGGTTTGATATTCAGAATTTTTTTATGTGGCTTCCCAAACTTAAAGTCTCTAGCGTATATGATCAAGGTTCTTTTCTGGAACATCCATATCATTTTAATGTATCCTAACTCTGGGAAGTCCAGATTAAATAATCAGGATGTTCATTAATTTTCATGTATCTTACCTCTATCTGAGCAGTCCAGATTAAATAATCCAGGACATCCAGGAATGTCACATAAATCTCCTTTCCATCCCGTTACATAATCACATTCACATTTCCCACTTCTGATTAGTCCATGTTCAGAACATTCAGAGTTACATCCAACTCCAGCAAAACCAGGATCACATTGACAGTTCCCAGAGTTGATAGGTGTCTCTGTACCATTAACACAAGGATCATTACAAGCTGGTCCCATCCAGTCTCCTGAACAGTTCTGACATTGTGGAGGATCAAAGCTCCATTCATCACAAGTACCACGGTCAAAACAGTTTGGTTCACCTGGGCAATCAGCAACATGGCAAGCCACGCCCATCCAACCAGCAAAACACTGGCATGTCTTATCTTCACTGTTACAATCACCATGTCCACTACACTCTATGTCAGTTGAAGGATGTCTTGGACATCCTGGTACTTCACAATATGTTCCACTCCAGCCAACCAGAGGATCACAATAACATTCAAATTTACTGTCACACACACCATTGCCAGAACATTGTATGTCACATCCTGCTCCATGATAACATGTGGTATTACATTCACAAGCTGTGTTGTTTACATTTGGGGTGCCATGGATACAAGGGTCATTACATGCAGGTCCAACCCATCCAACATCACAGTTGACACATTTTGGTGGATTGTATGTGGGGTCACATAATCCACGATCATTGCAGTTGGGTTCACCTGGACAGTCTGGGTCACCACAACCTGTTTCTTCATCTGAAGAAAATTTAATATAGATTACACTGTAAATATGAATAATTACATTAGGATTATGCTTCATAAGACTCTGTAATTTTGATTGGCTGACAACAATCGTGCGGAACTCCAACATCAAATTTTATCTACATATAAAATATAGCAGCTATGATTGCACATGCTATCCGTGACAATGTCAAAACAATGCATAGAAAAACAAATGAAAAGTTTGATAATTTCATGGTTGTAGCAAAAAAATGTAATTAAAAGAATTGGATGCTTCTTTTAAAAATTTTATAGGGTCGTAAAAGCGTTGACTGTGCGCACATTTGGAAGTCCTTCATACAAAATGTGCTTTGGTCAAGGCTTTTACACCCCAATGAAATTATGAAAAGAATCATTCAATTCTTAACTAATTCAACAAGTGGGTAAGATGTCAATGATACTGTAACCCAATTAAACAAAAAACAAGACATCTAGCCCTCAGTATATGGTCTTTAACAATAGACATGTATCTATAGGATTTTTCAAGCTCTCAACCTTTTAAGTCAATAAAAGATAACAATGATTTTGACAGAGACTAATAAAGATCCAACTTCAACACCACATCCAATGAAGTAATTCGATGGAAAAAAACCTAGGTTGAATGTACATGAGAACATATTTGTAAAACTGTTACATATTTTAAATGTTACAAAGTTTATTATTTTAGCATAAAAAATAAAATGAAATCATTGGCTTAGTAGATGTATTGAGACAATAAATTTTCTTGATGCAGTGTTTATAACCTTTGGAAGTCTTAGGTTTTAATTTAAATACAGTTTTAAGAATATGATCAATATATTTGATGCTGTTCACCTGGAAGATGCACTTCACTTGACCTTGTGTGCTGAATGCTTTTTTCTCACTAGCATATATCTGCTGTGCCATATCATATCTATGATAAAATAATTTGACTAACCTGCCCATCCTGGTTCACAATAACATTTCCCACTGCCAGCCATACATACACCATGTCCTGAACATTCTTGCGATGACTTTGATGGACAACCTGGTCTTGTACACTTAGATTCCTGCCAGTTGTCTGTACAAATACATGTACCATTCACACTATTACTGCAGCTACCATGTGCATTACATTCTGATTCACAGAATTTCCCCAAGTAGCAATCATCACACTGACATTCACCACCAACACACTGACCTTGACCATTACAGGACATTGAACAATCATTTCCATGGTAACAAGGATCACAAACACAGGTACCTATAGATGTACACTTTCCGTGACCAGAACATGTTATACTCTCATGACACTGGCTGTCACAAAGATGGCCAACATAATTACTGTTACAAATGCATGTTCCCCAGACTGAGCATGTGCCATGACCTGAGCAAGTTGTAGCTGGGTTACAGTGATATTGACAATCATTCCCAGTATACCCTGAATTACATGTACAGGCTCCTGATGCAAATGTTCCTTGACCACTACAGAGATTAGCAGTAGTTTCACACAATGTACCATCTGTACCAGCTGTGGCACTACCTGAACCACTACCACCATCTACAGACCTTTGATGTTTCAGGACTTTGTGGGTATAGTTACCAGTAAATGTTCTTATCCTTCCTCCGCCTCCACCAGAACCATCATGATTACAACAACATCCATAATAACAACTTGACCCACAATGTGAACCTCCACTATTACCTCCATCAGCATATAGTTCTCCCCATCCTTCTATTACATCACTATCTAGCCACACAGAACCACCACTGCCAGCACCACCACCTGATGCACCTACACCATTCATTGTTATCTCCCCTTCCAAAAAAATGGCATTGATGGATACCACTCTGAAAGCAGCACCACCAGACCCTGCATTACCATGACTACAAGTTCCACCTCCACTTCCTGCTGTCCATGGCAGACATTTTGAATCGTATGTTGATTCGCTCCCAGAACAGGAGACACTTGAACTACATGAATGGCCATTGCCCCCAAATCCACCATGAGCTGCCCCACTTCCTCCATTACAAGATGCCCCTGCACCAGGACCTTGCAGTTTTTCATAACCCAGTTCATTACCAGTTACAGTTCCTTCTTTCTCTATATCAAACACCTGACTGACTAAAGAAGCAGAGAGAGATACCTCCAGGGTACTTGTATGTTGTATATGGAAGTACTGTGTGATCACATTAAGTCCTTGGTTAGTAACATAATCATCGTCAATTACCTGTACTTTTCCTTGATTAAGTATTGTAATCGTAGATAGCTGGTACCATCCAGCTATTTGTGTGCCAATCTTGCTTCCTGTTAGTGATCCTGTGTAAGACAAGATTGATGTACCCCTGGTATACAGATGGTCTAAACCAATCAAATTTCCATTCACAGTCATTATTCTCTCTATGTAGGTTGTTGGTGGGAAGATGACCTTTGACCCATCTACTGTATACAGATTACATCCTACAGAGTCACGCAGACGATCCATAGCAACATTAAGTGTAATGCCACTGTTAACCTTTAACTGACCAGTAGCCTCATGAATGTGGTCATAATATACAGGTGTCTGAAAAAAAATGAACATTTCTTGTCATTAAAGAAATTTATTTTTTTGTCACAAATTGATTTATAAATTCAAGCATAAAAATTTATACTGTGAACATAAATTGGTTAAACATGTCAACACCATGTCTTTTTCTCTAAGGATCACAAAATGTACCCATATTCTTTGTTTGACTCTGTCTTATTGGTTGTATTGCTAATGCATTTCTGTATGAACATGGGCATTGTAATGTTTGTTGTTGTTCTTTTTATCTTAAAGGTTAAGAAACTAGATTGATTTACAAGTAAGAGATTTGATTTTGATATAATTCACCACTCTAATTTGGAAAAGCTCCAAATCAGGACTGTGATGCTTTCCATTTGTTTCATCTGCTGAAATGCTAATATTTCCAAATACTGAAACCAGATAGTCTTTTTCTTTTGAAAGAAATCTTGAAATTGCCTTAAAGATTAATACAAATCGCTTTTATTAAATTATTACCACTCATATTATAGTTATGCGTTACCAGGTAGGGACAGCACACATTCTATTGTTTAGATGTATATATAATCAGAAATGTATGGTCTTACAAGTTGGTAGGGACACCACAAGCCCTATTGTCAAAATGTATATTATCCAGTAATGTATGGTCTTACCTTGGTAGGGACAACACAAGCCCTATTGTTAAAATGTATATTATCCAGTAATGTATGGTCTTACCTTGGTAGGGACAACACAAGCCCTATTGTTAAAATGTATATTATCCAGTAATGTATGGTCTTACCTTGGTAGGGACAGCACAAGCCCTATTGTTAAAATGTATATTATCCAGTAATGTATTTTCTTACCTTGGTAGGGACAGCACAAGCCCTATTGTTAAAATGTATATTATCCAGTAATGTATGGTCTTACCTTGGTAGGGACAACACAAGCCCTATTGTTAAAATGTATATTATCCAGTAATGTATGGTCTTACCTTGGTAGGGACAGCACAAGCCCTATTGTTAAAATGTATATTATCCAGTAATGTATGGTCTTACCTTGGTAGGGACAGCACAAGCCCTATTGTTAAGATGTATATTATCCAGTAATGTATTGTCTATCTGAGTGGGATAATCGCAAGAATTTCCACTGCCTCTATTCAGATTATCTATCCATAGTTCCCTCCATCTATCCACTCCTACATCAGATTGTACATAGACTGTACCGGGGCCACCAGGGTATGTGCCACTTCCTCCTGTGGCTACAAGGTTACCATTAAACAACATGTACTCTGACAGGTAAATGGATATTCTGCCACCAGATCCTGCTCCATTGGCTAAAACACAAAACAGAATGTGTAATTTTTAACCATAGGGTAAACTTTATGTGAACTAAAACTATAAGATCATTTCTTTATTTTTTCATTGACCCTGGACACTCACTGTCTTTTAAATTTTCATTAATTCTTGACATCTTTAGTAGGATCCGGATTCACTGGAAACATTACCATATTATTTTATTTTTTTACACTATATAGTAATGGTACTAATAGAAATGTACCTGCAATGAATTTAAGTAGGTCAAGTCTTCTACTCTAACCTTTAAATTAATTTTCAGACATTCTACTATTAACAACTGAATGTCTTTTGTAACTTTGTATGAAGCTATGGATTGATTGAAAGACAAGGAGAATCAATTATAACTCATGAAAATTGTGAATAACTATATGTTCATGGCTATTACTTTCAGTAAACTTTTTATTATTCAATTTTATAGCATTTTGTTTTGGCTTATTGCTAACACTTAGGTTTTTGGTTTATGAACTATACTGTATTAGGTATTAGTGAAATAATTTTTGCCTATTCAATTTGAAAGCACCAAAAATTTCTTGATATAATTGTTTACTGTTTTTAAGAATTATTATCAAAACGAAGCTTGAATAAATAGATCTTACATGAATGGCCTGTTCCGCCATTTGCTGAAATAGTTCCATAACCTTTGAGACTACCCAAGGTCAATTTGACACTTCCCCCACTGCCAGATCCACCATGTGAAGATGTTCCCGACAAACCAGTTGTTTTTATAGTACCATCCAGACGTAGTTCCTTTAAGCATACAAACATGTATATTTACACTAATGCTATTGCTAATTTATTCTAATGCTATTGCTTATTTATTCTAAAACCAGCTGTTGGCATGATACAGGTTATGTTCTTCTCATATATTTTATGATACTAAACCCCTAATGGGAGGGATTGTACTTGATTTTCATATGATGAAGACATAATCTTTCAATCAGTTTAATTGAGGTCTGGAGCTGGCATGTCAGTAACTGCTAGTAGTCCTTTGTTTATTTATGTATCATTGTCATTTTGCTTAGTTTCTTTTGTTACCTATTCTGACATCGGACACAGACTTCTTTTAAACTGAGTTTTACTGTGCGTATTGCTATGTGTTTCTTTATTCTACATTGGATAGAGGTATAGGGGGAGGGTTGAGATTTCACAAAACATGTTTAACCCCGCAGCATTTTTGCACCTGTCCCAAGTCAGGAGCCTCTGGCCTTTGTTAGTCTTGTATGTTTTTTAATTTTAGTTCATTTATATGTTTTGGAGTTTAGTGTGACGTCCATTTTCACTGAACTAGTACACAATTTAATTAGGGGCCAGCTTAGGACCACCTCCGGGTGCGGGATTTTCTCGCTGCGTTGAAGACCCATTGGTGGCCTTCAGCTGTTGTCTGCTCTTTGGTCGGGTTGTTGTCTCTTTGACATATTCCCCATTTCCATTCTCAATTTTATTTTTAAATCACTTTTAGAAGTGAAAAAGTAGATATTTCACAAAAAGTAGTATATAAATATACTTTAAGGAGTTTGTAGCAATAAAGAGCCATAAGAAACTTAACTATTTTTTTCTTTTTCTTTAATAAACATGTAATTCCAGCTTTATAGTTTAGTTTAATTTAAAGAATGTTGGAGAACATTAAAAAATTTGATGTTAATGAAAAATTATTAAGCATTGTTATTCCTTATCTCTTCATTTCAGTGAACAAGCATTCTCCTATAAAAAGAAAGTAGCTAGCTGGGAAACGTAGACATGTGGTCAGACCCTTTCACTATAGTAGAAACATTTACTTCTTCCTTCTTTGTTACATTATTGATACTACTGACTTACCTCCCCTACATTGAAAGTAATATGACTGCCACCAGCCCCAGCATTACTGCCACCTCCACCACTTCCTGGTTCAGTAGCCAACAGTACAGATCCATACTGACTGCCAGATGATGTTGTGTCTGCACTTCTACCTCCTAAAAGAAGAATTTACACAGATGAAATAAAAATGCTAAATTCCAGGAAGAATTCATACAAATGAAGGCTATAATAAAAAAGAAATCATTTCACCAACATTTAAAAAATAGTAAACCACTTTTTAACCATAAGGAAATGAATTTATATTTAAAAAATTAACTCAAAGAGACTTTTTTTCTTTATGGGTAGCTGTGTAATTGACCTTTATCCCATAATTACTACTCTTATTCACAATTTGAATGCTGTTATAATAACAAATGAGAACATTTAATGGGTTTTGCTACTAAAACTTAAACATTACATATATAGGTTGACAAATTTTAGCTTTAGGGAACTAATTTGCCCTGATCTTATTTTTCCCACATTAGGAAACAAGCTCTTTGTCTCATGAACAGATTTGCAAAGATTTAAAGCCATGACACATGTTTATTTACCAAAATAAAGAGAAAAACATTATTTTATTGCCAATTTTTGCTCAAATTAGATACCTTCATATTCATTCACCAATAAACACAACATTTACCTTGAACATGATATTTTGCTTGTTAATACAACCAGAGCACCTAATTTGGGCAAAAATAGACAGAAAAGACACTTTTCTAATGAATTTTATAATAAATAAATTTACAAATATTTTGAAATCCAAAATTGCAATTTTACCTGAACTGCCGTATCCTGCCCCAGATGCATAGTCTGTTGAATCTGTTCCTCTTCCTGAACCATCACCTTTAGTGTAACCATTTCCATCACCAGTGATTGTACCACCATGTTCTACTGTCATTCTTGTAGAACTCAAGGTCACCTTCATACTGTCTGTTTCTATTGTACCACCGTTCTTCAAAGTGCATTTACCACCAGTTATGGTTGGGAACAGTGGATCCAAAGTAATGGTTATTTGTCCAAGGTTGTTAACAGTGATTGTTCCTATAGTAACCATACCCGGATTATAAGGATGTACTGATTTGTCTGTATACCACATGACCATGGACCTCAGTTCCCCAGTATGTGCATGTTCAGTTAGAATGAGTTCTGCATTTCTTTCAACATATAAGTTTTCTATGCCAACAAGTCTTCCACTCAGGATGAATTTTTCAGCTGTTAGAACAAAATCTGTTGGCAGTACAACTTCTCCTCCCACATCCACATGCAATCCACATGGAGAGTCAAGATAAGTGTGAGTAGATTCAACAAAATGTACAATAACTTGTTGTCTGTTCTGTACACGTACCATTCCCTTCTTGTTTCCTGTAAGTTCATGGATGATAACTGTAACATTATGTACACCATTTGGATGATAAAAGTGGACATATGAGTATCCCTCCACTTGAACTTCATCTAACTCATAATAAACACTGTTGTTTTCCATCACCATGGCTGGGTTGACTGTGTTAAGATTACCATTATGAACAGTGAGTTTAGAATGTTCAGGTTCAATTAAAGTTCTGTTCAGTCGTGGATTGTATTTCAGTTCTCTGTATTGTGGTCCTCGTTGTGATTCATACTTGTAGATTGTTCCAGGTCCACCAATACCAGACCCTGATCCACCTTGTGACAGATACTGCCCTCCATACAAATTGATAAACCCAACATGTAGTGCTATTCTGCCACCACTTCCACCTCCACCAGAAGCTTTGCCAGCTCCACCATTCACTGAAATGATGCCATGACCAGAGATGTTGTAAGCCTCAATGAAGATACTGCCACCAGTGCCACCACCTGCACTACCACTTGTGGCTGCTGTTCCAGCAGAGGTGATTGTGCCATCAATGTGAATGTTTCTTCCAACTGTCATTTTGAGGAATCCACCTCCAGATCCAGCATACGAACTACCAGCTCCACCACTCCCAAAATCCATGGGTGAAAACACAGATCCATATGGATAAGAATCATCTGAACCACCACCAACACCTCCATAACTGCCACCAGAATAGCCTATACTAACACCTTCACCTTGCATTGCACTATGACCTCTACCATCAAGATTAAGGTCACCTTCAGGTTCCATGTCAAACTCTCCAAGGTCCATGTAACCATGATTCAACAACACTGTTCCTTGATATTTGATTTCCATGAATGATGCTGTTATTGTGAAATCATGCAGTATTCTCCTGAATTCTAAGGTACCTGATTGTTTTATATTAATAGTTGGTAATGAGAAGTTTCCCTCTTCTGAGACAAATATATATGTGCCATTATCCAAGAGTGCTGTTTGAGATGTAGCAGCTACAGATACAAAACCATCATCTTCAATATAGAAATGATGTACTCCAGTCATCATACCTTCTATGGTTGTGTTAATTCCTTGCATGTGAACTTCCGTAGGAAAGACGATCTCACTTTCATAATCAATAATATAACTGACTGGTGCTTCAGTTATATTACGGACTGATTCAATATATTCCACTATAGCTTTCTGATGACTTCTTAAGTGTAGTTGACCTGTCCTATCACCAATGAATCGGTGGATGATCATTTCAACATCTTTATTTGGATGATAAATTATAACACGGGCATATCCTGCTATTTCAACTTCATTAAATTCATAGTTTGTTGTCTGATTGACCATAATCATTGTTGGTACAGAGACTAGATTACCATCATTGTCAATATGCAAGTAAAGATGATCAACTTGAAAGTATGTGTTATTTGTACCTTTCATGTACTTTAAGATTCTGTATTCTAATGGTCTGAAATTATTTTCCACATAAGTTGTTCCAGCTGCACCACCATGAGTCAGGACATTGCTGCTTCCACCATCTCCACCACGGTTAGTGAATTTCCCTCCGTAGCTGTATCTATATCTACAATGAACACCAATCCTGCCTCCGGCACCTCCTCCTCCAGTTGTTCCAGCACCGTTACCTCCCCTGACGTTAATCTCGCCATGTCCTGTGAAGTTTGTAGTAAACATGTTGATACTGCCACCGCTTCCACCACCACTGTTAGCAGAGGCACCACTATCACCCTGAATGGCAAGCAAACCATTAAGTTCCATTCTCTGACTAATGTTCCACAGAAGAACACCACCACCATTGCCACCAACACCATTCCCATTTCCTCCTCCACTGCCAAATAACATTGGATTATAAACAGAACCATATGGAAGTGTTGGCAAGGTTGGGTCAGCACCACCACCATAGCCACCATGGCTAGCTCCATAACCTTGATTACTGATTGTTTGACCAGCACCATAACCTTCCTCAGGTCCATGACCATGTCCATTCAGATGAAATATCCCTTCACTTTCAATCCAGGCATAAGAAGAGTCAATGATGGCATCATTCATGTACAGATTTCCAAAATATTTGACTTTTGTTTCACTATTCCAAATATGCATAGCCTCTGTTATTTTCAGGAAACCAACAGTTCCACCTTTCTTTACAGTCAATGTATCCCAAGCAAAGTTCCCTGGTTCTTTAACATTGTAGTATGTGCCATTTTCAATCAAGGCCGTATATGCTGTGGAGTGGAATTCAATGTCAGTTGCATCCTCTACATATAAGTCAGCTACTCCAGTTATAAGTCCAGCAAAGGTACTATCAGCTCCATGTAAATGTGTCTCTGCAGGGAGGTAAATCTCTCCACCAGCATGCAGATAAAAGCCACAAGGGGCTTCTGTTCGATTAAATATAGCTTCAGTGATTTCAACAACAACATGCTGATCATTTTTAATAATCAAAACACCTGTCTTGTCTCCAATAAAAAGGTGAATGTCAACATCAACTCTTGTAGCATTATTTGGATGGTAGATCATCAGTCTAGAACTCCCTGTTAATTCTGTCTCATTAAACACATAACTGTATTTATAGTTTTCCATGATAAGAGTAGCTGCTGGACTATACTTCAAAAGGTTATCTGTGTGTAGATATTTGTGGTCTACATCAAAATATGTCATGTTATGCACAGGGTCATATTTCTTAGCTCTATACTCTATTGGTCTTGAGTTTTCTTGTACAAATGTAGTTCCTGCAGCTCCAGCTCTTGAGGAGGCGTATGACCCTCCACCATCACCACCATAGTTGTGATATTCTCCACCATAGGAGTACCTCCATTCACAGTGTACACCAATCCTTCCACCTGCTCCACCACCACCACTACCAACACCATTACCACCAGCAACCAAGATTTCACCATGACCGGTCATATTTAGAGTCTCTATCAACAAACTGCCACCACTTCCACCTCCTGAATTGCTAGACGATCCATCTCCACCATTTAGGGTCAGAATTCCATTCATTTCCAGCAGAGCACCAACTTTCCAGACCAGGAATCCACCACCCACCCCACCAGTTCCTCCTCCATTGCCTCCACCACTACCAGCATACTCCATGGTTGGATAGGCAGTCCCATTACCTGGTTTGAAGAGAGAATTGTATGGTATACCACCAAAATTTGGTTCTGGTCCTCCTCCCCAGCCTCCATGGCCAGCTCCCCAACCAACTGAACCTTCCGTCCAACCTTTTCCATAACCAGTCTCTGCAGGATTTCCAACAGCATTCAGATTAAACTCTCCTTCAGCTTCAACATTTCCATAGCTTGATCTAATCAGTGCTAAATTCATAAGTAATAGACCTTCATATTTGACATAAAATTCTGCCACTGTAATAGACATAGGATTAGAAATCTGTTGAAAGTTTGCTTTTGAGTTCCTCATTACTTTGAGAATGGCCCATTCAAAGTTTCCTTGTGGTGTAATGCGAATTCTTGTACCATTACTTAACAATGCTGTGTGACCAGTTGAAAAGAAAATAACATCAGCTCCACCTCTAATTAGTAATTCTTCAATACCTGTGATCAGACCTGCAAACCAATTTCTTCTACCAACAAGATTGACAATTTCGGGGAACAAAACTTCAGATTTGGCATCAATTTTAAAGCTTACAGGAGCATATGTTTCATTAGATACAGATTCAACAACTTCTACAAACAAGGTTTGTCTCTGTCTTATGTGAATTAATCCAGTTAAATCCCCCTGCATTTCATGTACAATAACTTCAACATCTGCCCCAGAGGGTGGATAATCAAAAATCAAATTAGCATGCCCTCTCACATCCATTTCATCAAAGGAATAGCTGGTGGTTTCCCCTTCATTTACACTTGAATATAACCATGGCTCGCCATGATTCACATACAAGTGGGCATCAATATCATTATTGTCAATCAAAATTCTACGGTGATTTCCAATTCTAATTGTTTCATTAAGAACTTTGTCATATTTGATATCCTCATAGTCTGGTCCCCTGTTTGTTTCCTCAATGAAAACAGTACCAGCAGCTCCTGAAAGAATTCCATTTGTACCATAGCCTCCATAGGCATTCAGTAATCCTGCAAATCTTCTGTCAAAGTGAACTAAGAGACCTATTCTACCACCACTTCCTCCTCCACCTCCTCCAGAGATGGATCCATTACCTCCACTACAGTCCACATGACCATAACCTGTGAAATTAAGGGTCTCAATGAAAATACCTCCCCCACTGCCACCTCCTGCATTCAGTCCCTGACCATTTTCTCCTTGCATAGTTACCTCTCCATCAATCCACAGGTGTGTGCCAACCTTCCAAACAAGATAACCGCCTCCTTTTCCTCCTGTTCCTTTACCATTTCCTCCACCACTGCCTTCGTGTTTTGGAATATAAACAGAGTCATATGGAATTCCACCTGTGTTTGGTTTTGTGGCACCTCCATGGCCACCATGAGCTCCACCATAACCCACATTTCCATCAGTACTTCCATTCCCAGGACCAGACTGAGAACCATATCCCATGTAGTCAAGGTTCAAGAATCCCTCACTTTCTACTACTCCTTCATCAGAGTAAATAGTCCCATCTGTCATGTATACAAGTCCCTGGTACATAATATGGAATTTGATAAGCTGCAACACAAGGTCAGCTTCTGTTTCAGTAAATCTAGCCACTGACCCTCTCTGAATTGTAAATATGGTTAGACTGATATTACCTAGCTTTGTCATGTGTGTATAGGTTCCATTTTCTCTTAGAGCTGTCTGTGAGGTGGAGTAAAATTCAACATCAGCTCCTTCAGCAATTGTTAGGTTCTGCACATTGGTCATCAGACCCTTAAGTTCACTTCTAGTTCCTAACATAATAACTGTGGATGGCAAAACAATTTCTGTTCCTTTTTCTACTTTGTAGCTTACAGGTGCTACAGTATAGCCTGTTGTAGATTCTTTGTATTCTACGTGAATAACTTGTCCTTCTAAGATATGCATCAGTCCTGTTCTGTCACCATCAAATTTGTGGACTACAAGTTCTGATGTTGATCCATACATCTGCAACACAGCATGATTATTGGCCTCAAGTTCGTCATATTCAAATTCATGATTGCCATCGTCTGTTGTTATAATAGTAGGTGAGATGTGATTTCTGTTGTCATTATCAATGTACAGTTTCACAAATCCATCTTTAAACACCAATCCTTCAGTAGTGTTTATATATTCTTTAGCCGTCAGTCCTTCAGTGTTAGAATCAGTGAAGTAGATAGTTCCAGCGGCACCATTCTTATCATCATCAGTCCTAGAAGAGCCACTATAGCCACCATAGGTTATGTAATCACCAGTGTATTCCCTGAACCATTTGACATGGGCGGCAATCCTTCCACCTCCACCTCCATGTCCATAGTTGTGTCCCACACCACCTTCTGTGGTAGCCAGACCATGTCCTGAGAAGTTAACAGCAATAACATGGATACTGCCACCACTACCACCTCCACTGTTGGTATCTGTGGCATTTCCTCCTAGACTCATTAATATTCCATCCAAATGTAGGTATCTGGCCACATCCACATCAATAACTCCTCCTCCTTGTCCTCTATTGGCTCCGCCTCCTTTACTGCCTGGGTGAAGTGGCTTCTTGTATGATCCATAACATTCAGCTTAAATATCGAAGTACAATTCATAAAAGGTGAATTGTTAAATGCATAATAAAATTCAAAACTATCAGATAAGATTTGTTTGAAATGTACACACACAATAAATATTTACTTTACTATCTATAATCAATACTATTTGAAAACTTATTTCCTTCTAAAAAAAAGTATGAAGATTCAAATCACCTGCTTAACACTCACAGTTAAATGCTTTCATTATTTCAATATAAAAAAGGCTGCTCCTGTTTTCACAAAAAATCTTGCAAAAAAATATAACTGCAAGTCATAAAAATTTCAATATTACTTAAAATCAATTCTAATCATATTGTTAAAAAGGCCCCTGATTACTCATCCTCACAACCTTCTCATTCATTTTTACTCAAAAATAACAGAAGCCACATACTAAGCAGTCCAAAACTTTGTTATTACCTGTAGTATAATTTGATTGCACATTTCCACCACCATATCCACCATGACTTCCACCGACTCCAAATCCACCATTATCCACTAGTCCATCTCCTGGGGAATCCCATACTACACTCCTTCCTGATGTGTTGAGTTTAGCTTCTCCTTCCATGTGTATGATGCCGGCTTTGATTGTGATATTATCAGCAGTAATGTGAGAGTCATATCTCATCATAAGGTCAGACACCTCTAATTTCAGAACAGTGTCATGTATGATTTCTGTCATAGCCTGCATAGACAAATGTCCAAATCCAATTGTGCCTGAAATATAGATTGAAAATTACTTTGAATTCTCCAACTCTTACAACAAATGACCTCACAATATAAATAAAAGATTAAATACATATCTATAAATATCTATTTTCAAGTCTTTGGTGGTTCCAGGGCTCAAATCCAAGGCCTGCACTTAAGGCAAACATGCTACCACAAACCACCAGGTGCTTTTATCGACAGTACAATGTGACTTTATTTTTCAGTCAGATACGAAATTTCAGAGATTTTTAATGGACCATAAAAAAATCCATAAAACTGGGCATTCCACTAAAAGCTGTCATTTGTATTAATGATACCATCACCAATATCTGGACAAACTGACACAATAGAACTTTCAACAATAAGTCCATGTCCGAAAGAACTTCAGTTTCCAGCACAACAGGTTTTTTTTTTAAAGCTATTTTAATATGTATAACAAAATTATAAAAAGTTTTATTTATATATTGAATGTATTATAAGATGGTTACTTTGATTAAACTAATATATGTCAGATGAAAACTATTTTCTGGTTTATAAAAAAAATATTTACGCCAAATCATTTTTCAATTATGCAATAATATAATACCTCCATCCAAAGTAACATATTGGCCACCCATCCATCTACTATTTGTTGCTGTCTTTGCTATATGTACAGCTCTTCCCTCATCTAAAGTTAAATTCATTACACCAGCCAAATGTCCATCTAGGTCCAGAGCTGGTACTTCACTACCTATCAGTCTGAAGTCAGCTGATGCCCACATTTCTCCACCGTATCTGACAATGAAGTTACTTGGAGGGGAAGATCTCAAAACACTGAATTTATCAAATTCAACATAGAATTTCTGTTTGTTTTGTATGTGTAGATAGCCAGACTTGTCCCCTAGGATCAGTCCTAAGTTGATTGAATCAATGCTATCTCCTCCATCAGCAATTTCCAACATGGCCTACAAAAGAATATACATTATACTCATTTTATATGTAATAATGAAATTTCAAGGTTTGATAAATAAAAAACAGAAAAACACTACTGCTGTAATATTATTCGGTCATAAATAAGGAAAAAATAAAGGTGTTCTTCTTTTTCATAAAGAACTGCATATAAATATATGGAAAGCCTCAGCTGTCATATATTAGAGATTTACAAACCGTTATGCTGAAGCTTAAAATGTAAAGTTAAGACAGCGTGATGTTGAATTGAGTCATCAAAATGCTAACTCTAAATTACAATATGCTAAGTTGAATTTGCGCAATGTTGAATTGCAATGACAAGTGCTTTAGTCGTGATAGTATAATGATAAGTCACGATGTTGTGATGATATGCTAAACACACGTAACGTTGGGTTTAAAGTACATGATGTGAAGTTGACGTTGCATGATGTTAGCTTGCAGATGGATACTGCTCAGTCATCCACTTCGATAGCTATGATAACAAATAAAATGAATAGCTAAAATGTATGGTGCTGACATGTTATTAATAAATGTTGAGCTGAGATAGTACGATGTTATATCAATGTGATATAACGATAGGTCTATCATGCAATCTGTTGATTTAAAACACCATGATGCACAGTTGAAAGTACATGATGTTAAGTTAAGATAACACGATGCTACACCACTATATTGAAACGAAAGGCTTACCATACAATTTGTTGACTTAAAACAACACGATGCAACGTGTTAAGCTAAGATGCTCACTTGAAACTACACGACGTACAGTTGAAATTTTGTAATGTTAAGCTACGATAGCACGATGTTATATCATTATAATGTCACAATAGGCTTATTATACAAATTGCCCATTTAAAACTACACAACGTACAGTTGAAAGTACGTGATGTTAAGCTAAGATGGCACGTTGTTATATCATTAGAATGTCACGATAGGCTTACCACACGATATGCTCGTTTAAAACTACACGACGTACAGTTGAAAGTACGTGATGTTGAGCTATGATAGCAATATCTTATATCAAAATAATATCACGACAGGCTTGCCATACAATATGCTCATTTAAAACTACACGACGTACAGTTGAAAGTACGTGTTGCTCAGCTAAGATAGCACGATGTTATATCATTATAATGTCACGATAGGCTTATTATACAATTTGCTCATCTAAAATTACACCACGTACAGCTGAAAGTACGTGATGTTAAGCTAAGATAGCACGTTGTTACATCATTAGAATGTCACGATAGGCTTACCACACGATACGCTCATTTAAAACTACATGACTTTCATTTGAAACTAGGTGATGTTAAGCTAAGATAGCATGTTGTTATATCATTTGAATGTCACGATAGGCTTACCATACAATATGCTCATTTAAAACTAAACAACGTACAGTTGAAAGTATGTGATGTTGAGCTATGATAGCACGATGTTATATCATAATAATATCACGATAGGCTTGCCATACAATATGCTCATTCAAAACTACACGATGTACAGTTGAAAGTACGTGTTGTTGAGCTAAGATAGCACGATGTTATATCATTATGACATCACGAGAGGCTTACCATACAAAGTGTTGACATGAAACTACACGATGTAAATTTGAAGTAGTTTGGTCTTGACTTGAAACAGTAAAATGTTAAGTTATAAAAACAGAACGTAAAGTCAAAATAAAACAATGATAGGATGACATATACTTGTGCAGAATTGAAGATTTTCGATGTAGACTTCGAATATAGTACAAATATTAGATCCTTTTATGTTAAATTGAAAGACAATAACGATGCGTAAAACATTACAGAATTATGTGAATTGAAACTGCAATTCTATGGAAACGAATGAGGGACAAATCCCCAGGATTTTTTCTCCTTCATTTGCAAGTTGATGAATATTAATGAAATTGAACTCCAGAGGCAAAAATATAATATACAAAGAAAGTTTTCCATAAATTCATAAAGCAAAAGAATTACCCTTCGCTATATATTACACTTGAATACAGTTTTGCCCTGTATTTTACATGTTTTGTTTGGATTTATTTTTATGATTAAAAACCAGACTTTTTTTATGAACAATATTTAAGAAAATATTTATCTATTTTGTGTGTTAATATATACAACCGTTATCAATATGATAATATTGTGCTTATAAGACTTATGACTTTGAGGGTCAAATTTCAGGGCTGTAACTAGCCTCTTTTCAAAGTGAGGCAAAAAATATTCGCCGAGCGGAGCGAGCCGAAATAAATTCGGCGAGGGGTCTGGGAAAAAATAACGCAAAATCGTGCATTTTGAGCGTTTCCCGGACTCTTTCTTAAACTAAAACGCAACTTTTGTTTTAATTATTTTTTCGGCAATATTCAGGTCTCAAAGCAAAATATATAGATCCAAGACTTTTTAGTTTTTATAGGGACAACATCAAAAGACCGATATTTAGGATAACGCAAAATTCGTAATTCACATAGTCAAGTGTGTGGCTGCTGTTTTTATGTTTTTTTTTGTTATTGAGTTTTGGCTTGCAGAAAAAAGTATTATACCTGTCAATTATGTTTTTTTCAAATTAAGTTAAGAGGGGGATGATTATCATTGATATAACTATGTGAATTTAGTTTTTATAACACATTTCAATTACAAGTTGATGTAGTTCCTAACTGGGATAAAAGGGTACAATCAGGGTAGTTCTTATACCTCATTAGTATATTTTTGTGCAGTTTTAATATGTATATCGGCTGATTAATGTCGGATCTGTCTGTTCTGGTCTTGTATTGTGTTTAGACTTTTGTGTAATATTTTTTTGACTTTAAAATTTATTTACAGTACAATACTTTAAGTACCGCTTAAGTCGACGCTAGGGGCCGTATTGACCTTGTTGTAAGGAATGAATGATTCGTTCATTGATGAAGACCCTCTAGCGACTGTCTAGATGAAGAACAGGAATAAAAGCCCTGTTCATTGATAATTTGTATTTTTTTTCTATGCATTGGGGAATGTGTGCGATTTTGTCCCATGCACATTTACTCCATATCCCTTTATTTTCTATTTTAGGGCCTGAACACGGCTCAATGTAAGTTTAGTCCTTCAATGTAAAAAAACATATGACAATACATTATTTTCTTTTAAAATGATATGATTCCGGGAGATTGGGTTGTCTCACTTTAATTAGCCAGTTTTGTATTCTTTAATATAAAGTTTAATTTCCATGAAAAAACGACAAATTTTTCGTCCAGTAGCATCGTATCTTCTCAAAACATTTTCTCGGACAATATCTGAACATCGTTTGAATTGTTTTCTCGTTTGAATTGTTTTACATTGTCATTTCGGGGCCTTTTATAACTGACTGTGCGGTATGAGCTTTGCTCATTATTGAAGGCCGTACGGTGACCTATAGTTGATAATTTCTGTGTCATTTGGTCTCTTGTGGAGAGTTGTCTCATTGGCAATCATATATCGGTGGACATGTAACATTGTCAAACCACACATGACCGTTCACTAGTCATCGTAGATCTTTCCCAAGTCTTAAGTCTACGCAAAGCAGAAAATTAACGTTCACAACAAGGAATATTAGACAACTGAAGCCATAGTCATAAAGATTGATTGAGTGATTAGTGTTCGCTTAACGCCGCCTCAGAACAAAAAGGCGAGAGCTAATTTCAAATAATTCTACAATTTAAAGTAGTTTTCAAAATTAGACAAAAGGTCCTTAAATATAATAAAACCCAAGTTTAAATAAATATTACTAATTTACAAATTAAATGAACAAAAGACAACACTGGGAACAGATATAAGACACATAACGACAAACAATAGACAATCAACACTGAAAACTAAAAATAAATGAGAAACATGGATCCCGAAAAAACAGGGACGACGTCAGAGGGTGAACAGAACTTGCTCCTTGCAAGAAAATCGCCGTGAAAACAATTTGATATGAAGACAAGCTTTTGTTTCAACTTATTATTTTTTTTTTTGGAAATTTCCAACATGAGGCATTTGCATCATTTGCCTCAATGTAGTTACGGCACTGAATTTTACTCATATAAAATCACATCTATATATGTAAGAGTTAGCGGAGAATTTGTATTTACCACTCCCGTTTTCCACGAAATAAAACATAAGAATCTGGAGTCTTAATCTTAAAAAACAAAGATTAACTGATATGACAAATAATACGGTAAAGCGTAGGACTGAGAGGGTCAGAGCTATATGAGAATGTGACCTTGTTAGAGGTATCTGAAAATATGAATTTTCTTTTCCACGAAATAAAACAAAAAGAATTGATAGGTGGAAGAATCCTACTGCATGGGGCCACCCAAATATAAAGTATGGTAGATTCTGTTGTATACTTTTCGCTCATACATGAAGTCTATATGAAACCTAATGAAATTCGACCTAGAGCCTCCGGTCTAAATCTTCAACTTTCAAAAACAAATACATCATTTACAGCAGTGCCAACCATTTTTCCAGCACCAAGTAAGATAGTGCCCAGGTTTATGTATATATCCACTCAGAGAATATTTTGTTTTTTTAAATTGGTAAAGTAATTAATGAACAATGACCCCTATAACTTATAATAAGAAGCCAATTAATGATTTCCGTCACTTATTTTCTTGTCCATAGTGATTTTCTTGGTTCTTTGCAGCTTCTCTCTATCTATATGTGTTTTCAAAGAAAAAGAAAAAAAAAAAAAATCTGTAAAAATTGTTAAAGTCCATGAATTGTTTTGGTATTGCTTTGATTAATTTGTAGATATGTTTTTTGATGTCAACAGTTTCTCTCTCTCTCTCTCTCTCTCTCTCTCTCTCTCTCATAGTTTTCATGAGTGTGATCTAAATTAAAATCGATAGATTTTTTTTAATTATTTGCCAAAATGTAAAAATTTTGTCCTGCCTTTTTTTTAGCTGCCTTTTTTTTTCAATCTATTCGGTCCTGCATTTTTTTTTATCAGTTTATTCTGACTTTTTTTACATAAATTGTCATCTTGCCTTTTTTTTTTTGCCAAGTTGCTCATCCTTCCTTTTTTTCTCAAATTTCATTCTAGACCCCAATAAAAATCAAATGGTAGCTCCCTAAGATGGCGGAAGACACCCGATCTACCCTAAGGGCAATATATCTAATGAGGAAGAAATTTACAATTTCGGTCACGTCGAGTTACTTGTAGATCTCCTTTTGTTGAAAAGGGTTTCTGTTATCTATCTATTATACTGTTCAGGGGGAGGGGAGAATCGAAAAAAAAATACACAAAAATGGATAAAAGAAGGCGAAAGATACAAAAGGGATAGTAAAAATCTTAACCAAACTGATAATGTCATGACAAAAACTCATCAGCCGAAATAAACGAGAGAAAAAAAATCAAAAGCCAAACAACAGTATATTAAGCGCAATATATAGAAACCCAAAAGTGAGCAATACGAAACCCTCAAAAAAGGGGTGATCTCAGGTGCTCCAGAAGGGTAAGCAGATCCTGTTTCATATGTGGCACCCGTCACTTGGCGATTTTGCAAATAAAGAAGGAATGCGTTACAATTTTCAAGAACTCCCATAAAAAAGTAAACATGAACTACAGGGTGTCAAATCGATGAACGTGCTTAAAATAAGCTCCTTTTCATAAAAAAGAGTTGATGAAAATGTATTTGTATTTAGTGTACAGTGGCAAATATTACATGCATATAAGGACGAGAATATGTAAGTGTGATATGAATATGAATAAATCTTGGCTCTGTACAAGACACATTTTGCTTGCTTAGCCGAATTTTTAACAAACTATTTGACAAACCGTCTCTGACAATCTATGGAAATCCAAATAGCATCGGTTTTGATTAAGTACAGAATTTTTTGGTTTTATTTCGGGGAAAAGGGGTGCGTTTTACGTACAGTGGCAAATATTACATGCATATCAGGACGAGAACATGTAAGTGTGATATGAATATGAATAAACCCTGCTTTGTTACAAGGCATACTTTACTTGCCTAGCCGAACTTTCAACAAACTAGTCGACAAAATGTCTCTGACATTCTATGGAAATCGTAATCGAATTGCTTTTGATTAAGTCCAGCTTCTTTTGTTTTATTTCGTGGAAAAGAAAATTCACACAAATTTTCAGATACCTCTAACAAGACCGGGGGGGGGGGGGGGGGGGGGGGGGGGGGCACATTCTGATATAGCTCTGACCCTCTCAGTCCTATGATTCTTATGTTCTATTTCATGGAAAACGGGAGTGGTAAATAAAAATTCTCCGCTAACTCTTACATAGATGTGATTTTATATGAGTAAAATTTTACCCTCACAATCGTAAGTCTTATAAGCACAATACTATGTTGTAATTATTAAGACACAACATAGATAAATATTTTCTTAAATATTGTTCATAAAAAAGTCTGGTTTTTAATCATAAAAAAAAAATCAAAAAAAAACATGTAAAATATACGGCATAACTGTATTAAAGTGTAATATATAGCGATGGGTAATTCTTTTGCTTTATGAATTTATGGAAAACTTTCTTTGTATATCATTTTGCCTCCGGAGTTTAATTTCATTAATATTCATCAACTTGCAAATGAAGAAGAAAAAATCCTGGGGATTTATCCCTCATTCTTTTCCATAGAATTGCAGTTTCAATTCACATAATTCTGTAATGTTTTACGCATCGTTATTGTCTTTCAATTTAACATAAAAGGATCTAATATTTGTACTATATTCGAAGTCAACATCGAAAATCTTCAATTCTGCACAAGTATATGTCATCCTATCATTGTTTTATTTTGACTTTACGTTCTGTTTTTATAACTTAACATTTTACTGTTTCAAGTCAAGACCAAACTACTTCAAATTTACATCGTGTAGTTTCATGTCAACACTTTGTATGATAAGCCTCTCGTGATGTCATAATGGTATAACATCGTGCTATCTTAGCTCAACAACACGTACTTTCAACTGTACGTCGTGTAGTTTTGAATGAGCATATTGTATGGCAAGCCTATCGTGATATTATTATGATATAACATCGTGCTATCATAGCTCAACATCACATACTTTCAACTGTACGTTGTTTAGTTTTAAATGAGCATATTGTATGGTAAGCCTATCGTGACATTCAAATGATATAACAACATGCTATCTTAGCTTAACATCACCTAGTTTCAAATGAAAGTCATGTAGTTTTAAATGAGCGTATCGTGTGGTAAGCCTATCGTGACATTCTAATGATGTAACAACGTGCTATCTTAGCTTAACATCACGTACTTTCAGCTGTACGTGGTGTAATTTTAGATGAGCAAATTGTATAATAAGCCTATCGTGACATTATAATGATATAACATCGTGCTATCTTAGCTTAGCAACACGTACTTTCAACTGTACGTCGTGTAGTTTTAAATGAGCATATTGTATGGCAAGCCTGTCGTGATATTATTTTGATATAAGATATTGCTATCATAGCTCAACATCACGTACTTTCAACTGTACGTCGTGTAGTTTTAAACGAGCATATCGTGTGGTAAGCCTATCGTGACATTCTAATGATATAACAACGTGCCATCTTAGCTTAACATCACGTACTTTCAACTGTACGTTGTGTAGTTTTAAATGGGCAATTTGTATAATAAGCCTATTGTGACATTATAATGATATAACATCGTGCTATCGTAGCTTAACATTACAAAATTTCAACTGTACGTCGTGTAGTTTCAAGTGAGCATCTTAGCTTAACACGTTGCATCGTGTTGTTTTAAGTCAACAAATTGTATGGTAAGCCTTTCGTTTCAATATAGTGGTGTAGCATCGTGTTATCTTAACTTAACATCATGTACTTTCAACTGTGCATCATGGTGTTTTAAATCAATAGATTGATATAACATCGTACTATCTCAGCTCAACATTTATTAATAACAAGTCAGCACCATACATTTTAGCTATTCATTTTATTTGTTATCATAGCTATCGAAGTGGATGACTGAGCAGTATCCATCTGCAAGCTAACAGCATGCAACGTCAACTTCACATCATGTACTTTAAACCCAATGTTACGTGTGTTTAGCATTTCATCACAACATCGTGACTTATCATTACACTATCACGACTAAAGCACTTGTCATTGCAATTCAATATTGCGCAAATTCAACTTAGCATATTGTAATTTAGAGTTAGCATTTTGATAACTCAATTCAACATCACGCTGTCTTCACTTTACATTTTAAGCTTCAGCATAACGTTTTGTAAATCTCTAATATATGACAGCTGAGGCTTTCCATATAAATAGGTGAATAAACATCTTTGAGTCACTTATGAAAGATCCTTGATGTCTATCCAAACAAAGAAAGGACCATGGGGTCTCATTGACATAAACCCATCTTTTATTTTATTTAAATTTATCTTTCCACTAATTTAAATGATCATCATTGGTGATGTTGTAAAAACAACTTGTAAAATGTTGTTGCATTAATATCTGCCCTTGCTACTGTATTATCTGCCCATCAGGATTGTATTCTAATAAATATACATACCATATTATTCAGCATAAGATGATCAAAGTTAAGGTCAGCATCATTATCTATCTCATCACTGTTAGCTACAATCCTAGGATTCCTCTCATTGACAATAACAGGTTTAGGTGGATGCAAGTTTTTACCATCCAGATACAGTCTACTTTGGTATGTAAATATTCCAGTCTTATCCTCAACGAACACAGTCCCTGGACCTCCTCTGTCACCTGTTGTAGTCCCTGTTTCTCCATAGGCCAACAGCTTCCCTCCATACTCATTGTTATCTCTAGCATGAATGCCTATTCTTCCTCCAGCACCTCCTCCTGCTGTAGTATGACCTTTTCCTCCAATGGCTGAGAGTTTACCATGACCTCTAAATGAACCTGTAAAATAAAATGAATGATAATGATAAGAGCAGTATTATACATCCATACATGCTAACATGCAAACATTGAGCTCTAAAAATTCTAAGTACCTTGTAAAAGTGCAATTTTCTGGCCCTTAAGCCTTTTTTTTAATCTCAGAAAACCTAAAACAAGTATAAATAAATCTAAGCTTCCCAAACTACACATTGATGGAAGTTAATGACATAACCAATAATATCGACAAAAAGTTAAACAGTCATAGTTATCAGGAAACCAAATTTGTTTATTGCGAACCCAATGAAAGTTTTCCACAGTGCCATCTCTATCTTGACCAGGTATTTAAACTTTTGCAAGTTCACCTGTCCTTTTGAATAAATACAATAGCTATTGTTCTCTGTGTAGTTTATTCTCTGGGACCTTTAAATTTCTTCTAAGAGAAATCTATCATTCATTGATTAAATTACCTGAGTATAAAAAAATTCTTATATATAGACAAAAATACTTTTTTATACTCATTAATTGCGTGTGATGATGTATTTATTCAATATTAATTATATATTTTCAATCAGTTTAATATAAACATTGATTCAATCATAAAAAGTTGATTTCTAACAAAAGTTTTATCAATGTTCCTATTGAAATTTGATTTTTTTTTTGTCTAGTTATAGAATACATTTAAGAAGATCTTGATTTGAACATCATAATTTTCAAGTTTTTATTCATGTCAAACAAATTTTTTAATGTTGAAAGTTTTGTCAGAAATCAACTTTTTATGATTGAATCAATGTTTATATTAAACTGAATAAAAATATATTATTAATATAACATAAATCAACGCTAACATGTTTAACCCCGTCACATTCTGTATGTATGTTCCTGTCCCAAGTCAGGAGCCTGTAATTCAGTGGTTGTCGTTTGTTTATGTGTTACATATTTGTTTTTGGTTCAATTTTTGTACATAAATTAGGCCGTTAGTTTTCTCGTTTGAATTGTTTTACATTGTCATTTCGGGGCCTTTTATAGCTGACTGTGGGGTATGGGCTTTGCTCATTGTTGAAGGCCGTACGGTGACCTATAGTTGTTAATTTCTGTGTCATTTGGTCTCTTGTGGAGAGTTGTCTCATTGGCAATCATACCACATCTTCTTTTTTATATTTTATTAATGTTTCAACTTTGTATCACTGTTTACATTCAACCGATTGAAAATATATTATCAATCTTGAATAAATATAACATCACATGCAGTTTTGAGTATAAAACATGTATTTTCCTCTATTTACAAGATTTTTTTATTACTCAGGTAAATTAATCAATGAGTGATAGATTTCTCTTAGAAGAAATTTAAAGGTCCCAGTGAAAAAACTTCACAGAGAAAAATAGCTATTGTATTTATTCAATAGGACAGGTGAACTTACAAAAGTTTAAATACCTGTTCAAGATAGAGATGGCACTGTGGAAAACTTTCATTGGGTTCGCAATAAATACTTTCTCAAGCACCTAATTATCAGAAAAAACTTTTGCATAACACTCTTTAATAAACTGCTTCGCTGAGCGCAGCTGGATACGCCCGCAGAGGTCCAACCCTGAACAGTTGGGGCAAAAATGGACACAATATTCAAGCTTGATACAGGTCTGAATTTGGATTGTAATTAAATATTTGACATATTACAGGTTTCTGAATAAATGTAGTCAAAGAACTTGAAATTGTTTATATGAATTGAATTTATATTCAATTAAAGATTTCTTGCTGTTGTGCAATACACTGTGCTGTTGCGCAATACTTAGTAAATCTGTTGTCAGACTATAAACAAATAAAGTTCAATTAATTCTCAATGTCATATTAGAAATTTATGAAAATCAAAAGGGAGCTTACATCAATAGATATAAACAATTCAGCAAAGTTTCATGAGAATTGCTGACAGCATTTTTGAGTTATTGTCCGAAAACTGGAAAATCCCCCCTTTTTTAATGAATAAAACCCCATAACTCAGAAATGTAAAATGTAAAATTTATAAAATTCTAAAGGGAGCTTACTTAAATAGATATAAACAATTCACCATAGTTTCATAAGAACTGCTGAAAGCATTTTTGACTTTTTGTCAGAAAACTGGAAAATCCCCCTTTTTTATGAATAAAACCCTGTAACTCGGAAACGTAAAATCTAAAATTATAAAAATCAATAGGGAGCTCATGTCAATAGATATAAACAATTCACCACAATTTCTTGCAAGTTGGTGAAAGCATTCTTGAGTTATTGTCCGAAAACTGGAAAATCCCCCTTTTTTAATGAATAAAACCCCATAACTCAGAAACGTAAAATTCAAAATTTATAAAAAACGAAAGGGAGCTCACGTCAATAGATATAAACAATTCACCAAAGTTTTATGCAAATTGGTTAAAGTGTTATGAGTTAATGTCCGACATGTTGACGACGGACGGACAGACGGACGGACGGACGGACGGACAGACGGACAGAGGTATACCATAATACGTCCCGTAAACGGGCGTATAAAAAGTTGGACAGGTGTTCACCTGGCACTGGCTTACCTGCCAAGTCTGGTGTCCATGCCTAGTAAAGAAAAGTTCTATTTCAAGAAACCAAAATGCTGGTGAAATTTCTATCTATATTTAGTTGTCTTGTATTAAAAATACTTGCTAGAGAGCCTTGTTCTACAGAAACCCCTTTTCAGATCCCCTTGAAAAACTTTTGACATGTTTACCCTTGTCAATGTACAAGACTTTCTAGACCCTTTTTTCTTTCTTATTTAGTTGTCCAGTTGGTAAACTTAACACATCTATATTTTTCAATCATGGAAACTAAATGGTATTATGTGAAAATTTAAGGAAATATGGGTGTCTTGTGCCTTCTTGAAATCTGTCTAGACTATTTATAAAATAAGTTAGTTTCGAGACAGGAAGGCATTTGTAAAAAGTATTATTCAAATGAAAAAAATGATGTTATTTTATTTTCTTACTACAACTGATTTTACAAAAATAGAATATTTTTAATTGATTCTAAAGTTTTTAAACTTAGCCTTATAAAGAGGGAGATAATCTTTTCTGTATTAAAAAAATAAGACTTGTTACCCATTTTTCTTTTTAATTTTCTGAAATAATTTTATTAGAGCTATCTTCTAAATTCTATTTCAAAATTTTGTCATTTAGTTTTTTTTTCTATTTACATAGTAATGCATTTTCCTGTATAATCCTTACAAAATGTTTCATTTTTTTTAACTTATAGCTTAAAAACAAGCAGTGTAACCTATCATTTTTTTATTTTTTTTTGAAAATAGCACCATATAAACTACATTTTGGCAAAGCATAATACAAATCCGGTCATTTTTTGTTTATACTCCCATACTGCCTTATAGAAGTAAAGTTAAATGTATGCAAATGTTTCCCTAAACTTATATATTAAATATTAAAAATACTGTAACTCAAAAATAAATGAATTTTTCTAAATGCTTTAACTTTAAGAGATATAAATAAATTACCAGCAATAATCCAGATGGAGCCACCACTTCCTCCTCCACTCAAGTTTGAACCATCTCCGCCATCAGCTTCAATCATGCCATCGGTGATCATTATAGCTCCCACTGTTATTTTGGCCTTGCCACCACCTCTGCCACCAACCACACCACTAGTACCATTTGCCCCTTGACTTCCTGAGTCATTTGGTTTATACAGAGATCCATACGATGCCCCACCATTATTGGAATTTCCTGGAGCTTTTAAAAAGACAAGCAACATTCAAATATTAAATCTTACCTTGACAGAAAATTAATTACTCTGTGAAACATTTTTTTTACTCAATATTTCAGAAAATGAAGCATTCTGGGTAATATTTCAAAATAAAAAATGCAGCTGGTTGACAATGTCCCTAAAACCCAATATTCAACCAATGGTGTAATATTATTTTTCTTTTAATGAATGAATAATGAAAATACCATAAGTTGCTTTAAATTCTGAAAAGTGGAACAAGTATGACAAACTTTCAACATAAAGGATCTTAGCAGACTTGTCATATCTTACAAAGATTGACACTTTTTCTTTTTTCCTTTTTCATGTTTTTTTTAAAGATTAATGAAGTAGAGAAGTGTCAAAAACCATGCTTCAAAAATATGTGGGTGAAATAGATTCCATAAGATATGAAATTTGATGCAGTATACTGACATTAGTATAAATGTTTTTACAAAAATTTTTAAAGAGGCTTTTAAAGTATAAAATACTTCTTTGTTGTTTGAAGCTAAAACAAGAATTTAAAATCCGGATTTGACCTACATTAAAACATACTCACATCTTTATGTGCCATTTCACTATCAAATCTTTAATAAACATCATACGATACATTACCTTTGTGTGCAGATTTGATCGAATCCAAATGTGCAAGAGGAGTCTTGCTTTCAAAATTAATTAAAGATAGACAAACTTGGTTTGAAAGACATATTTATATATTCCATATCCATATCTGCCATTTAAAATAAATAACATTCAACCAAAAAAGTAATTTATTTTGATTTTAGTGAAAATGTACTTACACCCTCCACCCAATGCTGCATACCCTGCCCCTGCAGAAATGACAGTCGGTTGACCAACGCCTCCTGATGGTGCAGTGGCTATGCACCGGAAACTTGCTAATGGTTCCAGGTAAAAATCTGTAGCCTCTATTAAGAATGCATCAGCTTTAAACAATGCACTGTATTTGATATCCTAGTAATAAACAAATCATTTCTTATCATGAGAAGGAAATAAATTTGTGGCAAAGGGAAGTAATCACAGGAAACCTTAAATTAATGAGATTTAAAAAATTTAGTTCAAAACTACTGGAAAACATTAATTTTCTTGGGGGAAATTTTGAGCTTTTGTTTCTTAAATTCAATTCATGGCACCAACTTTTACAATATCCAATTTAAAAGTAGTTTTCTTTTATATGTTAATATTGGTTGAGGATAATGTCTATTCATGAAATAAGAAAAATTAAAACACAAATGAAAATTTATGCTTTTACAGTATGATTTTATGAAACTGGATACTTAATTATATGTATTGCAAATACTGAAATAGTTTAGACTACAATAGTTTTCAAAGCTTGTAGAAAGAGGAAATTTTAGTTAAAGATTACTTTCTTTAAAAAAGAAAGTTATCAATTTTACAAATACTAGTTGGTTAGTTTTGTCTGAATGACATTACATGTAATGGTATAACTTAAAGGATTCATACCTACATTTAGCAAACTCTAAAATTAAATATAAAAATGTGAACATATTTTGGTGATTTTGCTTTAAGAACATTTTTGTAGTGTTCCTCCTCTATAAAAAAAAATATTAGTTAACTTGGACGAACAAATTTGAATGGTTGAAAAAAACTTTTCTCCCACAAATGGAAGTTATTAAATTATAACTGAGGAAAGCTTAGAATGTTTTCCCAAAACATCATATCATAATCACAACTGACCATTTCCTAACAATATTTTCTCTGAAACTTTCATTTTTTCTTTGTCCTCCTATTGACATTTATCCAACACTTTTATTTATATGTAACATTTCACTGACATATTTGAGCATGTCATTATTGCCAGATTGTAGATCTACATAAGTTTACCTACCAAGAATCCCACAGAAAGTTTGAGCTCCATTGGAGGTGGCAGTTCCATAATGGCTTCAGCACCTTCTTCCAAACTGGCAAACTTAAACCACCCAGCTTTTCCTCGTGCATATTCTCCATTATCTATAAAGCTTGTCCTTGCCATTGGTCCAATGCTTATTTTTCTACCAGGAACAATCCTCAAGTGTCTCACTCCTATCATCTCACCAAACCATTTGAAGGCAATTTCTCCCTGTCCCAACATATAGACCAATGGAGACAGGAATGCCACACCTCCATCTTCAATCCATAAATTGATTGGTTCTTTAGTTAGATTCTGGAATTCCTCTATGTAAGCGATATGGTTCTGTTTGAGATGAATTCTAGCACTCTTATCTCCTTGCACTTTAGTAGTTGTCAGGGTCCTATTCATACCATCTTCTTTCAGTTGTAATGTTACATTATTGAATAGGTGAACCTCATCAAAGTAATATGTTGTTTTACCAGGCTCGTCCAGAATGAAGTAATGATCCCACGTGCGTTTGTTGTTGTCTAAGTGAAGCTGTTCGTAATCCCTTCCATTTCTAGTATCCTTTATATAAACAGATCCTGGACCTCCATCAGATAAGTATCCATTTGTCCCACTGCCACCAAGATTGTTGTAACTTCCATGGTAATAGATCTCTGTGTCTAGATGAAGACCAATCCTACCTCCTGCACCTCCTGAAGCACCATCACCTCCATTAATGCCAATAACACCATGTCCCTCTAGGTTGTGTGATTTAACATAAATACTACCTCCACTTCCTCCACCTCCTAAAGTTGCACCATCAGAACCATCAGCAGATACCTCTCCATCTACTAGCAGGTGCTTGGCTACATTGAGGTCAACAATACCACCTCCTTTACCACCATCAGAATTGACACTGCTACCTCCTCTACTTCCTCTCAAGTCAGGAGTATACATACTGCCATAATAACTGCCTCCTTCACGGATGGAAATATAGCTCGCTTGGTCATAGAGAGCACCTCCTTCACTGGCATGTCCTCCCCCAGTGGCAACCACAGAGGTACTTACACTGATACCAGACCCTTGCGACTCATCAATTGTATCCAATGATCTGTCTGTGGCTGAAGTTGTCACTTTAGAACCAGCTTCAATGTTGAATGTACTGGTATTTAGGTAGATACTTTCAGCTGAAATAGTAGACTTGTATCTACAGTCTATTTTGCCAATATTACTGAGCATTGGTTTATCTGGAGCATATTGTATTGTGGAAAATGCTCTAAGGTCAACAGAACCAAATGTTGTTTGTCCATTATCATCTTTGTACAAATAAGTCTTTCCTTTGTCCGAATATGTTCCATCTCCTAACATGGCTGTATGACCATTCTGACCAATGTAAATTAGAGTTTCAAATCCTAAAGCTAAGTTAGCCACACCTGTAAATCTCCCATATATTTGTACAGATCTAGATTCCGTGTAACCAGTCATGTGAACACCTTTGCCGTAAATATAAGAAATAGCTGGTATAATAATTTCTCCTCCATCGTCCACTATGAAGTTGACACCAGAGGTCAGTGCTTGTCTTATGCCTTGTTCATATTCCACAATATAACGTTGATTATCATGAAGATGTAACAGACCACTTCTATCACCAAATAACTGTCTTATGTCCATAAATATATCTATTCCTTTGTCTCTAACTTGTAAAGATGCCTTCCTCATAATATGAACTTCATCAAAGTAAAACTCTGTCTGTGTCTGTTCATCTATTGTGGAGTACTTTTCAATGGATCTGTCAAGGTTGTCTAACATCAATCTTCTGTATGCAACACCTTTTCTAATGTCCTCTAAATAAACGGTTCCACCCCCAGCAGCAAGTTCATCAGTTGACCCTGCTCCGCCGAATACATAGTATTCTCCTTCATATTCTATCACCTGTTTAGAATCAATAGATATCCTTCCAGCTGATCCTGCTCCATATGATCCACTTCCACTCCCTCCAACAGTGGAGAAGACACCATATCCTTCAATGTAATAGGTCTCTATCCAAATACTACCTCCACTTCCGCCACCAAGAGATGAACTGCTGCCATTGACTGAGATCTCACCATCATTGATGACAGACAAACCTGCTTTCAGGTAGATTTTACCTCCTCCTCTACCACCAGTTGAATGTGGTCGACTTCCTGCATCTTTTGGGTGGTAAATGGACCCATAAGAATCACCAGCAATAGTTTTTGATCCACCACCAACTCCACCATGGCCTGCACCACCATATGTTCCATTAGCTTTTCCACTTAGAATGTCAATATTTTCTGAGCCTATCCTATCTTCACTGGCTGCAGATAGTTTTGCTTCTAGCTCAATATTGATATTTGAACAGGAGATATTAAAATAATCTGCTGTTATGCTAGACTTGAATTTTGCATTAAGTGTTCCTACTAACATTTCTGCTCCAGTATTCTCATCAAAGTCCAATGAGCTACCAGGGTCAAGTTGTAAGAGTCCAAATGATACTCTTGCCTGGCTTGATAATTCTGTGGCTTTCAGTGGTATGATCCAAGCATTGGAGCCCATTCTCATGTGTCTCTTTGTTCCAACAATCAAGTTTACAGCTCCTCTCATTATTCCGTCAAGATCCAAGGCAGTTGTGCCCTTTCCTAAGATTGTTGTGGTCTCGGATAAGATGAATTCTCCACCATTATGAAGTTCAAGATTAATCTCTAATTTTGAGATAAGTACATCTAAAGAGAACCTCTCCAAGGTACCAATTTGATTTTGTCTCATTCTTATTAAACCAGTTCCATCCCCATTTACATTCTTGACATTAAGCAATCTTTGCTGTCCATCTTCTGTCACTTGAAGCTTAGCATAATTTTCAACATTAAGCAAATCAAAATCAATATCTGTATTGTTTTCATTCAGTGTTAAATAGTGAATAGTTTGACCATTTTCATTATCTACAGTCAAAGTTTCAAATTCATTCTTGCCACTACCAATTTTAGTGTAAATAGAACCAGGACCACCTCTACCATTTGTTGCAGACGAATCACCACCTTTAGCTCTATATGCTCCTATACCAGTATAGAGATCCTCCTCTGAATAGGCAGCAATTCTACCACCACTTCCTCCTCCTGCTGAAGAACTACTTGTGTCTCCTCCATTACTCTCCATTAGACCAAATCCTTTCAACATAGTGGCACATGAGACATATATACTGCCACCACTGCCACCACCACCACTGGTAGACGAATCACCATTTGCCCTCAAGATACCATCCAGGGTAAAAGTATCTGTCTGTATAGAGATATATCCACCTCCCTGTCCTCCATTGCCACCTTTTGATCCTTTCAGTAGTGGAACATACAGGGATCCATAGGGTGTAGAAGTAGTAGATAAACTGAAACCGTCACCAACTCCACCCTCACTCGCATATGATCCTCCATTGTTATTGGTACCATGAGCTGATGATGGAGCCTCAATTTCTAATGCTTTACCTACAACATTCAGTTCAGCACCACGTTCCATTGTTAATGTTGCAATTTTCAGGTCAACAAAGTCAGAATGTAGAACAATGTATCTCTTTATATCCATGGAAACAGCTATCAATTGCAATCCAACTGACGGTGAGAAAGTGGATCCATATTTCAGTCCAATGTAACCTAATGAGTACACTCCTGGTGTTGAGGTACTGACATCATAAACACCGGCTGAATATGTTGCAGTCATTGAAGTAGGCTCTAGAATAACAGTACCTCCATTTTCCACAATTAGATTGTTAAAAGTGACCCTTCCTTTCAGAGTAACAGTACAGCCACTAACAGTCATGTTTAGAGGGACATGTAATGTGGCCTGCTCTGCAAGATCAATGTTTATATTTGTGATAAAATGTCTCTGTTCACCTTCAAAAACTTCAGCTTTCAAAATTTGTTGATTTTGGACATTCATTGTTCCAGTGTTGTCACCATTGATGTTATCGATTCTAAGTAATGTAGTGGCTCCCTCTATGTTTGCATAGGAATATCCTAAAAAAATAAAACAGTTCAAATGAGACTGGTTTTTTGAAAGTAAGTTTTGACAATACTATTTAACATGTATTTTTAAGAATGTATTCTTAAAAAATTATAATGAATCCTTTAAAAGTTTTTATCTTTTTTTATTCAACAATAAATTGCTTCGCCGAGCGCAGCTGGATACGACAGCAGAGGTCCAGCCCTGAACAGTTGGGGCAAAAATGGACACAATATTCGCGCTTGATACAGGTCTGAATTTGGATTGTAATTAAATATTTGACACATAATAGGTTTCTAACACAGAATAACTGTAGTCAAAGAACTTAGAATTGGTTATATGATTCAAATTTATATTCAATTTTTTGCTTTTGTGCAATACACTATGCTGTTGCGATATGGTCATAATCTCAATTCAAATTTCCAATGGAGTTTGCAACCATAATTACCCATTTAAATACATCATAAAAGTCTTAAAATAGAAAATGACATACATAACCATTGCTAAAATTAATATTCCTTAATCAGCATTTTTAAATAGTAACTTCTAAAAATAAATTGACAGCTAATCACCTCAAGACAATACAACATTTCTTTATACATAAATTAAAAGCAGTGTAAGGGAGGTAATCTAAACATAACATTGTATTTTTTTTTAATTGTCCATTAACCAGGAAACCCTTGTTTTTCCCCCTTTTTTGCCCCTAATTCCTAAACGGTTTGAGCCATAACCCCCCAAAGCCAATCCTAACCATCCCTTTGTGGTATGGAAACTTGTGGTACAATTTCAGAGAGATCCATACACCGTTCCACAAGTTATTGTCTGGAAACTAGAAAAATGCCTGTTTGGGCACCTTTTTGGCCCCTAATTCCTAAACTGTTAGGACTATAACCCCCAAAATCAATCCCAACCTTCCTTTTGTGGTTATAAACCTTGTGTTTAAATTTCATAGATTTCTATCTACATTTACTAAAGTTATTTTCCGGAAACCAAATGTCTTCGGACGACGCTGACGACGACGTGATACCAATATAGGACCCCAAAATTGTATAAAAATATGTGTCCATGGGACACCATTCACCATGCACTATTTGACTATCACAACATGTGTACTAAATGTGTACAAAATTTTACTATTAAACTTATCTGATGTTATTACACCTTACATATATTTCAAACAATTCTATTGGGTAAAACGTTATCATGTGACATGGAATAATTCAGTTAATTTTCATTCAATTGCAAGAAAGAACGAATAACCTTAAAAATTTACACCAGCGTTCAATAACCCTATTAATAACCTTAAAAATTTACACCAGTGTTCCATAACCCTATTATTCACCGGCGAATAACCTTTTTAGTTTGTTGATTTGTACCCATGAAAATGACGTCACAGACGTAAATAAACAAAATGGCAACGTTCAAGTTACAGGAAGCCCATTGATCGAGAGAAGAGGAAATAAGGCTTTTGACGTGCATCTTGTGCCGATGATATCTCTAATAAAGGTCCTTTTTAGGGCCATCAATATTTTACAAAAAGATTCTACCTTTGTTGTACATACGAGAATTCTAAGACACAAATTACATGTATTTTTGAAAGTACTTTGTTGTGTTTGTTACGGACTCAAGTAAGGGTAAGTGCTATTACAATTATTCAAAATGCCCTTCCACTGTTAGTTCGGTATAATAAAACAATTGTGGCCCCTTAGAAGCGATGAATATCCAAAATTGTCAACCCTTAAAAGTTAATTCACTTCGGGCTGCGCCCTCAGTGAAATAACCTTCTCATGTTGACAATTTTGGATATTCATCTTTTCAACGGGCCATAATTGTATATTATGACAAAAATGTTTGTGTGATTTATCATAAATTAACAGTCAGTGAGAGTTTTCTACCTTTGAGAGATAGAACATTGTAGTAGAAGTCATTTGATGTTGTTCCTGAGATGAGTGTGTGTGTCTGTTTCTGTACTGATGATTCTGTGTCCCCAATAATCCACAATCTGTTCATTAAACTGTTCCCTGTCCCATCTTGTATATAGATGGTACCAGCTCCAGCTTTGACAGTGTTCAAATTATCATCATTTTCTCCTCCATAAGCTGTTATTGTTCCATCAAAGTCAAAACTATAAAAACAAAATGTTTTGGAAAATTCGAGCAAAGAAACATTTACTATCCAGATAAATAAATGTTAATAATGGTGTTCCAATATCATTATTTAAATAAATTTACTGAGGATTTTCTACCCCAGGAATAGATTGCCTTCTAGAATTTTGGGTCATCTATGCTCTTCAACATCATACTTTACTAATGAGTCTTTTGTAGACAAAATGTGCATCTGGCATACATAATTATATATCTGGTATCTTTGATGAGTTTTTATATTCCAAATGTATAATACAATAGTAAATATAACAAGAGTGCACACGCTGAAATGTCTCGCCTTCTTTACTAATCATTGATATTATGTTGATAGTCCTAAATATAAAGCTTTATTACAACTGTCACATAAACTTAACATTAACCAAGTAAACTAAACATTGACCAATGAACCATGAAAATGAGGTCAAGGTCAGATGAACCATGCTAGGCAGGCATGTACAGCTAACAATTCTTCCATACAACAAATATAGTTTAAGAAAAACAGACCAAAACACAAAAACTTAACACTGAGCAATGAACCTTGAAAATGAGGTCAAGGTCAAATAAAACCTGCCTGACTGACATATAGATCATAAAATATTTCCATACACCAAATATAGTTGAACTATTGCATATAGTATTAGAAAAAAAGACCAAAACTCAAAAACTTAACTTTGACCACTGAACCATGAAAATGAGGTCAAGGTCAGATGACACCTGCCAGCTAGACATGTACACCTTACAATCATTCCATACACCAAATATAGTAGACCTATTGCATACAGTATAAGAAAAACAGACCAAAACACAAAAACTTAACACTGAGCAATGAACCTTGAAAATGAGGTCAAGGTCAAATAAAACCTGTGTGAACGACATATAGATCATAAAATATTTCCATACACCAAATATAGTTGAACTATTACATATAGTAATAGAAAAAAAGACCAAAACTCAAAAACTTAACTTTGACCACTGAACCATGAAAATGAAGTCAAGGTCAGATGACACCTGCCAGCTAGACATGTACACCTTACAATCATTCCATACACCAAATATAGTAGACCTATTGCATACAGTATAAGAAAAACAGACCAAAACACAAAAACTTAACTATAACCACTGAACCATGAAAATGAGGTCAAGGTCAGATGACACCTGCCAGTTGGACATGTACACCTTACAGTCCTTCCATACACCGAATATACTAGACCTATTGCTTATAGTATCTGAGATATGGACTTGACCACCAAAATTTAACCTTGTTCACTGATCCATGAAATGAGGTCGAGGTCAAGTGAAAACTGTCTGACAGGCATGAGGACCTTGCAAGGTATGCACATACCAAATATAGTTATCCTATAACTTATAATAAGAGAGAATTTAACATTACAAAAAATCTTAACTTTTTTTTCAAGTAGTCACTGAACCATGAAAATGAGGTCAAGGACATTGGACATGTGACTGACGGAAACTTCGTAACATGAGGCATCCATATACAAAGTATGAAGCATCCACATCTTCCACCTTCTAAAATATAAAGCTTTTAAGAAGTTAGCTAACGCCGCTGCCGCTGGATCACTATCCCTATGTCGAGCTTTCTGCCACAAAAGTCGCAGGCTTGACAAAAACAAAGACTTCTGAAAATAAAATTAAAGTGGATGAGTTTGTTTATATTGTTTGTTCTCAGTAATTATATACCATTGCAAACAATAAACAATAAATTTACTGCATATAAACTATTGCTATATAGTATACCTTTGAGTAAAAACAAATTTCATTCTTCCACCAGAACCTCCTCCTCCCTTGCCCAATCCTTGACCTCCATTCACTGATATCGTGCCATCACCGAGAAGATTCCTACAGTTTGCCACAATAGTCCCACCACTGCCACCTCCAGCACCACTTCCTGTTGCACTAGCACCATCTACTTTGATCAAACCTGGAAATGAAATTTTTGAATTATAACTGAGTGGTCAGCAATTCCTTTATAATTCATACATTTTTTGTTTATTACAAATTTGAATAGTTTTATCATCAGCCTAACTATTTATTGACTAAAAAACTGTTTTTCAGCTCATAATTTTCATATAAACAAACTATTGCCCTGTCCATAACAAAATTTCTTTAATTTCTAAAATTAGAACTGTATTACTACAATGTCCTCATGCTAGTTCATGTTGTTCAACTTAAAATTCTTTGCTGTGTGTTTTTATTTACTGAAGTCTGTGAGCAAATTTCTACTCTTCTGAAATAATTTAATAACAAAATTGAGAATATTAGAAAATTGATGCCTTTCACAAACCTGAAACATTTAAAATTTCTATGTTTTTGAATTTAGAAAATGAAGGAAATGTATTATGCTAGTTCATGTCGTCCAACTTAAGACTCATTTGTCCTGGTTTTTTTTCTTGTGAAGCCCACTGGAAAGTTTCTATTATCTAAATATTTTAGGAAGTGCAATATAAACTTTGGTGTTTTTAACTGTTTTCCAGATGAATAATGCAGTTAAGACCCCACACTATAAAATTTATGCTTTATGGATTACCTAAAGGTCATACTTTAGGTTATCTTGAATAATAGTAAATTTGTTTGCAATGACAGTTTCCTCTGATATCCCCTAAGCAATCTTCTCATTTCATTCTATTAACATACCATAATTAGTGAGATCATAGAATGTCTCAATCTTTAGATATCCTCCTCCAGCTCCTCCCACTCCAGAGTTAGAGTTACCTCCTCCACTGCCTTCTTCACCTGGTACTCTTGCCAAATTATAAATGTCACCACCTGTATTGGATTCTGATGGAGAGCCACCAGGACTGGCATATCCTGCTCCAGTTGCTAAATCTTCACCATTTATCTGAAAATAATTGATGAAACATTTATGTTTTCAAATGTTGATATTTTGTGTTACTGTGGATTCATTATTATATGTTGGATACCAATTTTCATGGATTACATGGTTACTTGGGAACGACAAATTCCAATGTACAACGAATTACATATTTTTTATAAGAATATATGCAGACTTTGACAAAACCACGAAATCAAATATCCACAAAAATGCAAGTTTTCCTCAATCCACGAAAATTGGTACCCACGAAAATAAATGAATCCAAAGTATCTATTCTAAAATTGACAATTTCAGGTCTTGAACCGTAACTTTCGTTTGACCTTCTACAAAATGAAAAGCAATTTCCTATCCTTTTTAATTGTTGATAATGCAATTTACAAGTTAGTTATTAACAAATTGTTTGGTCTGTTTTAAAGCAATAAGGTTTCGATCTTAACCCAAAACATCAAGTTGATCTAACTGATGACAGGATCCATCCTCTCTTTTTTTTACCTTTGATCCAAGAACTTAATATAAATACAGTCTATTCTCTCTGCATGTTGATTTAAACAAAACTCGAATGTATGGAATATCTTGTTGGAATACTAATGAAAATGGATTTATTGAGAAAGAAATTAACATTCAGCAAGATCCTTTATTCTACTAAAATTTGATAAAGTGATTTATTCTGTATTACTGATAATATACTACTAATGAGTACGCACATTCACACCATCCTCACCTTCCACAAATCCATTACACCACCTTACCTGTAATCCTTTACCAGGACCTTGTTCAGCAGCATATCCCCCACCAGATAGATCTATAGTAGAACCAGGCTGTAATAAGATCTCATTACTCTGAAGTAATATTCTCTCTCCCTTCAGAGTAGAACCATAATGTAACTCTAATATGGTTAGCTGTAATACTTTCCCTGTTGTTTCAAATGTTACCCTAGCATAGTCTTTAATAATGAATCTAGCAAATCTGTAGGCTCCGACTTCCTGAGCTGTCAATACTCCATCTTTGTATGTAGCAGTTCTGGTAATTTTAGAAAATGTGGCTTCTTGACCTGAAGATACTATCAGGGTCTGGATATTGGTGAGTGTTCCTAAAATATTTATCATATAATATCATATCGTTTATTTAAAAACATTAAAATGGTCATATAAATTTGAGTCTCAGATTCAGCAGTTAAAGTGAGAAAACTAGATATCATTGAGATGGGAGCCATCTCTGTGGGCCCCGCTGTGAATAATGTGTGGTAAAAAATTTGTATCTTTATCATTGGACATGGGGTTGTCAACTGAAACTAAAGTTTTTGACCTTCACCTTTGACCTAGGAAGTTGTACATAAATTATGACACACCCTCTGGTGTTGGTTTATATACATGTCAAGTATAAATTTTTGAAATCATAATGGTTCTCAAGATATAGAGCGGACGCGATCTTTACCATAGGACATGGGGTTGTCTACTGAAACCAAAGTTTTTGACCTTGATCTTTGACCTAGGAAGTTGTACATAAATTATGACACACCCTCTGGTGTTGGTTTATATACATGTCAAGTATAAAATTTTGAAATCATAATGGTTCTCAAGATATAGAGCGGACGCGATCTTTACCATAGGACATGGGGTTGTCTACTGAAACCAAAGTTTTTGACCTTGATCTTTGACCTAGGAAGTTGTACATAAATTATGACACACCCTCTGGTGTTGGTTTATATACATGTCAAGTATAAATTTTGAAATCATAATGGTTCTCAAGATATAGAGCGGACGCGATCTTTACCATAGGACATGGGGTTGTCAACTGAAACCAAAGTTTTTGACCTTGACCTTTGACCTAGGAAGTTGTACATACATTATGACACACCCTCTGGTGTTGGTTAATATACATGTCAAGTATAAATTTTGAAATCATAATGGTTCTCTAGATATAGAGCAGACACAATTTGTTACGGACAGACGGACAGATGGACGGACAGACGGACGGACAGACTGATCACTATAGGGCGTTCGCCATTCGGCGGGGCCCTAATAAACTGACATTGCAATTTAAAATGATCCCTATCTTAACAAGGCAGACAACTGCAATATTATATAGGATTTGTCTTTTGTCTGATGAAACATTTTGCATCGCCATTATAAAACTACAGTAGTTTTAAGAAAAATAAGAAGATTAATGATGAAAAATAATTAATTTACTTTTCAGATTTTTGCTTGTCTAATGTTTGTTATATCATTATATTCATACAATCATATCTCACCTTTAAACTGGTTATCTGCTCCAAGTAATTCCACAGTTTTTGGCAGTCTAGCTTCACCTAGTTCTTCTATATGTAAACTGCAAGTCAATTTACTATAGGAGCTCTCTATATCTGCACTGAATATTACATTGTCTTGTACAACAAGGAAGGATTCAGATCCACAAACCAATACAGATGCTGTAAAGTGAAGACCAACTGTTGTTACTTTAATTGTAGTCTTGTCTCCGACTTCCATCTCATCAACTTCAACTGATGTTGTCCCAGGTGTGTCAATATGTGTTGCAGCAATGCTGCTTCCAGTTATTTCAGCATTATCAGATAGTAATTTACGGTACAAAATATTACCAGACGTGTACTTAAGGAATGCTGTTCCAGCCCCACCAGCCTGTGCAGTATCCGAGTTACCTCCCTTCAGTGTGTATGTCCCTGTGTAATTATAGTCCCCAGTACAGTACATGTAGACTCTTCCACCACCACCACCGCCGCCTGATGTAGAATTTCCCCCAATGACTGAAACTGAACCAGATCCTAACATGTCTACTGTTTCTATGGAAACAGAACCACCACTTCCTCCTCCTCCACTATTATCACCTTTGTATCCATGGGAACTGATCATTCCACTCAAGATCAGTGTGTCAGTGACCTTCAATTTGACAATGCCACCACCAAGTCCACCAATGCCACCTGTAGTTTTATTTCCACCAGCTGATCCAAATTCATCTGCAGTAAACACATATCCAACATAAGTGACCAGCGGTTTTCCTTCAGAACTTGAACTTCCTCCTGAGCCTCCATGACTTGCTCCGGAACCATCCTGTCCAACACCAGATCCAGATTCATGGTAACCTCCATCTACACTCAGTAAGCCATTATAAGCTACCTGCATGGTGGGTACATCTACATAAAGATTTCTGGCACTCATTTCACCACCATATTTGATGTTAAGTTCACTCAGGATTTCTAATTTATATCTATTTGATGAATCTTGTGCAACTTCTAGTTTTCCATCTGTGGTGACATCAAGGTTTGTAATAGAAAATGTTCCAAGATCAGATAACTGTGTTGTAGTCAGGCCACTGTGAGCATTGTAACTAATGTATGCCTTAGCATGTAAACCTACTATCAAGTGCCGAAGTGCAATCACATTTCCTTGAATGTCTAAATTCAGTTCTTCATCATCAGTTTCATCTTGCAACAAGAGTTTGGCAGGCAGTGTGGCAAAGCCACCATTCTTTATCAACATTTTACATGGTAGTGAAAAAGGATACTGGGTACCATAGCTAGTGGCTACTACAAAATATTGTAATGTCTGCACAGTTAACAACCCTGTATAATCTCCTTCAATAAGCTCTATCTCAATATTTGATGAACCACTAGAATCAAAGACAACTTTAGCATTTCCAGCCAGTTCAAGCTCTGACACTGTAGTGATACTATTTATAACTGTCCTGGAGTCTGTGACTAATTTGTTATTGTCCACCAACAGTTCTGTTTTTGAGGCTCCGCCAGACAATTGATATTGTTTATATACAGAACCAGCTGCTCCGTGTTTAGTTTCTCCAGCTCCACCAAAGGCTGTCGTAGCACCAAAGAAAGAGGTCATGACCTTGACATCTAAAGCCATACGACCTCCTCCACCACCACCTTTATTTTTACTGGTACCTCCATTGACAGAGATGGTACCATGACCTTCCAGACTGTCTCCAGTAATCTTGATGCTGCCACCACTTCCTCCTCCTGTTGATTCACTATAACCACCATCAGCTGATACCACACCATCAATGGATATTGTTTTAGCATTTATAGAAATAATTCCTCCTCCTCTGACAGTAGTGCAGCCACTTCCAGCGTTTGTTGGAGAGGTAGTTGATCCATATGTTTTGTCTGTACTGCCACCTCCCTCTCCACCATAACTGGCCCCATTCTCAGTGTTGCCTGTCCCTGAACCTGTGAGGGAACCGCTAGCAGACACAGATAGCACAGCATTGTCCTCAATGGTAACATCAGTGGCCACCAAGGTAAAGGATTTCTCATCAGATTTCATAGTTAAAGATGATTTGACTTTCATATGGAATGTTGATAAAGTCAAACTCACTGGATTATCATGTAAAATTAGAGTGGAGTTATAGCCTAGCATTATAGACTGAACATTACTGTATGTAGCTCCAGATTTCAGTTCCATCGTGGTATATTCCTGTAACTTGAATGATGTGACTTGCAGGGTACCAGTAGGTTCTATTGTAACAGTACCATGGTCCCATACTCTAAAGTTCTGTGCTATAAGTGTTCCATGTAAATTCAAAGTAGGATTAGACCCTGTTAGATCAAAATCAGTATTCACTCTCAGTGTTGAACCTGATTCAATGTCAAAGTTACACTGACAGCCATGATTGAGTTCATCAAACTCTGATATAGTCAGCTGAGCATTATTGGCTACAGTAACTGAGCCAGATCCATCAGAAATGAGTTTATTGATTGTCAGAGTTGTTCTGAGTGATAATGAGGCATCACTGGTTAGTTGGACTTCACTTAGAGAGCTTGGTAGAGACAGAACACTGTCAACTTCTGTTGTGCCTGATTGATCTATAATCAACATGGTATATTGAGATCCAGATTCAACCTTGGAAACATACACAGTTCCTGAAAAAATAAATAATTGTGCTTCAGGTAACTTGACTCTGAATTTAATCATTTATTTGTCCAATTTTGTATAATATCAAGGCTTAGGGAAATTATATTTATCTGTTCTAAACAGGAAGTGGATAACTTTACCCCCTGTCCGGTACAAAACAATCCATATAAGTTAATTAGATATAATTCTGGGCATAGTAATTTAAAGGATTATAGTCTGTGTTTACTTCAAATTGGCCAAGTGATATTAGAGACAAGTTTTTTTTTAAATGTAATTAATGTGAAGTGCTAGCCCTAACATAGCCCATTTGACCAGTTGGATTAAAAATCATATTACTACTCTAAACAACCCTGGCTTATAACAAATTAGTATGTCATACCTGGAAGTTTTCAGGCTGTATTTCCCCATAAGACTTAGACTAACTTGCAGAAAATTTTACTATTTCCTATTTAATCATCTTTATACACAAGTATACTAATTCTGCTAATAACTTTAAAAAATAAAACAAAACTGTTACAACTATTTCTATTAAATTTACCTGGTGAAGCATCATTTCCTGCTGCTGTAAGGTCTCCTTTGTAACTATATGTCCCGGAGACTTTAACAGAGATTCTTCCACCTCCTCCTCCTCCAGCTCCACCAACAGCAGACAATGTTCCTGTTCCAGACATATCCTTAGCTGTAACCAGTATACTGCCACCACTGCCACCAGATGTTGCTGAATTCTGACCATTCACATTAATCTCGCCATTCAATGTGAACTTATTAGTGACATCCAACTCTATTTGACCTCCACCTGAACCAGAACTCAAAGATGCACCAAAACCATTACTTCCATATGCCTTAGGAGATATGATGTTCCCATGAATTTTGTTTGGATTATTCTTTCCACTTCCTCCGTAACTAGCTCCTGCACTACTGCTGCCTGCAGCTCCTGGCCCATTAGCCCTGTAGCCTTTGCCAATTCCTTCTATGATTCCTCCATATTTGATTTCCAGATTGGTGACTGTTATCTTTGTAAAGTTTTTACCATTTGGATCACCAGACAGGATAAGTTTTCCTCCAGCTTCAATCACAATGCTAGCATAAGAGTATGCCTTGGCTGCCAACTCACACTGAGTATCTCGGTAAATCAATAAATCAGTTGAACTGTCACATGTGGCATTTAACAATGGACTTATCTCATAAGTTTCAGATGCCTGAAAGTTAAAACCACTTTCAGTAATAGCGTATCCACCAGATTTATTATAACTGTGAGTTATTAATGTTGTGGCCTGGTTTGATTTAAGACATTTATCTGAATGTTCAAATTTTCCATTATGATCTATAATCAATGCTGAAAATGTTAATACACTTGTGGTTGTGTCATCCACATAGGAGTTACCTGTACGAGCAGGATTTCCAGCTTTCACAGTACCACTGTCTCGGATGTAAAGATTGTTTGTCTTTGGCATCAATGTTCCACAAATTTCTAGTAGGTGATCTTTATCAATGACAACGTTCTCTGGTAGTTCAAGTTTGCCATATTCAGAGACATGTATGGATGTCTTTAATGTCAATTCACTGACAGCTGAGGGATACTTAGTTGATAGGTACACTTCATTATATTTGTCCACAGTAAAAGTTGTAAACGTTTCTCCAATTATGTCCCCTACTGTAGCACTAAGAGCAAAACCTACACTACCTCTCTCTGTAAAAGCAACTGTAGATTTTGTTTCAATCTGTATTTTATCTAGCGTGACAGAGAACTCTGTAATGGGTACAGGTATTCTACTGATGGCATCTGTTATTATTTCCCTGTTGTTAATTATAATCTGTAAGAAAGAATCACTCTCAATACAAGTCAAGCAATTCTTAAAAAATGAACAAAAATTCTCCTCATTGCTATTCAATATGGAAATGTATAAATAATTTTTGGTGTATAAATGGAAGTAATATATTTAACCCATTTCTCTGACGTCAGTCTATTGTTCTTACTGTAGATTATTTTTTAAGAATCCACTGACCACAGTATTAACTTAATAGAACTTATATTATAACTTTAAACCTTTAACTTACGATCTTTTATCCTCTCAAAAACGAGTGGCATGTGTAGGATTCGAACCCGCGCGTATTTTCTTCATAATCAATAGAGTCTTCAGTCTATGCATGATACCACTAAACCACGATGGCTGACATCAATCATTATATGAATAGTACTCTTAAAGCGCTTACTTGTCAATACATGTCATTTAACTGCATTTCTGTCTCATTGATAATTCGCTTTTGTAATCTAATGAAATAGATATATCTTGGTGTGTTCATGTTTATTGAATTTGTTTTATTTTGGGTGTTATTTTTTTTTTTAAGAAATGGGTTAAAACTACTTCTTTGACAGTAAAAACAGAAACAAAATCATCGCCATTGTATGAAAATGAAATATATAATACTTCTACATGTTCTAGGATTCAAACAATATTTTGGTCCAGAAAAAAATTACAATGAAAAAATTTCATTCCGGATACAAGGTTCGAACTTTGCACTGTTAATATCACCGTTATGACATTCGTTACCAACGGCTAGACGATCACGTCTATGAACAGCTTGATGGTAAGTTTATAAAATTAGCATAATTATTCATTGTACATCCGTAGCAAGAGCAATTTTGATGGGGATTCAGAATGCGTACCACAGATAAAACAAGTGTATTGACCGGTGAACGATATATGCCAAATGTAATAACGTTAAAATAAACTTAACTAAATGAAACGGAAAAAGTTTAAACATAATTTAAATATAGTTGTTCATTTTAAATCGTAAGCACATAATTTTAATACTTTAGGAAAGCAACACGAATTTGAGCATTAAGAAATGGCAGATGTATGGCATCAACCCTAATAATATTTACTAAGAACGGCTTAACGGTGTTCAGTCTTCCATATACCAAATCAAGTTGCTACATATTATATATATAGATTTTGAAGGTTCTAAATTTTGGTAATTAAATTTTTTTAACTTTTCAAAACAAGATAAATAAATTCTGTATATTAATATATGTCTTTTTGAATAAATTAAATATAACAAAATCTATTCAATTTAAATAATTTGTAATGATTAAACATTAAATGAAATATGTTTATACAAAAATAAAATCTGGTGTTAAAAAGGGGAGCTAACACCCCATTTAAGTTATCTTAAACTTATGTTAACTTGTCAAATGTCCAAATATAGATGCGAACCGTGTGGATATAATCATTTCCAGCTATTATAGAATAAAAAAGACAAAATACGAAACTATTTTTATGAAATATCGTTGATTCATTGTCAAAACGTAAAACAGACAGTCGTTTTACTAGAAATGGGTTAAGCTAGAGAATTGATAAGAAGTAGTGGATTCGGAAACGATAATCAACTTGCGACTAAAGTCGCTCGTTGATTATCCTTTACGAATCCACTGCTTCTTATCAATTCTCTACTACGTAATGTGTACAAAAATTGTACAATATTTAGTGGAATATCTATTTCTATGGATTTAACTGTTAAATTGTAAATTCTTTAATGATTTATTATAGCTACAAGTTCAGAACTAAAACAATTTTGCAATCCTGCCAACTTATGATTTTCAAAGAAAACATGACGGGTCATAACTGTCATACAAAAATTTAAATCAAACTGTAAAATAAAAAAATAGAAAAATTAAGGATATGTAATTTATATGATGTGATTAAATTAACATTTTGATGATTGCTTAATCATATTTCATTACTAGGAATAAACAAATTAATGCCTGTACCTTACAACATTTATCAAAACTAGAGGCTCTAAAGAGCCTGTGTCGCTCACGTTGGTCTATGTGCATATTCAACAAAGGACACTCTCCAAAATTGTTAACGAAAATAGAATTTATGACAAAAATCTCTGTTTTGTTGATCTTGTATTGCTGATCATTTAGTCTGTTTAGTTTCTCTCTATCTTCTTTAGTTTTTTGCTCAAAACACAAAAGAGGGTAAAAAAAATTTAAAGGCAATCACTCCAATAAAGAGTGACAGTCTACAAATCGGCAAAATTTGACTTGTTAGTAGATCTTGCCTTGCTGATCATTTTTGTGATTTAAAATGTCTATTTATCTATTATAATTTTTATCATTTAAGGCAAAATGCAAAATAAATGGTAAAATCATCATTAAAGGGCAATAACTTTAATAAGGAGATGTCGAAATATTTCCTCCATATTGTCTAATCGAGATCTTGTCTTGCTGATTATTTTTGTTTATTTAAGTTTCTATCTATCTATTATAATTTTTAAGATATAAGGCAAAAATGCATAAAATTGGTAAAAATTGTCGTCAAAGGGCAATAACTCTAATAAAGAGTCGACTGACGATTTCGACCAGCCAACTTATTTGTAGAACTTGTCTTGCTGATCATTTTTGCAATTTAAAGTTTCTCTGTATCTATTATAGTTTTCAAGATAATAGGCAAAAATGAAAAAAAATGGTAAAATTTGTCATTTAAGGGCAATAACTCCTATAAGAAGTCGTTTGACAGTTTTGACGTATAGAAACAATTGGTAGAGCTCAACATTCAAAACATTTTTACTACCGTCAGATTTTCTCCAATTATAACAGTTTTAAAAAAAAAACAGACAAAACTTGCATTTTACCTCTATGTTCTATTTTTTGCCATGTCGGCCATCTTGGTTGGCAGGCAGGGTCATCAGACACATTTTTTTAAACTGTATACCCAAATGACGATTGTGGCCAAGTTTGGTTAAATTTAGCCCTGTAATTTCAGAGGAGATTTTTGTAAAAGTTAACAACGATGACGATGGATGCCAGGTGAGCTAAAAAAACTGCTTCGCTGAGCGCAGCTAGATACGCCCGCAGAGGTCCAACCCTGAACAGTTGGGGCAAAAATGGACACAATATTCAAGCTTGGTACAGGTCTGAATTTGGATTGTATTAAATATTTGACATATTATAGGTTTCTGAATAAATGTAGTCAAAGAACTTGAAATTGGTTATAAGAATTGAATTTATATTCAATTAAAGATTTCTTGCTGTTGTGCAATACACTGTGCTGTTGTGCAATACTTAGTAAATCTGTTGTCAGACTATAAACAAATAAAGTTCAATTAATTCTCAATGTCATATTAGAAATTTTAAAAATGTAAAGGGAGCTTACATCAATAGATATAAACAATTCACCAAAGTTTCATGAGAATTGCTGACAGCATTTTTGAGTTATTGTCCGAAACTGGAAAATCCCCCCTTTTTTAATGAATAAAACCCTGTAACTCGGAAACGTAAAATCTAAAATATATAAAAATCGAAAGGGAGCTCATGTAAATAGATATAACCAATTCACCACAATTTCTTGCAAGTTGGTGAAAGCATTCTTGAGTTATTGTCCGAAAACTGCAAAATCCCCCTTTTTTTAATGAATAAAACCCCACAACTCGGGGAATGTAAAATCTAAAATTTATAAAAAACGAAAGGGAGCTCACGTCAATAGATATAAACAATTCACCAAAGTTTTATGCAAATTGGTTAAAGCGTTTTTGAGTTAATGTCCGACATGTTGACGACGGACGGACAGACGGACGGACGGACGGACAACGGTATACCATAATACGTCCCGTAAAAGGGCGTATAAAAATGATATATAATTTTTGCATTTTTTTCCTTTGTTAGCACATGTTGAAACAGCAACATATTAGCAAGAGCGAACCTACCTTCAGTAAATAACAGAGCTTGAGTCAATAAACCTTCAGTAAATAACAGAGCTAGAGTCAATAAACCTTCAGTAATAACAAGTGCTAAAGTCAATTAACCTTCAGTAAATAACAACAGAGCTTAAGTCAATTACCTATTTGTAAATAACAACAGAGCTTTAGTGAATCAACATTCAGTAAATAATCTAATATTAGACTGGAATGAGAGAATTCAAGACTAAGGAGCTGTCAGTGGTGATGTATACAGCCAGCTTTCATAATACTGAATCTCAAAAGAACACATTGTTTATCTTTACGGGTGATCTTCTACACTTTTCATTGTTTACATCATAGAAAACTTTACCTTTCTGTCAGGTTCTAGAGAATTAATATCCTTGGCAAGGTAGACAACTCCAGCTGCTCCTGATTGGAAACTTCCTTCACCATTACCTCCGTAAGCTCTCAAATTACCATTAATATTACCACTAATGTATTCCATGGCTATCAGACCTCCTCCTCCACCTCCTCCTGACATACCATTTCCTCCATTCACACTAATTGTACCTGAAATTATAACCTTTATAATCAAATAGGTCCTATTACTTCTATGAGGACAACCAGCATCATGTTCAAAGGGAAGTCTCCAGATAGTACGTTTAATCTAATGAAAATGATTAAAAGTTTCTCAAAAATCAAATTGATATACAATTTCCTTGCTTTGTCACATCATTGATTTTAGTAAATCCCCATGTTAATATCAATAGTATATCGATAGTGATATGATAAAAATTGAGTGGTATTGCAATGTACTTTATTACTATATCAATTATTTTGAAAAGTGCTATACTTAGTCTCGACCATATGCCTTGCAGAGTCTTAGCAAACTTAATCTGTATTAAAGTCCTAATTGTACTTGATAATTCCTTAAAAAGAAATGGCCAAAAGCAAATCAGACTTGGTCAAGTTTGGCAGAAACTCAATATAGTGTGGCTCAGAATAAATAGAGTCCAGTTAAACTGGTCAGAACATTTCATATTAAAGTGACATACAATTAGTACTGTTTAGTACAGTCGAGACATAAATTATTTTCCAAATCAGTCAGTACTGTTTAGTTCAGTCGAGACATAAATTATTTTCAAAAATCAGTCATTACTGTTTAGTACAGTCGAGACATAAATTATTTTCAAAATCAGTCAGTACTGTTTAGTACAGTCGAGACAATATTTTTATGCAGATCAGTCAGGTAAAATTCAGTGCAGTTCAGTAAACTCTTCCTAGTACCAAAAAAGTCAAAAATAGGGAAAATTGTATCCAAAAAGTATGTTTCAATCAGGTAAAATGAATAAAGCATATCTTAATTATATCAAAAGTAAATAAAAAACTAGACAAAGTGATGCCCCCGCAATCAACTCTGAAGTAACTGTATTAACAAACAAAGTCAAAGTAGGACTTTCTTTGAGATATTATTGTGTCTGGGAGACACAAATGATGCCCCCGCAGATGCAAAGTGTTATTTCAAAATAAACAAAGTTGAGCATGGGAGCACATGGGTCCTTGATTCACTGTAGGAGGAGTTATCTGAAAACGCTATGCACCTCTTATGCAAGTGTATACTCCAAAAATGACAAAGTTCAACTATCTCCCAAAAGAGCAAATATTAATAAAAATCAAACCCTGACCACATGCACACCTTCAATATATGTACAAACAGCCAGCAAAGTGAAAACTTCCTAGCATGTAAACAGTAGGAGGAGTTATCCAGAAATGCTATGCACCTCTTATGCAAGTAAATACTCCAAAAAATGACAAAGCTCAACTATCTCCCAAAAGAGCAAATATCAATAATAAACTGTTAACACAGAGATATGTCTTGCCTATTTGTTATTTTGATAATGCAAATGTTGAAATTAACATAGCAATACTTTAACATGTAAGTTATGCAAATATTCAAAGTCAATGAACCATGACTGAAGGTACAGGGCTAAACAATCTCAATGGAAATGAGATGTGCCAATGCTAATACAACTGCATACCAAATACCATTGACTTTTCATAAGTCGTTCCCTTAAAACAAACCTAAACACAAACATTAACTTGTAAACTATGTAAAAGTTTCAAAGTCAATGAACCATAATGAGGGGGTGGGGTTATATAATCTCTATGGAAATAAAACTTGCAAATGCCAATACATTTGCATACAAAATATCATTGACTTAACATTAGTGGTTCATCTTAAACAGACATAATCACAAACTAATACATATGTAAACCAAGCAAAAGTTTCAAAGTCAATAGACCATGACTGAGGGGGGCGGGACCAAATATATGGAAATGAGATGTGCTAATGCTTATACAACTGCATACCAATTATCATTGACCTACCACTAACAGTTCCCCTTGAACTGACCTAATCACAAACTAATACATGAAAACGAAGCAAAAGTTTCAAAGTCAATAGACCATGACTGAGGGGGCGGGACCAAATATATGGAAATGAGATGTGCTAATGCTTATACAACTGCATACCAATTATCATTGACCTACCACTAACGGTCCCCCTTAAACTGACCTAATCACAAACTAATACATGAAAACGAAGCAAAAGTTTCAAAGTCAATAGACCATGAATGAGGGGGCGGGGCCAAATAATCTCCATGGAAATGAGATGTGCCAATGCTTATACAACTGCATACCAAATATCATTGACCTACCACTAGTGGTTCCCCATAAACTGACCTAATCACAAACTAATACATGTAAACGAAGCAAAGTTTCAAAGTCAATAGACCTTGACTGAGGGGGCAGTGCCAAATAATCTCCATGGTAATGAGATGTGCCAATGCTAATACAACTGCATACCAAATATCATTGACCTACCACTAGTGGTTCACCATGAACTAGACCTAATCACAAACTAATACATTGTTGACGCCGCCGCCGTCACCACTGCCGCCGCTGCCGGAAACAGCATACCTATGTCTCGCTTTTTGACTCTGTCAAGGCAAGACAAAAATCAAAATCCTGACCACATGCACACCTTCAATATATATACAAACAGCCGGCAAAGCAAAAAAAAGGAGTTATCTGGATATACTATATACCCATAATGGGACGGACGGAAGGACAGATGGAAGGACGGAGGGACGGATGGACTGACATACAAACGGACAGACAGGGGTAAAACAATATGCACCCCAACTTTCAGTTGCGGGGGCATAAAAAAGTTTGAATTCCTGCTGTAGTTAATTTAACCTTTTTATAAAATATTTCTACAAAAATAAAATATAAATTGGCAAAAATATAATATATAACTTGAGTTTATGTTTAGTGGCAAGAGGCTATATATAAAGTTGATAATCAAAACTTTATCATCAAGTATTTTACTAAAAAATAAAAATTTGATTTTTTAATATTTTCTATTTGATCCCTGTTTTATGGGACAGATTGAACCTACAATAATTACCTACCTACCTATAACCCTTAATTTAGATGTTTCAAATGGCAAAAACATATAATATTAGTTTATGTCTTATGACAGGAGGATATAATTTCCTTCTTCACTCATTCCAGTTTTTATATTGATTTACACCATAAATAATTATTTATCTAATCATTACTTAAAACTGTCATAAATATTATTATACCATACCAGTGACTTGAGCTGTTGAAGTAGACACCCATACACTTCCTCCGGAGGCACCGCCACTTGTTACATTGGCACTCTCGCCACTATAAATAACACACAAAAATCATAAAAACTTATACATAAAGCTTATCAAAACCTTATTTATTAATCTGGTACCTGTATACTTTCTTTAGATTTGCTTACTGATCAAACTTTCTCCATCATTTTCGAAAATATTTTGGTAAATGTCAATGAGTATATACACTAACCCCTATACACTAACACTATTTCATAACAGAAAGATTTAATGGCATAGAATAAAACCAAGGTACAACACTGATTTTCGGCAAAGAAATAAACAAAACTCCATCTGATGATAAATCATTAAGCATGCAACCAATACTTCAATCATTCTCAAACTATTATAAACTTTTCTGTATATTTTACAATAATGATGCAAGGGAATTTTCATATTTGACCTGAATAATAAGGATTAGCCCAATGATATATCAAAATACTCTTATGGAACATTGAGTCTCGCATAAACTTTCTTTCTATCTTTCATTCTGCATTTGATTATCTTAAGCTAGCATGTAATCAAAGAATCAGATGCATAATTAAATAATACAAAAACATTTTTGCCTAGAATAAAATTATTTACACTGAATCAGGTTTCAAAAGTAAATAATTTTATATATGTACATCTTAACAAACAGGCTTAAGTAAATATCAATCTGAACCTTAAGTGAGTACTGGTTTCTTTGAACTTACAATCTTTTATACAATATAACTCCTTCTTTGAACATCTGTCCTTGCATTTTCTAAGGTGGCACTCATTTAAAAAAAAAACAATTGTAGAAACAGTGCTTATTTTTGGGGCCCTTTATAGCTTGCTGTTAGGTGTGAGCCAAGGCTCTGTGTTGAAGACCGTACTTTGACCTATAAATTTTGACTTGGATGGAGAGTTGTCTCATTGGCACTCATACCACATCTTCTTATATCTATTTATTGAGTATGACTTTCTGATCTGACAGAAACAACCATATACAGAGTAACAAAATAAAAAATACTGACACAAAGACGGGTCAATCTGTAATTTTGTTTTAATATCACAACGTTACATAACACATTTCCTTGTATGCTGTCACCTTCTCAGCCATCAAGGGACATTAACTTTTAATGAAGGGGGTTCATGTTAAATATACTTACTCTGCAGTTATATCTCCTTTATGTGTAAATGTTGTGACCTGTACATGTAACACACCACCTCCATGTGTGCTGACACCACCTGAGCCAGGGGATGAGGGTTTAAGATAGGAATCATATGCAGATCCTCCAGTACCATTACCAATGCCTCCTCCTTCACCACCGTGGCCAGCACCAGCATTGTTAGATGCATAACCTGAAAAGTATAAATGTAATAACATCAGGTATTAGCTACATAAAATTTAAACTATGCACAAAATGGCAAGATATGTCTTTGTTTGTAACAGGTTCAACAATATGTCAAACACCTGATTTTCCTTTCTGACTTTGAATTTTACCTTACAGTGTAATTACGGACAGATAATGATTGAAAAAGAAAAACAATAAGAAAAAATGCTACAAAAACTGCTGCTCACTAATTTAAGCACTCTAAAACCAAATTTAATTTTTGCAGTGATTCCTATATTCTTACCATCTCCACTATCCATATTTCCCATCGCATTCAAGTTTATAACTCCTCCTTCTTCTGATTCAAACTCGGTAGCCTCCACAATTAGCCTCCCTGCTGTTATCTCACATGATGCTCCTATTAATAGCTTGTTTACTGCAAGGTTATACTGAACATCATCTGTCATTAATGTTTTACTTCCTTGACGGAGGTACAAGTTAGTAAGCTGGAATGTTGATGGAGTGGTGTGTGATTTTCCAGTTTCTCGCACATCTAGGGTTGACTTTATCATAGTCAAATCCTGAAGTCCTCCTAACTTTCCATGGACCAAGTTGTTTGTAGCATACATTTTGACTGTAGATGGCAATGTCAAAGTACCATCTGCATAGACTTTTGCATGTGCTGGGAAGTAAAGGGACACTTGTCTAATGGTGATCACCTGATGCACACCAACATGTACAGTACCAATATTTGATGTTGCAGTCACAAAATCATCATCACCATAGAAGCTCTGAGCTGTTAAAGAATGTATTTTAGAAGTGCTAGAACTGGGTTCCAAGGCTAAGTGAGCTCCTTTACGAAGATAGAGCTCACTTACTTCAAGAGTATTACTGCTGTCAAATGTTATCCAAGTTCTACTTCCATCACTTCTTAAAACGGTGTCTCCATCCATATTATCAATCAGTTCCTATAAAGTAAAGCATGTAAATAAATTTTGCATAACAAGCTACTATTATATCAAAATAATACAGAGTACAAATCAACTAAAGAACACAATAAAACAAAAAAGATCTATTATGCTTAACATACTATCTTCCAATGATAGAAAAGGTTAAATACCATATAAAAGCTCGATATCTATATATTAAATTCATTACTATATTTTCACTGTAGTTACTCAGATATAAAATACTGTTTTCGAATCATATCTTTTCTTGTTTTTAAAGAAAAATGTGTTAATTTTCTCACTGAAATACTGCCGACAGAAATCAAATAATTGTGTTCGAGAATGGCATTTTATATATACATGTATATATTCAGCATTCTGAGGACCCTTGATGATATGTGCATCGAAAATATTTATGCACAGAGCCTGAAATTGAACAAACCATTTTTTTTTTATTCTAAAAAGACTACTGCATGAAAACCATAAATTGATGGGTATTGAGCCATAAACAGGCTAAATTACAATAAAGAGCTGCCCCATGAGTGCATGATACTCCTGTTGCTTTTTCAAACTCAAAGCATTTTTAAGTTACTGTCCAAAAACTGGGAAATCCCCCTTTTTTCATGAATCAAATCACTGAAATCGGAAACAAATAATCTAAAATTTATTAACAAAAAAAGGGAGCTTACGCCAATAGATATAAACAATTCACCAAAGTTTCATGAAAATTGGTTAAAGCCTTTTTGAGTTATTGTCCGACATGCTGATGATGGATGGACAGACGGACGGACGGACAGACGGTATACCATAATACATACCGTCCCGTAAACAGGTGTATAAAAATGTGACCAAAGAAACTTTTTACAACCAGATGAAAATGAAAATATAGATATTATTCTATCATTTTAAACAATTTTCAGCAGGGTGTTATTCTGGTATATTAAATTCATTAATTACGCATCTTTTTCTTGACCAGCTACAATACTATTTGATAGTGCTATTTGTAAAGAAAGTAATCCGAAAATAATTTCTACACAACATTTAACACTTTTTTCATAGCTGCTATACCTGTAATGAAAAGTACATGAATGTTTGAAATTTGTCCTACAAATTTAATTTAATTGCTACATTAATTACTAAAATGCTGGGAATAAGGGAAGAAAGCAGCAATATATTGGTTGCTATTCAAAGCTTTTAAAAGAGTGATCTAGTCTTTTTTTTTGTTGTTGTTGAGTTGACCTCTCATTTATGTATACCTAAAATCGTCTAATAATTATGTTATTCATAATGCATCATATTCTGACAAGATAAATTTCCTAGTAAATCTTTACCTGTACAGTGTGAACTTCTTTGTTATCTATAATCAGTTTGGTTTTTGTACTGGAAGACTCATAAACTGTGCCTGCTCCCCCATAACCTGATGAAGAGTGTCCACCATAGGCAGTGAAATCACCTGTGTATTCGGATGATGTGTAATACACAGCTAAACGACCTCCTGCCCCACCACCAGCACCACTGCTGCCTTAAATTATAAATTTGTTCACGTTATAATACTCTGAAAACATTTTATTTGTGAATGTCGAAGACTAAATCGTACCGATCATTGAAATTAAAGGTTTATATCATAATAAGATAAAATAACCGTTCGACTAGCATTATAACTATACTACAAGGAAAGATCACAAAGCAGAAGTATCCATTTCTTATTTTGAATGTGATTTGTTAGGTCTTTTTTTTGTTTTCTTTTTTCCAAGTGTAAAGTATTTATTAGAAAAACTCAAAGATAATTTTCATAAGCAAACAATTGGGTAAACAATAAAAAAAAAAGATACCAAAATAAAGCAATGTTCTTGTTTGAATTGTTTAACATTTTTCATGTCAGGGTCTTTTATAGCTGACTATATATAGTATGGTTTTTTTTCTCATTGTCAAAGGCTGTACAGTGACCAATAATATATTTTTATATAGAATTTCTCTATTAAAAGTCTATTTATGTTTAAAAAAAACAACAAAAAATTTAATGTCCAGTTTCAAAAGATACTTTTTTGTACATTTGAACTTTATCAGTTTCTAAGCATTACCTTGACCCCCATTAACTTGAAGTTTGCCTTTACCATACAGGGCACCAGTCAGTAACTTGATACTTCCACCACTGGCTCCTCCACTACCAGATTTACCATCCTCTCCATTACAGCTAATTATACCTGAATTCCATGAAAGTCATAATAATTATCATTATAAATTTTACCTAAAAAATACACAAGGAGTCATCAGAAAAAAAATATATCTTGCATGAAAGAAAAAAAATTAATGTAGGCCATTGACACATTTGTTTTATTTCATTGTTCATAAATCTAGAGATTATCTGATGAAAGTATTTGGATTCAGTCTTAAGTAACAACAACATATTTTTTTGTTTGTGAAAGCAAACAAGAGGCTCTAAAGAGCTTGTGTTGCTCACCTCGACCTATGTGCATCTTCAACACTGGCCAGTCTCTAACATTATAGACTAGAATATAATTCATGACTAAAATCTTTGTTTGCTGTTGATCCTGTCTTGCTGATCAATCTTACTGTCTACAGTTTCTCTCTATCGTCTTTAATTTTTGCCAAAATTGAAAAAATAAAAAAAGGTTAAAATTCCAATTATTTGCAAAGCCTTATGTAAGGAATCTACTGATTATTTCCACTATGTTGACCTATTTGTAGAACTTGTCTTGCTGATCATTTTAACTGTTTATAGTTTTTGTTTTTTTAACAAAAGTATTCACAAACACTGCAAAAAATGCATAAAAATCATTTTTAAAAGGGAAAAAACTCCTATAAAGAGTTCACCGACATATTTAGCCATGCTGACATACTTGTACATCCTGTCCTGCTTATCACTTTTGCTGGTTAAAGTTTCTATTTATTTATTTAAATATTTAAGATAATAGCCAAATAGAAAAAAAATGGTTAAAAAAAAAGTCATTAAAGGGCAATAACTTGTATATACAGATGACCAACAATTTTGGAAATACAAAATGTATTGACTTATTTCTAGATCTTGTGTTGTGGATTATTTTTTATTTTTTTATAAAGTTTCTATCTTTCTATCATAGTTTTCAAAAAATAGGCCATAACAAAATAAAAAGTAAAAATCGTCGTCTCAAGGCAATAACTCCTATAAGTAGTCAACTGACAATTTTGGCCATGTTGACTTATTTATAGATCTTGTTTTAAAAATTAATCATTTTAGCTTTGAAAAGTTTCTAACTTTTGTGAATTCATATCTTTTATTGCATATCAATTTTTATGGATTGAGGAAAATTGTATGATTGTGGATCTTTTATTTCATGGTTTTATCAAAGTCTGCATACAAAACTTCAGAAAAGTGTATTTCGTTGAACATTTAAATTCGCGGTACAGGTTAACATAAGAAATCAACAAAAACTGGTATCCCACAAATATTAATAAATCCACAGTATTATAGTTTTCAAAATAATGGGCAAAAATGCAAAAAGTTGGTAAAAAATGTCATTAAAAGGGCAAAAACTTCGATATAGAGTCAACTGAACTCATTTGTAGATCCTGTCTTGCTGATCATTTTTGCCTTCAAAGTTCCTCTCTATCTATTAAACTTTACAAGATAATAGGCAAAAATGAAATAGAATAGTAAAATTTGTCATTTAAGGGCAATATATTCTATAAGAAGTTGTCTGACAGTTTTGATGTAAGTAGACAGTAGATAGATCTCATTATTCTTAACATTTCTGCTCCGGACAAATTTTCTCTGACGATAGCGATTTTCAAGATAATAGACAAATTTGCATTTTAACGCTATGTTAATTATTGAGCCATGTCAGCCATGTTGATTGGCTGATGGGATCATTGGACATATTTTTAAACTAGATACCCTATTGATGATTGTGGTCAAATTTGGTTCCAATTGCCCTAGAACTTTCAGAGGAGAAGTTTATGTAAAAGTAAACGGATATCAAGGGACAACAACAAACGACTGACGCAAAGCTTTGAGAAAAGCTAATTGACTCTTTGGGTCAGGTGAGCTAAAAATATGTAAAAGAGATTCTTTTTGGTAAAAGGAAAAATCATTTTCAATTTTAATATATGTATGATGATTTGCAAGTAACTTCTTTGAATTTTCTGAGGCTGCAACATACAACTTCTATCAAAATTTTTTAAATCAGCAAAGAAAAAAAATTGTACATAAAATTTAGTTCCTCAGTAACATTAAGACAATAAAAATGTTTGAAACATTGATGTATGAAAACAAAAATGATATGTCGTAGCAAAATGTCCCTTGCTGCAGTGTATGGTGGAAAATTTTTCAGTCACAAGGTGTGAGAATGCTGCAACAAGCTAAGGGTAGTCAAAGCCCCATAACTCTGGCAGAAAAGGTCAGATCAAATTGACATTATAGTATAGTCAAGTACACTTAGAGAAAAACTACCGAAATATGAACACTTTCTGGAAAAATGTCTGAAAGGAGTTGTGCTCACAAGGTGTCATTGTGATGTTATAGTCCTTAACATGTTCGAAGTCAAATATATCCTGTCAAAATTGTGATCAATCAATCTGACAGCATAGTATGGTACATAGAATATGATGACAAACAATCCTAACAAGTATGAAATGTTTCTATCAAATGGTATTGTTGTGTTTAAGATAGATGAAGACGATAACTATGTGCCATTTGGTAAACATGACGGAAGACAATATTTACCAAAATATTAATAAATTTGTACTTATTCAGCTGTTGAAATGAAAAATAACATTCCAAAGATGGTAAAATCTGACGTAAGTGGAAGCAAAATAAACTAGAGGCTCTCAAGAGCCTGTGTCGCTCACCTGACTCTACTTTGGTTTTAGAAATCATGTAAAGATAGATAAAATTCATAACAGATACCCAAATAATGATTGAGGCCAAATTTGGTTTAATATTGGTCCCGTTATTTAATAAAATATCCTGGTGGCCATCTTGAACAGTAAATCGAAACCAAAGTAGCAACACTTGGTCAGCACCTCATAAGGAACATTCATGCCATGTTTGGTTTCATTCCATTCAGTGGTACTCTAAAAGACAACATTTGTATGTATTTCCCATAAGGTCCTATGTTAAACTAAGTCCCCACTGGCGGCCATCTCATATGATGGATCGGCTGCAAAGTAACAAAACTTGGCAGCACCTCATAAGGAACATTCATGCCATGTTTGGTTCCATTCCATTCAGTGGTTTTCTAAAAGAAGACATTTGTATGTATTTCCAATAGGGTCCTATGTAAAACTAAGTCCCCCCCCCCCCTGGTGGCCATCTTGGATGATGGATCGACTGCAAAGTAACAACACTTGGTCAGCACCTCATAAGGAACATTCATGCCATGTTTGGTTTCATTCCATTCAGTGGTTCTCTAAAAGAAGACATTTGTACGTATTTTCCATAAGGTCCTATGTTAAACTAAGTCCCCCGCTGGCGGCCATCTTGGATAATGGATCGGCTGCAAAGTAACAACACTTGGTCAACACCTCATAAGGAACATTCATTACGTGTTTGGTTCCATTCCATTCAGCGGTTCTCTAAAAGAAGACATTTGTATGTATTTCCCATAGGGTCCTATGTTAAACTAAGTCCCCCGCTGGCGGCCATCTTGGATGATGGACCAACTGCAAAGTAACAACATTTGGTCAGCACCTCATAAGGAACATTCCTGCCATGTTTGGTTTCATTCCATTCAGTGGTTCTCTAAAAGAAGACATTTTTATGTATTTCCCATAGGGTCCTATGTTAAACTAAGTCACCCACTGGCGGCCATCTTGGATGATGGACCAATTGCAAAGTAACAACATTTGGTCAGCACCTCATAAGGAACATTCCTGCCATGTTTGGTTTCATTCCATTCAGTGGTTCTCTAAAAGAAGACATTTTTATGTATTTCCCATAGGGTCCTATGTTAAACTAAGTCCCCGCTGGCGGCCATCTTGGATGATGGACCAACTGCAAAGTAACAACATTTGGTCAGCACCTCATAAGGAACATTCATGCCATGTTTGGTTTCGTTCCATTCAGTGGTTCTCTAAAAGAAGACATTTGTATTTTTTCCCTCAGGGTCCTATGTTAAACTAAGTGGTTCTCTAGAAGAAGTTCAAAATGTAAAAAGTTAACAACGACGACAGACGACGGATGCCAAGTGATGAGAAAAGCTCATTTGGCCCTTTGGGCCAGGTGAGCTAAAAATGATTGAATATGGATTGTTTAAAGCATATACCAACCATCAATACTAGATGATGCACTGGCAACAATGTTTATGATACCCCCTCCATAAACTTCAGCCACATCGTATTTGGCATTGCTACCAAAATGTCTTGGAGATTTGACATCACCGTAAAAATAGCCACCAGAGTCTGCAACAGTGCCTTTACCACCCATGCCACCATGACCTGCTCCTGCTTTATCATCTGCCACTCCTGTGCCACCTCCAAATGATGAAGCCTGAAATTCAGTTATTCATGTTACATAGAGATATTAATAATTGATAATGAAAGTTAAAACTTAATTTTTAATAAGCCAACTTTGACTGTGAAATAATAAAATAATTAAATATCTTAATAACTGATTCCCAAAAGTTAATTAAACGGGACTGTTTCTAAATCTACAATAATCTGTAATAAATAGATTGTTGACCAAAACAACATATTTTCAAATGAAATTAGTAACAATTATAGAAAACTTGTAATGGCTTGCATAATGAAACTTACTTATTCTCTTTTTATCATTGCAGCAGATTTCAATAACAAGAGTAAATTTAAAGGGGCACTAGCTACGAGATATATAAAAAATCTAAAATAGGATTTTTTTTGTTCAATCATTAATGAAAGTGAAATAGTGAAATAATTATTAGCTTTAAGCATCCAGTATGGTTCAATTTTTTCAAAATAAGCTAAGAAACATTGATGACGAATTATTCACTTGCAAGTGAATAATTTGACCTCATTGAATCCGTATTCATGTGAACTTCAATTTAACCCCTTAGCTAGAGATGGATAACGCATGAATTGTTCGTGTAAAGTTATTTAAAGGAAAAGAATGTCAACATTGAAAGTGAAACAAAAGTAAATCATTTGATTGACTGATTCGATCCACAAAAATCATTCTTATACAGGTAAAAACGATGATAAACATATGTTTTTAATCTATAATACGAAATTAAAAAGACATAGAAAAATCCCATTGCACGAGTTCGCTTGATCTATTTATATCTATATTTATGTTTACATCGTTTATATGGTCATCGGACGACTTCGGAGGTCAACTCGATAGTTAATCAGATGGTGTCTAGACTAAAATACACACGAAACGAAACTACATATTATCAAGCCCATGCCCTGTAAATTGTTTATTTTAGATTTTTAATAGTTTGGATAAATGTTTTACATTGTTATAAATCAAATATGAGAATTTGAGTCAAATCGGTGAACATGAATTTGACAGCTAGTGCCCCTTTAATATGTATGTAAGTTCCAATATATTAACAGGTACATAATTGCTATAAAGGTACCTTATGATTAGAATGTATCTGAGCTGAATCATCAACAATCAGTTCAGACACAACAAGATCAAGGAAGTCTGACTGTATAATACCACCACTTTCTACATGTATCTTTGTGCCAATAAGTTTCATCCCGTCACCGCCACTGTCTATCTCTAAGATACCACCTCCTTCAACTATGACCTCTGTAAAGGTTATCTCCTTAGTAACACCTGTTGTAGCATTTCCATATGGTCTATAAAAAAAGATAAACTATTGATTAAAGCTTTTTTTTAATTTGAAGCTCGATATGCAATTCTTCTGTTTCTATGGCAATATTAATACAAACTTAAGAAGTTTATAAAATTAAACTGAATCTGAATACCATACAAAACATGACTGGATGAAAAAAACATCTTCCTAAAAAAGACAGTGCATAGTGAATATTAGCATATACTAGAGAAAGGATCATTCAATATTTAAAAATTCTATTATTTAGCCTAGTCTGTAATTCTTATAGCCTGTTAGCCCAAATCAATGATACTGAATACTGTTTCTTTTGAAATCTTAGACAGCTACAGATATGACAAAGAACTTGAAAACTATTACTCACTGAGAAATATGTTTAAAGTATGTAACAATAAAACCTGTTCAACTAAATTATTAATAACAGGAAAATGCCTTTACCAAACCAGGAATGGGACCGTTGGTTTCAATAAGTTTTTATAGTCTCACAAAGTGTTCTGTATTATGCCTGTATCGAAATAAGAATCTGACAGTTGGTCTCCAATCGATTTCATGTATGAGTTTTCTGGTTTTGTCATTTCATTTCATTTTAAGGTACCATTGGACTACACCAATATTATAGTGCCTAACAAGATTTTGCGAGGTAGACGAAATTGACATTAAAACGATCTTATTGAATTTTCATGTCCCAAAATTGGCAGATTAGACATATTTTGACTTTATTTACTGACTACTTTTGGTTGGGTTTAATTGTAATTATAACATTGTAAGGAGACTGAAAAATGTTTTTTTTTTGTTAAGATCAACAAAAATTTTACCTGGTGTAGCCGTGTGCAAAATGTATTTCAGCATTTCTCTTAGAAAAATGACTTGGAATAAAACATCATTTGTAAATTTTCTCCATTTTCTCGGAAATAGGCTATTAACAAATAATTTATCTACTCTATATGTGAAATATTTTGTGAAAATATAAGAAATGGCAATTCTTACCTTCCATACCTTTAGTTTCATTGATAAAAAATAATATGGACTCGTCAAGTTCGAAGGTCATTTAAGTTACTGTACACGTGTGTGTACATGTTAAAAGAAAAGCAATAATAATTCAGTTTTAAGAAAACAAAGTTTTCAAATACATTTTGTTGTATATTTTCAGCTTAATAAATTAAATAAATAAATAAGGCACCAACTGATTTAATCAATATACAGTTTGAAGGTATATTGATAATAACTTAATCCAATCAAATTCTGCAAGATTCAACAACAATGACCGACCACATCATACTAAGTAATAGGGGTAAACTGAGTAGGGAGAAAATGACAGATATTTTTAGTTTTGTTTTTGTGTAATAAAGAATAAAAATTTGTCAACCAAAAGTTTTACTATGATTTCAAAAATATATAGTTCTGTATTGGTATAGTTTTCAGATATTTCGTTTGCATATTTAAGGCAATAAAAAGTTTGGGCTTCAAAAGTCTACATAGTTATTAACTTTATACAGAAATTTCTGGCTTTTAAAATATTTATTGTTTCACAAATAATACACAGATACAAAGTAAATTATTTCTTAAAACACTGCAAAAAATTTCATTCTAATTGTCATAAAGTGAAACGAAATGAAACGCGGTATAGCAAACATCGAATTCCCTCACAAAATGTTAGCACACACTATAGTTCTTTTCTTTGTTATCTTTTATGATTTTAATTTCCCAGTAACCAGTATAATATTGTAAGTGGAAATTATTTTTTATAAATTTAAATATAGCTCAAATAAAATTGTTGAGTTTTTTCCTGCAATACAAAAGAAAATGTTTCTTATCTTCAATTGTATTGCAGGACTGACATAATCAGTTTTGTCTGTGAATTTTTAGTTGCCTCCCTTTTTCAATCAGTAATTTAAATATAAAGCTAAAGACTTACTTGATAATAACATGTCCACCTGGGCCAATTCTGAGATTTTCAACTCCAGTCAGTATACCTTCCAACTCCACTGTGATATTATTAACTACGAAATCTCTGGCAGTCTGCATCTGTCCATCTGGGTATATGATTAGACCATACTGTAATTCTGGGCTGTCTTCTGGTAGGTCTGCTGTCAGTTCCTGATGTGGACCAACATGGAATGTACCTGTCTTATCTCCAGAGGTTTTATAGATTGTTATGTATTGTGTATGTGTGTTGATATTTCTTCTATGAACAGCTACATGTGCTTTGCCTTGGATTGTAATTTCCTTGAAGGAGTGAGAACAGCCAACGTTTTGATCACAATCAGAATGATCAAATACCCAAGTGTGGAAGCTGTATTCCTTCCTCCCTATGTCTGACAATTCATTAAAATTAATATTTGGTTTGAGAGGTGAACAGACATGATTGTTATCAACCAGAAGCGAGTTGGAATTATCAGATAAATCTTTAAACAAAACTGTCCCTGCTCCTCCACATTCATATCCACGTCCACCATGAGCATCTTTTGTTCCGGAGTAGGTGTAGTTAGTGTAATGGACAGCTATTCTTCCTCCTGCACCACCTCCCCCAAGACAAGTGGTACTTCCTGTGGCATCTCCTCCCATGACTGACAATGTTCCAGTTCCTGTCATGTGACCTGTTGTTATAAAGATACTTCCTCCTGCTCCTCCTCCGGCACGTCCCCCAGAACCAGATTTACCGTTACATAGAATTTCACCATCCAATAGTAAATCTTCAGTCACATCTAATACAACTACACCACCACCTCTACCTCCAGTGTAAGATCCATGTGGACTACACTGTAGATCAGCTGATGTACTGGCCCCACCCCCTGTCCCACCATTACCACCATACTCTTTGGGTGTGTACATAGAACCATAGCTTGGAGGGGGACCAACAAATTTCTGAAATTTTCCTTGACCACCAGCTGCACCATTTCCACCACCAGAGCCACCTGTAAAAAAATTTGTATTATTATCATTGCTGAATATTTACACTGGTATTATTATTATAACTAGTAAAGACATTTTTTCATGAACCAAAGTAATGTGTGTTTGTAATGATAAATTTTAAGTGAATTATCATGTCACAATCTCTGTTTTTATGTGTTCAGGAACATATATATTGACGGGACTTGACACTACCTAATTGTAGCCGATTTTATTGTCGGGTCATAGGTAACAAAGATACGATACGGAAACGGACATGTGTTAAAAACGTACTCGCTATTATCCTAATAATTTCTGATAATATCAATAAAATGTCATTCAAACTAGTTTTACAGTGATGCCAGTGTATCAAACTTGTATTTTGTCACTTCAAATTTGTTATAATCGCATTCATTTTATCACAGAATGGTACAGAATGAAAACAGGGTAATAAAAAAATGGCGCCGATTGCCTTTCTAAATTTATAAACATTATAAAACACTTCACATCAAATAAATCACACTTATTTTGGTAATTTTATATGACAAAATGTATCTACTTTATGATAAAACTTGTGTTTATTTACGATTAGAATTATGTGGTTAATTTATTGAGCAGTTCCGATACTGTTTTTCAGTCAGACGCCACCAAAATCCATAAATCTCGCGAAGTCTCGTGGAGTCCTAGATTTTATCAATTTTATACCGAAAAGCCCATCAGATTCATTTCCCGTTAGCTATACTGTTCCCAGATGTGTTATTACTTGTCACTCCATGCCTTGTATAAATGCCCTTTCTCAAAGACTTCTACTATGTACATTTTTCACTTAATTATATCTATCACCCTTCTATGGATGCCAATAAATATGCTCTTCTCATTAAGACCTATAGATCTGTCGCCGATTATCTTTTTAGATTCATTGCTCTTCCAACCTTGCTATGTAAATACCTATCTAGATTATCTATAGTATACACAAGATATGTCCACACTTTTCAATGGGTATTTACCCTTCCAAACATCCCTTTTTACCCAAATCTGGTTTATCATGAGTTTCATGGTAACAAGATCAATTAAGTCTGTCCCTTGAATCTACATTTATCCACTATAAACACATACTTTTCTTTTCTGTACTAACCTCCATCTGGTTTATCTTGAGCATCCTGCTCTACAAGATCTGTTGGTGCTTGACCACTGGAATCTATCACACCTGCTACATCAATCTGTACTTGTTTGGCTGTTACTTCTAACCATGGAGCCTAGAATGTAGCAACATTATATAAAGAACAAGTTTTAGCTACTATAGAACTGAAAACTTCTATTGAACAACACAAGGTTATAACTTGCTACTGGTTCTCTCTTTTACAAAAAGACCTTCAAATTTCCTTTTACATCTGCATCTAGTAAAATATTGAACTCCAAATATTTCTGATATTCTGAATTATAGTGCTTTTAAAGCAAGACATTCAGGAACTTGTTATCACATATTCTGACAAGCATCTTCAAATAAAAGTCTTTGACAAGGTATTTTAGTTCCTTCAAAGGTGATTGTAGCGGCATATTACACCATCACATTATCTTATCAACCAAATCTTCCTATTTTAAAAATCCTTATTTTGATAAATGTGTGGAAGTACTTTTATCATAATTACTTTTTCAGTTATAAACTTACAAAAAATACACTTTAAGTTACTTATTATACATTCAATGATGTATACCCCACCTCTCACTTTGTTCTAATTAATAAATTCAATTTAACAACTTGCTACTTCAACTCATAACATCATTGTCAGACTTCATGAGTCATGCTACTCGATTCTGGATAATTTAATATCCCGGTCTGAAATATTTATTACTACCAATTTGTCAATTGTTAAAGACTATAAATGGCAATACTATAATCATACAACAATCTTTCAAGAAGAGAACAAATTGCTGAAAACAAATATATGTGAATGGCATTGTACAAGAACAACATGCTGAGCAGGTCATTTCAATGTTAGATTATAAGGTCAAACTATGATGGAAAATGTGCTTTCCTTCTCAGACATATTAAATGAGTTTCTGCTCTTACACCTGAATGCCAATTCTTACAACTGCGTACAGTTTGACTGGGGATCCAACATTTTATACTCTTTCTTAATGGTAACACAAAACCAAAAGGCAATTTACTGATTAGATAGTAAAAATGGATATCAGTAGGGTTACAAGACACATGTCATCTGTTTTTTCTGTTCATATACACACCTGTATTTTGCCTCCAGCATGGATTCTGAGTAAAGTGTTGAGTGTGAGACTTAGGGACAACTCATGTTCATTAACATATGTTGATGACACTTTACCGTCAGCTTTTATCTCCAGGGTATCAAATATAAATTGTCTGTCAGACTGTCCAATGGTATGGCTCTAAAAACATAAGACAAAAAAAAACATTAACATGTTTCCATTTTGTTGTATTCAAAGATTTAGCAAAACATCTATACAAGATTATGACACAAACCTTAATGAAAAAAAAATAATTTGTTCAAATACTACACAGGTGTTTAATGACCTTGACTATCATGAGGTTATGATATCTGATATTTAGTGTTCCTAAAATATTATATCTTCTGACATAATATTTTTTGCTTTAATTTAAAAATTTTAAGATGACATATTTTTTCATCATTTTCGAATTAAAAAAAAGTACAGAAATTAACTACCAAAAAGCATTACTTCAACAACTTCCACTAATGTATCTTGAACACTTACCTTTTCTCCAATGAGGAAATTCACACCTTGACCAATAACTAGTTCATTAGCTCCAGTAAGGACTCCATCTATGTAAATGGTTTTATATTCTAATCCAATCAGATATACAGCTGAAAAAAAAATTCTCCTAAATTTCGTCTTCAAATTAAAAATTATATACAATTACTGTCTTTTGAGTTAATATCAGTTTTTCAAAAGTCAAGAAACCACATATTTACTGAAACAAAAAAGCAATAAATATTTATTCCATATTTCCAGAGAAAAACATGTATTTAATGATAATTATATGCTGTTCATTCAAAATTCAAATCATGAAGAAAAACCTACTCAAATAATACCAAAAAGGAAAAAACACATTTAGTTATATAATTCAAATTCAAATCAATATTCAAATGGAGAAAAAAATATTCAAAATATTGCAAAAATAACAGAATTCCATAGTTTTACCGAAAGATAGTTAAAGGTTTCATAACGAGTGAGAATTGGATAACACTTGATCCCAACTCGAGTTATTTAATTTCAATAAAATAAAAAACGAGCCTTTGACAAGTTTATTATTACTATTCAAATTAAAAATTGTTAACTCTAGTATTGTGTAGAAAAAAAAAATTTTGTGAATCATTGAGCACATACCAGCATGACATTATATGTCCTGTTCTGGCATCAAACTTTAACATCAAACATTTTCAAACTTTTAGTACACTTCAAAATGTAATAAAATTTGACAAAAAGATCTTCAAGTTAAAAGTGTGAGTGTTTTGTAAACTATTCAAGAAATCACATATGTCTGTTGCCATGGACAAAATGTGCATCGTCTTAAACTTTGAAAGTCATCAATGAACTAACGAATAGCCAATGGAAATGTTGTAATATCATTTCATAATGCTGGATAAGTCAATCAAATTAACGCACTTTTTAATCACTTTTTCGTATCCTACTCCGTGCAGTGTGATACGAGAAATATCTCTTCATGCAAGAAATAAATAACAGATATAACTGCAATTTTCATGAAATTTTTCAATGTAAGGCCGTAATTTCTGCAAAAATCAGCGGAGCAGAGCCAAACGTAAACTCAATCTGTAACTAATCATAGAAGACTCACATTCTAAAAATCAGCTCAATATGTGAAGGCATTTAGAAAAAAAGTCTGTATAACTCTGTTGTGGAATGACGGAACAACAGAATGACAGATAAGGGTAAAACTATATGGCCCGGACAAGTTTGTCGTCACGGCCATTAAAGATTGCATGTTATATCCAAAAACATGAAAGCAAGACTGGGAAAACATGTAACCTTGATATAATTTCTATTTTGCAGATTTTCAATTTATAAAAGTGCACGACTCTGTAAAAATCGGTAAAAGCCATCATGTTGAAATAAATAATAACCTTGTGGATTGTTTTTGATTTTACAACATTATATCTTTAATAAATATTCCTCATTATTATACATCCAACTTACCTTGTGGCATATTGAACTCTGCACTCTCATAAATCCTGAAAGAAGATGGAAATGGAGTATCATTGTCCATAACAGTCATTGTTTGTTCTTTGGTCACATGTAGCATTCCAGTCTTGTCACCATGAAGATAGCCAATGGTAACATTAGGTGTGTTAGAAGAGGTGTTAAGGAATACTAGATGAGCTGCAGAATTGATATGTACATGGTCAAATTTGATTGGATCTGTGGAATCGTCAGCAGTAGTTACAATATATGTCTTTCCTGTGTCTGTAGATTTATCAGTAACATAAGTTGATTTAGGTTTATAGTCTCTATTGTCTATATAAAGAGAAGTCTCTGTCAGTCCTGTGTCTGAGTCAGGAGCCTTTACAAAGACTGTTCCAGATCCACCTTGTTCTGCATAACTCCTCCCACCATAGGTGTTGTATGTACCTCTGTAAGTGTTGGTGGCATTGACAAATACAGCTACTCTACCCCCACCACCTCCTCCTCCTACAGCCTGAATTAAAATTTATATTACTGTATAGTACAATTTACATGTTTTACTTTTACTATCTGTACACTATAGTCCTTTTATATAAATATGTACCATGTGATCAATAAAAAGACCAAGACATAGTTTCAAATAGGACTTCATTAAACATCAGTCAACTTTATACACCTGTTTGGAGTCTTGTTTCTGATTTTTTTGTCTTCTTGAGCAGCAGTATTAAATCAGCATATTTTGCTAGCTAACTTCCTGTAGCATACAGAATTTGACCTTGCTTTCCTGTAGCATACAGAATTTGACCTTGCTTCCCAACAAATAATGTCTTTTACTTCCTTGTATCACATTTCCTCAGCAAACACCATAAAAGCATATCATTAATATAACTTAATAGAATGTTTATATATATCCAACTTCTGTTGAATGTTCTAGATATTTTGTAGTTTTTAATATGGTACAGACACTTCATAACTAAAAAAGAACTGTATAATATCTTATATACATAAAATTACCAGAAAGAAATCTTCAATGTCACATCAGGAAAAAAAACTCATCTTTTTACTTATCTTGAACATTCAATAAAAGTTCTATTGTTTAGGAAGAAAGTAAAAAATCACATCCACATTTTTGATAGTTTGTTTTCTTTTCAATATTTTTCCCTTTTGCTTCTTTCAATGCAATGTATGTTGACTTTAGATATCATTTGAATTTATTTTTTTTTATTATACATGTATTTGTTCATTGGGGGGGAGTCTTGGGTTGGTGTTTCATTGGTGTATATATCCCAATTCCCCTATACTCATTCATTAACATCTAAATATTTACCACATTTTTGTTGTAGCATTACTTACTATAGTCTGTATATTAGATTCTCCTTTACAATATCCTCTGTAACAGCTTAAGGAATCATAACCAATACTACCATGGCATCTATGATGGACATTATCAACATAACAGCAGTGGTTATCGGATGCCTGGCAAGACGATACACAGTTATATCCTACCCAGAAATACCTAGGGTCACACTCTAGACATCGACGTTCTATATCATGTTTACTACAGTGGGCTACAACAGCCCCATCTCCTCCATTAGCTGATATTGTCCCTGTACCTGTTCGGTAAATAATAAAATAAAAATGTATTGCTAGACATCAAATGCCAATGTATTATATTTACTCACAACAGCACCATATCATTTATTAACCAAAATAGTCCCTATAAACTTTGTTACATAAGGACGATTTGTGGTGAAGATAAATTTAAGTAGTTTAAAAAATAAATTGTATGATGCTTAAACTTTCCATTTTTACGAAAATTTTATATGGTTCATTCAAACTTTTCAAGACAAAAAGAAATATATGCAAACAAAGAAGATGGACAAAATTCTGATTCAATCATGCGTTTTCAAACATTTTATTCCTTGTACAGTAGGCATAAATTATGAGGTCCTCAGTTAAATCATTTCAAGAGAAAAAGAGATGTCCATTTGATCAAACTATAACATACCAGTAAAGTGTTGAGTCTCCAGTATCACACTGCCACCAGAACCTCCTCCTGATGTAGGTGTTTCTGCTGTGTTACCATCCACCTTGATATCGCCATCTATCTCCATGTTGTGTAAGGCCTGAAGGTAAACTATACCTCCTCCTTCACCTCCACTGGAAGTACCAGTTCCTATAGACCCTCCACTTCCATAGTCTGATGGTCTTTGTACATTACTATAGGATTGACCTGTGGCAGTGTTCCCATTTCCGTGTCCTCCTAAGCCACCATGAGTGCCACCAGAACCACCATCAGAGCTTGCAATACCTGGCCCTGTTCCTTTTCCTGGACTCCATCCCCGCCCTGTCCCATCTATTAATCCTTCTGTGTCTATTGTCACATTAACAGCTAAAAAGAAAGATTTAACCTGAGAGACAAGGATATATAAAAATCATTTCAGTATAATTGCAAACTAAAAATAACTTAAGATCTTTACAGGTATAGCCACAAAAATTAATTTTCCATTCTGACTCTTATATTGTAATGTTAAAATAGAGTAACTTGTGGTTCATAATATGATACTCACATATAAATAATATATCACCCCCAAACTCATGTAACTGTTAACTAATTTTCTTGCAATTTGTCTTTTAATTTGAATTTAACTAGGAATTGAAAATGAAAATCACAAAGACATATGATACAGGGGTGTGGAAATATTTGTTGTGACCACTTGTCCCCGGGCAAGTGAAATTGTAAATTTTACTTGTCTGGAAGAAAAGTTACTTGCCTTGATTTCTTAATGAATTTGGAATGAAGAAGATGTATTTTACTGTAAACGTGTAGGTTTCTCAAACAGTTTTGAAACACAATGGAAATGGTATTTATAGTCTTTTATTGTATATTAGAATGATAAAAAAATAAGTGGAGTATACACCAATGAGCTAGAAACCAACCAAAAAAAACCAGATCTAAATGAAGGAATCTAGAGGCCAATATTGCAATGTTTTTCAATGCTAGCTTACATGAACCTGGGAGATTATAATCATGGCTTATATTTTCTTCACTGTGAGCCAGTGCGAAGTTTTAAAGTTAATGAAGGGATGAAAACCAAATCATTAATGAATTATTGAATTGTTGTTTGCACCCTCTCCCCCCCCCCCCCCTCCCCTCCTTTTACCCCCAAAAAATTTTTGGTGGACCAATTGTAAATTTGAGATTTATTTTAGATACCTAAGCGAAATCAAAATTTTATAGATCTATTCCGTTTATTTTCATGATATTTGCCCTTTGGCGCCTCTGATTTCCCTTTCTTGTAAAAACCAAGTTCTTTGCTCAACAATTTTATTTTTAATGAGGCACCTCTTTTCGGTTGGTCTACTTCCGAGCGATGACCTATCTTAAGATGCTTATCCAACTCGACCAATCATTTAGTTTTCATTCTTGAGAATTCAGTCTTCGAAATTAATAATGACCATTTCCAGTGTACCATTGCTATAACCTGATCAACGATCCAGGATCAATGGGAAGAAATCAAAGAATATTAATGAAACCGAGTCCGCATACCTATTTTTTTGTTTAATAATCAATCTATTTCTTGATCATTGATGGTGTTTTACTAAAACTTGTGAATTGATTTTGAGGACCTTTCTATATGATTATATAAAACAACAATGTCAAGCAACATTTTTTTACTTGTCCACGGGCAACAAAGACACAAAAAAATGCTTGTCCAGTCGGTCAAATGTACGAGTCGGGCGAGTCGATGATAGCATTTCCATACTCCTGTGATACAATGGGATGGAAAAAAGCTTACAAGGCCTTTGTCCAGATGATCAAAATACCTCTAAAACTGGCCAGACTCTCATTTGTTCTAGTTTAATATACATGTAAGATGATGACAAAATTTTTGAGAGATAACAGTATAGGTAGAATGTTAGAGTCAAAGAAACTGCCACCAAAACAATATATATAGAGGTCAGCCGAAGTCATCATTATGATTAAACAAGAGGCTCTCAAGAGCCTGAATCGCTCACCTGTATTTCAGAGGAGAAGATTTTTAAATGTTAGCAAACTTGATAAACAAATTGTGTAAAATTGTCTTTAAAGGACAATAACTCCTTAAGGGGTCAATTGACAAATTTGGTCATATTAACTTTTTTGTAGATCTTACTTTGCTGAACATTATTGCTGCTTACAGTTTATATATATCTTTAATAACATTCAAAATAATAACAAAAAACTGCAAAATTTTGTTAAAAATACCAATTTGGTGGCAGCAACCCAACAATGGGTTGTTCCATTTGTCTGAAAATTTCAGAACTGATAGATCTAGACCAACATGTCAGATTTGCTCTAAAAGCTTTAGTTTTTGAGATATAAGCCAAAAACTGCATTTGACCCCTATGTTCTATTTTTAGCCATGGCGGCCATGTTTGTTGATGGATCAAAACTTCGGAAACAATTTATAAACTAGATACCCTAAGAAACATTTAGTTAAAGTTTGAAGGTATTTGGCCCAGTAGTTTCAGAGGAGAAGAGTTTTTAAATAGTTTACGACGACGACGACGACAGACGACGGACGACAACGGACGCCAAGTGATGGCATAAGCTCACATGGGGCCCTTCGGGCCCCGATGAGCTAATAAAGGTTCAGGGAGAATAATACATTGTACAAGAGGATAATAGGCATTATCAAAAAAATTGGACAGTACAACAGAGCCAAACCACCTAAAACACCTTACTCCTGGGAAAATAAACAGTACAACAGAGCCACACCACCTGAAAATAAACAGTACAACAGAGCCACACCACCTAAAACACCTTACTCCTGGGAAAATAAACAGTACAACAGAGCCACACCACCTAAAACACCTTACTCCTGGGAAAATAAACAGTACAACAGAGCCACACCACCTAAAACACCTTACACCTGGGAAAATAAACAGTACAACAGAGCCACACCACCTAAAACACCTTACTCCTGGGAAAATAAACAGTACAACAGAGCCACACCACCTAAAACACCTTACTCCTGGGAAAATAAACAGTACAACAGAGCCACACCACCTAAAACACCTTACTCCTGGGAAAATAAACAGTACAACAGAGCCACACCACCTAAACACCTTACACCTGGGAAAATAAACAGTACAACAGAGCCACACCACCTAAAACACCTTACACCTGGGAAAATAAACAGTACAACAGAGCCACACCACCTAAAACACCTTACTCCTGGGAAAATCAACAGTACAACAGAGCCACACCACCTAAACACCTTATACCTGGGAAAATAAACAGTACAACAGAGCCACACCACCTAAAACACCTTACTCCTGGGAAAATCAACAGTACAACAGAGCCACACCACCTAAAACACCTTAATCCTGGGAAAATAAACAGTACAACAGAGCCACACCACCTAAAACACCTTACTCCTGGGAAAATAAACAGTACAACAGAGCCACACCACCTAAAACACCTTATACCTGGGAAAATAAACAGTACAACAGAGCCACACCACCTAAAACACCTTACTCCTGGGAAAATCAACAGTACAACAGAGCCACACCACCTAAAAACCTTACACCTGGGAAAATAAACAGTACAAGAGAGCCACACCACCTAAAACACCTTATACCTGGGAAAATAAACAGTACAACAGAGCCACACCACCTAAAACACCTTATACCTGGGAAAATAAACGGTACAACAGAGCCACACCACCTAAAACACCTTACTCCTGGGAAAATAAACAGTACAACAGAGCCACACCACCTAAAACACCTTACTCCTGGGAAAATAAACAGTACAACAGAGCCACACCACCTAAAACACCTTACTCCTGGGAAAATAAACAGTACAACAGAGCCACACCACCTAAAACACCTTACACCTGGGAAAATAAACAGTACAACAGAGCCACACCACCTAAACACCTTACACCTGGGAAAATAAACAGTACAACAGAGCCACACCACCTAAAACACCTTACACCTAGGAAAATAAACAGTACAACAGAGCCACACCACCTAAAACACCTTACTCCTGGGAAAAAAAACAGTACAAAGACAAACAACAATGAACAACACATGGTTAAATTATTCTTTTAAACTGCAAATGAACATGATGGATGCTCTGAAAATATCCAAAATAATAACAATGAAATCATTTCCTACTGACTTACCTTCCAAGTTTAAGTTGTTGACCTTGAAAATTCCTCCGCCTCTAATATGAAGACTGCCATCCAACATGATATTCAGCTTATTATTATTAGCAGCATCACCTTTGTACTCAAACAGACCCCCATCAAGTATGGTTATACTGTTCATTGAGAATGAGCTCTCCTCTGTTGTACTAGTGGAATTGTGTTTGACAGGAGGATAAACGGTGAAGGAACCATCCAAAGATATGTTCAGTGTTTCAACACCTTTCAACAGTCCACCATACAGAGTTATTCTGCAATCCTTCAGGTATGTGTCAAAAGGTAAATTAACTGTTCCTTCCTGTGATTATAATGAATAAATAGTTTGTCAAACTGAAAATAGCTGTTAAATAAATGAGATTGTATTCATGGTCATTTTTACAGAAGACAATTGCTGAAATAATTCAAACTCTAAGATTTAAGGCCAGGAATCTAACATAGGACCTTCAGCACTCAAGGTGAGTACTCTAACACAAAACCACAGAGGAGTTAAATGAATATAAGAATGTTTTTTGTATGCTTTTAGCCTAAGTAAACACACCATCTCTTTAAAGTAAATACAGTCATCAATCCTGAAAGGGTTCAGTCAAGGCTAGTTCCATTAAAGAAAGACTTAAAAATATTCAGGATTATAATGATATGTGTACAGTGTAATATCATACTACTTTGGTTAACTCTATATCTTGTAATTCCAATTTTTAAACAATTATCTAACCATACCTCATATAAAGTAACATCGAATGATAAAACTGCTGAAGAATTAAAATCAATATTGAGCCACATGTTTTCCTCTACATGTACACCAGCAGTGTTGTCACCAGCCACAGTGGTCAGTGTTAGCTTTCTGGCTCCATCAGTCCTGTATCCATCATTGTCTGTGGCCATCAGTCCAACCTCAGCATAGGTTCCCAGATCTAATGTGTCTAACTCATGTTCTTCAACCTTGTCATCTGGGATAGTTATCTTTGTCTTACGATTCTGTAAAGTAAGCATAAGGCACAGGGTATATATAATGTTGCTGACATTATCTTACTTATTTGGTTGTAAATAAATAAAATGTCAAACTAGATGCTATAAAAAAAATTGAAGGGCTTACCTGGATTCCATCTCAAATATTAAAAATATCCACACTTTATACCTCTTAAGTCTATTTGACCTCCTAAAGTTCAGTAAGGATTGACCATTTTTCATAAGTTTTTTCAACACTATTTAGCAGCATTTTTCTAAAGCTTATAAATTTACAATTCCATTTTCCTACTTTCCTAATGTAATGTACAAATATTTCCAAGGTAAAATGTACCACCACCCTTGATCTCTCCTAATCTCTATAGCTACCAATACAATCCCATGAAAATGATTTTCTCAGTACAATCCTATAAAAATGATTTTCACACAAACTTACCCCATTTCCTTTCTGGTTATATATCTGTAGTTTAGTTGCTGATGGTGATGTGCCAATATCCCTGAGGTATACTGTACCAGCAGCTCCAATCTCTCCGGAGGTAGCAGTACCACCAAGTGACAATAATTCACCAATGTAGTGATTTTTTGTGTATATAATAGACAGTCTACCTCCTCCACCACCATTATAGCCTGCTCCTCCAGTCACCTGTAATAATTAAACAAATCATTTTGTGATGGAACATAAAATACAACAATAAAATATTCTGGTTTATCTTTATAGACGTGTCACTGTAAAACATGTACTTCTGTTATTTCTGTGGTTACAGCAGTTGAAAAACAAATATTTAGAACTGTTCTATTTGAACCAAGTAGGACTTATATGTACAAAATTCAAAATTCTGCCAAATATTTTAGAAATTCCTTTTTGTTAATATTTTTATTTCAAAAATCAATTGAAATCCTTCTCAACATTTAAAAAAAACTTTACCTAATTTTCCCATCCTTTATTATTACTCATCTGTATTTTGTCATAGATTTTTGTAAATTCAAGAATTATCTTCCTTGATGATGTCTCATAAGAGAGTTGGTCTAAAATATCATTAGAGAAACAGAACTACCCAATCTCATGCAATACACTATTTCTTGACTCTTGACAGTTAAATTTTAAAATTTAACTGTCTTGAGTGGATAAATAACTTATCACATTTGATACAGTGGTAAACTATATTTAATACATTGTCAGGAAATATATCAATATCATTTTAACATACATTATTGTACGAACCAGTTACAAAAAAAATGTTTTGACATGTGTATGGTTTTGCTTGTAAAAGTTGTGTATGGAGACAATTGCTGATTATTTATCTGCTCTATACAATATCATACCTCAATAGAGCCAGTGCCATCAAATAATTGTGTGGTGACCAGGATACTACCCCCTGATCCACCACCCCGTGTACTTGACCTTGCCTGTCCATTAGAACTTAGTGTTCCATCCACTTTAGCTTCTGTTGTCAGATTGAGATAGATAATTCCACCACCACAACCACCTAAATTAAACAGAAATGTTTACTCTTAAATCGTCACACAAATATCATAAACTGCATGAAAGTTGATCTGAAAGGGATTTGTCTAGTCTCTTCTGGTTAATTAACTCCCCTTGTAATATAAACTTTTGGCACTCTGAACTTTTTTATCTAAGTGTTTCTGGTGCGGTTAACCTATCAACTTTTTATTTGATTTCAGACTTTCCACAGCCACATATATAAAACAGAAGATCTTTTTTAAAGGTTTTACCAAAGGTCTAAATGACATGAAACTTATATCAGACATTTGTAATGATTCTTTTTAGATTTTGGTTTATATATAGCTCCAAATGTATTATATGTTATTCTCTTTCCAAACTATTGGATCTGTGAGTTGTCCTGATGAAAGCCAATCCATCAATTGATTCAAATGTAAAATAATCCTTATGCTTGATAAACCTAATGACTTGATATTTCTCCAACAGAAGGAAAAAATACAGCCTTCATAGGAGAACTATATTTATTACTAAGGACATCATTTTAATGCCTCGTTTACACGTACGTTTAATTTAGATTGAATTCGAATCGAAGGCGAATCAAATTCGCTAATCACGTTTACACACTCCTCATTTTTTAAATCGAATCAAATTCGAATTGGCTAATTCGCATTAGAAATGCGTTTTCGTTAATGCGAATTAGTGAACTAATTCGCTTTAATTTGAATTAAACTGTGGTGTAGACACTTTCTAAAATCGTAATTTGAATTAAACTATAATTAATTAATTGATAATGTGAATTAAAAGTTAACGTCATTCAGGCAGTAAAGCGAATTTGACGCGCATTGCAATTGGTATTAAAATTTACGTTTGTACGTAAAACGTTTCTAATGCGAATTAAACTAATCCCAATTACGTGTGAACGCAGCATAAATAGCAACATTTTTCCTACATGTATTGTTCTATCTAGCTTGGAAGGATCTGTGATTAAATCCCCAAAATAGGTAAATATATATAGATTTTATTTTTACCTGAGTGACCCCCACTGCTACCAAACAAAGCAGGACGATTAAATGATCCATAAGCATAGGGAGCTGATCTGTCAGATTTACCAGCACCTCCTTCACCACCATAGCTTGCACCTGTACCGTAGGTATATGTATGTACTCCGTCTGGTGTGTCTGTATAGGCAGTGCCTTGTCCAGCTCCTAGAATGTACAAAGTTAAATCATCATTAAAAATTTTTAACAATACAAGTTATCATTTAATATTGTGAAAAAACAAATCCACAATCACTGACGAAATCTTTAGTTATAACGAGAACACACCCGCAACATCGCGGGTCTGTGACTGAATTAAAGTACCTACGCCTTTTTTTCAGCCTGGATTTTTAGTATTCTTATTGTCATCTGATAAAGTCATGCCTTAACTTCACCCATGACATCAATAGTTATACAGATTGAATACAAACCTCCTTCACAGTATCCATTATCATCTGCCCTTACTTCACCCATGACATCTATGGTGACTGTGTGTGCATTTATCTGAAGGTTTTTAGCATTAAGTAATCCACCAGGATAAACCCTGACCTCCTCTCCAGTCAGGATATGCTTTTCCAAATTGTTGTCCATGTACATGTAGCCACGGTTACGGATGTTGAATGCTTTAAATATGATTTCATCAACTCTCTTGTTAGATGTGTCCCACATTTCATTAATTCTCAGTATACCTGAAATTTATAAAAAAATATATAAATAAAATAAAATGCTCCGCTGGGCGCAGCTTGATACGACCGCAGAGGTCGAACCCTGAACAGTTGGGACAAGTATGGACACAACAATCAAGCTTGATACAGCACTGAATTTGGATTGTGATTAAATATTTGACACAGCATAGGTACCTGACACAGAATGAATGTGGTCTAAGAACTTAATTTTTTTTAATTTACCTATTCAAATCATATCTTTATTATTTGCTTTTATATATAAATCAGAAATAACCAATTTAAAATGGAAAATTTTAAAGAAAAAAAAAGGAAAAAAAAATCCCCCCCCCCAAATTTTTTGAACCCCCTTATGATTCACCACCCCAAAACTCAATCCCAGCCTTCCCTTTGTGTTATGGTACCTTGCAGTACAATTTCTGAGAGATCCATACACTTGAACACAAGTTATTGTCATGAAACTAGAAAAAATGCTTGTTTTTTGCCCCTTTTTGGCCCCTAATTCCTAAAATTTTGAGGCAATTACCCCCAAAATCAATCCCAGCCTTTCCGTTATGGTATGGTACCTTGCAGTACAATTTCAGAGAGATCCATACACTTGAACACAAGTTATTGTCTGGAAACTAGAAAAAATGCTTATTTTTGGCCCCTTATTCCTAAACGTTTTGGGCAATTACCCCCAAACTCAATTCCAGCTTTCCCTTTGTGATATGGAACCTTGTAGTACAATTTCAGAGAGATCCATACTCTTACACACAACTTATTGTCATGAAACTAGAAAACATGCTTGTTTTTTGCCCCTTTTTTGGCCCCTAATTCCTAAAATTTTGGGGCAATTACCCCCAAAATCAATCCCAGCCTTCCTGTTATGGTATGGTACCTTGCAGTACAATTTCAGAGAGATCCATACACTTGAACACAAGTTATTGTCTGGAAACTAGAAAAAATGCTTATTTATAGCCCCTTTTTGGCCCCTAATTCCTTAACTGTTGGTACCATAACCCCCAAAATCAATCCCAACCTTCCTTTTGTGGTATTGAACCTTATGGTAAAATTTCATAGAGATCCATTTACTTAAACTAAAGTTAGAGTGTGAAAACCAATGTGTCTTCGGACGACGATGACAACGTCATACCAATATACGACCACAAAAATGTTTTTGCGGTCATATAAAAAGCATCTGATTTCTCTTCTACCTTCTGTTAAACTGACAATCTGTCTTCATGCTTCAATTAATATTTTGTGCTTAAAACAAATTAAATTTAAAATCTTGTCCATATAGTTGATTTTCCAACTTGTATGGCTGTATAATATTACAAACAATTGCAAGCAGTTACATTCATTGTCATGCTAAGCATACACACTTATAATTGTGAAAGCAAGCAGTATGTGTTTGACAGATCTGAAAATGCCTACACTTTACAAATCATCACTGTGAAGCTGCAGACCAAATATCATGTCAGTGTGTTTAATAATACCAGTTCTGGAGAAATGTGGGACATAACATTGATGTTCATTCAATATATTGAAAATTCAACGTATCAGCAAACAGGAAGGAGGTGCCTGATTAAAATCATTCATACTTTACAAGTCATTAATGTCAAACTGCTGACCAAATATGTAGCAATGATCAGGTTGTCTGCATATCAATATTGTAAAATATCAGCTAGGAGTCAGAACATGATTTTTTTGTCAAGTGAGCGCAGCGTACAAGTTCAAATAGCCTTCATATTGTGTCAGGCAGCTGATATTGTACAATATCAATATGCAGACAACCTGATAATCTATTGTATTAATTTTGGTGTATTTGCATTATAGAAACAAGTGTTTTTCTTTGTTTCACCAGCAAACCAGGAGATGACGTGATAAGTTCTGGTCAAACTTATCAACATCGGTTCATTTATTATGACGTCTGTGACATCTCTGGGTCAAAGTTATTAAGGCCAGGTCAACATATTTGATGTCACAAAGCCGTGATATGCAATTTTATGAAGAGCTGAGCAGAGTGATATAGACAGTGGGAACACCGATAAGAAGTACTGCTGTTCAGTAGTACTGAGAACCAGAGAATAATGATATGAAATTGTGTCTTTATGTCTCTCTTTTTTTTGTATAAAAGACAATAAGCTTTGATTCCATTTATTTTGTACTGAAATTCAATTTATCATTCAGGACATTTTTTTTGCTATCGTCACAAAATACCAAATACAGTAAAACTTGCCTAAACTAAACTTTTTGGGGCAGAATATTTTGTTCATCTTAGAAAGGTATCTAGGTCAACAGTGGAAACATTTACAATTGATCATGAACAGGAACACTCACATGGTGATCCAAAAGATTATCACTAGTAATGAAAAGCACTCAACATTAGACCTGAACAAAATTGAGAAAGAATGATATAGCTTACCTTCATCAACAACCGTTAAGTTTTCTACATTTTTCATAACTCCTTCTATCATGACATCAACTCCTGCCACTCTAAGTTCACCTTGTAGAGTTACTTCACCTCCATGATAAACTGACAAATCATTGGGTAGTTTTCCAGTACCAATATATAAGGATTGGTTGTATCCTATGTGGACATGACCTGTCCTGTCTCCATCTATAGCCTCTATAAGTAGATCTATCCTAGACTTTGTGTCAGACGGTTTCAGCAAAGCAAGCTGGGCCTGACGATAGATTTGAAGTTCTTCCAGAACAATTTGTGTGTCATTCTTGGTCTCGATAACAAAGTCTGGGTAATTCACTGGAATGATCCAGGCTACACCACCACCTAGTGTGAAGTTATTGTACACTTCTGTCAGGTTTCTTAGAGGGTTTCTAGGAGCTCTGCCATGGTTGTCCACAAAAAGTGTCCTGTTGGACACAAACTTTGCCATGTCTTGGTTTTCTATTGGTAATTTGTGAACATATATAGTACCAGGTCCTCCATTTTCTCCACCACTACCACTTGTCCCACCAACTGACTTAAATGTGCCTATAAATTGATTAAAAACATTATGAACAAATGGAATGTAAAGAAGATGTATAAAAAAACTTGGTACAAAAGGATTACATTTTTATCTAGAAACAATAAATAACTAGTAATTCATACAGAAGCCAACTTAACCCAGAGTAAAACTTCTGAAGTCACAGCCATATTCCCTTCAGATTATAAGATAAACACAAAATATGCAGGTAAAAGTTCAACTCACTTTAAATAAGTATTTTTCTACATATTTTTTTTCAATTTGCCAATGAAAAAGAAACTGATGCTACGTCCCTTATTTGTTTTAACATTTAATGATTTAGAATTCATTTACTGCATTTAATACTTTTTCATGCGTACACCAATTTATGATGCAACTTACCAACAAAGAAATCATACACATAGTAGAGAGCCACACGACCACCCCCTCCTCCTCCTCCATTATACTGACTACCATCATAGCCATTTCCTCCTGAAGAGTCAATGGTCCCATCTCCATCTATAGTCCATGTGTAGATGAATATACTGCCTCCACTTCCACCACCAGCGCGGTAAGACTTCCAGTTACCTCCTTTGGCAGTGAGGAATCCATCCATTGTTAAAGTATGGCTGACATTTACCTCCAGTCTACCACCTCCCCTACCACCTATGTGAGGGAACATGGAATGTCCGCCATCCTTTCCAAAGGTTGTTGGTTGTAGATATGACCCATGACCTGCACCAACTACATTCTGGCCTTGACCTTGACCTCCATTACCACCATGGCCACCACCTGAACTTCCTGTTGTGCTGGAGGAGCCTTTACCAATTCCTGGAAATTATCATCTTGTTTATATCAAATATATAAGTATTAAATATTTTCATTTTCCTTTTGAACAACTGTACACATGAAATTACCAGACTTTACTTTATGATTTTATAAGATTCAAGACTCTCAGCAAACTGTTTATTCATACAGCAACTTTAAAATCTACATAAATGTATTTACAGATACTCTCTCCACTAAACAGAGCTCAAATTTTCAAATAATTTAACAATTTTTAAATATGTACAAATAATTTTAAAGGCAGGCTGTACCAAGTCTAAACAATAGTTTTATACTCAGCTACTTTGTATCCAAAAATTCCAAATTTGTGATTTTTTAAGAACTCCCTTGTTTCATTCTTTTTTCATGTTTTCAGACTTCGGCATTAAAAATAAACAGAAAATATAAATTTCCCTGGAAATTAAAAATCAAACAACATATCTACAAAGCTGGTACCCCAAGTATAATACTATTTTACTATATATAAATACACACATATTAGTTTAAAATAAAAAATTCAACACAAACCTATTTCCCTTTCAAACTCTGGTACACCCTCATCTACTGTCAGCTCTCCATATGGTTCTATTGTAATATTGGTGTAGGTTAATTTCAGATCATTGGAGAATAGCTGGAAGATAATAAAACAACTTTAATCATTAAACAGTACTAATTCTAATCATACAAAACAAAACCTTAGTTGTATTGATTCCAATATTTCTTAAAACAATGATCATGAAATCTAAGATTTTCTTATTAGACTGTTAATCACCTACCAATTTGATTTCTAAGATGGCCAAAATAACATTTCATTTAAAAGTTTCTTTATCATAGGTGTTAACTTCAAAAACCTGCTTCAATTTTCTTGCAATTAAAACTAACAATTGAAATCCTTAATAAATCAAAGCGTGAATGTGCTGAAAAGGCAGTTACCTACAGGATTTATGAATTTATAGCCCGGGTTGATTATAATCAAACATATTACTTTTCAGGAAAGGCTAACAACATCAGATATTTAGACATTTTTCAATTATTATGGCATGGAAATGATAATTCTACATTGCATTTCCAAATCCAAAGAACATATTTAATATTGTATGAGTATATTAATGTACAAATATCTTTCAATATAAAATTTTATCGTCTACAGAGTAACTTAGGATTGACTTTTTCTACAAACAAATTGATTTTTTGTTTTATATTCAACAAAGTGCAATTGAATATTTAGGGTTAATTTTAATTTTCACCATTTGTGGTTATTCACATTGAGTTTAAAAAAAAAACATTCCAGTTCATCATGATGGTTTGGTGTGAATTTATCTCAAAAACATTGAGTTATAATGATGCATGAGTTCTAAGTGTCCACTCTTTCCCAGAGATAGTTTTTGTTCAAAAAATTATTCCGAGCAAAAAATTAAATAATTCCAAGTATAAATCCAAGAAATGACCATGTCAGGCCACCAATTATTGTTTGTGATTTTCTATGTACAACTCTGAGAAAGCATGATACTACCATATTTTTGTTACGTCATGTATGTAATATAAAAATAAGGAGATGCAGTATGATTGCCAATGAGACAACTATCCAACCAAGTTCAAATGAAGTGGATGTAAGAAATTATGTCCTTCATCAATGAGAAAAACCAATACCGTATAGTCGGCTATAAAAGGCCCTGACATGAAAAATATGAAACAATCCAATTGAGATTACTAACGGCCTTATTTAAAACAAAACAATTTATGAAAAACAAGTATGACAGACATGTACCAACGACAACCACTGTACTACAGGCTCCTGACTTAGGACAGACACATAAAGAATGTGGCCGGGTTAAACATGTTTGTCAGCACTCAACCCTCCCTTACCCTGGGACAGTGATGTAACAGCACAACATAAGAACAAACTATAAAAATCAGTTGAATATGGCTTAACACATTTAAGAGGATCCTCCCCATCTTGCTAAAGTAATCCTGATCCTTGTAACAGTTTGTGGGGTTGATAATCAAAACACAGTGCCTGGGGAGGATGTGTATTGTCTTTGAGTCATTGTTGACCCTGCTATCAGTTAAGAACTTCTCAATCATGCTGAAGGTTCTTTAATGTCCGCATTGGAGTGTGAAATAGTAAGTACTTCTTTGACGAGTTGAAACTTTATTAATTGTTTTTTTCGGCATCAAAAACTTCCAATCGACTTTTGTCAAAGTTTTGACAACATTCCACATTTCTATTAATGCCAGTATTTACCTTTAAGCATCCTTGGTGTGTGCCATAAACAGAAGCTGTATCGAATAATTAATATTATTTGATCACCTGCTGATTGTTCTATCAAATTATTATCACTTGTTTTAAATTTAGCATTGGACATGTTAGGCCGATTTCGGTAATATTCAATGTACCAAATGTTCTGATGGCAGTGATGAGAAAAAGAAAAAAATAATTGGATTCCCGAGAAAACTGAGTTATTATTGACATGTGGCAACTAAGCATAGATAAGTTGACTTTTCATTGTTATATCAACGACTGAAACGATATTAAAAAGTAACTAAAGATTAAAATACCACTCAAAATAAACCTGAACTCTTTCACACGGATTTTTAAGAATATCAGTATGTCAATCGGTTGACTGCTCATAATGCAAAATGCAACTCTATTGTAAATTTTTAAAACTTACAAAAAACACCATTCGATTCTTTACTTCACAATGTCAATGAATTACAATAAAAAACACAGAATATCACAAATAGAAGAAGAAGGAATTCCACTTTTCGTGATTTCAATGGTGACATATTTACCCCCCATGTAGAAACAAAATGTCTATTGCCTGATACCATGAAAGGCATTAAGGCACTGCCTTTAATCAAAGAGCTGAAAGCTCTAAGTAAAAATGACGCCATTGTCTCTCATATTGGGATATTTTTGATGCAAGTCTTGATTTTTACTTAATTTACCTACTGAATCTTAGGCGACGTTTCAGTTTATGGTAGATAGGGTGACTGATAGAATAGATATGAATTGTTTCCACAATCTATAGCGTTTTTATTTGCTTGTCAAGATATATATATATATGTGTGTGAAGTGAAAATAACTACTAGTTGTTCTGCTGTACAAAGAAATAGCTCAAGACTACCTGAACAATCTACAACATTCAAAGTAATATGTGAATTTGTTTCCCTTATTTGTAGAATTATTTAACAAAATGATTATGAAGAGCCTGTAGTAAGAAAGCTCTTATACCCAACAGAGTCCTTATTCAAGAGATAAGTTACAGGTGACCTAGTGACATAATCACATTGTTATTTCAGTTACCTAAACATGATCAATTTCTGTAGATTTAGACAATAGTATTGTTATACTAGTTTCACAATTACAAACAAAGTGACACCATTTATACAACTTAATTTCATTGTGAAGAGCCTGTAGTAAGCAAGCTTACACTGAAATCTTAAAATGACAACATAAATTATTGCAAAATTATTTTTTTTCAAATGATTTAATGTTTAGTACCGTAGTCATTTATTTCAAATAATTGACCCGTAATAAAATAAGGAGATGGGGTGTGATTGCCAATGAGATAACAGTCTGATGTACTATCTACCAGAGTCCAAATAATGTGGCTGTTGGCAGTTATAAGTCACTTTCAGATAGACCTCAACAATGTACCAAACCGGTTTATTGTTTTCAGGTACCACAGGAAAAAGAGGAGTTGTGGCCAGATGCAGCCAGGTGCTGCCAGGATTTAAAACTATTAGAATTACACAGTTTTGTCTGCATTCAGGGAAAATTTCATGGTGTATATTAGATGAACCTTAAAGGTGGATTATCAGATTATTGGTCACAGGAATACTAAAGTGATTGCTGACTTTTCAAATATAAAAATATGCACAAAGAAGGAAATATATCTGATTCCTTGTGAAAATTAAAAGATAGAACATTGCACTTTAATTGATTTGGTAATTTAATTTCAAGAATGACAACATGTCCTGATCTGTTACCATAAGTGTAAAATTTGTTCATTAGCTACTGTTTATTATGTTTATGGTTGAACTGTATCTTTGAAATTTGTCAATCAGTCATGATTTACTTCTTAAGCTGTGTAAGAACCTTCTTGTAATTGAAAATTGGTCTGCCATGATCACGATTTCGACAATATTCTGAGTTCCTAACAAGTTCAAAATTTAGCACATTTGCAGTTTACAATACCCAAAGATCAGGAGAAACAACTATTTTGATTGGCTGATCACAGTTGTCTCCCTAGGGAAAAGTTTGAGCAAAGTTCGAAATTGAGAACAGTAGAATTTAACAAAATCGTGGTTTAGAGGTTTTTACACGATCACTATCGTGCAATCGTGACAAGGGGTCAAAATCGAGTATTTCACGCCTGAATCGTGCAAGTTGGCAGGTATTACAGGATAAGAAATTAAAGAATGAAAATTACAAATTTAATTCTGTTCCAGTTGTATTTCCAACAATATGATTGAAAATTGTCCGACGGTCACGAAGGTTAATGACCGCCATTTTGTCCACAACAAGACATATTGAAGGGAGACAACACCATCTGTTATATTTTTAAAAATGTACATTTGCAACGCTGGAGTTGTCTTTCTTTTACCAATGTATGAGCAAGTAACATTCACTTTAAGTATGTAAAATACGGAACCGAGTTCCGAATGCGGGTTGGAAGTCTGGTCAATGGTAAAAGAAAATTGACTGCGTCATTTTCTAAAAACAGTTACTATTTAAGAACTTTTGTGTATTTTCTTTCCTGTCTAGAGTTTTTACATCCAATGCACCATGAAAATAGGCATCAACATTTTATTAATATCCTACATGCATTTTGAATACATAAGAATTCTAAATTTCTAAATCATCTGACAAATATAAACAAGTGAAACTGTGAGCTACTGCTCACTGATGATACCTCTGCCCAAATGTAAGTGTTTGGTAAACAGGAAGTTGTTGAGTGATGAATCTGAAAATGCATCACACGGTATAGCTGACTCATATAAACCCTGAAACCAAATTTCAGAAATCCTTGTAATGTAGTTCCTGAAATAAATGTGACGAAAAATTTTCAACTACTTGGATGTCATGTGTAAAATGATGTAAGTGTTTGGTAAACAGGAAGTTGTTGAGTGATGAATCTGAAAACGCATCACACGGTATAGCTGACTTATATAAACCCTGAAACCAAATTTCAGAAATCCTTATGATGTAGTTCCTGAGATTCATGGGACAGACGGAAGGACAGACAGAGGTAAAACAGTATACCCCCACTTTTGTAAAGTGGGGGTATAATTATTTCTTTTTTTTCAAAAACTTTTATTTTAGGCTAGGTCATTAACTCCCTGTTCCCATTTTGTGAATTTCCTTATAACAAAAACACAAAATTTATTTGTAAAATGGCAAAGCATATCAGCAATTACCTTAGATCCACTCCTGACAGTAAGAGTGGTCCCCTTTAATGTTGTTAAAGCCTCACTGTCTGTCACCACATTCACTTTTCCAAATGTTTTTATATCAAGGTGATCAATGGTATTAGTTGTGGGCTGATAGTGGTCGATTGTTAGGCTACAGTTAGCATTAACAGTCACGTTGTCCATCATTTCAAAATGTCCTTAAATAAAGAACAAAGTTTCTCTCAAAGTTTCATTGAAATCCATTGAGTTATAAAAAGGAAACAAAGATGTGGATAAACAAACAGTATTCAGAATAATCAAAGTAAAATAAATAAGACGTAAAAAAAAAATTGAGTTAACATAGTATTGATCTACAAGTATACAGGCCAAAATGGTTGGTGGAAGTTTGAGAGCAAGGAATAGAAAATCATAAAAGTACAGATTTGTATGTGAATGATTTATGGAGGGAAAGTAAATGATGGTGATACACACCATTGATGAACAAGCCTGTATGTTAACTGTTTATGGATGAAGAAACTGAATGAGGAGTACACACCTTTGATGTACAGATCTATATGTCTACAATCTATAGATGGCGGAAGTTGGAGTTCTGAATTTCTCTGTGTAAGCACACTGAATTCCATCAAAGCTCTATCTAGGTCAGTTTTAAAGCTTTGACTCGGTCTAACAGTCACTCTGCCTGTGTTGTCACCACTGACATCATGTACAAACAATGCTGCATTGTCATCAGACATCTCAAGAGAGCCACCACCTTTAATTGTCAACTACAAAATAATCATGTTTGGATTTGACTTGATGTATATACTGAAAAAATTAAGGTTGACAGTTTTTATTTAAGGAATGACTGCAATATTTTTTCTGTCTATGAAGAAATAACCTCAAAAATGTGGTGCACACTGAATTACCAGCATAGTGGTTTATTTAAAAGTGTGCACCACAATTATGAGGTTATTTCGAATATACAGAAAAAATATTACAGTCCTTCCTTATAATTCAATTCTAAATTCAATTTTTAAGGAGTAAATCATAAAAAAATGTTGATGACGTCACAGTCACATGACAAAATTATGTCTATGAGCTGATAGACAAAAATATTTCAGCCAATCAGAAGATGTGTTACATCAAAAATTAAATTATTAAAATATACCTTAAATATATCAATCCCTTAAAGGGGCATTGGCTGTCTAATTCATGTTCACCAATTTTGCTCAAATTCTCATATTTGATTAATAACATACTAAAATGTTTATCCAAATTATAAAAAGTCTGGGCTCGATAATATGTATTAACATTTCATGTTTATTTTAGTCTAGATGCCATCTTATTAACCATCGACAGACCTGCCAACTATCCCGCTTTTGGCGGTATCATCCCGATTTTCATGCCTCAACCCAAATCCCAATATCGGGATTGTAAAACAATTCAAAATCCCGATTTTCACAAAATATTCCTGAAAAAAAAATATTGGTTACCGATTTTGAAGTTTTTCTGATCAATTTCTATAAATCTTAATTTTACCTGGCGACATATTCATAACTTTACGACCCCAAGCTAATCAACGGTCACACCAGGTGTCATAACCTGTTGTTACAGGTAATCCGCTTATTTGATGGGTCATAACGATCCTCAAAATTAATTAATTTATAAATAGTATCGGTCAGTTGTCATAAAATTTTTAAAATCAGACGTGTTTCTGTCGAGTTCTGAATTAAAATCGACGCCATATTGTATTCACTTCTACTGTGTATAAGCCTCTGTCGGTAGGAGGACCTCTGAACACAAAGAAAGATAACTCAAATTTTAGCCATTTTCTCATTAATACTGATATAGACTAACACAAGATCTGTCTTCATCCTTCTAACTTTAGGACATTTAGGTTTAGGTCTTTTGAGTCATGGTGGAAAGATAAGAAGGTCTTTGGAGGGGGAAAAGGGGGGTCTTCACTGTGTATCCTTTATTTTTGGGGCCATTTTTCTCTATTCTTAAGTTATTTTGCCAATTAATAAGTAAAAATCATGCAAATAAATGAAATCAAGGCTTATTAGCTCATCATCAGTATACCATAAGAAAAAAGAAGAGATATGAGACTATTTCAAGAGTATAAAAAACAGTGCACACAGAAATGCCGCAAAAATTGTAACCCTTAAAAATCTGGTTGCACACTAAATCCCCCATGGGGATTTTCAAAAGTTGGCAGGTCTGCATCTCAATGTTTAATTGCCAAAAAATTACATTTACATTACGTAAAGTTTGTGAATTATTGGTACAGGTATCCAGATACAATATTAACGACAGCCAATTCTGTTGAATGTTTTCATAATTAACTAGACATCATTGAGATGGGAGCCATCTCTGTGGGCCCCACTGTGAATAACGTGTGGTAAAAAATTGGTATCTTTACCATAGGACATGGGGTTGTCATCTGAAACCAAATTTTTTGACCTTGACCTTTGACCTAGGAAGTTGTACATACATTATGACACACCCTCTGGTGTTGGTTAATATACATGTCAAGTATAAACTTTGAAATCATAAAGGTTCTCAAGATATAGAGTGGACACGATCTTTACCATAGGACATGGGGTTGTCAACTGAAACCAGTTTTTGACCTTGACCTTTGACCTAGGAAGTTGTTCAAACATTATGACACCCCCTCTGGTGTTGGTTAATATACATGTCAAGTATAAAGTATGAAATCATAATGGTTCTCTAGATATAGAGGGGACACAATTTGTTACGGACGGACAGACAGACGGACGGACTGATCACTATAGGGCGACCCGCCATTCAGCGGGGCCCTAATTATTTACTGTTGCAATGTACGCTTCCTACATAAAACTAGAGGCTCTCAAGAGCCTGTGTCGCTCACCTGTATTTACTGATGCTTTGGAAATCATGTAAAATAAGGTTAAAATCATAATTAATAGTATTAGATATTAGACATGTTAGATATTATAATGATATCTAAGATAATAACAAAAAACTGCAAAATTTTTGTAAAATTACTAACTCAGGGTCAGCAACCCAACAACGGGTCGTCGGATTTGTCTGAAAATTTCAGGGCAGATAAATCTAAATCTGATGAACAATTTTGCCACCTGTCAGATTTGCTCTAAATGCTTTAGTTTCAGAGATATAAACCAAAAACTGCATTTTACCCCTATGTTCTATTTTTAGCCATGGCGGCCATCTTGGTTGGTTGGCGGGGTCATCGGACAAATTTTTTAAACTAGATACCTAATAATGATTATGGCCAAGTATGGTTAAATTTGTATCAGTAGTTTCAGAGAAGAAGATTTTTGTAAAAGATTACAAAAATTCACAAAAAATTGTTAAAAATTGATTATTAAAGGCAATAACTCCTAAAGGGGTCGACTGACAATTTTGGTCATGACAACTTATTTGTAGATCTTACTTTGCTGAACATTATTACTGTTTACAGTTTATCTCTATCTATAATAATATTCAAGATAATAACCAAAAACTGCAAAATTTCCTTAAAATTACCAATTCAGGGGCAGCAACCCAACAACAGGTTGTCAGATTTGTCTGAAAATTTCAGGGCAGATAGATCTTGACCTGATAATCAGTTTTACCCTTTGTCAGATTTCCTCTTAATGCTTTGGTTTTAGAGATATAAGCCAAAATCTACATTTTACCCCTATGTTCTATTTTTAGCCATGGCGGCCATCTTGGTTGATTGGCGGGGTCATCGGACACATTTTTTAAACTAGATACCCTAATGATGATTGTGGCCAAGTTTGGTTAAATTTGGCCCAGTTGTTTCAGAGGAGAAGATTTTTGTAAAAAGCTAACGACGACGGACGACGACGCCGCCGCCGCCGCCGACGACGACGGACGATGGACGACGGACGCCAAGTGATGAGAAAAGCTCACTTGACCCTTCGGGTCAGGTGAGCTAATAAACTCCAAACAACCCAAGAATATCCAAGTTTCATTGATGTCTCATTGTCAAAACCCATTTATTTTCTTCCTTACATATTTACACCTTTACTATACCTTTTCAAATTCATACACAGATTTCTGGTCTTGACTGTGAATAATATAGCCAGCTCCAGGTGAGTTTGAATAAACATCCTGTTGATTTGAACTAGGATTCTCACTTAGATAAATCTCAAATTCAGCTAGGCCTGCATAGGTAGAGGTAGCTTGCAAATGGATGTATATCTGGAATGATAAAACAAAGCTGATAATATTTTGGGAAAAAAAATACAGGGAGTGGGGATAGGCATAAAATGAATTGGTAGTGTTTGCTTATAAATCATCAAAAAGAACAAAATAAGTTAATAGCAATCATAATTTTATGTATAGTGGAGGTAAATAAAAAAGTGTCTCCCTACTATATATCTGTATATTAATTTAAAGAATGGTCCTTATATATCAGCACATTTTAAGAAAGTTTGTATCAAGCAAAAGTAATGAACTAAAATCATAGTCCAGTCTGGCATAGTCCCCTGGAATTTCTTAACAAGCAAGAAATACTATATTGCATTTTCAAAATTCTTGTGTGTGCATTTATTATTGTGAATATTTCACAATGGACCATAATAGAAGATTAACAAATGTGTTTCCTGTATATATTTAGTGGAAGAGTTCTACAAATTTAATAAACTGTTAACACAGAGATATGTCTCGCCTTTTTGTACTTTTGATAATGCAAATGTTGAAATTAAAATAGCAATACTTTAACATGTAAGTTATGCAAATATTCAAAGTCAATGAACCATGACTGAAGGTACATGGCAAAACAATCTCCATGTAAATGAGATGTGCCAATGCTAATACAACTGCATACCAAATACCGAAGACTTATCATAAGTCGTTCACTTTCAACAAACCTAAACACAAACATTGACTTGTAAACTATGTAAAAGTTTCAAAGTCAATGAACCATGATGAGGGGGTAGGGCTATATAATCTCCATGGAAACGAGACTTGCAAATGCCAATAAATTTGCATACCAAATATCATTGAATTAACATTAGCGGTTCATCTTAATCTGATCTAATCACAAACTAACACATGACTGAGGGAGCGGAGCTAAATAATCTCCATGGAAATGAGATATGCCAATGCTTATACAACTGCATACCAAATATCATTGACTTACCACTAGTGGTTCCCCATAAACTGACCTAATCACAAACTAATACATGTAAACTAAGCAAAAGTTTCAAAGTCAATAGACCATGACTGAGGGGGCAGGGCCAAATAATCTCCATGGAAATGAGATGTGCCAGTGCTAATACAACTGCATACCAAATATCATTGACAAACCACTAGTGGTTCACCTTAAACTAGACCTAATCACAAACTAATACATTGTTGACGACACTGACACCGGAAACAGCATACCTATGTCTTGCTTTTTGACTCCGTCAAGGTGAGACAAAAATATCTCAAAAAATATTTACCAATAAAATATTGAAACTACCAGCTCTCTTTTATTCAGTATTGAAGGTATAATATAGGCATTAAAACACATTTTTGGGTACAACAGATACAGAAAATTCCATTCAATTAAATTTATTGTTTTATTACCTAGCAATATAAATTGTAACTCAACAGTTAAATATGTGACCATGGTATTACTGATGTGATCTACACTAGTAAATATGTAACTAGTATAAGTTAGCAGATTGTCTTCTCATTCAAATATTTTAATTCCTTGTTATAACTATTCATTTGTTCTCTTTCCTTAAATATGTCTATTTATAAAAAAGAAGATGTGGTATGATTGCCAATGAGACAACTCTCCACAAGAGACCAAATGACACAGAAATTAACAACTATAGGTCACCGTACGGTCTTCAACAATGAGCAAAGCCCATACTGCACAGTCAGCTAATAAAGACCCCGAAATGACAATGTAAAACAACTCAAAAAATTCAAAAATTATTTATTTGAGAGGAAACTGTACCTTGTCTACATAGTCTTGAACAACCACTTTTCCATAATGATCAGCATTGTTTTGTGTATCACAGCCTATTGTATCTACATAACCATCGGTACGATCTACTTCAGATGTACTGTTTATAGTCTTTATATAGTAATTACTCCTTGTAGTACTGCAACACAAAAATAAACAAAATATTTAAATTTGACATAAAGATCAAATTTCACCGTATGTAAAGGGTCCTAATGAAATATTCCTCTGAAACAAATTGCTTCTATCTCAAAAGTTTCGGAAATTAAGTTTCAGAAATTAATCTGTTTCTGGCTGAGATATAACAAGATTGCCATTAGTAATAAAAAGTATCAGAAAACAGGAAGTGGGTGTCTGACAGATCCAAAAAGTGCACACATGTTTCAACTCATCAAGCTGTTAACCAAATATGAAGTCATTCTGTTCAGTAGTTCCTGAGAAAAGTGCGACAGAAATATTTGTTGGATGAACATACCAACAAGGTGAATGCAATACACAAAAATTTCAACTCAAAGTTTAACAATCTCATTCATGAACACCAAGGGTAAACTCTTAGATGGAAAACATAAAGTATGAGGGAGGGTTATATTAATAGTTGACAAGTTGTTTAAAAACTTGCCTAAAACACCATGAATAAACTCTGAGATGGTCCACATATAAATTATGAAATAAGGATCAATAGTTGACTTATTCTTTAAAACTTCCTAGAACACTATGGGTAAACTCTGAGATGGTCCAAATATAAAGTATGAGGGAAGGTTATACCAATAGTTGACTAATTGTTTAAAAACTTGCCTAAAACACCATGGGTAAACTCTGAGATGGTTCAAATATAAAGTATGAAGGAAGGTTATACCAATAGTTGACAAATTGTTTAAACTTGCCTAGAACACCATGGGTAAACTCTGAGATGATCGACATATAAAGTATGGGGGAAGGTTATACCAATAGTTGACTAATTGTTTAAACTTGCCTAGAACACCATGGGTAAACTCTGAGATGGTCCACATATAAAGTATGAGGGAAGGTTATACCAATAGTTGACTAATTGTTTAAACTTGCCTAGAACACCATGGGTAAACTCTGAGATGGTCCACATATAAAGTATGAGGGAAGGTTATACCAGTAGTTGACTAATTGTTTAAACTTGCCTAGAACACCATGGGTAAACTCTGAGATGGTCCACATATAAAGTATGAGGGAAGGTTATACCAGTAGTTGACTAATTGTTTAAACTTGCCTAGAACACCATGGGTAAACTCTGAGATGGTCCACATATAAAGTATGAGGGAAGGTAACAGTGATGGTTGGTGTTTTATCACTACTGAGATATCCTGTTGACCTGCTACCATCAGTCATCCTGTGTAGATGATAGTAGTAATAGTATCCAGTTGATAATCCTGTGTCTATCCAGTTTCTATACACACTGACATCAGTCACAATCAATATGTTATTATTTGTGTAGTACCCAGTACTAGTATCTGATCGATGTGCCAAATACAATGTTTCTGATTCTTCAATTTGTTCTGATTCTGTGTAACCAGAATTGTCTATGATCAGATCTCGTACAGGATGTGTAGAATTAGTCTGATCCTCTAGGTAGACAGTTCCTGATCCCCCATACCCTGATAGACCATAACCACCATAGATTAAGTATTCTCCAGTGAAGTGATTTTCTTTACTGTGGTAGATGGCCATCCTGCCACCTCCGCCTCCACCACCGTTTGTGCTTCCTATGAAAAAAATCATATTTTTAGAGTCATATACTTCATTTCTAAAACAAGGTTATTCTTACAATTTATTAATTTAACATATTATACTAGCTAAATAGTTCTTAAATCTAAGGAACATCAGAAGAATTCAATTAAAATAGGTCTTGTCTTTAGCAATGAAATTGATTAAAGTACTATATATTAAACCAGTTTTTTTCTGTTTTACTCAAGTGTCAAGTCTCTACAGTGAACAGAAAAAGTCAAAAAATGAAACCATGTATTTTGCTTTAGTGAATTAGTTCTCACAACTGAAAATTAATGATTAAATATTTTAAGTCATTATATTCATTTAAGTTGTATTTACTCACTTTTTTAAATTAAAGTGTGATAATCATTGCATATAATGATATAACGAAAAGTTTTTAAATTTTCAGTATAAAATATTAGAGTCAGTAAAATTTAACTTTGTTCAAACAAGGAACTGCTATGAAAATTAATAATGTCTGGTCAGCTGTACCATACCTTCCCCTCCAAATGTTTCTATACTGCCTGCTCCATCTAGATGTCCAACCACAACATAGATACTACCTCCAGCCCCTGCCCCTCCAGTGGTACCACCTCCTGTCTCTCCGTTTGAGTGAAGTCTTCCTTCTACTCTCAGCTCATCAGATATATACATGTGTATTATTCCTATTTAAGTAAAAAATCACTATTCAGGTTTTATCATAGATAATGAATTTTTTAGTATTTTCCTACACTAATAGACACAAACTGTTTTTCAATTGGATTTTTTTTTTTACTTAAATGGGATCTATGTCTGAATTCCATGTTCTATTTTTAATTTTTGGCAGGTTTTTTTTTAATAATTTTACTTGAGTTATGTCCAGTTGCAAAACATAAGTTAATTATGATTACAAAGTTTGCCCCTTTCTACACAAGAGGTTTATATGATTTTATGTCATTGAAGCCAAAATTTCAATAAATTAAAGTTATATCCTTTTAAGCACCTTCAGTCCTCCACCTCTGCCTCCCTCTCCATTAAAACCAGTTCCACCACCTCTACTTCCCATCTCACAGGGTATGTACATAGAATCATAGGCTTAGCAACACTATTTTAAGGACATCACATGTCTCTCCCATACTTAAAGGCTTCTAACTTACCTCCCCCTCTGCCTCCCTCTCCATCAGAACCAGTTCCACCTCCACTTCCCATCTCAATGGGTATGTATGTAGAATCATAGGCCAGTGCAGAATAATATCCTCTATAAGATCTCCCTCCTCTGCCACCATGACCTCCCCCTGAGGCTCCAGCATGATTAGACTGGGCTAATCCTGCTCCTGGTCCTATATCTCCAGCATGTCCAGTAAAATCAGCATGGAAATCACCTTTCAAGAATAAAGACTGACTTCAATATGCATAGTTACTTTCAACCAAAAAAAACACTCCTCCAATCCTTAGGCCACACCAATTTGATTATTAGTTCTTTGGATTTTCCCGCTCCTGTTTTGGAGAAATTGACTTTTCAATGAAAAAAAAAATTACCACTTCTGCAAATTTTTGGTCCACATGCCGCTCCAAAATTAGTTTCTCCTTCAAATTTGTTTTCTCACATATACTCTTTTTTGTTGCATATAATGCTCCTATCGTTTTAAACGCACGTGTGATAAATCGATTTGTAAATAAAAGGTCAAAAATCGGGATGCCAACATGCAGTTGTGTCAGCTCATTGCCGTGGACAAGTAGTTATTGAACACACAGTTATCTGAAATGCTTCTCATTATACCTTTAAAGACCTGTTCTAGGATGCAAAAGTTAAAAATCTTTCATTACATGACCACTAACACATCAATATTTGTTAGAACCATCGTCAACCCCGATCCTTGTTTCAACAGACATAGACCTATCTATATTTTGGATGAAATGAATTGTAAATTCCCACGAACTTTTTAAAAAATCACAGAAGTATTTGATGTTGATGAAATCCCATATCCCCTTGTTAGTCTTTTGGCATGAAAGCAGAACTTGTTGGGGGGAATTTAAACAGCTCCAACGAGACCAAGGTGATGCTGTATTGTGATTTGCATGCTCATAATAATTAGGGGTGTGTAATTGGTTCAACCACTTCTAGTCAAGCTAAAGAGTTTTAAATGCATTCAAAAGGAAACAGTATTTTGTTCAGTAAGAAAAATGCATGTGAATGGGGCGACAGGTATTTTAAGGGAATATTTTGATACATTTGGATCTACATGTATAGCAATATAACTATCTTACTCAGGATGTTTTTTTAGTACAAAGCAAGAAGTATTCACCTCACTCATTATTTTGATCCTAAATATGCATTAATAGTTCCAACTGGATGTCAAGCAGCCAATAAATAAAGGCAACAGTAGTATACTGCTGTTCAATAGTCATAATTTGATTAAGCAAAAACAAATCGGGGTAACAAACTTAAACCGAGGGAAACACATCAACTATAAGAGGAAAAAAAACGAACAACAGAAACACTGAACTACAACAATAAATAATCATTACCATATAATGAAAACTATCAAATATCTTTCAGGGGGATTTTTTGGATACATACACGTTATTTTATCAACATGTATCATTTACTTAACTAACATACTTCCTCTTGTAAAACTGCATCTGCTATGCTTCCTAAATATATATATATATGTATGTATTTAAATGAAAATTCACATAGACAAAGCTTACTTGAAGAAAATAACCAAAATTAACTAAACCACAGTGAGACAAGAAAGTCTGATATAGTACAGGCACCAATAAATCAAATTATATGCATTAGAGCATCTGTTGCTCTTCGTTTTTCTATGAAATAACCCAGTTATAACATGTACATAAATTGTACAACTTCTAAATCTCACAATTTTTTTTAAAAATGATACCTTTCGCTTCACTTGTAGAGCACTCACCTCAAAAAAACTCATTTTCAAGAAATATATAAAAACAAAAAAATTTTGCTCGCTCACCCCATATTTTTTGGAGCTTTTGTCCGAAGAACTATTAACCAAATTGGTGTGGCCTTACAAAATAAATAAAACATATAAATATGTTGAAGACCTGAGAGCAGAATGTGCAAAGAATATTAATAAATGAACAGCAATTTAACTTAAAAAATAAGTAAAATTTCACCATTTATTATAAATAAAACATCCTGCAGCTCTGATAACATGAGACATGTGGATCTCTTTTTGTATCATGAATCAAAATAGATCATTACAAGAATATGAGTCCATAGGACACCATGCCCTGCTCACCGACTATCACATTTCAACCACGAAATATGTGCCAAAACACTTATTTGGCATATATATTAAACAGTTCAATTCATAATGAACATATGTACTAAGTTAAAGTTGATGTGAACATTAAGTACCTTCAACCAAATCTAACCTACGGTAAAGCAAAAGTTTAACCTGATATGGGATGGATAGACAAATGGAAAACATAATGGCCCTTTACTATATAGTAGGCTGGACATATATACCTGAAAGATCAATGGTTACATTGACTGCATGGAGTTCAAGGTGATTAGTTCTGACATAGCCATTTCCATTGACAAGGACCCTAATGACAGTGATATTAATGACCTTTTCTGCAGTCAGTGGTTCAAATTTTCCTCCAGCTTTAACAGAAATGTTGGTTAATTGTAATGATCCTTCTGGCAAGCCTTCAGTGTTTGCATATGACCATATATATAGTTCTCCTTCATTTTCCACTGAGATATCATCCAGGCCTATGATTGTACCATTTATTTCTGCCCATACTTCTCTCATAGCTATTCTTTCTGGTATTTCTAAGAAACTGTATCTATATAAGGCATAAATTATACAAACTTATTTGATATACAATGAAAGGTCTATCATTAGTTGAATTGCAATATTCATGGATATCATAGTTAATAAAAGAACAGAGTCCCAATGTCCCCCACGTTGCACATATTTTACATATCCAGGGGCAATAACTAAAAAACTTTTTTTTGTTCATTAAAACTTTTTATAAATATCTTAGAGAAATGAAGGCTCAATAGCAAATACAATGCAATTCCCAATATAATTAATATTTCTATAACTCTTTTAAAAATATTGACCAGCACTCATTTTTCGAACTTGTCTGAGACATTGCTGATATAAACCTATGATATAAGTTTCATAAAAATCTGGCAAGAATTGTACACATGAGAGCGCTAACAATGCAATTTTCCATATGATTTATATTTCAAAGGGACACAACTCTTTTAAAAATGATTAATAGGCACTGATATTCAAACTTGTCCAAGACATTGCTGATTTAAACCTATGATGTAATTTTCATAAAAATCTGGCAATAATTATACATATGAGAGCACTAAACAATGAAATTTTCCATATAATTCATATTTCCAAGGGACATAACTCCTTTTAAAATAGTTAATCTGCACTGATTTTCAAACTTGTCCAAGACATTGCGGATATAAACTATGATATAAGTTTTAAAAAATCTGGCAAGAATTGTACATGTGAGAGTGCTAGCAAGACCAGGCTGACAGACGCAAGGACGCCCGGTATTTCTATATCCCCTATAACACGTCATTCGGGGGACAATAAAAACCACAAAATATTTTACTTAGGTGAAATGCAAAGATACAATCCATCTGTCATGTGTGAAGTTGAAACCAAAAATATGACCTTTGAACCAAAGAGAGTGAATTCAATCAAATAAAAGTTAACTGTAACAAGTTTAAATCCTATTAACTTTTAAACAACAAAAATAACTGATAGTACTCAATATTTTCAAATTGGAATATACAACTTGAATGTCTGTTTATAAATTATACAGCATTCAAAATATTATACCTTTGGGTATACATCCTAAAATCCATGCTAAACAGAAAACATTTCTTAATTCTTTTTTGTTCACAGAAGTTTACAAATGATTAAAACATTTCTTAATTGTGTTGCATAGAAATGACTATTTTCAATCTATTTGTTTAGTATTCTATTATCTTTAATATATCAAGGAAAAAGTTTGAACCAATGTCTGCTTTTAATGCCAAAAAGCTTTAAGGGCCTGGCAAAACAGATATTCAAAAATCAATAATGAAAAAGCATAGATATTAATCTCTAATCTAAGGTGCAACGTACTTATTAATCAAAACATAATAATCCGACATATTTTACTTCATTAGAACTAATTTCCAAATGCTTTAAATTGGTTGGCTTGCTTGCTTTGTTTGTATAAATGTTTGCTCAAGCATTGTAATTATGATTGACTTCGGTAAACAATATGGATAGGCAGAGTTAAACCTGTATACATTACATTTAGATTCCTAACCACCAGGATAACATCCAATCAAATTTTTAACAGTATAATGTATACAGGTTTAACTCCTCTTTTTATATTGTTTGCAAATGTCAATCTTAATTACAATGCTTGAGCAAAAATTTATACAAACAAACAAGTAAGCCAAATAAAGTCTCATTCTCCAAGAATTAGGAAATTACCTCTACAGTTACAACAAAATTTACACTATTTACCTGTAGCACATAATATTGATAGGCATATATGTGTCAACATTTGTAAATCCAAATGTCTGTTTTTTCCCAGCATGCAACACTCCTGTTGTATCACCAATTAAATATTCCACTCTGATATCAATATCTTGTACAGATGTATCACTAAGTATAGCTACATGTGCATTTCCCTGTAACACAACAGTATCAAATTTATACTGAGGGTCATCATGGTACAGCCAGGTTATACCACCTGATTGGCTGATATCATCATACACACCATTCAATAAGTTACGGCGGTCTCCATGTTGGATATTAGCTGCTCTTGGGTAGGCATGACCATTGTTGTCAACTGTAAGCTTTTTGTTAATCGGCATTTTATTTGTAGCATTGAACAATTCTTCATATTTTGTTCCTGCACCACCACTTTCAAAGTTGCTGATACCTGTAAAATTCATCCCAAATTTTTTAAATGAAAATTAAAAGGTTCATACACACACAATTCAGTGATAATCTCAGCAATACTACTACAAAACTAACTTCTTACTTTAGCTAAAATCAATAAGAAAGCTAATCAAGATGAAAGTAAGCAGAAACTTTCATTAAGTCAGAATTACCTGACAAAACGAAAACTTCAGAAAGTTAAACTTAACAAGTTATTCTGCAATGAGAATCTCATAGAAGAAGATATGTTTGTGGATAAGTATCTCTGGTGAATAGTTGTCTCATAGGCATTTATACCACATCGCCTTATTTATAAGATTTAGCTTAGAATTGTGAAAACCTACCTCCATATGCTTTAAGTGTAATATTGAGTTTGTTGGTATTGGCAGACTGTATAGAGATCCTCCCACCACTACCTCCTCCTCCTTGTCCTTTACCGTTCCCTCCATTTGCTGTAATGAGACCGTGGCCAACAACCTCATCACAAACAATCCATACACTGCCTCCAGATCCTCCTCCTATCAAATTATACAACATCATGTAACAACCGAGTGATAAAATACACTCAATCTGTCAAATGGGCCAAATAAATTGCTTTAAGTGTTCATCATCTTTTTGCTGAAGAAAGGAGACTTATTTTAATTATTTTGTAGTAAACATATGAATATGATAAAAAATGGCCCAACATGGTTTTTAGATATTATCAAAACATTGCAGGCCAACAAGCAGTAAATAAAATAAAAATCTCCATAAAATTTTAAAAAAGAACAATCAAGTCTCAAAAAGGAAATCATTTTGTGTGTAGGTGTACAAATTTCATTTCATTCAATGTTGTCCACCAAAATTTACTTTCAAATTTCAATATAATAGTATGTCATGCTGAGCAATGTCAGCATACAGTTAATGACAAGTTGCAATCTCAAGTATAAGTAAATTTAAAGTGCTAACATTTAAGAGATCTATATGGAAATCTTTTAAATAATTCTTTAAATCTTTCAGCTTGAAAATATAATTTAATGGACATGTACATATAGATTTACTAATTAGTGACCAGATCTAAAAATACCCTCCCTCTGCTTGTGACACAGTCTTCAACCTACAAAGTTTTTTCAGCCTAATGAAAAATATTGTAAACATCTCAAATACATTTTAGTTGCATACACTTACTGTAATTAACCTGTATAATCTATTTTTCCCTAGTTTTTAAAAAGACTTTGTTTAGACCAATTAAAGTGTTAGATACCATCCTTGTTACAACTCGAGATCATCACAAAGTGCAAATAGTTGAACAATAAATGTAATAAAATAGAAAAACAACACCATATTTGATAAGAAATAGGAATAACACACATACATGTATATTTGTATATATATATAGGTACCACTTTGTATGAATTTTGGTGTGCTGTTTGTTCTTAAGGATGTCATGAGTCCAGTTGTTAGCGCTATTGGTCTTTTTTTTTAAGTTTGAAGTTATTGGTAACCAAATTATGTATCTGCACTAAAACTAACAATGCAACTGTTTAAACCTTGGATGTTTTTGGATGCTCTGTTGAGGTCCTTCTTGGTTTTTATGAACATCAACATTCTGTATATTTGGGTAACCAAACATTGGTATGAAATGTACAGGATGAAGATTAATTCAGAAACATGTACCGAAGACACTGAAAATGGTATCATACTTTTACGTAGGCTAGATTTGGGAAAATCATAAATGTCATACAAAATTTTTGTGTTACATATTTTTTTTCTGGCAGGAAACCTTGTATTTTGGTTATAAAGTGTACAATTTCAATATTACACAAACCAGCATTAGCTCCTAGTTGATTCTCCGGTGGTTGGCCATCAACAGTTATCTCCCCATCAATATCAACGTGTCTTCCTGTCATGTGAATCCTGCCACCACTCACACCACCAATATGGCCACGCACCAACGTATTACGATGAGTACTGTCACCAAAGTAGAGAGAATCTGAAATGATTTTTATTCTCAACAGTCATAAGTTATCACCTTCATTTTCTAATTTACCAAAACTGTTGTTTTTACTTATACTGGTAACCTGAATTTTGAAGAAAAAAATGAATTATGTAGTGTATTTTTATGAGAATCATTAGTTTAGTAATGCATATTAATCCAATTATATAGTGTGGACTGGTGTACATTTTAATTTTATATTTGGCAAGTATAAATCTTAATAACTTGGTTATTATGAATTAAACCATATGGTATTGTGAAATAACTGCCACTTCCTAATTTCAATATTTAATTATATGATGAAGAATATATTGAAACAGATCCTCATCCACCTTAATAACCAGTACTTGGAAGAAATTCATAAAATATAATATAATTTGTGCATTTTATTATAATTGATGGAGTTATTTCCCTTAGTTTCTTTTTTTTATAGTGCAATCTAAATTATGGGAAACCATTAGTTTTTCATTCAAAGGTTATAAGTTATGTGGTGTTTCAACTTTTTTCTACATTCACAGTGCCTATTAAAAACACAACATAAGCCTCATGCAGAGACGGACAGATCCCGAGAAATTAATAGATTTTGATTTTCTATCCTCCCCCGAACTTCCTTTGAAGGAGTACAGAAATACTGAGTATCATTAAACCACAAATAAACAATGTCAAAACAAAAACTGGAAAAATAGAATGCTGAAAAAGTAAATGTGTTAATAGTTTTTTTATTATCACTATATGCATGAATCTTTGGTGTAGTTTTATATAAACATTGTTCCAAATTTGTGGTAACTTGGATCATACCTCTATAAGTGCCATATCCTCCTGGGCTACCATATTTAACTGGTGAGTAAATTGAATCATATCCTTGTCCTACAGTATAAGCATCAATACCACGCCCACCACTGCCACCATGACCACCACCACTTCCTCCAGTGAGAGATCCTTTAAATAAATACAAAAGTTATTTTCAAATATTAATGTTTGTAACTGTGATAATTTTACTGTGAGTTGTGAACCTTTGGTCAATTATGTACAGTTTCAAGCAATTTTCAAGATGACGCTGTCTTAGTAATATCATTCCATCATTTCATTTTACTAAAATAACTGGGATTTGTTTTGCCCTGTAAATTAATAATAATCAAAATAGTGCACTACATAAATATTGAAGACAAAGTGAAAGAAAATGTTTTGGCAGATCGTCTAAGATGACACTTCCCTATATGTATATGTGACCTATTTTTAAATAGGGAGAATTGCAATCTTGGGTCCTTAACAAACAAAAAATGTCATGCACAATGTAAGTTATTTCAATAATTTCAATAATGAACTGTAATACATTTCTGAGGAAAAGGCATGAACAAAAGACCTATCAGAAATGTTTTGTGTATGGATATGTTGAAAAAACTAAATTAACATGCCCTATCATAATCCCAAATGGCTGTTACAATTATTTTCATCAGTAGTATTCTTTCTTTGAATGAGATAGCCACTAATCAATCTAGTTACATTTCACTTACCCCTGTATCACAACAAATTTTCTACTTACCAGTTCCATATCCCGGTCCAACATCTTCTGGCTGTGAAAGACCTTGACCATCTAAATCAATCAGTCCTCCAGAGAAAATGGCCATTAAATGGTGAGTTGTCATGTTAAGTCCAGTGTTGACCTTGAAATGTCCCCCTCCATAAATCTATAACAATCATGGCAATATAAAATGTAATATTTGACACTAGAATAATTCTACAAATTGATTATTTGTAACACAAAAATTTGAATAAAAGAAGATGTAGATGAAGATGTACTGAGTTTCAGCAGTGGACAACAAACAGAGATCTATGATATTCACCAATGAGATAGCAACCCTATGAAACAACAAAAAAATACTCAAAGGTGACCTTGTTTTTTTCGAGACATATTAGAAATAACATACTGTGACATTTGTAGAATCCATAACAAACATGCTATCTTTGGTGTAGGAATCCATCTGGAATGTACCCTTGTCTTGCACATGTAATGATTTCAGTGACACCCTGGCTGGTGTTGTCATACCTATACTACCATTAGTGTCCACAGTCACACTGCCTCCATCAAATACATACAGATCTTCTATTCCCTGGATCTAAAAATAGAAATCAACAGTAATACCAAGGCAGATGTAGATATGTTACTACCATTAGTGTCCACAGTCACACTGCCTCCATCAAATACATACAGATCTTCTATGCCCTGGATCTAAAAATAGAAATCAACAGTAATACCAAGGCAGATGTAGATATGTTACTACCATTAGTGTCAACAGTCACACTGCCTCCATCAAATACATACAGATCTTCTATTCCCTGTATCTTAAAATAGAAATCAACAATAATACCAAGGCAGATGTAGATATGTTACTACCATTAGTGTCCACAGTCACACTGCCTCCATCAAATACATACAGATCTTCTATGCCCTGGATCTAAAAATAGAAATCAACAGTAATACCAAGGCAGATGTAGATATGTTACTACCATTAGTGTCAACAGTCACACTGCCTCCATCAAATACATACAGATCTTCTATTCCCTGGATCTAGAAATAGAAATCAACAGTAATACCAAGGCAGATGTAGATATGTTACTACCATTAGTGTCAACAGTCACACTGCCTCCATCAAATACATACAGATCTTCTATTCCCTGTATCTAAAAATAGAAATCAACAATAATACCAAGGCAGATGTAGATATGTTACTACCATTAGTGTCAACAGTCACACTGCCTCCATCAAATACATACAGATCTTCTATACCCTGGACCTAACAATAGAAATCAACAGTAATACCAAGGCAGATGTAGATATGTTACTACCATTAGTGTCCACAATCACACTGTCTCCATCAAATACATACAGATCTTCTATTCCCTGGATCTAAAAATAGAAATCAACAATAATACCAAGGCAGATGTAGATATGTTACTACCATTAGTGTCCACAGTCACACTACCTCCATCAAATACATACAGATCTTCTATTCCCTGGATCTAAAAATAGAAATCAACAGTAATACCAAGGCAGATGTAGATATGTTACTACCATTAGTGTCAACAGTCACACTGCCTCCATCAAATACATACAGATCTTCTATACCCTGGACCTAACAATAGAAATCAACAGTAATACCAAGGCAGATGTAGATATGTTACTACCATTAGTGTCAACAGTCACACTGCCTCCATCAAATACATACAGATCTTCTATTCCCTGTATCTAAAAATAGAAATCAACAATAATACCAAGGCAGATGTAGATATGTTACTACCATTAGTGTCCACAGTCACACTGTCTCCATCAAATACATACAAATCTTCTATACCCTGGATCTAAAAATAGAAATCAACAGTAATACCAAGGCAGATGTAGATATGTTGCTACCATTAGTGTCCACAGTCACACTGTCTCCATCAAATACATACAGATCTTCTATACCCTGGATCTAAAAATAGAAATCAACAGTAATACCAAGGCAGATGTAGATATGTTACTACCATTAGTGTCCACAGTCACACTGCCTCCATCAAATACATACAGATCTTCTATACCCTGGATCTAAAAATAGAAATCAACAATAATACCAAGGCAGATGTAGATATGTTACTACCATTAGTGTCCACAGTCACACTGTCTCCATCAAATACATACAGATCTTCTATACCCTGGATCTAAAAATAGAAATCAACAATAATACCAAGGCAGATGTAGATATGTTACTACCATTAGTGTCAACAGTCAAGCTACCTACATGTGTTGAAAACAAATTATGTCATAATGATATTTAAATAACCATAATAAATCAACATATACCATTGACAAACATTAATGAAAAGTCAAACATCCAAAAGCACCAGCCCTCCTCTTGGAAAATCTTTATTTCTTATCTACTCATCAAAAGTTTTGACAAGAGAATGACCCCAATCTTGTTTTAGAACCCGAAAGAGACATAATTTTTGCCATTTATTTTTTATATTAGGCTGGACTACTTAAGAATTATCATGTCTTGATCTATTACTTGGGTTGATGGTGGTAAAGACTCACCTCTCCAGAAGTAAATAGATGTGTCCTGTAGAAGACTTAACTCTCTCAAAGTATACAGATGTGTCCTGTAGAAGACTTAATTCTCTCAAAGTATACAGATGTGTCCTGTAGAAGACTTACCTCTCCTGATGTATATAGATGTGTCAGTAGAAGACTTACCTCTCAAGAAGTATATAGATGTGTCCTGTAGAATACTTACCTCTCCTGATGTATATAGATGTGTCCTGTAGAAGACTTAACTCTCCTGATGTATATAGATGTGTCCTGTAGAATACTTACCTCTTTTGATGTATATAGATGTGTCCTGTAGAAGACTTAACTCTCCTGATGTATATAGATGTGTCCAGTAGAAGACTTACCTCTCCATAAGTATAAGATGTGTCCTGTAGAAGACTTACCTCTCCAGAAGTATAAGATGTGTTCTGTAGAGGACTTACCTCTCCTGATGTATATAGGTGTGTCCTGTAGAAGAATGGCCTCGGAGGATAGGTGGCTTTGCCTTTTTCATACACATGTGTATTGAAAGGAATATCTGCATTTGTGTAATTGATGGCGAGCTCTTGATTGTATCCAATGTGGATATAACCTGGAAAATACAGATTTTAATGAGGGCAATTCTATTATAATTAAGGTGAGAGGATACGAAGGGAAGCTTTATTTTTGGACATGGATCATGGGCCATTTATAGTTGTATGACAATTTGATGTATGCAAAACTACTCAAAAGTATTCTGTTGAAGGGGGACTCTTAAAGTCCAATCCTATCCACCCATATCTATTTTATCAGAAAACAATCCTATCCACCCACATCTATTTTATCAGAAAACCCTGAATCCATATTAAATTCTATGAACTCACATCAGAATATGTAACCTTCATCAGTTAGGGAAATCCATTATTCCTACAGTATTTTTAAATTCCACAAAATGTTGCTGAATTACGTTCTTTTTTTTCATTTTGAATGGAAAGGGATGTTCTTTTATTGTCATATTTTTTTTTTGCAACTAGACCTCTATTAACTCATATCTGAATATAGAAAACATTGTTTTACATAACAATAATACTTCCAACATAAGCACTAAATTTAAATTTTGTGAAATAGATGAATAAATGCATAGAATGCACATAAACACTACCATAAATACGCTATCAAGTTTCTTTCTATATTTACAATTACTGGTAGCGAATAAAGAACTACCGGTAGTGGTCATCAAGGAAATACACAATTATAAATAACAATAGTTACCTGTAACCTTTCATTCATTCTAACCCTAACCCTAAACCTAACACTATCACTGACCAGAGGTAATCCTGATTGAATTCAAAACTAAAAATGGACCCTAATAAGAAGTCATAGGACCACTGATGTAAATAAAGAGCTGTGCCATGAGCGCATGATACGCCAGTCACTTTTTCAGTGAATAAAGTTCCATAATTCCTCAATGTCATATCAGAAAATTATTAAAAACTAAAGGGAACTTTCAATAGATATAAAGCAGTCATCAAAGTTTCATGAAAACTGCTCAAAGCATTTTTGAGTTATTGTCGGTAAACTGGAAAATCCCCCCTTTTTATGAATAAAATCCCAGAAACGTAAAATCTTTTCTATGAATAAAACTTGGAAACGTAAAATCTAAAATTTATAAAAATTGAAAGGAGCTTATGTAAATAGATATAAACAATTCACCAAAGTTTCATGAAAATTGGTTAAAGGGTTTTTGAGTTATTGCCTGACATGTTGACGACAGACGGACAAACAACGGTATACCATAATACGTCCCGTAAACGGGAAAAAAGAAAATGTTATGGAACACTGAGCTGCTTACCTGTTCTATCTCCTTCAAATGTTCCTACATTTATATCTATAGGTGATGTCAGACTAACAGAAGAATTAAAGGCTAAATGTCCTCCTCCTTGTACTGTTATTTCATTAAAATCAAACTGTTCATTGTCTGTCTTAGCAAAGATCCATGTGGTGGCTCCATCAAGGTCAGTATATTTGTATCTTAAATTAACAGGAAGTAAAATATTGAAGGTATATGGAAAGTTGAGCACTCAAATACTAAAGAATATGTTGTGCAGTGGTTTGGTTTCTAAAATCTTTTGTTCTGTTCTTGTTATTTTTTTTTGTAATATACATTGTATAAGAAAAGTTAATAACAAATGTACAACACTCAAAGCTAGTATTCCAAATTTGAAGGTTCAAAATTACTGGAAAATATCTGAAACCCTCAATAGAATAACCAAAGGAAAAACTGGTAAATGAAAAAACATATTCCAGACTTGAAGCAAGTACTTTCCCAATCTTGAAGAAATATTGGATTAAACCAAGTTTCAGGATACAAAATCACAGATTTACCTAAAAAAATAAAACTACTGATAATTTAATTTAAAGATTTTTGTTTTAGCAGAAGTTAATTTTCACTATTTTTTAGACACAAAATATTCATGGATGCTCTTTATCAAGGTAAACTACATTTTCACATTTTCATAGGCTACATTTTTGAAAAAATTATCAAATCAATGTTATATCTTCATTAAAACATTATACCTATCAAAAACATTTTCCGCATCAGCAAAGATTTCAATTTCTGTAAGAGAAGCTCTGTAGTTACAACTTGATGATGAGGAGTGAGTAGACTGGACAAGGAACTGGAATTTTGTAGCTGTCTGCATAACTGGTAATTCTAAGTAAGATCCTTGGATGATGGGGCTACGTGGCTCTACATAGTTAGTGGTTACAACAAAAGAAGTGGCTCCATTATATCCTATAACCTGCAAAACAGTCATACATATGGATTTTATACAACTCATGAATTTAATGAAACTATTTGTATAAAAGGCATATGATTATATCCTTATGGAGGACATTTGTGGGCATGTATAACTAGTTTAAGTACCAAGTCAGGCTATCTAGACCATGTGTTGTTAAAAAATTGTCCCCCAATTAAGATCTTTCTGCTTATCAAACTATTCAAAGTTTAAATTTTCACCAATTCAAAACCCCCAGAACCTATGATTTTTCCACTAACTGTGGATTCATTATTATTCGTTGGATACCAATTTTCGATGATTTCGTGGGAACAGGTGAACAGCAAATTTAAATGTTCAACGAATTATTAATTTTCTATAGGCTTGTATACTGACTTTGACAAAACCACGAAATTAAATATCCACGAAAATGTAAGTTTTCCTCAATCAAGGAAAATAAGACAATAATATGTTTTTCTACTTTTCTATTGAAGTTGTAATATTTGTCAATCCAAATACTTATTGTCATTTTGTTTATTTTCTTTGGTTACATCTTCTGACATCAGACTCAGACTTCTCTTGAACTGAATTTTAATGTGCGTATTGTTATGCGTTTACTTTTCTACATTGGCTAGAGGTATAGGGGGAGGGTTGAGATCTCATAAACATGTTTAACCCCGCCGCATTTTTGCGCCTGTCCCAAGTCAGGAGCCTCTAGCCTTTGTTAGTCTTGTATTATTTTTAATTTTAGTTTCTTGTGTACAATTTGGAGTTTAGTATGGCGTTCATTATCACTGAACTAGTATATATATTTGTTTAGGGGCCAGCTGAAGGACGCCTCTGGGTGCGGGAATTTCTCGCTGCATTGAAGACCTGTTGGTGGCCTTCTGCTGTTGTCTGTTCTGTGGTCGGGTTGTTGTCTCTTTGACACATTCCCCATTTCCATTCTCAATTTTACTATTAAACCCACATACCTTAAATCTTGATGGGAAAGTAGCTGTAGGATATATCTTTAGCTTTGTGACAAAGGCTTCAGCTTCCAGTTCTACTGTTATGGTAGCTGAGCCTGACGAGGCTACATAAATCTGTCCACTATTACTGGCTAGTGTCTGGTCAAACAAGTACATGAGGTAGTAGTTTCCAGTAAAACAATAGGGATATCTATATACATAGGTATTGGATGTAGATGTGATCTTGTGTCCTTTGGTAGATGTGTAAAGGCTTGTTTGTGAGTAACTTGACTCTGAGATAGTGAAATCTGCTCTATATCCCTCGTTCAACAGTGCGGAATGTTCATCTCTTGGAAGCTGGTTATGATTATCTACAAGAAGCTTTGAGTAGCTTGTTTCTGTGTTCTGGATGAAGACTGTACCAGACGCACCAGCTTCTGATCCTTTGTTGGAATTTCCTCTGCCACCATAGGTATCAAAGAATCCTCTGTAAGGGGGAATGGTGTGGTGGGAATTCTGGTATAAGGCAATCCTCCCTCCTGCTCCACCACCACCAATACTAGTGTCAGCCACACCTCCTAGAGCTTGAATGTGTCCTGTATGACTTCCTGAAGCAACAAATCAATCAAAAATTAAAGTATTGTAACAATCTTAATTTCATGTCGTAATTTTCAGTTTTGTTTATGATGTTATGTTATCAGACAATAAAATTGAAATTTTTTAGAAAGTAACATAAATGCATCTTTTAACAAAGACTGCTTTAGGGTTCTACATTTCAAGGGCAAATTCAGAGGGTGAACCTAGGACGCTGCCTCTACAATCAGAAAAAAATATTAAAAAATGCTTAAAAAATTGCAATATTTTATTACTTGGAAGATCAAGATAATCACAATCAAATTAACATAATCTCAATTAATTTACAATAAATGAGCTGTCAAATTGACATCAAACTGTGTTTTCTGTATTTTGAAAGTAACCATTGTTTAACTTAAGAAGACAGCTAGTATGAATGAAATTGATGTATTCAAATGTATAGCGTTTTCAGACTTGTTTGACCTGCCACATTCTGTGCCTTTTTTCCAATCTATCAAAGAATATATGTCCTAAACGGCAAAAGTGAAAATAGTCAATATCAAATTTGCCCTCCATTTTGTCATCAGTTATACCATATTAAACTTAGAAAAGCATTGGCTGAACAGTTTGTAAGTTACTGTACAGAAACCACACACAGAACCATTTTCCAATTTATCAAAGACCAATCGTCAATATCGGATATAACCTCCATTTTGTCATCAGTAAAAACATATAAAAATTTGAAAAGCATTGGTTGAACAGTTCATAAGATATTGCACGGAAATGACATAATTTTCAAATCTATGAAGGACCATAACTTCTAAATGATAAAAGTAAAAATTAGTCTATATCAAAGTCGTCCTCCATTTTGTCATTAGTAACAATATAGTAAATTTGAAAATCATTGGTTGAAAGGTTTATCAGTTATTCAAAGGAAACTTTTGGCAGCCTCCTGACACCCACCATACCTCATCATTTTTGTAACCAGATTTATCGGAAAACCCAGTCCTAATTTGAAATAAATACAATCCGATTATGCAGTTTGATGTTTATTCTTAATTATTAACCTGTAAAGTTGACAGTGTTGATGAGTATACTTCCTGCACTCCCTCCACTGGCACCAGACCATGAAGACACAGATAGTACATCCTCACTGTTGGCCATTACATAGCCATCTACTGTTAATGTATGATTTACTTCTATTTCAAGTCGACCTCCACCTAAATTGAATAAAGATCAGCTTTAAACATATATCTTTTGATTTTTTTCAAATAAGGATAATTATCCTCGTCTCATGGGTTTTCGTGCTATTATGAATGCATTGCGACGTCACACTTTCCATTGAAGAAGCATGCTTAGTAAGAATTCATATGACGTACAAAAACATATAATCTGACCATAAGTTTACTGTCTCTCAGGAATTTTGTGAAATAAAAAGATTCAGGTTAATTTTCATATATAACTTTTTCAAAACCAAAAAAACTAGATGAAACTAGAAACTGAAATCTAAGCAAATATCATTTTTTCGACTTTATAGTTATCAATTACTTTTAAACATAAGATCAAGATTTTGAAATACTTCAATTTTTAGGACTACATTTGAAAGTGATTCAATAAGAAATAATGGCTTTTCAAATTAAGAAACACAGACTTAACTGGCATTTTATAAACATCATGAAGCTTTCTTGAGTCTAATAAAACCAATACAACTAACCTGATCCTCCTCTAGCACCTGAACCACCACTTCCAAACTCCAAGGGTTGTTTTAGGTCTCCATAGGCTTTCCTACGAGACAGTTTACATGCTAGGTGGTTGCTACATGCTCCTTGGCCACCAGTACCACCATGGGAGGCACCACTTGCCCCATACCTATGCCACTGTCCAACTCCTAAAACATATGTACATGGAGGGTAGTGGATAATTATTTAGAGATGTGCCAATACAACTACCCATATCTTCTTATAAATAATAATAATAATATTTGTAATTTAAGGAAAATTGTATTCTAATGCAACAAATATACATGGAAAAATATGTTTTCTCTCCATATCTGCTGCATAATTAAGCATGTAAATAGTAAAGGTAATTAATTAGATCGTTTGATCTCATATGAATAAATTCAATTCAAACTTCTTTTTCAGTACCAAAAGAGTTATTCTGTTCAGTAAAAATATTGCTTAAATCCTAGGGAACTAGATTTTACAGAAGTAATTGAATACTTACATTTTTGACAATTATGAACACAAAGATAGATTTTAAGGAAATGTCTTTTTCTTCAAGCATGTTTTTTTTTTCATTTGTCCTTTGTTCTGTCCAAGGTGATTGTCTTGTAAAGGATATAAATATTGTAATAACCATTGTAACATAGTCGAATAGTTTACCTGGTCCTTGATCAGGAGAGTGACCACCATTGTTGACACTAACAATTCCTCCATCATCAACAAACATATCTGAGGCCTGTATTCTCATGAAGGATCCATTAATAGCTCCACCTCCTTCTACACGTAAATGGTTAAACACAAGTTGGTACTGGTCATCATGTGCTTTGGGGTTAGAACAGTTGATGTATGACTTGGCCTTTATAACTGTTGTGCCATTGATGTGATAGTTAAGTCTCTCACGACTGTTTGTGGATCCTGTCAGATGAAGGCGTAATGAACCACCATCAATGAGTGTCATGTTGATCACATGATCCATTGTTCCTTCCAATCGGACAAACACTCGTTCTAAGTTTGTGTCTGGAGCCAGACCAAGATAGCCTCCATCATAGACATATGTATTGAAAGGAGTATCAATGAATTTTCTTCGGAGATCCATTACCTGATGATTACCAACATGTACAAAGCCAGAACGATCTCCAATCATGTGTTGGAAATGTAGGCTTACGCCTTTTTCAAATGGTTCAGGAAGCAATGCCAAGTGTGCATTGCCATATATTTGTAACTCTTCAAACTGGAAATCATAGTTTTCATTAGCCAACCAATGCTGTCCAGCATTAGGTAGAATCCAAGCCTTGAAGCTATCCTCACTAAGGTCTGTGTAATCTTTTATCATTCCTACATCACTTTCCAGGCCATCATTATTAATATACAGTGTTTCATGATCATGTTCCTGGTGATAAAGAAGTACTGTTCCTGGACCACCAGGTTGAGAATTGGGAGAGATAGCCACATTAACACTTCCACCATGGGACTCGTAGTCTCCGAGGTAAGTATTGTTTGTCCACAGGTACACAGCAATCCTCCCTCCTGCTCCACCTCCACCAGAACCTCCAGAATATTGACTGCCACCATTTACAGCAATAGTTCCTAGACCTCTAAAAACTCTGCAGTAAATCCAAACACTGCCACCAGAGCCACCACCACCACTTGCTGCCCTAGCATCACCACCATTAGCACTCAAACGTCCATCAATCTCTATCATATTGGTGGCATTTAGCCACAGCATGCCACCACCTTGGCCACCATCTCCACCACCAGCACTACCATGTATAAATGGCTGATATAGATGTCCATATGGTTGTCCAGTCAGTGTTGTTCCTGCACCTCGACCACTTGTACCACCATGACCAGCTCCAGATGATCCTGAAGTGTGAGTTATTCCTTTACCGATGTTTATGTCTTCTGCTTGTGTATCAGTAGATCTATATCCCAAACTGTCTCCATGTAATGCACCCCCATCGTCTATAGTGATATTAATTGCCTGAATTGAAGCATTAGTGGCAACAAATGAGCCTCCTCCTTCAACATACATGCTGAAATTAACAAGGAAATTAATTCCAGATTCTGTCACAGGATCAGTCAAAGATGTGATGGTGGCATTTTCTTGAACTCTGACCCAGTTAAACTGGAAATGATCTGCATCTAAATCTTTAGTAAACCCTCCACTTTCCAATGACAGGAGTCCATTGTGATGTAAGGTTATGTTCTCTATATTGGCAAGTTCTCCATGCATCCAGATACTGACACCATGTACAATTGTCATAGGAGCTAAACCTAAGTAAGACCCAGCATATGCCCTGACACTGAATGGCAGATCAATTTCTTCTCTTTTAAGATCCATAATTTGGTTGTTGCCTAAATGAACAGTTCCAGATCGGTCCCCTATCATGTACAAGAAAAAGACATCAACTTCATGATCAAGTGGTTCAGGCAAGAAAGCCAAATGGGCTGCCCCATACATTTGGAATTCATTAAAGTGATATTTGTAGCCACCTCCTGCAAAGAAATGATTACCAGAGATGGGTAAAATCCATGTTCTACAACTATCAGAAGACAAATCAGAATAATCATCAATAACATTGAATTTGTCCTTTGGCTGGTGACCTCCATTGTCAATAATCAGAGTTTTATGATCCTCAAGCATGTGATAGACAAACACTGTACCAGCGCCACCATTTTCAGCAGAGGACCCACCCTTGCCTCCAATAGCCTGGAATCTGAAAGATGTCATAGTTTCATTTCTGTTGAAATAGACTGCCACTCTGCCACCAGCTCCACCACCACCTTTTACATGTGTGGCATTTCCACCATGAGCAGTTATTTTACCATAACCTTTAATAAGTTCACAGAACATCCAGACACTACCTCCACTTCCTCCAGCAGTGCCATCACCACCTTCAGAGTTGACCTCTCCATCAATATGTACTGTATGTGTCACATTCATCCAAATGACACCTCCTCCTGAACCTCCAGACCCAGCAGAACTTCCTAATTTAATTGGTTCATAGATATTACCATAGGCAAACCCTGCCCTCTGAGAGTTATATCCTTCACCACCACTCCCACCATGGCCCCCACCACCATAGGTACTAAGGGCCTTTCCAGGGTTGACATGTCCATGAACTGAAGTACTAAAGTGTGTGGTATTACTATGTGATGGTATATAACCTTTCCCTTCTGTTGTAATGAAACCTCCAGCATCAACAGTGACATTTGCCACATTATATGTCATATGAGTTCCATGTATTATTCCACCACCTTCAACAGTTACAGCTTTCAGATGGAAGTAAATTCCAATGTCTGTCACTGCATCTGTTGTGCAATCAATCTTTCCTTCATCTTGGACTAGAATGTAATCAAATGTATAGTGACTGTGAGGGTTTCCCTGTGTTCTACCACCATTTTGTAACCATAAATATCCACCATGGTGAATAGTTATGTTTTCGATATTTGCTAAAACACCTGCCAAATGTATTTCAACTCCATGGACATATGTCATGGGTGCAAGGCCTAGAAATCCATCAAAATAGACGTAGCAATTAAATGGCAAGTCTATTTCTTCCCTAATTAAATCCATCACTTGTTTGTCTGCAACATGTACTGTGCCACTCCTGTCACCAATCATATATTTGAAATCAATAGTAACATTAATATTGCTAACAGATCCAGACACTGCGGCATCAATCACACTAATTTCAGAAGGATTCAACACAGCAAGGTGGCCATTGCCATATATTTGAATTTCCTCAAACTTGAAGATATAAGCACCGGCTGCAAAATCATGTATACCAGACTGTGGCAGAATCCAGGCACGTCCACCATCCTTTGTTACATCATTCCAGTTGACATACTGATTTAATGGTTCAGGAGCCCCATTGTTGTCAATAATCAAAGTTCTGTGGTCCTCAATAGTGTGATACAAGTAGACAGTCCCTGGTCCTCCAACCTCAGCATTCTCTAACCCTGGCCACCCACCATTGGCGAGATATCGGAACTCGCTGAATGTATCATTTTTCTTAAAGTACATTGCAATCCTTCCACCAGCTCCACCACCTGCTCCGTAAGATGTTGATGGATAAGTTGTGTGGCCATTGCCATCAGTACCAGTGTGCCTATAGGTGCCCAGAGTCCCATTTCCACCACGTGCCAGTATTGTTCCATACCCAGTTATCCTGTGGCAATGGAGCCATATACTCCCTCCACTACCACCACCCGAAGGGTAGTCTATTACCCAACCAGTGCTTGCTATTGAATTGTAATTGTATTTAGTCTGTCCATTCTCTCCACTGGCTGTGAGAGTTCCATCAATCATTATAGTATTAGTAACATTTAACCATAGTCTACCACCGCCAGCTCCACCAATACGGCCTCCACCAGAACTGCCAAATAATGTGGGTTCATATAAATCTCCATAGGGTTCTCCTCCTTCATTATTATCTAAAAAAAAATCAATTAAAAGGTCTGATCATCTTTTCAAAAGTTTGATTTTTCTTTGAATATACTAAATATTAGGAAAATATAGTAAATTTCAACATTTAGAATTTATGAACTGAAATGATTTTAGATGGATAAAGGAAAGTATAAAAATGTTGAGAAAAATCTAGATGTGATGAAGCAAAACACTAATGGCCCATCTGCTGCCTAATTTCATTATTAACAGTTCCTTAAAAAATAATACAAGCCATATTTTTAGAGAAATTGAAATATTTATATTCTTTTTATAAGTTTTGTTAAACTTTTATAACCTTTAGTCAGGAGACACTCTATTTCATAATCTTTTTTCAAGCTATCTGAGAGAAATCTCTAAAAATTATTGATAACATGACTTCAGTCCCCAAAGTTCATTTTTAAGTATCTACTGAGTGTTCAGTAAACATACAATATCCTCTTCCTCCACTTCCTCCATGGCCAGCTCCTGATGCACCAAGGTTACCAGTCAGACCCAGTCCAGGATTGATGACACCATGTAATCCCTTCCTTGGATTTCCAGAAGAATCTGTTCTCTGTCCGTCTGCTTGTTCATAACCCAATCCATCACTGGTGAGAGTACCACCTGAATCAATTGTAATGTTTTCTGAGTGAAAATAGACATAAGTTCCACGTACCAATCCACCACCATCAATATTAAGGGCAACTGTGGAAAAAGATATGCTGGGTTCAGAAACTGGATCACTGATCATGTGAAGATATCCTGCATTTTTAACATGTACAAACTGAAAACTGTAGGTACTAGCATCCAGTCCTTTAGTTCGTCCATCAATATTCAACCAGAGTTTTCCTTCATGATGTAAGGTCAGGTTTTCAACATTGGCCAAAGTTCCATTTAAGAAGATATCCACACCATGTATGAAAGTGTCTGGAGCCAAACCAAGGTAACCACCATCATATACATGGACACTGAACGGGAGATCTATTTTCTGTCTCTCCAGATCCATTACTTGTCCTTTTCCTATATGTATGGCTCCAGATCTATCTCCAATCATGTTCTCAAAATAAATTGTAGCATCACTTTCTACTGGATCTGTTAGTACTGCTAACTGAGCCTTTCCATAAATCTGAAGCTCATCAAAATGGTACTTAGAGTTTGACCCTGCAAGATAAAGACATAAAATTTTCAAAAAGAAAAGAAACTAAATACTGACAAGTCTTTCACATTTTTGTGAGAGGCACAGAAAATGATTCATACAAAGCAATTCATGTTCATGGGTTGTCAATTCTTATAAATTTTGACACAAGCAATTAATTCAGGATGCATTCTCAATAAATATAAGTTATGTTAAATCCAAGCACTATGTTTGCAAATTACATCAATTTTTGTTAAAATCCTAGCATAAAAAGATGATTCTACAAATTTTTGTAAATTTTTTTTTAAATGCAAGTTAGGTTATAATATTTCTTTTAATATTTGGTACCTTCAATCACATTGAAATAACATAGTGCATATATATAGATTTGTTAAAAGCCTAGCATAAGAAGACATTTCTCAAAATTCATGATTTTTAAACAGAAAAAAGTTTTTACCTCAATCAAAAAAAAAATTCAACACCTGGAATCAATTCAGAAAAGCTTATCATATCTATATATCAATTTTCATTGAAATTATAGCACAAAAATATGTTTCTCAAAATTTATGAATTTTTAACAAAAAAGGTTTTTAACTCATTTGTTTTAAATATTTGACACCAGGAATCAATTTGGAATAGATTTTTATATCTATATATCATTTTTCATTGATATCCTAGCACAAAAAGATGTTTCTTAAAATTTGTGTATATCTAACAAAAACTAAATTTTTAAAGGTAAAATTCACCCCCAAATAATTACAAAAATGTGGGAATCAATTTTGTACAGAATATCATAATGTATATGTTAATTTTTGTTAAATTCAAGTACAAAAAGAAGTTTCGCAAAATTTTTGATGTTTTAACAAAAACTAAGTTTTTTACCACATTTTCTTGTACAATATTCACAAAAAAAGGAGCCTTTCTTTTATAGGTATTAATACTGTGCATACAAATTTTGAAAACTGGTTGAGGCAATGTTGACTTATCATAAAGTTTAATATAATTTAACTGTCTGAAATCAAGGGATTAAGAGCTTGATACATTCAATAGAATTTTTTCTATTCTTGAAGACAATGTGTAAATCTCTAGATGTCTTCATGGTTGTTTTGTTTTGCTTGGTAGGTGTTACTTTACATATATCCCATAACTCCTTTTACTGAAAATCATTCCATACCTTAAAATGTATAAAAAAGAAAATGTAAAGCTAAACGTATGACTTTTTCTAGTATAAACGCAAGTTGTCTTGCGGTAAAAAGGTCTTCTAGTAGTATAATTTAACCCCAACCCCCACCCCCCTCCCCCCCCCATAAAAAAAAAACAACATTACATACTTAAGTTTTTACATTACATACCTGCAAATGTATGTTTGCCATGTTCAGGTAAGAACCATGCTTTAAGCTGATCAGAATCAAGGTTCAAATAATCCTCTATTGTATTTGTATCACCATCTGGTCCCCTGTTTAAATTGTTCAGCAATAGGGTTGTGTGATCATATACTGTCAATAAAGCAGTAAAAAATTATTTTGAGCAGAAATAACCTTCCATAATAAAATGATATATTATCATTAACTATTTTTGAAACAGTTTAATTTTTTTTTCAAATCCTGTAAATTCAGAAATTGTTGCAATGTTTTTATTTTATAATGCAAAAAATATGACAGTTTCAAGTTTGCAATAATAAAAACTTGAATACATAATTTCAGTAATGATTTTCCGCCATAAAATTTTTGCATTAATTAAATTTCACATTTTTGCCAGTGGTCATTGCAATAATAAATGCAGACATTAATTTCTGAATTAACAGTATTGGCATTAGACTCTTAATTTTACTGAATTTTTTGTAATTTTCAAAGAAGAAGAAATATCTACAAGAAGACATAATACCCCACCACACTTTCACATTTCCATGTTCAGTGAACTGTGAAATAGGGGATCAAAGTTGATGTGACCAAAACTTCATAGGAATCTACATTAACCTTAAACTTTAATATATACAGGGTGAAGTAATGGACAAGTGGACTAATAGACAGACAGACAAATGGACGAACAATCAAACAGACACACTTACCTGAAAACATTTCCCCCCCCCTCACTTCTATTGTAGGCTGAAAAATATTCTATATAAAATAATTCTCATGTTTGTGTCTAGTTGAAAATATTTCAGACATAAGAAGACTGACTACTAGTTGGCAATGGATTAATTGGTATTAAAGCTACCAAACAAGGTAAAGCGGCAGACAATTTTATTTCTACTGAAATAAAGGGTCAGAAATTTAACCTTACATCAGATCATCTATTGATTATTATCAAACTGCTGCGCAAGTTCATTAAGAATCGTCATCTCCAAACACATGCCTAGGATTCACATTCCTAATCAGGCTAAAAATGACTGTACTGTCCGATAAAGGAAGTCATAATAACATTTTTCTTTACCATAACCATCCTTAAGGTTAAAAAATACTTATTTCTTATAAATTAATTTTAATATACCTTTATGATGGAAGAAGGATGTTCCAGGACTACCATTATTTTGTCCCAGACCACCATAGGTATCAAACTGTCCAGTGAAAGTCTTGTTCTGTGAGAATTCCATAGATATCCTGCCTCCAGATCCAGCCCCTCCATTGCCATTGCCATTACCTCCAATAGATTGGAACTCTCCATAACCCTGGTAGTAAAATAAATAATAATTCATACTCGTATAGAATACTTTTAATTATTACCACTACTAGTGAACAGTTTAATTAGGAAGGTGATTTAATATAGATCAGCAACTACAATCGTGGATTGTTTTATCTTTGTTTACCAGCATGGTAATACCAATTACAATAGACATTTGTCTTCTTTAAGGTAGATGGGGGGCGGGCAGGGTCTAAGTTAAAATAGATATATTTTATTAAATCATTTGCCAAAATGTAGTTTTTATCTTGCTTTTTTTTTTTAAATATAATAACAAGTATGGGTCACTGGGCTTTTTTATTGAGCTACAGTTTGTGCAAAATTGTCAGATTCTGTATATATTATAAATGGAAAAAACATTTTTGTTTTGATAGAAAACTAAATATAGAATTTGAAGACAAAGTATGAGAAGATAGCTCTTTTAATGTGCTTCCAGAAAATAAAAAAATATATATTTGGGTCAAAAGACTTGTTTTCTTGCTACAAAACAAAACAGGTTAATTCATAACACATTCCTTTATAAAATTAACATTATCTGAGTTATCTCCCCTTATTTGGCAAAGTTTAGATGAAAAGGAAAATAGTCTAACCTTAATGTTATTGATGTCAATATTGATGGAGCCACCACTGCCACCACCAGCATTACTTGATCTTCCATTCTCCCCGTTAACACTAATCTGTCCATCATTTTGTAATGTAGTAGTCACTTTCAGAGTGATAACTCCTCCTCCTCTGCCTCCTGTGTTGGAATTACCATTATCTCCTCCTTTACAACCTCTGTCTACAGCATCAAATACCTGTCCATAAGGGGCACCTGTTTGAAACTGTCCTGAGCCACGTCCACCTCTACCTCCATGTCCAGCACCTGTTGATTATAGAAATGTGTAAGGTAAACTACTTGATATTCTTATGGACTGATATAAAAAGAAAAAAAAGGTTTTAGTTTCCTGAAGAAATGGGACAATTGAAAACAAAAGTAAGGTCCCAAAAAGAAAGGGGTATTTTAAATTTATGGAAATACTCTTTTGTTAGTTTTAATGAATTTTGTATTACTGTGGATTCATTATTATTAGTCTGAGAACAATGTTCATTGATTTCATGGGCACAGGATAACTACAATTTAAATGTTCAAAAAGTACAAATTTTCAATTGGCTTGTGTGCAGACTTATGTAAAACCACAAATTAAATCAATTAATCCACGAATAAACAATTTTTCTTTAATCCATGAAAGTTGGTACCCCACAAAAATAAATGAATCCACAGTAGTCTATAATTGAATGACTACATTTTATTCAAAGTTCCATTATTCATGAAATGAGTATGTCTTTAATCATTTTCTATGCATCACCAAATGGTTTTACCTGAACCTCCAGTGGAGGAACTATAACCATCTCCTTTGCTACAGGCCACATTATGTACATCTCCAATGATCTGTCCCAGGTCATCTACAATCAGAGTATCAGCTGTAATATCCACATGCACTGCATGGACATGGCCTCCTCCTTGCACCCATAGTTTATTAGCCTAAAATATACAAATTTTAAGGTTAGATAACAAGATGCCTGATATCAACATAGACTGCATGGATATGACCTCCTCAGTTTACTGTTGTAATTTTTTTTTATAAAAGAAATACCAGGCATGATGTTTAGTTACTGTTATTGGCAAGGTAAATGTGTATGCTATGTCTAAACTATTTGTAATGCCATTACAACTAATGGTCGAAAATGTCTTCAAAATATTACTTCCAACTACTTGTGCTTGCTATAAAACAAATATACCTCCATTGTTTATAATGTTTTGGCTTAGTTGTGCAAATATGCTGCAGTCTTTCCCTACTCACTGTTAAAACTATCCTATATTATTTTTTGTGTTTATCAACTCTCTCCTTCACTCTCTACCTCTACTACTACATGTACTTGTCTGCTCACTGTAATAGTCATGCTACTTCAGTATCAATACTTCTTTTATCAGTAATAGTTCCTGTGTTCCCCTCTGATTCTATACTCACTGTAATAGCCATGCTACTTGTGCCATCTGTCAAATCATGGGTAACAGTCACTTCACCTCCAGCTTTAACAGTCAGTGTATTAAAGTCAAATATTCCTGTCGGACTGACTGTTGATATACCCTGGGTATTTCCTGTAGAACCAAGGTGAAGGTCACATGCATTTCCAATAGTCATGTCTACAACACCCAGTGAGCCCCTAGAATAAAAGGAACCAATTTTTTTAATCTGATGATATAGATTAAGAAATGAACATACTGCATATTAAAGCATTATTTTCTGTTACAAATATCAATTTTAATCATTATTTTTTGCAGATATATCGAAATGAAAAAATTTGACAAAGCATAACTTTTTATCACAGTCAAAAATGCAATTCTGTTTAATTTGCCTAAAACTACATACTACATATATATATATACATAATAAAACATCAATCAATAACGTCTGTACATAAAAATGTGATATTCATTTCTGTATAACCAAACAAGTTGTCAATATTTATAGTTCAATGCAACATACATCAAAAAATGTTCATCAGTTTTCAATAATGACTCACCAAATGACAAAATCTATGCCATAACAGTCAAATGCAGTTGGCAATATGAGGGTACCTCCATGATAGACATATACATTAACCAGAAACTCCAAGTCATCTGGATGTTGTACAACAACTGTCTGACCAGGTCCTACATGCAGTACACCAGTTTTATCTCCCTCAAACTTCAATGATTTAAGTTGGAAAGGACTGAAACAAAATAATTATTACCATTCTTGTTTATAAGATTCACAATTGCATTCATTGTTTAGGAGAATGCACAATAACAGTTCATGACTTACCTACCTACCTATGTAAAACATATAAACATTTATAGAAAGAATTAGAAAATAAATGTCTCTATCCAGTGTTCTTCGGAAGTTCTTAATATGCTGTGCCTTGTATTGTTCTGTGTGTTTGTAACTCTACTATAAAAGAGATTTCTGTTTGGCAACTAATGTCAGTTAAGGCAGAAAACTTCACCAGTTGATTTATATGATATGACTGTTGCATAAAACTGCCTATCTTGTTTTAAAAACATTTACAGGTTATAGATCAATATGATAAATGTTTGCTTTTGTTGATACCAGACACTGTCTTGATCTTGCTATGAGGTTTGGGATCTTTCTGCTGAATATTTTACAGCAAATGTCAAATAAAGAACAGCAATAAATGCTTTGAACTATTTCAATTTCAATGTTTCCTGATTTTTTTCCTCGCATGTTTATTCCTCTGTAATACCATTTAAAGCATGTTTTATAAGTTGCATTTTTTACATGGTTTTTGTGATCAGTTTTAATGCTTCTTGTATTCTAATATACTGATTTATCTGCCGATGACACTTTTCTAGAAGAAACAGATGTTTAATAACTTGATATTATCTTGAGGACAACTACTTCTACAAACCATCAAAATATCCTCAGTTAGAAATATTTGTGATGTTTTAATTTATGGAAAGGTAAAAAAAAAATAGTTCTTTTTTAAAGCATGAGCAGGAATTGCATTAAAAAAATTTTTTTTTTGTCAAAACATCAACAAAAATAAACCCATATGATAGAGTAGACTAAGAACAAGTTCAGATATGAAATTCTGACTAAGGTACTACACAACTGATAATACCCAACTACTTACTATGTAAGAGAAGGATGTAATGCCAAGTTAGCTTTTCCCTGGATCCTCAAGTTTTCAAAGTCTTTGGTATTGTTATCAGATATCCATGTTCTACCTGGATCAGCCTCATACCCAGATAGTGTATAAGTTGAGATCTCACTTTGGATGACAGACTGACCATTGTTATCTAGAATCAATGTCCTGTTTATAACATCTGTTATAGTATCCTGTAATTATTGATAGATGCATTATACATATCTCTCAGGAGAAATGTCTACTTATTAAAAATAAAATACCATTCAAAATCAAATATTATATAAAAATTATTAGGTAAACTGAATATAAGGGTAACTAAATGTCAACTATCTGTGGTAGAGGCAGGCATTAATATTTCAGGATTATTTTTATTCCTTCAATTTTCTTTCAATAGCTTTCTAAGTTATCATTAACCTGTAGGTATATAGTTCCAGCCCCTCCTGGACTGGAGCCTGTTAGTCCACCATAAGCTGTCCATTTTCCTTGCCAAAACTGAGTATCTTTATAATAAATCATCATCCTGCCTCCTCCTCCGGCTCCTAAACTCACACCATTCCCTCCATTTACCTGTCAAAACATCAAAATCTATCATTCAGAATAACCCTACCTTAATTCAGAGTATGTTACATTTCAACAAATATAATATCATTGGAAGTACTTTTTATATAGCTAAAAAATGTTATGAAAATACAATTACGAATTAAAAATAATGGCACTGTGTGTCCAAAACATCTCATAAAGAAGATTTTTATGGAAAGTAAACAAATTAAAACCTCATTTGTTATATAATAATTCTCATGTATTAGGTAACAACAATACGAGATATCAGCAATATTCTTTAAAATATTTTAAAAGTTTTGAGCTTCACATTTCTTTCACATACAGATTGACAAAATGTTTTCTAGATGTCTCTTTAAAATTTCTTTCAAGTTTCTCCATGGTTTTTAATTAGTCTGTATAAAAGTTACTTTGACCCTCATCGGGTTTTGAAGGACAACTTGAAGTTAAGATTATCTGCCCAATGTGACTGGCATGTTTATCCTACATTAAATAGCCTGTCCAACTTACCTGTAATGTACTTTTTCCCACTATAGAATCAGTGGTTATATAGATACAGCCACCACTGCCACCAGCTGCAGTATTGGTAGAACCCGTCAAGACCATCTGATACCTGTACAACTTACCTGTAATGTACCTTTCCCCTCTATAGAATCAGTGGTTATATAGATACTGCCACAACTGCCACCAGCTGCAGTATTGGTAGAACCCGTCAAGACCATCTGATACCTGTACAACTTACCTGTAATGTACCTTTCCCCTCTATAGAATCAGTGGTAATATAGATACAGCCACCACTGCCACCAGCTGCAGTATTGGTAGAACCAGTCCGACCATCTGATTTTAATGTTCCTTCTACAATCAGTCTCTGTGTTGTAGTTATCACCATCATTCCTCCTCCTGAATGTATAAAACACTTTCAATACCAAATACAGATTTATTTTCAAAGTAAACTATATCATAGATATATAAATGGTGACCTGTAATTGTTCACATCTTTGTCCTTTTGGTCTATAGATAATTGGCCATAGATTGTTGTCTTATTGGCAATCATGAAATTAAAGTTTATAAATGCATACATTATGTATGGGTCCTTAGTTTCTTTTACATTCATTCTACATAGAAGGTTACCAGGAAAGGTCCTTAAACTTCATGATGAATAGTAAAATCATATAAGAGATATCTCTTATATGATTTACTATTCATCATGAAGTCTCTTATATGATTTTACTATTCATCATGAAGTTTAAGCACCTTTCCTGGTAACCTCCCATACGTAATGTATGCATTTATAAACTTTAATTTCATGAAAATTTGGCCTCATATTTATCTGTTATAGTAGCTATTGTACATAAAAAAAATTACTACCAAAAAAAACTGAATGCTTTTACTGCCAACATTATAGTTATCGGTATATCCAAGAGTTAAAGTAACAATCTGACAATGCCAACACTAATTTTATTAATTCCTTTTAAATGCATGTTCCCTAGGACTTTTGATCTGATGCTTGATAAATAGAAAAATAATTCTTTTTGGAAGATGCTATAAATTATAAAAGTACCTGAACCATAGGACTTGCTAGCACCAAAACCACCACTACCAAAATAACATGGTCCATATAATGATCCATATTCCTTTCCAGGTAAAGATCCTGTAAAAAAAAAAGAAAATTGTTGAATTAAAGTTGAAAAAAAGCTGTCAAGTATGGAAAATATCTTACAAATACAAAACATCAACAGAAAATATTTATTTCTCCAATTGACTATTTAATTAACAAATAACCTGAATCTTAAAGCAAAAAAACTAGTTGACACTAGTCACACTATCCAATATTTTAATTTTTTAAACCACTTGATTATTCCGAGCTATAATCCGACACCCCGAAATTCAGACAGTCCGATAAGCGGTTAGTCTGACAGTCCAATAGCCCGATGGTCCGATAAATTGACAGTCTGTTAATTCCACAGTCCAATGTTCCGACACAAAGCCATGCTGCTGCATAGGATATGGATCTCGTCTTCATATAAGCTTATTAGTATACTGTCAAAACGCGAGCAGTGTTTAAAATTTAAAAAGTGGAATGCGTTGTTATGGGATCCAAATTAAATCCTATACTGTTTGAACAATTAATCTAAGATTCCATTCCTGTTCATCATGTCGTAGTTGATAATGAGAATGTCTGTTTACATGCATGCACATGCACGCGCATATAACTAATTATGTGGTTGAATGTGAAATGTCACATGTGTTAGATGTATGCTTCTCATATCTGAGGGGCTAACATCAGATTGATTTACATAGAAGTAATAAATAAATTTTTTATATTTTCTCTTGTTCTTAAAAGAGTAATTAGTTTTGATAAAATAGGAACAGTGTCATTATCTCAAATTTTCCAGATGCAGTAAGACTTTCAGAAGATGTTTCATAGTTATGGATTTGGAATGAAATCTTAATAAATTGCGTCTATTTTTCTGTCATCAAAATGATACCTTATCACTGCTTTTGTATGGCAATATAAATCGCTGTACTATCTTGTCTTTTTCTGGTTTAATTGCCAAAACCTGAACTTTTTGCTGATAAATGATAACACTTCTATGTAAATTATAATATGAACCTAAGCATTCCTAGTCATAGAATCATCACGACATAACACCAATTATGTGAAAAAGAACGGAACGAAGATGGCCAATGACTTGAAGACAGTACTTATTCACACTTAGCAGACAAAGCAGATAGTAGTTAAGACCGATGGCTGCAGTGCTGAAGGTCCCTGGTTGGATTCTGACTCTGGGCGCGAGACATTTCATTAATCAGAAGGGTGAATTTCACTCTCCCTCTCACATCTCTGGTGCCCCCAACTTTAACCTTGAAATCAATCTGTTCCCGCCGAGCAGCTCCGTGGTTCTATATGAATACTTCAGCTTCTTCCACCATAATAACAGACTTCCTGATGTCCTAGCGCTCCCTTTGTGTTGAGGTGGGGATTGCCCTTGTACATATTGTTGTAAATACGTTCTTGACACATCTCCATTAATCCAGATAGGGAGTGTAATCGGATTCCACTGTACCCTCACAGCTTTTGAGGGGTGCTCCCAATAATGAAAGGACTCTACCAGTATATATATACACTACCACAAGCTCCAACTGTATTATCCTCAATGCGAAGTGAACCCTCTTTTTCCTCATAAGCAAACAGCTCTAGATTGTCCCAACAACATAAGAGAGCAATCAAATCAAATGGTTTGACTTTAAATGTACAAGCATATACTAATATATAATATGCGATGGGTTAAATTAGTTCGCTTGGACCCAAATCAGCCCTATGTGTAGGGTCATACTTAAAAGAGTCTGTAGAAGTCTGTTGGCCTAAATTTCGTTTAAATGTGTTATTAACAATAAAATATTTAAAATGAGTTATATTATTAATATGAATCTTTCTAAGTCATTATTAACGGTAAAAGTAGATTTATAATAACTATAATCACTGAACATTGGACTTCCTGATCTCCGGTAATGGCAACCTTAGTGTTTGGTACAGTTTTGTTGCTTAAAACAAGTATTTCACATATAAATATATATGTGTTTTTATGATATTTTAGTGTTAAAAGTCAACTTAGAAATTTAAATATAAAACACCCAACTTCTTAAAACACTAAAATATCATAAAAACTAGAGGCTCTCAAGAGCCTGTGTCGCTCACTTGATTCTACTTTGGTTTTGGAAATCATGTTAAAATAGATTAAAATCATAACAGATACCCTAATAATGAGGCCAAATTTGGTTTAATATTGGCCCTGTAATTTAATAAAAAATCCTGGTGGCCATCTTGAACAGTAAATCAGCAACAAAGTAGCAACACTTCATCAGCACCTCATAAGAAACATTTATGCCATGTTTGGTTTCATTCCATTCAGTGCACTTCTAGAAGAAGCATTTGTATGTATTTCCAATAGGGTCTTATGTTAAAGGAAGTCCCCCCACTGGCGGCCACCATGGATAAAGGATCAGCTTCAAAGTAACAACACTTAGTCAGAACCTCATAAGGAACATTCATGCCATTTTTGGTTTCAATCCATTCATTGGTTCTCTAAAAGAAGACATTCGTATATATTTCCCATAGGGTCCTATGTTAAACTAAGTCCCCCACTGGCGGCCATCTTGGATGATGGATCAGCTTCAAAGTAACAACACTTGGTCAGCACCTCAAAAGGAACATTCATGCCATGTTTGGTTTCATTCCATACAGTGGTTCTTTAAAAGAAGACATTTGTATGTATTTCCCATAGGGTCCTATGTTAAACTAAGTCCCCCGCTGGCGGCCATCTTGGATGATGGATTAGCTTCAAAGTAACAACACTTGGTCAGCACCTCATAAAGAACATTCATGCCATGTTTGGTTTCATTCCATTCTGTGGTTCTCTAAAAGAAGACATTTGTATGTATTTCCCATAGGGTCCTATGTTAAACTAAGTCCCCCGCTGGCGGCCATCTTGGATAAAGGATCGGCTTCAAAGTAACAAAACTTGGTCAGCACCTCAAAAGAAACATTCATGCCATGTTTGGTTTCATTCCATACAGTGGTTCTTTAAAAGAAGACATTTGTATGTATTTCCCATAGGGTCCTATGTTAAACTAAGTCCCCCGCTGGCGGCCATCTTGGATGATGGATCGGCTTCAAAGTAACAACACTTGGTCAGTACCTCATAAAGAACATTCATGCCATGTTTGGTTTCATTCCATTCTGTGGTTCTCTAAAAGAAGACATTTGTATGTATTTCCCATAGGGTCCTATGTTAAACTAAGTCCCCAGCTGGCGGCCATCTTGGATAAAGGATCGGCTTCATAGTAACAACACTTGGTCAACACCTCATAAGAAACATTCATGCCATGTTTGGTTTCATTCCATTCAGTGGTTCTCTAAAAGAAGACATTTGTATGTATTTCCCATAGGGTCCTATGTTAAATTAAGTCCCCTGCTGGCGGCCGTCTTGGATGATGTATCGGCTTCAAAGTAACAACACTTGGTCAGCACCTCATAAGGAACATTCATGCCATGTTTGGTTTCATTCCATTCAGTGGTTCTCTAGAAGAAGTTCAAAATGTAAAAAGTTAACGACGACGACGACGACGACGGACGACGACGGACGACGGACGCCAAGTGATGAGAAAAGCTCACTTGGCCCTTTGGGCCAGGTGAGCTAACAATGAATAAAAAACTCATATATATTTATAGTATTACATGTTGTATAATAAAATCACTTTTACAAATGACTTAATAAAATTCATATTAATAACATAACGCGTTATAAACAATATACATTGTTATGAACACAAATAACCCAATTTTAGGCCACCAGACTTTTTAAGACTCTCACAGACTTTGTTCAATATGACCGACCAAACGTATGGTCAGAGGTGAAATGAAAGAAAAAAAATTGAAGCGCATATAGTAAACATCAGTACTGATTGTCCCCAAATAAAAATATTTCCCAAAAATTTTCTGTGTGAAAAATTATACTAATTTTCAAACGTTACATGTCAATATAGGCATATTTTTCAGAGATAAGTGACCGTGCATTGGACTATCGGGCAGTCAGATTATAGGTCTATCGGACTATAGGATTGTCAGATTATAAGACTGTCGGACTACACGACTGTCAGATTATGGGACTGTCGGATTATAGGTCTGACCCTTGCTTAACCACCTGTTGAAAAAAAATGTTACCTGATCTTTAACCTTAAGTGCTACTGAGCTCCACTATTTTCCTCAAAGCCAAAATATGCAGAACTGTACAGTAAAAACTTCAATCATCCTTTGACCTTACCTGTTGTTGAGTAAGCTCTATCCCTTTCTCAATAGCCACTGTATAAATTTACCTGTCATTTGAACTTGCATGTTGTTGGGTTAGCTCCACCCCTTCCTCTATAGCCACTGTATAAACTTCACCTGTCCTTTGACCTTACTTGTTGTTGAGTTAGCTCCACCCCTTTCTCCATGGTCACTGAATAAACTTCACCTGTCCTTTGACCTTACCTAATGCAGAGTTAGCTCCTCCCCTTCCTCCATGGCCACTGTATACACATCACCTGTCCTTTGACCTTACCTGATGCGGAATTAGCTCCACCCCTTCCACCATAGCCTCCTCCAGCAGAACTCCTTCCTGCTCCTTTACCAGCCGTGTAACCATAACCAGAGGCAGAGAATGTTCCAGCACTATGAATATTCAATATATCTGTCAGTAGGTCCAGATTTCCAACATTAAACTGGCCATTTCCTTGTACAGTCACAATACCTGTGTGTCCACTTTTTTGTACCTGCATTTAATCAATGAATGTATTTATTACAGTTGATATATTCATAAAACTTTTCAAATACTGTTAATTCAGAAATTATTGTGTGCATTTATTATTGCATTTTTTGAAGAATGGACAAAATTGTGAGATGAATTATTGCGATATCAGGAATATCTGTATACAGATATATGTATCAGATATCAGAATGCAATTTCTTATTATTGAGATAATGACCCAGTCACATTAATCACAATAATAAAAACTTATCAATAATTTATGAATTAACAGTAACAAAATGATCTGTTGCAGTTAAACAACTTGTCACTAAACAGCTGTACCATAATTCTAGAACAACAAATATGAAACTTACAATGTGAAAGCCAGTTTTATCCTGATGTAACAAGCAAACATGAATTTTCAGGAGACTTGCTAAAAAAGTTTAATTTACAATCATTATAAGAGTGACTGAAAATTGTCAAATTCAAAATGGATTCAGTATTCATACAAACAAACACTTTCCAAAATAAACATAACGATATGTTGTTTGTCCTGTCAAATTTAAGTCAAAAACTGAAGAGTATAAATTTCATGTAATAAATGATTTTTTTTTTCTGATTCATTGTTTAAGACCTCCCAGAAACTCTTATCATAATCAGTAGTACTAAAAATTGTTTAGGTGAAGAAATGGCCAAGGGCAAATACATGCTTTTCATGGTCGACCCAATACCCTTCATATCTTTACTTTATTAAGCTAATTATAAAATTTTCAATGTAAGTACCTGTAAGTGATAAACATCAGTCTCATCTCCAAACACACTGGTCAGTTCTAATTTGCCTCCATTCTGTACAGTAAAGTTTGAGAACGTTAAATTTCTATTGGACGATTCTTCAAACTCTAGTGTAGCTCCTGTAAATAATGTTTAAATAATGAATCAAAATTACAATTTAATTCAATTTTTTTAATTCAAAATTCTTACATGTTTATTTTGTACCATTGCCAAGATATCATATAACAGTTCACAACTTAAACATATTTCATAAAATGAGGGAATAATTTTAATTAGAGTGGTGTGTTTAATATCATTTTAGAAAGAAGACAAATCTAAATCTTTATTATCAAGAGTTAATAAAACCATGGAAGTATTATATTGACAGGAACTACTAGGACCCAACTTCAAAAGCTTCATCTGCTATGCCACGAGCAATTTAATGATAGGTTAATTAACTTGAAACATGGCACGTTATTTACACACCAGCGTGTGGCGCCCTACAATATTGTCATTCTCGGTTGCTTTAACAATTACGGAAATAAACGAAGAAATTGAAAGTTGTGATAAATTCTAAGGAAACAGCAATCAGAAAACCTCTGCAGATTCCGTTACCCTATATCTGCCTATGTATGCCGCTTGATAGAGTGATGGATTTGTGCGAGACATCATTAATTCTAAAAAAAACACATTGACAATGGAAATTTGTACCATATTAATTGAATAAATACACCAGGTTTATTGATTTATGTATATTTATCTCAAGTTGTGATAATTACTGTTTGTTTGACTCCAGTGGCATACATTTCATGCATATTTAAGAGGATTGAAAATGATTGTTCTGATTAAAATAAAAAATCAAAGAGATTTTATTTTGATGTAAGAATTATAAGGCTTCGCTCTAAATCCAGGGTAAGATCATTGGTTGGTATACAAATGTTTCCGCTGAGCCCCGATTTGTTGATTTTTTTAAATACTGTAACTGTAAAGTAATATTTACTAGTATCATTTGGACAGAAAGTGATAAAATATTTTATGAGACAGAGATAGTTTAGCCATTCCATAACATTTTATATGTCTTTATTTTTTTTCTCAAATTGATAAATAAGGGTCAAATCAAGTCATGATTGGCACATTCATAAATGTACAAATTGAAATACTAACATCGGCTGTATATTATCGGACATAATTCATTCAAATACGAATATTTTAGCAGTTTTGAATTTCACAAATGCCAAAAAATTAAAACGCACATACAATGTATATATAAATAACGAGGTGGGTCTTTTTTTATTACTATATTTGTTATTTCTGTGTTATTTAGTTTTCGCATTTAAAACTGAAAATTTCTGCTTTCCAGGCTAATCCAGGCCCTTTACTACATATATAAATTGATTCGTCACTGTGTATATTTACATCAGGAAAATTTTTTGTGACTCGGCAGTAACCGGAACACACCCTTATGACAGTTTTAACTTAACCCATGAACAAATAAAATAATGTCACTTACTATTTTTAAACATTGTAGTATAATTAATTCATGGCAGACATCATTCCATTTGTTTAAATAATTTGTTTATGAATACAGGTCAACCTACCTGATTGAAATAAGCAAAGGTGTTTTTTTCGACAGGTATTGATGCTAACCTCTCTCGATAAAAACCAAGTGATTGATAAGAAGTATCTCTGGTCAATTTATGACCGCGGCATCGCAGATAGTCACAAAAGGAAATTAACGATAGAATACTAATTAGACAGTTTCCATATCTTTTCTACATGGATCCCCGGGTTATAAGTAAGTGCTAATTAATCGTTGTAGTTCCTGTCAATATAATACTTCCATGATGAAACAAATAAAGGGTCAAATTTAACTATAAAATAACTACGTTATGTTTTATGAATTTTGTTAGAAAAGCAGTAGGTCCAGTAAGGGACGATTTTGGCCTCAAAATTCAGGTTCATCTGATGAAAGATTTTGGACACTTTTTAAACACTTAAGTGTCTACTTCAGTCGATTCAATTAGTTTATGTGAAAGATTTGAACTGATTTAGTCATTAAAGACGCTCAAATTCAAGCTAAAATATTTAAAATCTATCAAATATGCCATAATATGTAACTTTTCAGATGGTTTTTGTCAAAAATGAAAGTGGAAGCATCTGTGTTCATTCTCAACCTTTATATATGTTATGTATTATCATCAAATACAACTTACATTTAAATATTAAGAATGAACACAAATGCGGCCACTTCCATTTCAGACAGAAACCGTCTAAAAATTCACCATAATGCTAAAATTTCGAAGATTTCAGTAATTTAGCATGACTTAATGATGCTAGTACCCGATACATGTGCATTGTATTGTCAAAAACAGCCCATATTTATGTAACAGAAGTATTCTTCTTTCCAATAAATAGCTAAAAATTTACATTTTAACAATTGTGTAAAACTGCTATATTTTGGGGCTAAAAGGGGTCTTACTGGGCCTACTCCTTTGTTCATATGTCTATCTTTTTTTAATATAATTTTTAACTTGACATTATTCAATTAATGAAAACAATTTTTTTTAAACCCTTAGACTTTCTTTTTTTCAAAATATAGCATATTTTGATCATTATATGAATATCAGCACAATTTACCTGTGGACACAAGAAGATGAGCTAAATCTCCAACAACTGTACCCCAGATTTTAACAGTATTACTGTTTAAGTAACTAGATGCACAAGCATATGAACTCATGCCTTTGCCTTGTTCATCCAAAGACTGTCTGAATTCCACAGTAGCTTCAGGAAGGATCCATGTTGAATCTTTGTATATAAATGGATGGTAGGTCACATTTGCTCTGCGGTATCTTGTGGACTACATTTAAAAAAGTCATTATTAGTTCTTATATGGTTCTATCCTTGCTAAATTCAAATAAAAGAAATATATTCTCCCAAAATTGAGTTGCTGGACCAATATTTTTTAAAATTAATACACTAAATGATATAAAGTCTCAAAGAGGTGAACTTATAAATTAAAATATTATATCTTCTAATATATCTTTTATGTATAACATTTGTAATTGATCACTTACTCCTTTTAAAGATTCAGGCATATTCCATATTGCCAAGAATTATCCAGTATTACCCAGGAAAAACAATTAAAACCTGGGTTTTCTCAGCATTTCCTTTTAGGCTAGGCAATACCAAAAAAACAAGTTTTGGCGGGTTTGGATAGATTTTTTTAAAAGTTATTTATTCAACCCCAGTTTATGCCAACCCTGCCTACCCTGCTATCATTGATACATTGTAAACATGACTGTGTATCTCAAAATATTTGGTCAACCATGTACATCTTACTGGATATCATATTTTCTTTTCAATTTGCAAACATTCAGATTTCCATGCCATATAAATTCATGTTTATGGTAATATATATTAAGTGAATTTTTGAAGCTCAAAACCTGGCATGTATTTTTACAACAAGTAATATTTTTTCCTAATACTTAAATGGTTAATCACTAATGAAGGATGATTCCTTACACAAAGATCTAACAGCAATATCTTTGACAGTAAATTCACAACTACTTAAATATCTATTGGCCTTTTATCATTTTACAATTCAAACTGTGGTTTTCACCCTTATATTCTCCTCAAAATGTATTTCCTCTAACCTCAATTAGTTCCAGTGTATGATGAGGAGGAATATGTAAATGTCCTGTATCATCACCAACAACTTTGACAGATTTTATGTGGATATTGGTTCCATCCACAGTTAAGTGGGCTCCACCGTAGATTTCCACCATGGTAAAATCATAGACAAAACCATCACTGGTAGGTAAAAGAAAAGCTACAGCTCCTGTAAAACAATACAACACATGTTAGAACAAGATTATTCAAAGAATTTCATGTTGAACTGAAAACTGCAGAATGAACCTTGACCGCAAAGAAATTTCTTTTTAAATTAACCATTTTTAATGTGAAGAAAAGAAAAATCATTTCATAAATAAGAATATTTTCTACATCTATGAGTTATCTGAACATACTTGTCTTCACTACAAAATTACAAAGAAAAACATCATTACAATGATTAATTGATTGATTGATTGGTGTTTAAAGCCACTTTCAACACTATTGTGCTATTTTGTGGTGGTTAGTTTTTATTGGTGCAGGAAGCCGTAGTGCCCGGAGAGAACCACTACCTTCAGTAGGAAAACTGACAATCCTTGTAAATTAAGATTGGAGTCAAGCGCACCTGCCATGTGCAGTATCATTTCAATGTACAGAACATGTAAAAGTATTGGGTCAACATTAATTTTCCCTATACAGAATTTCAAACACAGGATTGATAAAAAATCTAACATTATACATATATTATCTAGACTTAAGGTTGAGATTGGCAAGTATTCAAAAATGTTAATGACTTAACAAGCAATAGTAATACAGTATTTACCAGTTGATTTGTAAGTGTTGAAATGGCTTATATCGGCTGTAGTTCCTGAAGGTTCTGTCACCTACAAATAATTCAAATAGTGAAAGTTTGATTTACCTTCTGCCAGATATCATATGAGCAAAACATATTACATTTTGACAATATCAACAATATCATGAATGTTGTAATATAAAAATAAGGAGATGTGGTATGATTGCCAATGAGACAACTCACCACCAGAGTTCAAATGACGAAGATAAAAGCAACTAGATATCATTGAGATGGGAGCCATCTCTGTGGGCCCCGCTGTGAATAATGTGTGGTAAAAAATTTGTATCTTTATCATTGGACACGGGGTTGTCAAATGAAACCAAAGTTTTTGACCTTGACCTTTGACCTAGGAAGTTGTACATAAATTATGACACACCCTCTGGTGTTGGTTTATATACATATTAAGTATAAACTTTGAAATCATAACGGTTCTCAAGATATAGAGCGGACACGATCTTTACCATAGGACATGGAGTTGTCAACTAAAACCAAAGTTTTTGACCTTGACCTTTGACCTAGGAAGTTGTACATACATTATGACACACCCTCTGGTGTTGGTTAATATACATGTCAATTATAAACTTTGAAATCATAACAGTTCTCAAGATATAGAGCAGACACGATCTTTACCATAGGACATGGGGTTGTCAACTAAAACCAAAGTTTTTGACCTTGACCTTTGACCTAGGAAATTGAACATACATTATGACACACCCTCTGGTGTTGGTTAATATACATGTCATATATAAACTTTGAAATCATAACGGTTCTCTAGATATAGAGCGGACACGATTTGTTACGGACGGACGGACGGACGGACGGACAGACGGACGGACGGACGGACAGACTGATCACTATAGGGCGGCCGCCATTCAGCGGGGCCCTAATTATAGGTCACCATACGGCCTTCAACAATGAGAAAAACCCATACCCTATAGTCAGCTATAAAAGGCCCTGATATGAAAAATGTGAAAATTCAAACGAGAAAACTAACAGCCTGTTCTTCTGATTATCATATTTTTTAAAGAATGCTCCAACTGTTTGATTGTGTTCGAATTTTATTTTGTCAAGTAATAAAATATAAATGCAGTAATGATATTGTCCTTTTATTGATCTCCATGTGCTGTTCAGTTGATGTCTGGTTCTTACCAAGTCATTGTACTAAACATTGTTTATCTTATATTGTATAATATAAAAATTACTATTTCCCTAATGTTTATATATCATTATATGTCTCAGTTCTAAGGATAATGTAATTTGAGAATGCATAAATGTATGTGAAGCCAAAACTGTATATATAATTACCATAGGTTTTTGGCATTTGTTGTCAACACGGAGATTTCTGCTCGTCTTTCCATGGAAATACATAATTCCAGGACCTCCAGGTTCATATCCAGAACCACCTGTTAAAAATACAAATTTTAAATTATATGGTTTCACCTCAGATGAGGTCATTATTATTTCTAAAAAGTCAAAGGGCATTGTTCAAATAGGTGCAAAGAACATAAAAAAAAACTGTGGGAAAATGCTATAATTCTATATGTTAAAAAAATTTTGAATCATAATCATTGCATCAAATACACAACCATATAACAATGAAAACATCAATATATTTAATGCTTATCCAACATACTACAACTGGATTTTCATTACCTTATGATCATCTTCACATTTAGCTTTTGGGTATATTGTGTTTATTTGATGGAATGATACTTTTTGACTAATTCATACAATTCTGTCATGTTTCCTGTTATTCCTGGAGATACAGAGACTGTAACAGGCTAAGGCAAGTAATTTACAGTCTTCATCGCATTCTAATAAAACCCAACCCATGCATATTATCATATCTAGTAAAGACTACAGCTAAACTTGAAATCCACATTTTATCACTGACAAACTGAACGGATATGAACTCTGTAAGGTGTAAATTCCAACAGGAAATGTACATAAACAGTCCACTACACTGCTGCAGCATCCTAAGTATATATCATAGTCAGAAAAATATATTTATCCACTATATACAATTCTGTGGCAGTGTTACTAACCTTTAGAAATGACATGTCCACTTTCAAATGTTCCGTGATTAAAGAAGAAGTTAATACGGCCACCTGATCCACCTCCACCATTTCCTAAGCCACTTCCACCATTACAGTATATATAACCAGACATGGATAGGGTGGCACACTGAACATATAGAGAGCCACCAGACCCACCTCCTGCATTTGTAACCTGTAATTACACATCAAGATGAATTCGTTTTAAAATGATTCAAAATACTGTCTTGCAATAAAAACACAACTTCAAACTTGCTATTTTTTAGTTGTTTTTTTTATTTATATGTACCAGCAGTTTTGCTTTAACTCATGAAAGTTCTTTTCCCATCTTTTAAGTGAATAATTCAGGGGTTGCTTTTAAACATTCCCAAAATAATTAAACAATAATAATCACCATTTTCAAAATGCTTTAATAGCTTTGTAACATGTATTGTTTGAACCCTGAATTATCTAACATTTAAATCAAACATGTGACTTATTTATGTTGATTAAAATATCACGGAATTTCCAAAATAAATATCAGTCAGGGCTGTCCCAGAAATAAAGTTGTAAGGAGGTCAGAGTTCATTATTTTCTTTTTATTCTGCCAAGCATAACATTTAAATTCAGTCTTTCATATTACACCTACAACTGCATCATCCCCATTGGTTCTCATGGTTCCTGTTAGTGTAAACTGTGTGGTAACCTCTGCATGAAACTTTCCACCACCACGCCCACCTAGGGTACTGCCAGCCCTACCTCCACCACTGCCCCAGGTTCCTACTGTGAAGATACTACCATAGGGCATTGCAGCATTGGCAACACTTCCTCTACCTCCTCTGGCTCCATAACTGCCTCCACTTGCTCCAGAGGAGTAGCCTGATCCACCTCCTTATAATATACATGTATTGCTGGTAAGTATTTCATGATGTTATAGTCATGAAACTAAACCCACACTAAGCCTATGTATCAAAAATCTGATCAAAGTAATTTTGTTAAGTCTGAATTTTTCTTGTGTCTAGTCTTAAAATGTAAAATTTACAGGTTGTTAGTATTAAACATGAATATATGGCAAATTGTTGATTTTTAGAAGTTATATTGTTTGCTTCTCATAATCTTAAGATTTTTGTATTGTATAGAATAGAATCAAATAGAAAAATTAAACATATACATTCAAACATAAGCTGGAAAGTGCAGATTTAAAAAGGATTTCTGAGTTGATTGAAGTTTGCTGTCAATTTCATCGTATTATTGTGAGAGTGTTGCCAAGTTGAAATAAGCGGTGTAATATCTTATAATGCTAAAGACAAAAATCCTGACTAACGCATGTGCTCTCTCAATTCATTTTTTTAAACATAAACCAAAATTTAAGATGAAATATACTACCCTGTATTCCTTCCCATTGTACTCACCTGTTCCCTTACTATTTAGATAACCACCTCCCGATACATCTAAAGTCCCTGACACAGTCATTTTGTTTGTTTCAATATACAGTGATCCTGCCTGTAATGTACCACTGATTACAATGTTGTCTGTAACAAGCATGTAAGAAGCTGTATTTCCTAAATTGGTATTATTTGGCATTCTTCTGAAATCTATATCCAGCATTCCAGCAACACTGACTGTAAGACTTTCTAAAATGATTGGTGTTGTGATATTGACCTTTCCAGTATTTATTACACTAAATGATCGTATTTCCACTTTTGATTTGGGCTGAGCAGTCATAGTACCACTTATTTTTACTGTATCTATGTCAAAGTGTGTATCAGCAGCCTCCAACAAACTTCCTGTGTCCATTACTAAATTTTCTGCATATATAGATGAGTTTGATGCAAATGGACCAATAGGATGTGAGGAATCAGAATCCAAAGTCATGTGACCTTCCAAACCAATAAAAATAGCTAATCGTTTGCTTGATGATGACGGTGCTCTCATGGCAACTGGTTTATATGATGTAAAAGTTCCATTGATATCTGCAGTCTCAATCAAAAAAGGAAATTCTGTTTCAAACTCAAAGATGGATGAACTATTATGAATATACATGTAATTCCATCCCTCGTCAGTTTCATTAATGTATCTGTTTAATATTTTTCCAGCTTTAAGATGACCATTAACATACACATAATGGAATGGCATCTCAGATACTCCACTCCATGATTTGGTAGCCTGGGCATTGTTGTCTAGTACCAATGTTCCACTTTCACCAATTGTCAAAGTCTCAACCTTGGCAAGTCTCTGACCTCTGAAAATAACTGGTGTATAAGACTTCATCATTCCATTAACCTCAATTTCATGTACTAAAAATTCATCGTAAGGAGTGAACAGAAAAGTTCCTTCACTACCGACTGTGACTTTGTCTACTCCAGGATCAGTACTCAGTAGCTTAGCATTCAAGTTTCCATTAACAACTAAGTATCTGGCTCTGATTTTGTTGTAAGTTGTAGCAACCTGGTAAAAGATCAGAAAAAATGTTTAATGTTCAACTTAAAATAGATGAAGTCATATGTACATGTACATCTCATATATTTCTTAAATCTATTTTCTTAAAAATAGTATCTTTAGATTTTTACTCATAAATATTAATGAATTCAATTCTTGCTGCTTTACTTTTACACAATGAAGAAAAAAAGATTTTTGGTCTGTGTTTTTACTTTATTTACAAACCTCAGCACCACTGACAATTTTTGGCAATGACTCATCATTCAGGTACAGGTATCCACTTTCATCTACTACAAATACTTCTATTCTCAGATCAGATCTGTTCAAAGACTTAAATTCTGCAACATTGTTTATCTTTGTTGTACCGTCTGCCCAGAATGAGTTTGTCAATATAGGACCATCTGCTGTAAATTCAAAATCTCCATAGTAACCTATCTTGAGAGTTTCTGCTCCTGCCCCAAAAGTAATGGTCCCTGGCTTGAAAAATCCATTAATATATACGTATAAACATTCAAGTGTTATATTTGCCTCTTTATCCCATACCAGTCTGGATTTAGAACCAGTTATCTGAAATGACTCACATGGGTGTACAATAGATATTTCATGGTGAAGATTGACAGATCCTAATATAAGAATTTTTTTACCCATATACATATTTGTTGTGACTGGTATCATATCTACCACACCATTTGCTCCAACTGTAAATTCTTGTATACTGGTAATGTTGATAATGTCACATTTGAAGGTACCAGACACACTGAACTTCTCTGTGTCTAATGGGAAAATGCTACCACCTGTTAATGGGATCATAGTCATTATACCAGTTGATCCTATGTTCAGGTCAACTGTTGTAAAGTTTTGGATCTCCATGGTAAGGTTTCCATTGACAATGACACTTTCATCATTACTGAATGTAATGTTTCCTAAGATGTACAACCATTCTTCAATATAAATAGTAGTCCCAGAGGCAGGTTCCAGAATACCTTTGGAATACACAAAACAAGGAACTGTGAGAGTGTTGCCAAGTTTAAGTGTAGCTTTCGGAAGAACATGAACAACTGAATTATTTTTACCATCTGACAATATCTGTGAGACTGAGGTATAATTAGACAGGACCAAGTGTGCTCCAAATGTGAGAACAATCTCATCAAGACTGAAAGAATCATCATTTATCCAAGCAACAGCTCCTGTAAAAAATCAATAAAAATGCTTTATATAGTGTTAACATTGTCATTATTATTCTACTAGAAATCATTTGGCATCAGCCACATGTGCAATTATCTGTTACCTTGATAAAAGCCAAAAGCAAAATAAAAATAGATGCTGCAATATGCCTTTAGTTTATCTTTGGAGAATAAAACACCTCATATTTTTTTTCTCCAGAGGTAGGCCACATTTTAGATACAATTTTGAAGAAAAAAGTTGTTGTGACGCTTCAGTTAAACTTTACTGATTATGACTGAAGTCTAATACTTAAAGTATGACTAGCACTTCATTAATGATGCATGAAAATTAGGTCAAGTTAAGATAATCCTTTTCAGGTGGCCAGGGACATGTACACCTTTAAATCATTCTATACACCATACACAGTTGACCTTTTACTTATTGTATATGAGAAACTAAACTATTCGTGTAAACCTAATATAGCTGATCAAATGAACCATGAAAATGATGTCAAAGTCAGATCAAACCTGTCAGATGAACAAAAAAAAAACTATTATACAGATCAAAGATATTTAACCTATTACATTTAGTAACTCATTAGGAAAAAGACCTAAACAAGAAACCTTAACACTAACATATTAACCATGAAAATAGGTCAAGTTCAAAATAACAAACTGATATGAAAGTGTATACCTAACAAATCAGTCTATACACTAATATATAGTTGCCTTCTGATAAAACTAACCTAATCATAAAAAATTAACATTACTTAACCAAAGTCAAAGGTCAAGGTAAAATAAACCCTGTCAGAAGGACGTAGATGACCATTTACTTACAGTATTTGAGAAACTACTTGTTATCATGAAAATAACTTTGCTTGATGAACCATGAAAATGAAGTCAAGGTCAGATAACCCCTGTCAGAGTGAAATGTACACCTAATATTATTTACAGATCAAATATAGTTGACCTATTACTTATAGTAACTAAGAAAATTACCTTATCAAGAATACTTAAATGCTTAACTGATTTTAGGAATTTATAAATACCCTGCCACTCTGGTCTGTTTTTCTGCTTTGTATCGATCTGATGAGTTATGACCATTACAACTGATTTTAATAGTTTGTTCTTATGTTGTACTGTTACACCACTGTCCCAGGTGAGGGGAGAGTTGGTGCCTTTAAATATGTTTAACCCCACCACATTATATATGTGCCTGTCCCAAATCAGGAGCTTGTAATTCAGTGGTTGTCGGTGGTTCATGTCTGTATTATTTGTTTTTCTAAATTGTTTTGTTATAAATTATGCTGTTAGTTTTCTCAATTGAATTGTTCCATATTTTTCATGTCGGGGCCTTAGTAAGCTAAATATATCGTATGGGTTTTTCTCATTGTTGAAGGCCGTACGGTTGCCTATAATTACTTACATCCACTTCGTTTGAACTTTTATTGGATAGTTGTCTCATTGGCAATAATATACCACATCTCCTTATTTTATATTACTGTGGATTCATTTATTTTCGTGGGTACCAATTTTCGTGGATTAAGGAAAACTTACATGTTCGTGGATATTTAATTTCGTGGTTTTGGTGAAGTCTGCATACAAGCCTATAGAAAATTTGTTATTCGTTGAACATTTAATTTCGTGGTTCACCAGTACCCACGAACTCCACGAAAATTGGTATCCAACGAATAATAATGAATCCACAGTAACACTGTAAGGACATGTACACCATGTATTCTATAAACATAATATGGTTTCTTTTTACTAATAGTATCTGAGAAATTGACCTTTTTACAAAAACTTAACATAATAAGCCATGAAGATCCTGGGAAGGTCAGACTGACATGTACACCACACAATCATTTTACACCACATACAGTTAACCTTTCATTAACAGTAACAAGAATCAGACCTTATCATGTTGATCAATACACCATGAATATGAGGTCAGGTCAAATAAGTCCTGTCCTTCTGATGTATACACCTAATAATCATTCTATATATTGTACCATTTATATTTGACCTATTTTTGTAGTATCAGAGAAACTGACCTAATCACAAAAACATAGTGTTTATTGATGTGTCATTAAATTTAGGTCTACTTCATATCAACTATTTCAAAGGACCATGTCCACCTTACACCACCCTTGCAGTCAATTTATATAGTTTCTATTCATAAATGTATCAAATTTTTTCATGCAGTCAGTGAGCTAGGAAATTGAAATAAAGGAGAATAAATATATGACAATATGACAGATGGAGGAAACTTCAGACTATAAGGCATCTGTATCTAAGATGTGGATTATTTAGCTTCTCTACCTTCTGAAATATAAAGCTTGATAAAAAAAGTTCATGTTGATGCCCCTGCCAGATAAGCATCCCTATATCTTGCCTTCTGTGACACAGCAATAAGGGGTCAGACTGAATATATAACAAGGTTTTTAATTTAAAGGTGCATAAATGGTTATGACACTAGTATTTGATATGCTTCAGTGAGTATCTATCTAAATGATAGTAAGGAAAGTTGATGTCTTAGTTGATACTTTTTTTTCTTGGGACTGTTTTTAACTTTAAAGCAATCACATTTTTATCAAATATTTTATTTTCAGTGAGGAAAGTCATATTAATTTAACAGTGGGGACAATCCAAGTAAAAGAAGGTCCTCATTTTTATTCTTACTTTACTTCTCTTAAACTTAAAATAAGACATAATGTACTTAATTCATTCAGTAATCTCCTTCAAGTTTTAATAATGAATGATAGAATGTAATTATAAATTACAAACCTGAAGATGCAGCATCAAATTGATCACAGTTTTTAATCTTCTTCACTTTAGGGTCTTTTCCTCTGGCATCAATAACTACAGTCCCTACACCAGCACCTGACTGGGCCAAAAATATTGTTCCAGGGCCACCAGGTCCAGCTAAAACGTAAATATAAAAATAAATGAATGTGGTATGATTGCCAATGAGACAACTCTCACTAGAGACCAAATATTGTTGAATTAACAACTATAGGTCACTTTACAGCCTTCCACAATGAGCAGAACCCATACTGCATGGTAAGCTATAAATTAATGAGTATAAAGTATACATATGTTCTATAACTGTTTAGAGCTCCAGATAAGCTGCGTATTTGCGTGATCACGCAATACAAATAATTAAAAACCCAATGCAATTGCCCATTGTAGGGTTCAATAACCCAATTAATTCAAAGGAAAACCCAATTATATGCCAAAACCATGAGTTCTTAACGCTTTTATTCGCTATCGTTTGCGTTATTAACCCTTATCTGATTACAGTCGTCGCGTAAATCTATTTTTATAATATTTATAATTGGAAATGTCCTTTCGTTCTTAAAATAGAGCCCTGCATCAAGTAGCTGTAATGGGTCCCTGTTGGAATTTTCCGTTGCTCAATAGGTACACGTGTTTATGAAAACATTTCGATCTTCTCGGCGTTTATCCAATTAGCGTGTGACATGGTGTCATATTTTTTCGAATTGCTCGGGATTTATCATAACATACAATGAATTAAAACGAAAGTAAATGTCCGATAAAAATATTGAATAGAAGCATGTTTTCGGCTTCCTTTTGATAGCTGAGGGAAAGTTATGATGATAACAAGACTCAGCTAGTGATTTTAGGAAGCGTCCATTGAACGCACGGGCGTGTTTGAAGGTACGAGAACATTGCTATAGAACGATAAACACGGGGTTTCGTCAAAAACGAAATCAGTTGGAAAAAGTGAAAGGCCAAATCAATAATGACATGATATGTAGTTGGAAAGCGTCGGAAACCAAAAGTTCTGATAAGGGACAACTTAACCCAGATTTATGTAAATTTAAATAAACAAAAACAGTTTATATATTTTTTTTTCATTTTAGTTGATGAATGAATACACATATCCGTTTTTTACGTCAAATTATGCAGCTTGACACTTTCTTTGTTCTGGTCTAATTGTTCTGGATGCTTAAGATAGTTGTCTTATTGGCAAGTGCAGTATAACATTGTCATTTATTTACTTGATGTTGCAGAATTATTTGTAAATCTAAGTTGAATGTGGTCTCCATCATTAAACCACCCTATAAATCTCAAGGTTTTGGGGTATATCTTAAATCTGGGAACTACTTTTTATTTTTATTAAAAAGTAGATCTGGCAAATAGGTGAAAGGACTGGCAAAACTTTCTTACAGCACCTAAATTTCACATATATTACATAAAAATCTAAACACTTAACCACACCTACCCCAACTATAAACTGTAGGGTGATCATATGGGATCTAGAAAGGCAATTAGTTACTGTCCAACTAGTGACACCAGCTGCAGTTTACATAAGTTTTGAGAAAATACAAAACTGACAGAACGTTTAAAACGGGACACAAATTAAACGTACAATTGCTCGTCAGTGAATAAACCAAATAAAACAGCTAAGCACATATACAAAGAAAGAAACACATTTAAGATGGAAACACATCTGTGGTTGATATAATGTGATTATAACATGCCTAAATATTCAATATTGTGTTGATGAAAAAACCCAATACATTAAGGAGCTTGGTGGTGAAAAACCCAATTTGATATTTGCTTGAGGGGTGAATTGGAATTGATAATGCAATTAAAAAACTTTATCACCCAATAACATAAAAAAAATGGTGGGTAAAAACCCCAATTTGTGAATTCTTATCTGGAGCTCTGACTGTTACAATGTTAACCATTCCAACATATTCAGCAGACTAGGAACCACATAGTGTTCTTTGGTTACAATTAGTGGATTGCCCCTTAGGGTATTATCTGTCCAGATGTCAGTGCTCTACACTAGTCATGATTTGTAACATTGTATTGGGCATTTAAATATATTTTTAGCCTAAACATTTTGTAACTGCTACAGAAACTAAGGTTAATGCTTTCATCAAAAAAGTTTACCTTGTATGTTTTGGCATAGTTGCAGTCAAAAAGGTTAAAATATAATCTTGGAATATTATGGAAATTTCTTATCTTGTATGGGTTTTTTTTATAATGAAACTTGATATTGCATAATTTTTTATATTTTCAACATTGTTAATACAATGTAACTCACTACAACTGAAATATATATCTAGCACATCATGGATATTTGGAATACCTTTCCAGAGGCCGAAGAAGGGGGTGTCACCCCAAATTCCCGAAAAAATAAAACATTATTTCTCAAATCCTGAAAAAATTAATCACTAATTCCCAAGTCCCGATAAGTGTAAATCCTGAATCCCACTTAAAGTAAAGGCCCAATTCCAAATTCCAGCAAAAATAAAGGCCCAATCCCTAATTCCTGCAAAAATCAAGGCCAAATTGACCTACATCTTGAAATGGGTCCTTCTGACCCTCTTTCTAGGATCTACATGTACTGTTTAAATAAAGTAACAACAAACCCCTTATTTCTATAACACATTTGGTTAGATTCCCATTAAAAGGATTTTAAAAATTTGAAATAGTTATAGTAGTCTCAGAAACAAATAATTCTATCACATTTAAAATGTGAAGTCTTTTCTGTTGCAATATTTTTGCAACAAACAAACACATCGCAAAAAATTCTAAATTTACACAGTAAATTAATGATAATTCAAATCATGATCCCTGCCTCTTAAATTTTATATTAAATGAATAAAAGGAAACATATAGTACTTTTTTTCCCCTGTCATGTTTGTAAGTATGCTTTTGAAGCCTGTGCAATGTTTTTTTTATGTATTTTTGGATTACCTATACTTATTATGAAGCATGAAAATGAGGTCAAGGTCAGATTAACCCTGCCAGACAGATATATACACCAAGGTGTTGACTGAATATAGATCTAATCACCAAAACTTAATTGTCATTGATCAATGACCCATGAAGAAGAGGTCAACATTCCATACACCAGATTTAGTTGACCTACTGCTTCTTTTATCTTAGATTAAGTTAGAAACAGACCCTTTTAAAAAAGGTCCTACCAGAGACATATATGTATTATATGTCTCTGGTCCTACTAAATACGCTTTTGCTGTTTCTTGTGTTAACAATTCAACATCCCCCCTTTTTTTCTTGGAAAACCAGAAAAATTATCATGTTAAGTAAGAGATTTTGGAAAATTTACTTGTTTTGTATATCCAATAGTACTGAATGCAAATTATATTTTGTTTTGAAAACTGCGCCACTCTTCTTGAGTTATCGTCCTCCTCGGATATGACTTGTTACCAATTAAATACAATATTAACAACGCATGAAAATGTGCATTTAAACGGTTCAAATCATACCTGCCAACTGTCACTATTTGCAGGGGATTTCCCCCATGGAGGGTCCCAAATGGAAATTTTGAAAGAGCAATTTTGTCCACAATTTAAAACAAAACAATCAATTTACCATGGATATTGGATTGTAAAAGTATGAAAAAGCAAATAAATAACATTAAAATAAATTTGAAGGACCCTTTAAAGATTTTTAGGACTATGAGAGCCATCTTGCACATAAAACCCCCATGGGCATTTTGAAATGTTGGAAGGTATGGTCCAAATGTGTATAAAAAAAAATTAATAGTAACCTTCTAGGCTTAGTCTCAACAACAATTAAAAACTAATCATGTGGTCGGAACATTATTATTTCACTACCTTGATAGTACTTCCACGAACGACTATAACATGAAATAAAGGAAGACTAAGTCAGTCGAAACGAAATTGTGACGGTCCTTCAAAATCGCTTACGATTTATTGTATTCTCCAAAGTGTCCGGTCGGAATCGAATCAAATCAAATATTTTTTTTTCATTCATTTGTGATATCATTTGTTTCGACTTGCAAAAAATAATTATCGAATTTTACCTTTAGCTTGATGATTAATTTTGGATTTACATTGTACAAAAAATATTCAAAAAAGGCAGTGGCTATTCTGCCACCCCGGCAAAATAGCCTCTAAGGTGCTATTTTACCGGCTCCGGCAAAATACCGATTTATCTAGAGTTTTGCTATTTTGCCGGTCTATTTTTCAGATTTTTAATCAGACTATATAAAAATAAACTATTTATGCACAAATGATATATGTGGCTAGATGTCAATTACTCTTAGTAGTTGAAATTCTTGAAGTGGAAACATCCGATCAAATGGAAGCACATGTACAAAGCGAAGTTGCAGATCTAAATGAACAATTGGTAAGCATAACCGATGGTCAAAGTAGTGAAAGTGGTGAAATCGAATTAGAGAGAGATGACAATAAACTCGAAAATGATTTATTGAACTCTACAGAATCGATTTCGAGTATAGTTTACCACCCACAATGAAAAAGCGGGAGACCAAAGGGATTTACACAAACTGTAACATGTGTAATAGGATTACCCAAAAAGCGGGCTCGAAAGAAAAAATGCATTCCTTTTGATCAAAAAGTGTCTAAAGAGACTGACTTGATTATATTAGTTTGGTTTGTGGGAAAAGAAATACGGCAAAGTCAGCGGTCTGATGATAGAGGAGGAACACGTAGAAACCAGTCCTGAAATAGTTTCAAGTTCGTATCTAGACAAAATAGTTAATATAAGATTCATAAAGAAATGTTGTACAGACGATGCATGGAAATCCAGGGGCGTAGCTACCCGGAGGCACGACAGCACGTGCATCCACGTCGTTTTCACCAAAAAAAAAAAAAAAAAACAACAGAGAGAGAGAGAGAGAGGGACAAAGTTAACATATAGGAATTGGTCTTTCTATGTATGCATTTTAAAAACTACCTCAAGAATAAAAGCAAGAGGAATACACATGCAGCGAAATTTTTAATCCTGTAAGACATGTATACATACAACAGGTGTAAACTTTGCGGAACTTTTTGTATAACGGGCATTGTTTAGAAAATACTAGCTACATAGTTGTCGGTACCACCACCATACCGTATACTCGCCTTGAGGGAAAAAAAAGCATAATCCCTTTAGGGTTAACAAAAAAACTTGAACATTATTATTTTCCGCTTCGCCTCAAAGCACACATCTTACTAGAACGAAGACTCTTCAACTCGTATTGATCAGGAATTATGACTGTTGCCTTGTGAACTAGTTAAAAATTTACTAAGTATGTAGGTCTTGACAACACGAATAGTTCATTTTCACATCAGGTCAACGGATTCTCGTCCTGGTGTCATGTAATATTTCAGTGTTACCGGACATTAATAACCATTCAAACAATCAATAGTTTCCGTATACTAGTAGATGAGAAGTTGATACTGCTGTTATAAAAAAAGTACACATTTTCAAGTACATGTATTACGTTTTTATTTATTTTACAAAAAAACATCTTGTATATAGATTCGATAATTCGAAGTCGTTTCTGTATGGACCGGCAATACGAATGGTTGATTGTAAAAGCATTTAAATAAATTGTTCATTCTAACTCGTTTTACTGGACTATTTAGTCGTTCGATTTTATAATGAATTCGCTGTCCGAGTCGGACACTAAGCTGCTGATTTTTTTTCGAAAGATACATCAAACTTTTAATACACGTATCTTCACTGTTATCATCTAGATATTGTATTTGTTAATTAACAAACCCAGATCATGAAAAAGATCGTGATCAATTTAAAGTACCATTCCCTATGAAAATGTTCATTAATTTCAACTTCGAGAATTCCTAACTGCGTAAAATTAGAAATTCCTATCTCTCTCTTGTAGAGCTTACCCACAAATGTTTTAAACATCTAAATACATATGTTAAGCAAAATATTGGAGAATATTGGAGAATGTGTCCACCAAGTATTTGTTATCCAATGATGTTTATGCTAACAGAAACTCCACATATAGTATTGTGTTTATGTTTATTATTTGTTTTTTATACATCTACTTTGCTCAATACAAATACTAGCATATGAAACAAATCTCCATGATTTTAAAAGCTCTCACGGCGTATAAAAACGCAAACGACAATGTTTAGTCTTCATTCTACTCGAAGTTAAACAAATAGATGACAAAAAAAACACAACAAAAATGTACAAGTTTTATTACGGTTGTGATTGTTTTGAAACGCTTTATATGCGGACCTTCCGGGGGGCTTCGCCCCCCTGGCCTCCTACCAGGGCTTTGCAGTGGACCTACTGGGGGCCTTAGGTGGCCCCCAGACCCCTCGCCCTTTAGTTTGTGACTCCACTTCATTAAGAAGGTAGCTACGCCCCATAAATCTATTGACAGCATTTTTTTTTATGAAAGTTGAATATAATGTTTATATCTGCAATTTTTGCAAAAGTGATGCAGACGCAAAAGAAACAAGTGTTATGTGCAGTTCATGTCTGCAGTGGCAGCATCTTTCTTGTGCCAGACTACAACATGCACCAAAAGCAAGGCACTGGTTTTGTAACACTTGTAAAGCATTTTGAGGTTGTTGAATGTTACTTTTTATTTCAAAACTAATAGGATATTTTTATTAAAAGTTTTAATATTAGAATGTCGATTTTTTATATGGGTTTGCATTCTTTGCTTAATGTGTATTATTTTATTTTTTTTAAAGACATATTTTTAGAGACTTCCTGTTAAAGTAAAGAAAATTAATTTTACTATTTATGCATTTTTAAAAATGTTTTAAAAAAGACATATTTTTAGAGACCTCTTCTTAAAGTAAAGAATATCAATTTAAATATGCACGCTTAGTATAAATGTTTTAAAGAAGACATAGTTGTTTAGAAATTTCTTATTAAAGTGTATGTTTCTATATTTTTTCTATTCTGAAAATCTTAATTAAAACCGGCAAAATAGCAAAACTTTATATAAATCGTTATTTTGCTGGAGCCGACAAAATAGCGCTAAGGAGTCTATTTTGCCGGAGCCGGTAAAATAGCACCTAAGAGGCTATTATGCCGGAGCCGGCAAAATAGCCACTGCCTTTAAAAAAATTCCTAGTTTTAGAAAGGAGTCTTTCTCCCTTCTCTAACACTTTTATAGCCTTTATTTTTTTCATATTTCGAAACGATGAAGATGTACAAAGTTGTTAATTGATCAATTATGTTGAAGTGTATAAGGCAAGAGCGAATTTGAACGGTGTAGTATAACTGAGGTGTTATGCACACCTTAGTTATGCATTACCCAGATTATGACACAAACAGGTCTCTGGTAATAACATATATATTTTGCCTATGTTATGTGTTAAAACATATTGTTGTCACTGATTTGTTTGAAGCTTTATTTGCACTAATGCAATATCACAGAATCTAGGACTATTATGCTGACCCAGACAGAATATTACACGCTAAATTTTTAAAAGTATGTCCTATGAGAAATAGTATATGTTGCTATACCATAAAACAGAAAATGCCCCGGAACAAAAACCGTAAAATCAAATTCTGATTAATGAGATATCAATCCCGTCGCAATATTCAATATTATATATATATATATATAACAAAATACACACAGCCGAATAGATAGAAGCGGCAGACAATCTGAATTATTGCGAGTTTTATCAGACTAGTAAACTTTCATTTTTCATATCTAGTTGAAAATCTGCAATCACGTAAACTTTAATATGCAGATTAGACTGGTTATATAAAATAATGTTATACATGCTTACCTGTTGTTGTGCTGCTACAGGTTGTTGGTGGAACCGATACAGTACCTGTAATATAAAATATGTTAATCGTCAGTTTCCTGATGCACAGGTCGATCACAAACGATAGCGAACACACTTAATAGTGTTTAAGTTGAGTAAAATTCTCGATTAAACTAATTTTCTATTCAATTTTAATATTCAATGACACAGTCAATCATTGCTGGGACTATTATACTAATTAGTATAATAGTCCCAGATCATTGTTATTATTTTTTTTCATGAAAACGATTCAAACATATGGAAGAAGTCAGCTCCGACTATAAAGATAACGCAAAGAAATTCTGGTCTTATATCAAGAGCAAAGGTCAAGAATGGACAGGAGTGGCACCGTTAAAAAACAAAATGGGATTTCTGCAAAGTTACAACAAGAGCAAAGCTGACATTCTAAACGACCAATTCCAGTCAGTATTTACCAAAGAAAACCTTAATAACTTCCCAGATAAAGGAAGAAGTCCATACTCCACCATGAAGGCCATAAAAATTAGCACCAACGGAGTCCACAAATTGTTAAAAAACCTGAAACCTCATAAAGCTACTGGTCCTGACTCAATACCATCCTTTATACTTAAAGCAGCAGCAGAACAACTTGCTCCTATACTCACAGACCTATACCAAGCATCATTGAACACTGGCGAAGTCCCGCAAGATTGGAGAGATGCCCATGTAGTTCCACTTTTCAAAAAAGACGAAAGACACTTAGCATCTAATTACAGACCAGTATCTCTAACTTCCATCACATGTAAGGTCTTAGAACATATTGTACATAGCAACATCATGGACCACTTTAACAAAAATGAAATACTAACTGATGCACAACACGGATTCCGCAAAAGACGATCATGCGAATCCCAACTCATCATAACCATCAACGACATTGCATCAAAATTAAAAAAGCAGCAGCCAAGTAGACATCATCCTGCTAGACTTTGCAAAAGCATTTGACAAGGTACCACATCACCGCCTACTACACAAGCTGGCATACTATGGCGTCAACCCCAAAACCAACAAATGGATTCGCTCCTTCCTACATAACAGGAAGCAGAGCGTAATACTAGAGGGAGCCGTCTCCACACAAGTACCAGTACTCTCTGGTGTACCCCAAGGCACAGTCCTTGGTCCATTACTGTTCCTGGCCTACATTAATGACATGCCAGAAACAGCATCTACATCAGAGACCAAATTATTCGCGGATGACAGCCTTCTCTTTCGTACTATCACCAACTAATCTAATTAAAATATAGATCTCGGATTTCGTTATACTACGTTATACTACATACGAAGATCTAACAAGTACCCTACAAGGTTTCACTTTTGTGACCTTATATAACGATATATTTGACCCCAGAAAGTATTTATATCGACCAATCAGAATGCTCCTTATAAACGCGACCTAGGAACATGTTGAAGATGGCGACGTAGAAATGGAAAAACAACATAGAAAATGCATTAACTGAAATTTTGCCTTAGTACAAAGTGAAAGAATTGAAATTTGAGAAGAGACAAATTTTGGAAATCAAAGATTGCATGGTCAGGCTTCCAACATGCTTCAAACGGGCTATGGAAAGAGTTTACATACCAGATTATGGCAGATATCTGCTACCCGATAATCAAGTCTGCATTCAAAGGTAAATTCTCGAAAATAGAGTATTAAAGGTTGACATTTTTCTATCATTGGGCAACTTCTCGAGTGTTTATTAAAAAAAATCTTTGTGGAGGATTCACAGTGTACTTTAAAAAAACATGACAATATCCCAGAAAATACATTGCAACTTGCAAGTCTTCATTCTCCTACCAAAAAATTATAATTTACAAAGTCAATGAAGATATGGGATCAGATAAATCTAAATTCATTGGTAATAGTATATAAATCATAATGTCATCTTATTAATGATATTCTACTGTGTACTTGCAAAGATATACATGTATACTTATGCCAGCACATGCAGAAGAAGTTTTAATATCAGCATACTTTTCTGTCACACACTGATACATGTTGATATCATGTGGTGCTCCAGATAATTGTTAGGGGAAATTTTCTGCCAAGAAAGAAATTAATTGTTCACTATTCTTGGACTCGGCTACAGTGGGTCAGAATGGCAATTAGTGTTTCAGTGTTCATTAAATATTAGTTTAATGCTTTGTGAGAAAAATAACTTCATCCTGTTTATGTACATATAAAAAAGAAGATGTGGTATTATTGCCAATGAGACAACTCTCCACAAGAGACCAAATGACACAGAAATTAACAACTATAGGTCACCGTACAGCCTTCAACAATGAGCAAAGCCCATATCGCACAGTCAGCTATAAAAGGCCCCGAAATGACAATGTAAAACAATCAAACGAGAAAAACTAACGGCCTAATTTATGTACAAAAAAAAACAAACGAATAACAAGTATGTAACACATAAACAAACGACAACCACTGAATTACAGGCTCCTGACTTGGGACAGGCACATACATACAGAATGTGGCAGGGTTAAACATGTTAGCGGGATCCCAACCCTCCCCTAACCTGGGACAGTGGTGTAACAGTACAATATAAGAACGAACTATAAAAATCAGTTGAAAGAGGCAAAAAGTGTTACTTTAACCGTTCCAGAACAAATGGTATAATTGCTGAATTTTTCATTCCATTCTCTAACTTTAGTTTGCCTCAACCAAATGTTATGAAACTTAAACACAATACTTATTACCAAAAAAACTCAGATCAAGCACAAATTTGGGTAGCATCACTTTTACCGTTCTTCAGTTATGTCGTTTTATAACTTTATATGATCTGCAAGAGTGGGCATCATCTGTGTCCTGTGGACACATTCCACATTTATTGTAGTCTTTTATACTCAAATATTTAGCTTTAACTACATGATTGAGTAACTTTGCAGAGGCGTATTTAGAGGGGGAGCACAGGGGGCTCAGGCCCCCTTTTTTGGAAAAATTTGGTTGTTTATATAGGGAATCACTGAAGCATGGCTGTACAGGCCCCCATTATGAAGAAAATTTCTGGGTCCGCCACTGCTTTGTTTTCATTTGTAACATTACTAGTATAAATAATTTTGAAGACTTGATTAAGTAATTATGCTCTTGACTGATAGAATACTCTATCTTTAAATTCAACATGTCTAATACATATACTTGATCAATATATAGAACAAGACAGTCGAGGCTATCTCTATCATAGTGCATACATGTATGTTAAATTGTTCAGAAAACAACCAACCATCAAACAAAATCAATAGGTATCTTATAAGATTAATGTCTGGAAATGATGATGCTAAACAAAAAGTAAAAAATGTGAAATGAAATGAAATACAAGTTTAAAGATTTGTGTACAGATTCTGATAATAAATACATGTATGTACAAATTTGATTAGGGAATCCACACCTCAAGGACTAATCCCAAAAAGGATTACTCAAGGGCCAGTGTTTTTATTTCCCCAAAAAAGGTTCAAAGATAAGAAGATGTGGATCCTAGAAATGGATTCACAGTGTCAATTTATAAATTTACTTTTAGATAACCTACATGTATATCTGTAAGTAACATTTATTTAATAAAACATTCTGTCATTAACCAGAGGAACATATCAATTAAAATGTGTTTTAATAAACACTAGTATCAAGTAACAGGGTATGTACATGTAGGTAGGGAAAACCTAAACAAACATGCATGTACATTTTTTCTTCATCTTTTAGTCTGGAAAAGCTAGTAATAATTATTAAAGAAAAAAATTAAATGAGTTCCTCTGAAACGGATGTTAAATAATCTTAAATAAGCTTTATAATGGAGTCAGCATTGTTTTGAAATCAGAATATTCCATAAATATATTTAAATTGATATTTCACATGTTTCAGGAGCAGACATTCTTCCCTGGTCTATATAGCTTCATTGAAAGGAATCAGACACAGAAAGTTTGGGGAAATGAAATTGAGAGTCACTGTGAATAATTCACACACATGCTAGACATAAAGAAATGGCCAGACACAGGCTCAGCTATAGAATCTGTATCAACTGGAAGCAACAGCATTTGCATCAGAAAACTAAAAAGGATGTGAAAAACATGAAACATGCATTTGGAAATGTTCAGCCGCCAAACAAATAGATATGCCAGGAAATGCAAATTGTTTGCTAATATAAATGTCAGTGATGTCTGTACAAAAGCAAAGATATAAAAGCCTTTTTCATTTATACATGTAACAGTCATATACAATACAGATTTAAGACCATCAGACAATCTTTAAATCTTTGGAAGCCACAGTACCTAGTCCAAGACATTCCATATTTTCAACTCGTTATGAAGACATATTTGACCAATCTGGTTTCCATTTATAGAAGTTTAAAAATAAGTTCTACATGTACATGACATGATGATCACCAGCAATGAAGGTGGTATAGGATATAATATTCAAAGTAGAGAAGTATAAAGTGAATTTGAACCTCACACCATAATAGCATTCTGCACATTTTGGATCACATATGGATCAAGCTGTTGTACTTGTGAACTAAAAGATTGTTGCTTGGTTGTTGTCAGGTACATTGTACATGTTGACAGTGCTATACGTCTATTAAATAAAATGCAGTTCAGAACAGTTATATTTTAGTAATAGATAGATTTCTTCTGTCTTTATTTGAACGGATAAACCAGATAATTACAAAAAAAATTTCTGACAACTATGTCTGTTCTGGAACTGAAGACTACCTTCACTTTTTGTATCTTCCTTGTTCATTTTCCTCCAGATAAATTACTGACTATCATCACCATGAGGCTTATAACATGTATAAGTAGGCTTAATTCCTCCAAGGTCTCCAGTTATGTCCTGTCTGTGACAAAAGTTTCAGAATACAAGACATGCAAGACATGAAATGCTAATCGGACAACAACATTTACTATTTATATGAAGTTTTATATTTCAGAGGGTAGAAATCATGGATTTGTCATACTTAAAATCATAATCATGATAATGTATAAGGAATCCTTATGTTTAGAAGTTTCTGTCAAGACATATG